TGGTGTGATAAGCCAAAATATGTATAGTGACTTGTAGGTTTGAGGAGGAGATTTCCAAGTTTGCTCTTGACTTTGATAGCAAACTGAGTGCAACGAATGTCAGTATGACACCACTGTCCATAGACAGTCAGGCTTTAACCATGTCTTCTTCCAAACATACCAAAATCAAAGAACGTCTTGCTCTTTCCCAAAGGATATTGGCTACTGGCTTCGAGATGCCTTCTTGTAACCGTTGCGAAAAGAAACACTTGAAGTGTGTTGTTTCTGATGATTCGAAACGCTGTAGTGAATGTGTTCGCGTCAATGTGCAGTGTGATGCTTGTGGTCCTTCTATTAGCGACTGGGACAAGATAGAACGTGAGGAGCATCGTTTGCAAGCAGGGAGGAGGCAGTGATGGCCAAGATCCTTCAACTTTGTCAACAACAGCGCTTGTTTTGTTCCCGTGCTAAGGACATGCTTCGTTGTGGTCTAAAAACCATGGACGAGCTAGATGAAGCAGAGGAAAAGGAGTGTAGGGAGGCAGAGGCCAAAGGGACTCTCTTATCCAACCCTTCTACTACTGTCTCCGAGGGCATCGCCCTTGACCAGGAATTTTTCGCAGCCCTGTCTCCTGGCTTCTTTGAACATTGGGGTGCCGACGGTGAAACGCCTCCAGCAATTCTGGACAGCTAAGGTTTCCTACCATTTCCCATGAATTGTCCGTAGGTTCATAACCTTTTCATTTTATCAAAAACTCTTCTTTGGGTCCTACTAACCTCTTGTGTAGGATCACTTCGACTTCGTATTCAATGATCTCATTCTCTGGTTGGAGTTCTGTATCGGTCACAATTGGGGTGTTTCCTCTTGCTGGTTCCAATAGTGAGACATGAAATACTGGGTGTAGTCTAGACTTCTTGGGTAGCTGCAGTCTGTAATTAACTGAGTGTAAGGACACAGGGCACCCAGCTCACAGTAATAGCATATGAGAGTGTGAGTCAGAGGCTAAACGGATGCTATCCTATAGGTCTACTATGAAGGATACAAAAAAGATGATGAGGAACCCGTTGGGTCAATCCCCTTAAGTACCCGAAACGGGTCCGACTCGGCTAACCTGCCCTAACTCTCCCCACGTGACCATAACCTGCCCGACTCCAATGCTTTCCGTCACTGATGGCGGAGGCATCCTTACACTGAGCTGACTTTGTTCAATATTTTGAATGGTCCCAATTTCTTGAAGTCCAACTTCGTACTTGGTCGTTTCGTTTTGATGTGTTTCCGGATTAGATATACTTTATCCCCCTTCTTGAAGGCAGGTTCCATACTGCGCTTTTTGTTTGCATACGCGGCAGATCGTTCATTTAAGAATTGGATGTCTGTCGCGAGTTGTTCATGGAATGATTTGAGTTGTTCCACGGCGATCATAGCTTGTTCTGCTCTTGATTCATCTGGTCATGGTTGTCTATATACCTCTGGCTGATAGCCGTAATTGGCAAAGAACGGTGAGACTTTTCTTGCTTCGGTCATCGCGCTGTTATATGCGAACTGTGTGATGGGTAATATCTGAACCCAATTATCTTGTTGGTGGTTGACATAACTCCGTAGGTATTGTTCAAGGGTTTGATTCAGTCTTTCTGTTTGACCGTCTTTTTGGGGATGGAAATCTGTTGATAGCTTATGATTTGTTCCCAAAAGAGCCATTAAAGATTTCCAAAATTTCGAAGTAAAAAGCTTGTCTCTGTCTGAGATGATTTCTTCCGGTAATCCGTGATCGGCTAATATGACTCGAAGGAAGGTGTATGCGAGTGCTTCAGCATCGCTAGCTTCTAAATATGGCACAAATATTCCATATTTCGTGAGTCTTTCCGTAATAACCAGGATAGCGTCAAATACTACTCCTGTTAACGGGTCCCGAGAGGGTGGTAGCTTAGCCCAAAGCTATAGATTTCCATGCTCCTGTTGGTACTGGAGTCAATTTCAGCTGTCCATATGGCAAGTGCCTATTGGATTTGGATTTGCTGCAAATGTTGCACTCTCTTACTACCGTTTCCACCTGCTTCCTCATACCTGGGAAGTAGTAGTGTCAGGTGATTTGTTCGAAGGTGCGTGTTACTCCCTGATGGCCGTGTGCTGGTAGCGAGTGTTGTTCTTGCACTAGCGGGCGTCTCATTTTGTTTGGGACATACACTAATCCTTTGAATCAGATCAATCCTTGTTCATCGATGGCGAAGTCGCCTTCGGTTTTTATTAAGACTCGCTTTGCACATTCGTCTGTTGCATAAGCTTTCTTGAGTCTTTCTTCCACTCTGAGTTCTCCACAGTGGCAATCGTGGCTAGCAACTCGTTGTATTGCATTCCTGCATCTGTCTTCTTCAATATGGTGTCATACTGACATTCGTTGCACTCAGTTTGCTATCAAACTCAAGAGCAAACTTGGAAATCTCCTCCTCAAACCTACAAGTCACTATACATATTTTGGCTTATCACACCAACAACAAGAGCAATACTACTCAACGATTGCTACAACCATCTATGATTCATTACATGTCATCGCTCTTTAGTTACCCACAAGATTGGTTAAGTTATGACATAATTTGTCTATGACATAATTTGTCTATGACATAATTTGTCTATAGGGGTACTCTGACCTTGGACCTCCTTTTACTTCCTATAGGCTACGAACCTAAGAGATGGTTCTATGGGATTCTCTTACATCGACTACAGTTACCAAGCCTGGTTAGTCATGGAAAGTCTTGGAAAATGAGAGAACTACACTCCTTTAGCATAAATAGGATTGTCCTTTCCTTAAGAAAGGGCAAGCAGACAATACAGTAAATCGACTATCACATACTTCCACGTCTTTTCCAAGCTTCCAAGCATTGATCTTGTTACTCCTTGTTTCTGAAAAGTCAGTGAGGTGTTAACCTCTGACTTACCCCTGAGTTCCCAGACTCAACATTTGTTGCAACTTGTCTGAACCACTTCACTACATCACACACCTGATTGCTGCGTTGTGGAATAGTCTAAGCTACAACCCTTTGGCTCTGTTTTCTAAGACAGTGTGTTGTCTTAGTAAATTCATCCCTTCCTTGGGTGGCTAGATTCCCACATCTGGTGCACCCACCATTACACAAAGGGTTGTAGCTTAGACTATTCCACAACGCAGCAATCAGGTGTATGATGTAGTGAAGTGGTTTAGACAAGTTGTAACAAATGTTGAGTCTGGGAACTCAGGGGTAAGTCAGAGGTTAACACCTCACTGACTTTTCAGAAACAAGGAGTAACAAGATCAATGCTTGGAAGCTTGGAAAAGACGTGGAAGTATGTGATAGTCGATTTACTGTATTGTCTGCTTGCCCTTTCTTAAGGAAAGGGCAATCCTATTTATGCTAAAGGAATGTAGTTCTCTCATTTTCCAAGACTTTCCATGACTTTCCAGGCTTGGTAACTGTAGTCGATGTAAGAGAATCCCATAGAACCATCTCTTAGGTTCGTAGCCTATAGGAAGTAAAAGGAGGTCCAAGGTCAGAGTACCCCTATAGACAAATTATGTCATAGACAAATTATGTCATAGACAAATTATGTCATAACTTAACCAATCTTGTGGGTAACTAAAGAGCGATGACATGTAATGAATCATAGATGGTTGTAGCAATCGTTGAGTAGTATTGCTCTTGTTGTTGGTGTGATAAGCCAAAATATGTATAGTGACTTGTAGGTTTGAGGAGGAGATTTCCAAGTTTGCTCTTGAGTTTGATAGCAAACTGAGTGCAACGAATGTCAGTATGACACTTTGGCTCTGTTTCCTAAGACAGTATGTTGTCTTAGTAAAATCATCCCTTCCTTGGGTGGCTAGATTCCCACATCTGGTGCACCCACCATTACACATGTTATCCACGGGGATCCACGGAATATCAGGTGATGGATAACATTGGATATCATGGATATTATGTTACCCATGTTATCCACGGATATTCCTTTGGCATGACGCCACTATATAAGTAGATAGTATTTCCTTAGATAGGAGCTTCGTGCTCAACTCAATATAGTATTCTTTACAATACTGTAACGTGTTACTTGGAAAGCCTTTGTGTCTAATCCCCTGCCTCCTCTGTCAAGTTAACCTTACGCAAGAAACCTCTGTGTCTTCTATTGTTTAGAAGTTAGTGTTACAATATAGCTGTGAGGGAAGTGCGCTCCTCTTAAGTAGCTTCTATAGTTAACAAACTACGTAATAGGGCCTTTGGCGATACGAGTCTAATCTACTAAGTGAAAGAAGAATAGCAAAGTTGCTATGGCATACACTGCCTAAGAACAAACCCAGAATGTTACGATGGTCATAGAGGTCATGATGCTAGTCTAGGAAAAGTAAGCTAGATTGAATCTAAAGAGAGAAGAAGAAGAAAGGAAGGAAGGTGAGGCTATCCCTCATAATATATAGCTGTTCGCTTAGCGATCCCTTGTAACCTTGGTGGCTACCATAGCTGCCTGTTCCTATAGTTGCTAGCAGCTGTAAGCTGCGATTGTAACATAGAAGACCTTAAGTCTATAAACGACAAGACAACTTTAGCAGGTGAGTCTAAGAAGAGAGACGAACTTCAAGATGATATCCTTAGAGCTTAACTTGAGGATATTGGATTTGCGCTGAGTACAGGAGCATTTTGTAAAACCTTGTGGAAAATTGGCAAGGTCACGTCTCGTATTTCTCAGTAAAAGTGCTGATCGTTCCCATCGAGCCTGATGAATGTATTCATCCCCAATTCCGCATCTGTCATCAGCGCATAGCCAGCATTGATCTTGACGAACCGCTTTGGCTCTCTGTGAATATCAAACTCCTCGGAGCTGTAAGGGCCAGATCTGTCGAACACCCAAAGCCGCATCACGCTTCCTCAGATCGTAAACCCGGGCACGAATCGCCGAGCCGGTTGGCTTCCAAACACCTCGCGCGCGTAGCCTGCCAATTGTAGCAGTGTTTCTGTAGACGGTAACCCCTAGTCACTATATTTGATATTTCTATCTTATTTCAAACCACCAGCCACCGCACCGGAAAAGTCTGTGGAGCAATACAACCTGGCAGAAAATCAAACCAATCTTCCCTCGTGTTGTATGTATTGGTTACTTTCATGCATTCGTCGTAATCCGGGTAGAAGCCGCTTTCCTCCCAATCGATAATGCCAGTCACAACACACCCGTTGTTTTCGTCCATTTTGACCATAATGTTATCTCTCCTGACGTCGCAATGGGTGAAAACAGATTCCTGTACTGGAGGGGGGAGGAAACTCCTTCGGAATTTAACATAATGCCCACCCGCAAAGTGTGAAATCGAGAATTGCCAATTTTCGTACTCAGCTCCTGTGCTGATGACCTTTCGACTCCTATAGTCCTCCCGATGACAGTCTGCCACACCTTGACCGCCGATGCCGCCTAAGGGGTAGCCATCCTGCTGCCTCAACGTCCTAGGCCTGCCAAATATGTCGCCCAATTGGCGCTGACTATAGACTTTGTTTTCTAACGTGAGCGTTGGCCACGCTTTCGTCAATGTCATTGAAGGAATATAAGTCATAATATGACTTTATAAGGGTCAAGGTCGATTAGTCCATGCGGCCGTGGTGCAGGTATGTCTGGTGCGTGCTCAGCAAGATATGCCATAGTAGTATATTCACCCGAGTTAACCATTTTCTTTGTCACCGATGTCCTCGTCTCTGTCTTACAATAGTATAGTTCTTGGGGAATTGTGAAAGCACATCAACTTCTGGATCCTCATTGATCATGTCCTGTAGTTCGTTGATGGTGTTACATCCGGCCGAGTGCAACGATTACACTATGCCCCCGTAAATATCATATTTCTAATACAACAACCACCTACCTATATAAAATGTCTCAAACACGTGGTATGGTATGTCTCGGAATCTCGCCGCGACTCCTCAATCCTGAATTGCTTTTCCCCACACGACCAATCACTCAAATTAATAAGCTGTAGCGAGATATTACCGCTGCACATGCACCCAACAGCGACCTCGATATCCAAGGTTTTGAAACCAAACCACGTGATTGGAGACACATGCATCGTTGTCCCTACAACATAGGCACGCCGGCCCTGTCCGCACATATGGGACGCATGGTATGCGGCCAATATCGGTCCGGCGCTTGGGGTGAACTGGTGCTGTGTTGCTACAGTACAGCCGTTGCGGGATACCAGAGTAGGAGGTTCACGGAAGGCATTGAAGGAGGATAGTCCACGCGGTGGTACTCTAGTTCACGCGGGGAAACGGAGATGTGTATCCACACCTGCTGCTTGGATGCATGCACATGCTACCCTACGCACAGTGCTTGACCTGGTTGGAGGTCGCTCCATGGAACCTCACCAGCTCGTCTCACCAAACGGCTCCATACTTGCGGCGACAAAGAACGGATGAGACCTACTATCCGCATCAGACCGCAAACCCGAGAAACCACCTACCTCACTAGCCACACACAACCTCACACCTTACCATCGTCCCTTCTCCCCGGCCAAAAACACAGCCAATAACCGCCCCCCTTGGCAACACTGATAATGAACGGGCAAGAGCCGATGGATCGACGGCGCTGCTACACGCATAAGCCCCTTCACCCTAAACACACCGCCCGCCATCCACTCGGTCTTCCCCCGACCCCGTCCTCGGACGAGAACAAGAGACGGGATGTGAGAATTCGACAAAAGCGAGCGCCTCTGAAGATTCCCAGCACGCGCTACGGGGCGGTGGATGCAGGGTGTGGCCATGCAACGGGATGGTGCTTGGTGCAAGCATGCTGGATTTGTCCGATGCATGGTTGCGCTGTATTTGCACACACACACGCACTCACAGTCACACAGCACATCACAGGAACCTACATTGCATCTCCCCTTCCTTCCTTCCCACTCCGCTCCAGTATCCCCCCTCGAGCGAGCCCCAGCGCTCAACTCCAACTCAACAAGACCATGTTTTACTAACCAGCACCGCCGCCCATGCGGATCTTCCCCCTTCCCTGCCCAGCACCGCCTCCCATGCGGATCTTCCCCCTTCCCTACCCAGCACCGCCGCCCATGCGGATCTTTCCCCTTCCCTGCCCAGCAAATGTCTTGCCCGTTTCCACGCCCCGGTTCCGCGGGCAGCCGGCCCACACACCCCGTCTCGACCAAGCGTCCCACCGCCATGGCTTGGTATCCCCGTGGCAGCGTGGCCCTCCCGCCGCCCCAGCTGGCGTGCGTTACGGTCGCTCGGTTGGGCACGCGAATACAGTAGGGTAGGGTAGGGAGGTGCGTGGTTGGGCACGCGGGTATTTGGGAGGTGCTGTATTGCACGGGCGGGCGTGGACAAGGTGAGGTGAGGTCGGCGGTTGCAGGTACAGTAGGTAGGTGCTGCAGAGGGAATGAAACAGTACCTTTCGCTCGAACCCGTTTTGAGAGGAGCGAGTTGTTGGTGGTGCTGGGTTTCCAGGTTTCCCATCCCTATACCCCGTACGTTGTTGTTTATGCAAACCGATTTCGTGCATTTATCCATAGAGAGAGTGGTGTTGGCTGGTGCACCATGAGCGACTTGACTTGCTGGCGATATCTTCCCGCGGGCCCCGGCTGTGGCCGCGGAATCAACTCACGACTCCACCACTCCATAACTGGAGCGACGAGTGCGACAGTGCTAACCACAGTGGTGCCCTCTCCAGAATCGCTACCAGCAATCCACGCCGATATAATTTCCCTCCCATAGCCATAGCTCCATCCCCCCCCAACCTAGCTTATTGACAAGATGCTGTATTAAAACCACAGTAAAAATTCCAGCCCCCAATAGAAAAATGAGCCTTTTTCTTAACAAAAAAAAACACTATCCATCCCATGCATGTATGTAAGTAAGTAAGAAACAAACACTAGCCACCAACCAAACGAATTTCTGGCACCTTGCATGTCCGTGATCCTGCTGGCAGACAGATCCATATCCATGGGGGGGAAGCGACCACGGTAATTCCCCCCTGAGACCACCCCTCTACTTGAGACCTCTCTAGGGGGCCGCGGGCGCTGGGCACACAACGAACCAGCGTTATCATAGGGGAGTGGAGAGGGGAGCGAAGAGGGGAGGGGAGACGGGAGGGGAGAGGGGAGAGGGGAGTGGAGATGGCAGCGAAGAGGGGAGGGAAGAGGGAAGGGAAGAGGGGAGGGAAGAGGGGAGGGGAGAGCGTCCCTCGCCGGTGCTAGCCCTTGACGCTCCGCTTCGGGGGATGGAAACACGTCAGAGTGATCAGCGTGTTGTTGGAGTCAGTGCTTCAGTAGTGCACAGCTGCCCCCTCCCTTTCTCGGAAAGGTCACCCAAAGAAAATATACACACACAGGGAGAGGGGACATCATGGTGGTAATTTCTAAGTAGTTGTAGTAAGTTATCCGTAAAATTTCCAATCAGCTGTGCTACGTCAAGTGGCAAGCCATATCTTCAAATATCGATGACGATCCAAGATGAATGTGACCGGGCGAACAAGAAACCCCCAAAACTATGTGCTCGTTTCTCTCTGATATATATGTGCCTTCGGGAGAGCTCTTTCCATCAAACTAAAAAGGTAGAGCTTTGCGCCGACAAACTCCACGCCATATTTGCAGTTTGAACCCTAACACACATCTCTCATGACATGAAATGTGACCCTGTTGAATCATACGCCAACGTTTGAACCCCCTCCCACCACCCACCCAACCCAACCCTCTTTTGATACTCCGTTCGCCGTTGGGAGAAGAGCTGAACAAGAACAATGCGAATGACATGACGTGCGTGCAGATGTGATGTGATGTGACATACGTCTACGCAAACGTACGTCTGATGAAAAGACGAATTCGGGTTAAACCTGCTCAGGCTGGGGTTTCTGTAGATGATGATGATAATAACGACGCACTCCGGGGGACCATGCCGCTTCGGAGGAGCGGCGTCGCTCTCGCACAATCGATGTAGTATAGAGGATAGAAGTCATAACGGTCATGGCACAGCCCAGCGCGGGGCCTCGGCATTCCTGTCGCTAGACGGGCAGGGGCCGCTCATAAAATAACACACTTCTTGACCTTTGGCTTATCGTCCCTGTGGTTCCTCGGTGGCCTATCGCCGCGCGACGTCTCGCCGAGCGTGGACGCCGTGCCCCTCGCGCTCGGCGTCGAGCGCAGGCGCTGCTGCCGTTGTCGGCGGAGCAGGCGCACGACGTCGTAGAAGGCCTTCTCGACGTTGATGCAGTTCTTCGCCGAGGCCTCGACGAACTCGCAGCCCAGCTCGCGGGCGAGCGCGTGGCCCTCCTGCGTCGAGACTTCGCGCTCCGTCACGCGGTCCGCCTTGTTGCCTACGAGCATAATGGGGACGGCGCCGGGGGGGGCGGAGGGCGCGGAGAACGAGCCGGGGTATGAGGGCGGAGAGGCTTCCTTGACACGCTGGATCTGGTGGTGAAAGCGCTGGATGCGGGTGAATGAGGAGCGAGAGGAGATGGAGTAGACGAGGACGAAGCCTTCGCCGTCGCGGATCCACTGGTCGCGTAGGGCGGTGTATTCCTCCTGGCCGGCTGTGTCGAGGACCTCGAGCATGCAGGATTGCCCGTCTATGACGACTTGTTTGCGATAGGAGTCCTCAATTGTCGGGTCGTAGCTGGATAATTGCACATTAGCCACGGAGCTGGAGCTTCGGGGGGGAAGTCACTCACGTCTCGACGAAATGCTGGAGGCATAGCTGTATCGTTAAAGCGGTCTAGAGCTGTGCGTGAGCTTTCATGTCCCAGGGGCGGAGGGAGAGGGCCGCGAGAGCACCGACCTTGCCAACACCACCATCTCCAAGGACGACCAGCTTGTACAGGATCATCTTTCCCGACATATTGTAGAGGGTTCTTGTTCTGCAATGCTGCTTCGCTAGATGTTCATGTATCTCGACTGTGGGGGGGGGGGGGAGTTTATCGGCGGCGGGACGAGCTTCTTTCAAGGACGAGTAATGGTGGGGCAAGAGACAGAAGACTGGTTTTGCATGGGCTTTGGGTTGCTGCTTGGTGGTACTGCTGGCTTGCTGCGCCAAAATTGTCTGAGAGATCGAGATGGCCAAGCTTCTACAACAGTACGTCTTTCCAATGCAGTCTCGTGCGGGAAGGGAAATTTCAGGGAAGAGCGACAGCGGAAGGAAGGAAGTAGAGTACAGGTGTAGTCGCAGTAGTCGCAGAGTAGTCGCAGTAGTCGCAGTAGTCGCAGTAGTCGCAGTAATTGCAGTAGTCGCAGTAGTCGCAGTAGTCGCAGTAGATGGGATAAGAGCAATGTAGTAGTGCGTTCAGAAGCTCGGACGGAGTTTTGGGTGGTGGGTAACTACTCTAGAGGACAGTGGAGTAATTAATTGTACAAGCAAGTACGGAGTACAGCACAGTACAGCACAGTACAGCACAGTACAGCACAGTACAGCACAGTACAGCAAAGTACCTACATACCGTCAACCCACCGTCAACCCATCCTGCCGCTACGATATCCACGCCGAGAGAGAGATTTACAGTACAGCACAGTAATAGCACGGCGGCAAAGAAACACAATCCAGTCCTGGGCCCCCCAAAATCACCTTCTCCACGAAACTGTCACTATGACAGCAAGTCCCCATCTCGTCAGCACTCTAGTTAGCGAAGCGACACACCACACCACCCACCCACACACACACAATGTAAGCAAGGGTTACGACACCACACCACACAACACTGGCATAACGGCGGGACCACACGGCGAACAATGAAGCTTGGAGCTGTGCCTGCTAGGTGGACCCAGTGGCGCCCACAGCTCTCACTCACCACTCACCACTCACCACTCACCACTCACTCCATGGACCGAATTGTCAATGTCAAGCAAGAGGGGTATGGGACACTTTGATGTATAAAAATGGACGTCTGGGCTCGATCAGCGACGGATCGGCGAGGTACCGTCTCGCGATAGCGATAGGCGCGAGGGGATGCTCATCATCGGCTCTGGTGAGTGGCGTGCGAACCACGCCGAGCGCTCCAACGCCGTGGGATATGGGTGGTAGAGAGAGGAGCCTTCTTCTAGCCTTGGCCATCGCCCAACTACTACTACCCCCGCGGCTCTTACTAAAATCACGCACGCTCATGAGGGGGGGGGCCAATGGTATGGTATGCATGAGAGGTGCTTGTAAAAGCTGTATTTGAATGTCGTAAATCGCCCGTCTGGCGGCTGCTTTGCAGTTTGAATAAACCTATCTGCATCTGTTTGCAACAATCTCATCCCCATCATCCCCATCATCCCAGCCATAACCCCTCCCGGCCAAGATCAACAAAAATCCTCCAAAAATCCATCCTATCCTAAACAAAGAAGAGTTTTCCCAACTCCTCCAAACGCCCTTTCAAGTATATACAGAAAAATCTGTCGGCTCGTCGTTGAGCCCTTTGGTATTTGGTTTGGTGAAATGCGATCAATCAGTCGCATGCTCGTCGCCAAACGGCGTCCCATCCTTCTTCTTAGCCTCCTCCTTAGCGCTCGCCTCGCTCTGAGCCTTCTCCGTCTGAGCCTCCTCAATGACCGCGCTCAAGCTACCCTTCTTCATATGTCCCTTCGTCCTCGGCGACGAAGCAGCTGGCGACGGATCGCTAAACGGCCCCTGCTCAACAGTGGGCGTGTCGTCGATAATAGTGATAGCTGCGGATTCGCGACTAGCATCATTTTCCTTCGCCTCGGCCTCACCCGACTCCTCGGCCGTGGATTTCGGCTTATTATAGATCCTTTTAGGGGTCACTCTGACCATCGTTGGCTTGATCTGCGTAGCTGTAGCTGCGCTGGCGCTGTTGAGGAAGGTGGAGCCGATGCTGGATACTGGGCTGGGCGGGGGTTGCATGTTGTTGTTCTTATATCGGTTGCGGTCCACGCTTGGAACCGGGGGTGTTAACTCGGCAGGACTGTGGCCTACGTTGGACTTGACGCTGATAACAGCTGCCTTTCCTCTCATGACGGTCTGGGCGGGTAGCGGCGAGACGACAGCGTTCTTGCCGTAGATGGTAGATGCGACACTGGATCGTGGTGCGTATGAAGTTCGGTCAGTCATAGCAGAGTATGTAGAGTCGCGGAGGTCGCCAGGCATGAAGAAGTGTTCGTCCTCGTAGCTCGGGGTGCTTGCGCTCGAGAGGGCGATAGGGATCGGCGGAACCGGGGGAACGAGGAGGCCAGGCGTCGAAGGCGCCGATCTGTTCGTAACACCTGGAATATACGCAATCTGGATGATGTTGGATGCTCTGGTGAGAACGGTAGAGGCGATAGAGCTGACTGTATGAGTAGACGCACGCGCGTCCCGCCTTGATGCGAAATCCTTCTCCGAATCCGTCGCTTGGTTGGTATATTGCTCCGCATATTCCTCCTCGTACTGGGCCCTCTTGTTCTTGACAAAGAATCTCCACGCAAGGTATCCGATAATCGCAATCGCGGCCAGTCCTCCGATAACACCGCCCGCGATGGCACCGACATTGGGGCCAGAGCCACCACCGCCACCAACTGTTGACGTATCAGGGTTCGCTGGGGCGACTGCTGTAGAATCGGCAATACAGGACGTCGATTGGCAAGTGTCGCAGGTCTGGACTGATATCGAGCATTTCGAACCTGTCGGACAGGATGGGCAAGCAGGTGTTACTGAAGGGCAAGGGACACACGCGCGGGCAAACAGACCCCTCGATACTAGCAAAGGTTAGAATCAAAAGAGAGGCAGGTGGGTTGGGTTATGAACTTACCATCGCCGCCGAAGACCGCCATTTGAACGGTTTATGGATAGTATATGATAGGGATGGGAACAGGCCCGGTATAATTAGTAGAGAGAGCCTCTGCTAGCAAGGCAAACGATCTGAGCACAGCCCGGAGTCGTCTCACAAGTTGTGGTTGCTGCCGTACCGAGTTCTGGTCCTGAAGCTGACGTGGCACAGCCGTACGAGTCTATTCTTCTGACCACCTGCTGATGTCCTGTGGAACTCTGTTGCTCAACTCGTACGAGCTTGTGTGTTGTGCCTGGGGGTGTATAATGATATTTGATTGAAGTAGAACAGTCGATTGCAAATCGTATCGGCTGGCTGTTTTATAAAGGTCGGATTCGTGGTAAGATATTTGTTTGAATCGCGACAGATGAGGCCAAGGCTAAGAGCGGATGTCGAGGGTCGGGGTTCGAAGTAGCGTTGGGGACCCGAAAAGCCGGTGAAAGAAAGAGCAGTTCAGGGAATCGAGAATTGGGAAGGAAGTGTGAAAAGAGGACCCTGAACAATAACACGGATGGGTATGAAGATGAGGGTGAAGATGGGGATGGAGATGGAGATGGAGATGGAGATGGATATGGAGATGGAGATGGAGATGATGGTGAGGATGAGGGACGAGGCAAGCGGTGGTGAGATGAGATGCGAGTCGAGGGGACGTCGTGGGTGTGGGCGGCATGGAAGCCATGGCTGAATGATCCGAAATGACAAGGGGGGGGGTGGTTGATAACGCATTAGGCCGAAATCAGCTAGGACATACAGGATTAGCCGTGGACCCCCAGTGAGCCCTTGGTGTTCCTGGATGGCGGCGTTTGATTCGCGTCGTAAGGCCAAAGTACATACATGTACTTTGTGTAATATTAGATCTAATCTATACGAGTGCGCTGTACGGACGCTTATACCATTGGCAATCATATGAAGAGGAGACACATGGCTGTCACGGGCGAGGGATCATCCCTCGCACAAACACAACAGACGGTCTTCTCCGTCTTCTCCTCCCCGCTATACCCAACCTCTCCCATCGCAAATCCCAAATCCCACCAACTCAAGCATGATATATATGCACAACCAGGCGCAGAAAGGTGGCGTTCGGAAAGGTTCCCTGGCGTGCTGAAACATGGCCTCTCCGATCATCCCCACTGTAAAGGTGATACTGTACCGCGGCCGTTCGCTATCACCCACGTTTCAGAAGCAGACTCTCCACTGCATCTCCACAGATCCGCTCGACTGACACTCTACCGACTCTACGTGTATTGGTCTTTCTTGGCAGAGGTCTGGCCTTTTTACGGTCGTGGGTTCAGGTTGCTGTATCCACATAATCGTTCAGACAATCAATCGAGCGATTGAGTTGCTTGTACTCGGAGGTTAATGTGAATCACGATGCTGAATATTGCCTGGTAAAATTGCACATGCGCAGTGGTCAAAGTGAGGGAAGCAAGGGAACAGCCATGCCGAAACTTGTACAGATCTCAAATGTCTCACATAAAAAAAAACGTGATCTTTTTAATACATGTAGCAACATACCCAAACAAAAAACGCCGGTCATTATATGTTGACGAGACATACTTGCGAGCGCAATACGCCCTTTTCAACGTCTCCTGAAGCAGCGCTTGATTCCGGACTTACCCAGGAACCACAGGCATCCAATAAAGCGAACGAGAGACAGACAGACAGTAGCGATGAGCAGGGCCTGGAAGAACTTGGCTGTGCGAGCAGATGCTTTGTTCTATGATATTGTTAGTTAACGCTCGATGGTGTGTATGGATGTTTAAACTTACCCCGAATCCGAACGAATCGAAGTTGTCGCTAGTAATGACCACCGCAAGAATGGCGTTGGAGAAAATCCAGAAAGCCACCAGGGTCGTTCTGAAAGACTTGTACGAATCCTCCAAAGACTTGGACTCATCCTCCTTGGGTGCCTTGTATTCCTTGAGAGCGCGCTTGACTGTTGCCTCAAACTGGCTATCAATATCCTCTTGTGGCTTGTCGACTTCTTCGATGACAGCAGCCTTGCCCTCAACCTTGGTTGTCTGTGCAGATGGCAAAGCATCGACCTTGTCCGATCCCTTGGTTCCCCAAGACACATCGTGCCAGTTGCTGTAGGAGTAGACGTTGAGGATGTTGATGTACGAAGATGCAACAAGCAGGTATTGAGGGAAGGAGTGGAACATGTGCCATGGGTCCAGGTAGAGGAACGAGGCGACAAAGTATAAACCGAAGGTGGCCGCCAGCGCGATGAGAATGATAGCGGAGCTGTTTGACGAGAAGATATTGGTGGTGAAGATCGCTGTTTTGTCCACGTTTGGTCCGACAAACGCGCGTACAACCAAGAACATAGACAAAATAATGACATACAACTGAATGAATGAGAAGATCATGAACGATGTGATGTAAGTGTAGCGGGATCCCTTTGGCCTATTTCCGAGGGCCAACACGAATTGCATGACCAGACATCCGAGGTATAGGTACTTCAGAATCGTGTTGATAATTGGCGTCGCTGTGTCTCCGAAAGGCCATCCGTGATGCTCTGCTCCGGTACCCGAAGCTGGCTCTGGAAGACCAACAAGATCCATAATGACAGTCGTTGTAAGCCAGTAAGATGCGAGCGAGAACCAAGTGAGGATAACCGTGAAGATGTTGTAAAGAAGTTGGATATGGAAGAAGAACATGCGGACGAAGTTGTGTCCACTCTTGTACATTCTACCAAAGTGCATAACGGAGTAGACACTGGCAGCAAATGAACCGTTGAGCCATCTTCTACGCTGGCCAATGAATTCAGGGGCGCCCTCAGGAACATCCGTTTCTCCCTTTGCCGCCTTGATGTATGTCAAATGCCACTTCGAGCCAGCCTTGGCAACCAACTCGAAGCAAAGAATACGATCCTCAGCCAAGAACATGTTCTTCTTGAAAATATTCATGCCCTCGATACCCTTCTTTCCAAGAATCGCAGAAAGCGTGTGATCACCATGGAAGTACTGCTCGAGCGGGCGGCCAATGATAGCACGGTAACGGTATGCTGAGAAAGCACCCGGCAACACACTGACATATCCGAAAGAACTCTCAAGCGGCTTGTCGAGAATGTTACTGATCTTGTACTCGAAGTTCTGGGCTGCAACCAGAGGGTTGATCAGGTTGCGCCCACCCTTGCCCAACATGGCGTGGATTTCACCACAAGCTCCTCCGAGATCTTTGTCGTTGAAGAAACCTTCCCACAGCGACAAGAGCGATTTGGGACCAGGCTTAGTACCGGCATCCAGCAGAATACAGACCTCTGGGTTCAGAATACGCCCGAAAGCGTTGAACAACCAACGATGGGAGTTGATCTTCTTGCTGTTCTTCTGCTTCAAGCAGAACATCATCTGCACGGGTGGCAGGTTGTTTGCCGCACCCTCTTGAGGGCGCACAAGCTGCTGGTTGGCAGTCACCGAGATCTGTGTCGTGTACTCGAAGATATGGGCAACTGTCTCCTTACCGTCGATATCCTTCTTCATGACACCTTCTTGGAAGACACCGACCGTGGCCAGAACGTCAAGAACGTCCTTGTCGCAAGCATCAAAACCATCGAAGACCAAGCAGACGACAATCTTTTGCCATGCCTGTCCTCCCTTGTTCCAGAACTCAGTCTTCTTGAGACGGACAATGTCGTTGATGTTCTGCATGACACCGTGCAGCGTGCGCGAAAGCAGCGCCTTATCTTCGTTATAGTATGTAATTGCAATCAGGAGCTCGGTGTGCCTATTGTACATCGCGGGCCTCAAATTGTAGCCGTTCCTCATTGTGAAGTCGTTGGGGTCGCAGGTAGCCGCAGTGTATCGCATGTGGGTGAATTCTTCATTCCCAGCTTCGACATCGGCGGTGTATTTCTTCTCTATCGAGTTCTTGATGGCACTCGGGACTGGGTAGTCGATACTGAGGACCGAGCCCTGAATAAGCTTCACCTTTCTTGTAGGGTAGCGCTTGAGTCCGCCGCCAGGAGCCTGACGCTTTCTCCAGGCATCTTCCGAGTCGATCGTTCGCGATGGCGACGGGGCTCGGTTTGTGCCTCCGAAAGGAATGTCCTCGAGTTCGATTCCTTGCTGGAAGGATGAGCTGCTCGAATACTCTGTTGCGTGGTGTGGGTTCTGCTGCCCAGGCACCGCGTACGACTCTGTCAAGCTGTATGCTGTCGAGACAGGCCTCTGAATTTCCAGGTTCGATTGATTGTTGCCATCAAATGGGGACTGGTATGCATGCCCACCGCTTGGGGATAGCAGGCCCAGTTCGGATTCATCGCGAGTGTCTGGCCTAGGTTGGTTATACTGGCAGTTTGTTAGCATTTGGCAGCAGTTGGTTCACCACGCCGAAGGGGTAACACATACTCCAGGATTCGAAGGATCCACCTCACGAAGAGATGCCCCTGGATTGTAACGACCGTCCATTTGTGTGATATTGATGGAGGCGACGCGTGTATTGCGTTTAAACCATCAAATTATTGCGAAATGGATGGATCCAGAGATATCTGTGTAGCCTCCCGAGCAGGACGCGTTGCCTGGTCGAACAAAAGTTGTTTCGGGTTTTCGAACAAAAAGTTGTTTCGGGTTTCGCAGCTTTTGGGTCTAAGGATAGAGGGATAGCGAGAGACAAGAAGGCACAACGGAAGATGGCCTTTGGGGGGTGAGGATAAAAAGGGGTGAAAACAGTTTTCTTTGAAGACCCCAGTGTGAGGATTTGGCAAGAAGTCTTGAAGCAGAAGAAATGTTTCACAGTTGTGCTCTGTGATTAGCATTCTTCAGCTTTGTGGAGTTGAGTGCTCCAAAGTCCCGCCAAGAAGCGCTACTCCTAGCATTGCCGCGACAAAGAAGGTGCCGTGATAGTAGTATGGTACTCTATTTCAGAATCCACCATCCTGAGTTTACTGTGTATCTGTGCATTGGAGATTTTTAATCTTGTCCTCCCAACTCCATGAAAGCAAACTCCTTACTCCTGAACTCTATAATATTCCTGTCGAAACAGACATGTTCTCTGGACATGAGAGACAACAGGTGAGATTACTCTATTCTAAGCAGGATCCCCCTTTTGCCCTTTTGCCCTTTTGCCCTTTCGCCCTTTCGCCGACCAACCACCCTATTCAAAGGGGCTTTTTTTAATGAAGTAATCTATAACATACTACAAATATATACATAGCACACGCTGACAGTAGATCAAGGACAAAAGCATTTAATCCTCTTTGTACAGAGTATTGAACAAAGAAATGGGTCGTCGGATGTACAGTAGAGAGCAAGACTTCTTAGCTGGCAGACAAATTTGTCTTTGGTACCTACCAAAAAAACAAATAAGTACGCGGCGAGCTAGGGGTAGGTACCCCTAGCTCGCCGCGTAAGTCACTGTGCCTACGTCGTTTTACTCCACAACATGCTATTTTATACTTTACCGAGGTATGGAAGCGGCAGCCATCCGTGCTTTATTCTAGGCTTTTGGTGACGCCGAGACATCATATCACAATTTCGGTGTTCTACGCGTGGTCATTCTCGCTCGCCATACTGTACTTGCTTGAATTCAGTATCTTGTTCACCAATCCCCGTTTCATCATGCCTTAGTACTACTAGTCCATCGCCCATTTCTGTAGTGTAGTGGTATTCTGCAGTACTCGTATGCATGCATGACAGAATATCAGCGATCGTCGATATGGTCTCGCGACTTATCGTATAGGAGAAAAATAAGGGTCGCGGAGTTGAAGTTGCACCCTTTTGCCATATAAGGAATCGATAGCTACAGCATGCCGTAAGACGTTGCTTATACGGAGTAGAGTAATAAGAGCTTCAGTGTTGTTGAACTGACATATGGCTGATTTTTGACCACCAGTTCGGTTACAGCGCCCGACGACAAATTAATTCAATCTCACGTGACCACTATCAACCACGATACTCAAGATCGCCAATGTTCAGATAACAAAACAAGTCTCCCCCTCATTCTCCCAACCCAACCTTCAATACTCACTTCTCGCTGTTGCATAACACTCCACTGCCCTCTATTATATAAACCAGCCCGCTCTATCAAAAGAAGGGCTTGCTGTTTATCGCCCTCTATACGCCGTCGGAGAGGGGCGCCAGCCAACCAGAAGAGCACCGGGAATACCTTCCCGCAGGCGTCCAGCCTGGGTATACCGCCACCATGTTGAAAATATGGTCCATGGTATGCACTTTCCACAGCCGGCCCCCGAGTGCCCCGAAGCATATTATGCTAACGCCCGATATAGAAAGCAAAGGAGCAAGCGGCTGCCAACGCAAACGGCACGAAAAAGAAGAAGGTCACAGCAGCCCAGCTGCGCGTGCAAAAAGGTCTGTCCAGCCCAACCGAGAGAGAGCGCCGGGGCTAATCAAGCCAGCTAGATCTCGAAGAGCTTGAGCCCAGCCGAACATGGCGCACCGAGTTTCCCGACCCCAACGACATCCTCAACTTTACTCTGACGATCGACCCTGATGAGGGCATGTACAAGGGCGGACGCTTCCACTTCTCCTTCGCTATCAACCAGAACTTCCCGCATGACCCGCCGAAAGTAAAGTGCACGCAGAAGATATACCATCCGAATATCGATCTCGAGGGCAATGTGTGCCTCAATATCTTAAGGGAGGACTGGAAGCCGGTGCTGAACCTTAACGCGGTTATCGTTGGATTACAGGTTCGTGGTTCCCCGCAGATCCTTTATAACACCACTAACATATGTGCCAATAGTTCTTATTCCTAGAGCCCAACGCCTCCGACCCTCTCAACAAAGATGCAGCCGAAGACCTACGGTCAAACAGGGAGGGGTTCAAGAGGAACGTCAGGACAGCCATGGGCGGTGGCCCTGTGCGGGGTGTGCCTTTTGAGAAGGTTCTGAAGTAGCAAGCCCGCGATATAGAAGCATATGGGAACTACGGGAATATTTTTTGGGCATCTGAGGCGTTTTAGCACAGCGGGCTCATGGAGCTTATTGCGGAGGCTTCGGCCGTCGCATTCGTGAGGAATGCCCATATATTACTACGGGCGGCACTGAAATTCAGACTCTCAAGGCAACTTGCTATGGTCTTTCCGATGTGTCCTGTGATGATGTGTAGGCCCATGAGAAGGTGAGACGCTTGAGGAGGCACCAGCTCGTGTGAGTGCCGCCTAAAAGTCTGGGGAAGGGACAAGCGTATGACAGCAACCAAGAGGCTCCGACTAGCCCGCAGTCCCCGTTGTTGTTCAAGTTGCCAACAGTAACTACCAAAGCTTTTCAATCTGTTAGTGACTGACAACTTCAACTATAAGAAGGGATTCTATTAGCTTAATTGTAGGTATTAGTTCCTAGCTCTCTAATACTCGAGGTAACACACGTGCGTTAGTGGCGGAGAGGCTCGATGCCTACATGACTCATGTAACATGAGGAACATTAGCTACATTATTATAATTCCATAACTTGCTACAAACTTATAGCAAGCTTTCCACAAGTATAATCGAGAATTTGGCTTGTCGTTGCCTTTGCCCATGCTACCATTGCATATAGTAAGTAGCACCGCTTATTATACGGGTGATCAAGGCAGGACGACATAGTAGGGCCGAGACATAAAGTGAGTATTCGTGTTATCTAGCCAAATTTCAAAGAATGGTATTAGTTACACGGCCTTCCTTTGGCTTTCTAGGCTCCTGCAAATGAACAATTAGATGATTCGGTAGATAGTTTCATACGCCTATGACAGTTCTATACATGGTTTTGAACCCTGTTAATGATTTTGTCTGTTATTAGCAGATGCCCAAACAAGTTGCTATATTCCTAATTCTTAGCTACGCATAGTCCCGGGCTTTTTGGGCATTATGCCACCTAAAAGTATAAAGAGTGACTATGCATAGTATTAAAACTAATCGAACTTCTCCCTTCGGTTTAATTTTTAAGTGACAGGGGAGCAAAACGGCTATAATAGTTTCTGGGTCATTTGGAGTCTTCATCTTGTTTATAGTTGCTAAAGTCTACTTGAGCGATAACGGTGCCTATGGGCTGATCTGATCCTCTTAGTAGCTGTTATGCACGGCCTTTTCCTCCGACTTTTCGGCGGCAAAAGTAGCAGCTCTCAATTCCGGATTTATATCAGCTTTGAGTCACCGAAAACGGCAAAAACAATGACCAGGCTGGGGTTCGATCCCAGGACCTTTTCGGTACATTTGAAATGTTAACGAAACGTGATAACCAACTACACCACCCGGCCAATTAGATATCCTCCGTAGTGATCAAGCTCATCAAGAACCAAGGACCGCGTCATGAAATAGGCGAGCCTGTGGAGTAACTACGGTTTACCGTGCAGCAAAACCCCATAAACACGTGACTATGCCGAACTAGCGCGCTTTTAGCTATGGGGCGTCGGGGAAGCGAGATCGGCCTCAAAAATTAATTCAATACTCGAGCTACGTATCCCCCCACAGACCTTGACTCACTGTTATAAGTATCAACAGCCCCCCCATCTTTCTTAGCTATTGAACCACAACACACAAATGGCTTCACGAACTCTTTCACGAGCTGCCCGCTCCCAATTGGCACGCCAATTCTCTGCGCCAGTGGCTAAGCGTACCTTCGTGTCCGCCATCAATGCTGCTGCCAGACCAGCTGTCGCCAGAGCTGCAGCTCCAGTCCAGCAGTTCCGTGGTGTCAAGACCGTTGACTTTGCTGGCGACAAAGAGCAGGTCTATGAGCGCTCCGACTGGCCTCGTGAGAAGCTCCTGGTAAGTCCTCCCCGACGATGAATCGCCCAATTGGTGATCCCACCGCCTTTTCGGGTTTTCGTGCGACCTCGGCTTACGATTTCGTAGGAGTACTTCAAGGATGACACTCTTGCTATGATCGGATACGGTATGTTGAGCTCGCTCGGTCAATTGGTGTGCACTACTAACCAATTGCTCAGGTTCGCAAGGACACGGTCAGGGTCTCAATGCCAGAGATCAGGGCCTCAACGTCATTGTCGGTGTCCGCAAGGGTGGACAGTCCTGGAAGGAGGCCCAGCAGGATGGATGGGTTGAGGGCAAGAATCTCTTCGAGATCGATGAGGCCATCACCCGTGGTACCATCATCATGAACCTCCTCTCCGATGCTGCCCAGTCCGAGACCTGGCCTCATATCAAGCCGCAAATCACCAAGGGAAAGGTACATCAAATCTACATCCAGTGCCTAACTTCGTATTACTAACACTCTTTCCAGACTCTTTACTTCTCTCACGGATTTTCCCCTGTGTTCAAGGAGCTCACCAAGGTCGATGTGCCAACTGATGTCGATGTCATCCTCGTCGCCCCCAAGGGATCCGGCCGCACTGTCCGCACCCTTTTCCGTGAGGGCCGTGGCATCAACGCCTCCATCGCCATCTACCAGGATGTCACCGGCAAGGCTCTCGAGAAGTCCACTGCCCTCGGTGTTGCCGTCGGCGCCGGATACATGTACCTTACCACCTTCGAGAAGGAGGTCTACTCTGACCTTTACGGTGAGAGAGGCTGCCTCATGGGCGGCATCCACGGTATGTTCCTCGCCCAGTACGAGGTTCTCCGTGAGCAGGGCCACTCCCCTTCGGAGGCCTTCAACGAGACCGTCGAGGAGGCTACCCAGTCCCTCTACCCTCTCATCGGTGCCAACGGCATGGACTGGATGTACGAGGCCTGCTCGACCACCGCCCGCCGCGGTGCCATCGACTGGAGCAACAAGTTCAAGGACGCCCTCAAGCCCGTCTTCAACGATCTGTACGACTCTGTTAAGACCGGCAAGGAGACCCAGCGCTCCCTCGACTACAACTCCCAGCCTGACTACAGAGAGAAGTACGAGGCTGAGATGCAGGAGATCCGTGACCTCGAAATCTGGAGGGCCGGAAAGGCCGTCCGCTCGCTCCGCCCCGAGAACCAGAAGTAAATGGTTGATGGGTCGGCGGTGGCTGGTGGTGGTTGGTGAATGGCAGTATTTGTTGATGGGGGAATTTATTTTCGAACGGCGCATGTTTGTACTATAACTCGGTTTCTATATCATCGAATATGACGCCTAAAATGCAAAAAGTTGCTTACTCCATTAAAAAAAATTACCTTAAACATAACATCCTGATGAATTCGTATGTGAACTCGCACCATGTGAACTCACCGAATTGCGATTGAATGTATTCCAAGACGTAATAGTCCAATAATGACACATTCCTCCGCAATCGGCATTCCGCAATCAGCTGCCAAACCACTCCATTCCCCTCCTTGCCCCGGTTGTTCGGCGTTGCTCCGATATCCAGTTTTGCGGCTCGGTGTGCGGTGACCAAGTCAGTGCCTGTCTTGCGAGAGAAAATGTGGGGTTGAGGGTCTCGCCGCCGTTCTCGCCGTTATCGTATCAGGGCTAGGAGATTAGTCAATGGTGCGGAGTAGAGGCATGGTGGGATAGCTTTTCTATGAGGGGTAAAATTATAGGGTTAGGCTGGAAGAATGGTAGGAATACGGAGTACGAGGAGTAAAGTCTATATGTGCCTCAAAGGGGCAGGTAATTGTAGATTCCAGGGCGTAATATTCACATACTAGTATAGTATAATCAGGCCCAGACGCACCTCCACATGTGCTTACCCCGCATACCCCTCCATCTCTCGTAAAAATATATCTTCAACCCCTCACGCTCACATCCTTCTCCTAACATCCCCATACCCTCAAATCTTTATACCCTCGTATTCCCCTACACACCCGCTACTACCACATCACCGCCACCACAATGGCCGACCCCACCTCCCTCCCCCTCACCCGCGCCTCCGTCCTCTCCGCCCACACCCTCATAACGCCCTTCATCCACCGCACCCCCGTGCTCACCTCGACCTACCTCTCCCAGCTCGCCTCCACCCCTCGCGCCGCCGCCGAGCTCGAAGGCACACCCTGGGCTGGGCAAACGCCCGCGAACCCAAAGATCAGATTCTGGTTCAAGTGCGAGAATTTCCAGAAGGTGGGTGCGTTCAAGGCGAGAGGCGCGTTTCATGCGCTGCTGAGGCTGGTGGAGAGTGAAGGGTGGGAGGAGGGGGGAGGGAGGGAGAGGGGGGTGGTTACGCATAGTAGTGGTGAGTTCTTCTTCTTCTTCGTCCAGTCTCTGGAGGATATAAAGCAATTGCTGATTCAATTACCAAACAGGCAACCACGCCCAAGCCGTCTCCCTCGCCTCCGCAACCCTCAAAATCCCCTCCCACATCGTCATGCCCCGCATCAGCACCCCCGCCAAAATCGCCGCCACCCAATCCTACGGCGCCCGCGTCCTCTTCAGCGGCTCCACCGCCCCCGAGCGCGAAGCCGTCGTCGCCGAAGTAATCACCGAGACAGGCGCTACACTTATCCCTCCCTACGACCATCCGCATGTGATGCTTGGACAGGGGACCGCGGGGTTGGAGTTACAAGAGCAGGTTTTGGAGGCGCAGAAGGAGATTGGGAGGAGCGGGGGGCTGAATGCGATTATCGCGCCTTGTGGGGGGGGGGGTTACTGAGTGGCACGGCGCTGAGTGCGGAGGGGACGGGGATTGTGGTTTTTGGCGCGGAACCGGAGTTTGAGGGCGCGGATGACTGTAAGAGGGGTCTTGCGGCCGGAAAACGGATCGAGGCGGTCAAATCATTAACGGTGGCTGATGGATTAAGGACACCCGTGGGAGCGTGGCCGTGGAAGGTGATCAGTGATAAGAAGCTGGTGAGGGGAGTGTATAGTGTTACTGAGGAGCAAATCAAGGCTACGCTGCGCTTGGTGCTGGAGAGGATGAAGGTGGTTGTTGAGCCGAGTTCGGTGGTGGGGTTGGCGGTTGCGTTGTGGAATGAGGATTTCAGGAGTGTCGTTGAGGCGGAGCAGGGACGGGAGGAGTGGGATTTGGGTGTTGTATTTACGGGTGGTAATGTGAATCTTGAGGGATTGGGGAAGTTATTTGAGGCGAAGTAAGGGGAGAGAAGTGTATCTCATCTATTTGTATTTGGGGATTGAGAACAACTCTGTGGCTCATATTACAACAATATCACATATTTATGCCCTATATACCAGGCATACATGCCCCTCACTACCACTCTACGCGAACGCGTACACAAATCCCACCCAACCCAGCATCGCGTCAACCGTGTATTTGTCGCCTCTTCATTATCTGCCTCTTCAGCCCCTTCACTCCTGCACGTACCTCGCCAGCAACAAACGACACGACCACAAATCATGTCCACCGATCTTGCAGTATCGAAGATTACACCCGGAGTTCTGGAGTTCGTCTACCTGCCATAATCAGACCGGAGTCGTTGGAGCTGACTAACATTATCCAGTGCAATCTTCAACGACCCCGAACGACGCGCCACAGACTTCCCAGTGCCAGTATGCCAGTGCGTCCAGATCAAGCCTCTGGCATCCCAAGGAAATGGAGCAGAGAGATATAGGGTGGTCCTCAGCGATACCAAGAACTTCGTACAGAGCATGCTCGCCACAGGTACGAGGGATGATGAACGTCGCCTGGCACACCAGCATCTAACAACAGTACAGGGGCCAACCACTTTATACACGACCAGAAGCTGAAGAAGGGTTCGCTGGTGCGCCTGAAGCAATTCCAGGCAAATGCCCTCAAGGGCAAGCGGTAAGTGAACCCCAGGTGTCCTTTGAATCGGACACTGACGTTTCTAGGATCTTGGTGATCATGGACATAGACGTTTTGGCCGAGTTTGGCGAGCCGGACAAGATCGGAGACCCCCAGGCGCTGAAGGTGAAGGACGAGGAGGAAGATGTGAAACCTGCCCCAGGCGCCGTATCAGGCGCTGGGTTTTACGGAAACAAGCCCGCTCAACAACCAGCACAGCAATCGCTCCCATCCCGGACCGGTCCTTCGAGCTCTGCCGGACAAGGGAACATATACCCAATCGAGACGTTATCACCATACGCACATAAATGGACCATCAAAGCTAGAGTATCAAACAAATCGGAGATCAGGACGTGGCACAAACAGAGCGGCGAAGGGAAGTTGTTCAGTGTCAACCTGCTGGACGAAAGCGGCGAGATCAAGGCTACGGGATTCAACGAGCAATGTGACCAGTTATACGACTTATTCCAAGAGGGTTCTGTGTATTACATCTCGTCGCCATGTCGGGTTCAGCTTGCAAAGAAACAGTTCACAAATCTCCCAAACGACTACGAGTTAACCTTTGATCGGGAGACTAAGGTTGAAAAGGCCGAGGATCAAGAGAACGTCCCGCAAGTCCGGTTCAACTTCACAGACATCGCAAGTCTACAAACGGTAGAGAAAGACACGACGATCGACGTCATTGGAGTGCTCAAGGAGGTCGCCGATGTCACCCAAATCGTGTCAAAATCTACCAGCAAACCATACGACAAGCGTGAGCTAACTCTCGTTGACGACAGTGACTTCTCTGTTCGTTTGACCATATGGGGAAAGACTGCGGTGTCTTTTGATGCTCAACCCGAATCGATTGTTGCGTTTAAAGGAGCCAAGGTCTCGGATTTTGGTGGGAGGAGCTTGAGCTTGCTTTCATCCGGCTCTATGACCGTTGACCCTGACATACAAGAGGCTCACAAACTTCGGGGCTGGTACGATACTCACGGACGCAGTAACACATTTGCGTCTCATTCTGGAATGGCGAGTGCTGGAGCTGCAGGAGGCCGCCAGGATCCCGTCATGACCGTTGCCAAGGTTTACGAGGACAGCCTGGGTATGTCAGAGTCGACTGACTACTTCTCTACCAAGGCAACGATCGTCTATATCAAGCAGGAGAATTTTGCCTATCCTGCTTGCTTAAGTGAGGGATGCAACAAGAAGGTTACAGACATGGGCGATGGCACATGGCGCTGCGAAAAGTGTGATATTACACACCCCAAGCCCGAGTACAGATATATCATGTCTCTCAACGTCAATGATCACACTGGCCAGCTCTGGCTGAGCTGTTTTGACGATGTTGGACGGCTGATTATGGGCATGTCTGCCGACCAGCTGATGGCTCTGAAGGATAGCGAGGACCCAGCTGCTGGGCGGGCATTCGAGGAGGCTAACTGCAAGACTATGTTGTTTAAGTGCCGCGCCAAGATGGACAGTTTCCAGGACCAACAACGGTAAGCACTCCCATCGTTGACTTTGTTTAGAAAATACTAATGGAGTAATATAGAGTACGTTATCAGGTCACCGCCGCAAGTCCCGTGAACTACTCACAGGAAGCACAGAAGCTGGCCGAACTGATTAAATTGTACAACATCTGATTATTACGAGCGTCAAATAGTCTGAGCTCTCATGTATTGTCGAGTTCAGGCTGCAAACAGCAGCTAAGGGGGGTTGCTATGGTCTGGACGGGGAATATCTATCTCACTGTAACGAAAATGAGTCGTATAGATGAATGGGATAAATATTATGTAATTTTTTGTTGTGGTCTCCTCATACTATTCATTAATCCGTGACCCCAGTTGTCATGATTCATAAGCTTCCACTTCGTCTGTACACCCACCCCCTATCCCCAATCTGGGCCTGATCTAGGCTACATTACAGCCATAAGATCTTCATCATCCGTGCCAACAATCCAACCCAGATCATCTCCACCATAGGCATCAGCATAACTAGCGCCCACCTGCTTCTTCTTCTGTTTACGGACCCACGTCAAATACTCCTTCTCGTGCGTAAGAAGATGGTCGGTGGCTTTGATATCTTCCACCATAATTTCGATGCGCCCCATGGCCTCAGCAAGTTCTCGTTCCACCACAGCTTCATCAGAGACCCGTTCTGTCGGGGCGAAACGGAGAAATGCAGGTTGGTCTCCCTGGGCGCCAACAAGAGTGCCGCGTAGTTCCCCTTGCGATATCATACTACTGACCAAGGCTTCCACGGCGCCTTGAGTCTCCAAACTGGCACCTGTCTCGGCACTCACGGTATTTTGAGCGATGTAAGAGACTGGAATCGTCTCGTACAGACTCGATAGCCTGCGTATCTGGTGCTTTTGATGGGCTCCCAGTACAACACGCATCAGACCAGCATTTCCGTCTCCACTCCAGATGTTCGTGCCCGCAGTAATCTCTGCGTTGAGTCTTGGAGCAGTTCCCGACTCAAACAAACTGGCCACCATGTCATAGGGTTTCCCGATGACATGGAACGCTTTGGCAGCATTGCTGTTTGTATTAGGGGGAAGGGTTGGGACCTTCCCAGTCAGAAGCACCTTCACCAATTTCCACTTTTTGTAAGTCTCCGCCATTATCTTGCTGACCGCAATTCCCCTGACCGGATATGTAATGACATTCTCAAGAGACTCCGCGGCGTTTTCCCACTGTTGTAGACCGATAAATATTGAGCCGCTGAAGGAGAAATATTCGAGGATATCTTGTGTACTTATTTTCTTGGTGAGGCCCGACTCTACCGTGAGGTACTCATGGGCCGTGAGACGAAGCGAGCAGGCATGTTTCGGGTGACGGCCAGTGGTTGGGATATATAAAATGTGCCGCTCGAGGATGGGAGCCGCACGAGTGTATTCCTGGGATTCAAGGGCCAGCCGGCTCAGAATAAGATGCGCCGATGTTAATGTTGACGCTCCTGGGTCCAGTCGCAGGATGGCGCTGGCGATAGGTGAAACGGCAGCTCCAGGCTGTAAAGGTATTAATAATCTATGTCACGAGTTTGATTGGGTTGGCACATACCTGTCCAAGATGACGAGCAAGCGCTGCCACAACTGTAATGATTTCTAATGTCTCTGACCCAATATATCTAACCTGTCTAGAATCGAATTTCTCCAGAAAGTGTACGATTTTCTCCCATAATGGCAACAACTCTTCAGGCGGAGTGTTTTGAGCCGATTTGGGGGCGCTCTGGACTTCGCTGACGCGGGCGAGAAGTGCAAACGCATATGGTATTGAATTCAGCGCCGGGTTGATAACCTGCAGGAAGTTAGTCAAGAGCAGTGAATTATAGCGGTGGGAGCCTCACATTAAGAATATCTTCACCGCCAGAGGTCGTCTGGAGAAGTGTTTTTGCGGGAAGCTTCTTGATGCTTTTGACTTGCGACTTTATGATCTGGTCATAGTGTTCGTCGGACAGTGGCTGAAGGGGCGGCGGATGAACTGGAAAGGATAGCAATGATGGCAGTAGTTTATCCATCTCCGTCTGTAGGGTGAGTTACTGTCAAGCCGTGACGTTGTGGGTTCGATACGTTGTGAGGTGAACGTCAGATTTGTAGTCCAGGCGCCCACGCGATAGCTTCTTTAGCAATACGCCTTACCCACCATCAAGAGACTGCCTAATGGAGAAGCTGTGTAGAGGTCCTGCAAGCACTACCAGTGCGCAAGAGGCGTCAGAGACCGTGCTGCCAAAAGTGGATGGGCAGTAGTGTAAGTCCTCTACCGTGAATTAGAAAACGTGAATCAGAAAACGTTATGTCCTGTGATAGCTAACTTATCGTGTTGTAACTTACCTTCAAGGCGGCGCGACATCCGGGCTGGTTACGGAGCCATGGTTTTTCCGCGACTTCAGGTACCAATCGGATTGTATCTCGGATTGATCTCGGATTGTGTTTTTACTCAATCCATCTCTCACAAATGACTCTTATAAAATTATAAATCAAGCAATCAAGCTTTTCCACCTTCAACTGCAAACTTCGATCAGTTGATCCCTCTATATCCCGATTTTATTTAGCGACGACATTGCCCGTCCTCCCCCAGCCTACAGCAACGAAAGCTGTTCTCTCGAATTCGCCCCGCCATCTCGAATCCAAGTCCGAGCTTATTTATACCCCTCACTCAATGTCTCTCTCCAACGCCCAACCCGTCGACGCCGGCAAGGCCGCCAAAACAGCATCCCACACCCTCGCAACCCTCTCCTCGAGCGCCCGAAACGATGCGCTCACCGCAATCCACAGCGCGCTCTCCCAATCCAAGGACGAGATCCTGGTTGCGAATGCGCGCGACCTGACAGCCGCCAGGCAGGCGGCCGAGGACGGGTCGCTGAGCGCGAGTATTGTGTCGAGGCTGGACCTGGGAAAACCGGGAAAGTGGGAGGATATGCTGAAGGGGATACTGGATGTGCGTGGACTGGAAGATCCAGGTAACTAAATGCTGTCCCTGCATTTAAATGTGATATATGCTAAGAAGCGCCTTTTATAGTTGGAAAGGTCACCCTCCGCACCCGTCTAGATGACGGCTTAGACCTCGAGAGAGTTACCTGCCCCATCGGCGTCCTCCTAATCATCTTCGAGGCACGCCCAGAGGTCATCGCAAACATCGCCGCCCTGGCAATCAAGTCCGGCAACGCAGCCATCCTAAAAGGTACGTACGCCCCGTCCGACATTCCCCGAGACCCAGGCTGACTAGGTTGTTGCTGCAGGAGGCAAGGAATCCACCGAGTCCTTCGTCGCCATCTCAACCGTAATCTCCAGCGCCCTCTCCACCACCGCCGTCCCCAACGACGCCATTCAGCTCATCAAAACCCGCGATGTGATCCCCCAACTCCTTGCGCTGGACCAGTACATCGACCTTGTCATCCCGCGGGGCTCCAACGAGCTCGTCCGCTACGTCAAGTCGTCGACTAAGATCCCCGTCCTCGGTCACGCGGACGGAATATGCTCGATCTTCCTCGAGCAGAGCGCCAACCAAGATCTAGCCACGAGAGTCATCGTCGATTCCAAAACCACATACCCCGCCGCATGCAACAGCGCCGAGACCCTCCTCGTCGAATCCGCTGCCCTAGGACTCCTCCCGCAGGTCGCAGAGGCACTACTTGCGAAGGGCGTCACCTTGCGCTGCGACGCGGAGAGCAAGAAAGTCCTCGACGACAAACTGCCCGCGAACGAGTCGATCCAGGCTTCCGAGCCCGTGGATTACGATACCGAGCATCTATCCCTCAAGCTCGCCATCAAGACGGTAGACTCCACCGAGGCAGCGATAACACACATCAACACGCACGGATCCCACCACACCGACGCGATCCTAACCTCCTCCTCAGAGCTAGCAGAGCGCTTCATGGCGGCCGTGGACTCAGCGGGTGTATTCTGGAATACCTCCACACGGATGGCGGACGGTACGCGCGTCGGGTTCGGCACAGAGGTGGGCGTGAGCACGAATAAAATACATGCTCGGGGTCCCGTCGGACTCGAGGGGTTGATGATCTATAAGTACAAGCTGCGCGGGCAGGGCCATATCACAGCCGAGTATGGGGAGGGGGAACGCCAGAAGAGGTGGAAGCATGAGCGGTTGCCTATATAGATGAGAAAGAGGACGAATGAAAGCGAAGACACATAAGCGTGAGAGGTTAGTTGTACATATAGATGAGAAATGAAGAGAATTGAGAAAGAGGAGGAATGAAAGCGAAGACACATAAGCGTGAGAGGTTAGTTGCACATATAGATGAGAAATGAAGAGAATTGAGAAAGAGGCGTGGGATTCATTGCTGTTCCACTACCCTATCTATACATGCTTGACCCGTTAATCCCATATTCTACGTTAATACTCCTACCCCCAAGAAACTTAATAACAATTTATCCCCCACACCCAGCCTTAATCCCGTCCCTTATAACTCCCCATCCGTTCAATCGACCCCATAATCCCACTCCTCCCCCCCAACCCACTCCCCGGCCTCGCCTGCCCACTCCCACTCCTCGCCCTATCCCCCGCCCCAGCACCACCGCCGGGGGGTCTAATCTTCCCCTCCCCCGCCGCCCCCGCACTATAATTCGGCGCCCTCAGCCCCGACGCCCTTGAAATACTCCCCCGCAAATTCTCCACCCCACTGTTCACCGCCGGCCCCCTCACCGACGCACTCGCTTCCTGCAACGCAAGCAGCTCATCACACGCCGCGACCAGCTCCCCCTTCTCAATCCTCTCCTGCTGCAGCTCCTCGCGCAACCCCGCGTTATCAGCCTTGAAACTCTGCACCTCCTGCGCCAACCCCTCAAGCCGCGCCTCCAGCTCCTTCGCAATCTGCGCATCCATCGCCGCCTGCGCGCGCAGCTCCTCCGTGACGTCGTTCACAGGCATGCGCGGCACGACACCGCTCATCGTAGCGTCGCGCCCAAGTCTAAGATGATCATTCTCGTGGCCAAGGTCCTCAACCTTAGCTTCGAGCTCCTTAACCCTCCTATCCCATCGTCCCTCATAACTCTTCTTCAGCGCCGCCACCTTGGTCTCATGCTTACTCTTATACAGCGCATGCAACTCCCTCGCCACCTTCTCGACCGCAAATTCCACCTCATGCGCCGCGCTCGCCCCCGCCGCCCTCCTCGCCGCCCCCTCCCCCGGCGACCCCGGCCCCGCCGCGCTCTGCGCAGCCACAGCGCGCATACCAGCCATCTTCGACTCCGCCTCCTGCGCCATTCCCTCCGCCGCCTCACGCCGCTTCTCACTCTCATCCAGCCGCCCCTCCAGATCCTCGCGCTCCCGCTCCGCATGCACAATCTCCTCCTTCACATTGCGCAGCACGCCCTCCATCTCCCGTCCCCTCTTCTCCCACGCCTCCTTCTCCGCCTCCAGCTGCTCGCGCGCCGCGCGCTCGTCGCGGAGCATCTCCATCCCGTCGCCTGCGCGCTTCTCCGCGTCGCCGATCGCCGATTTCAGAAAGACGACTTCGGCTTCCTTCCCGCTTAGCGAGGCTTTCAGACTGCTTATCTCGGAGAGCAGGGCGGATTTCAGACCTTCTACCTCGCGGGGGGTGACGGAGGGCATGCTCCGCGGGGTCGGGGCGGGGGGGATGTCGAAGTCGAGGAGGTTCGACATGCGTGTTGAGGAGGGGACTTGGAAGCTGCGGTGTTTGCTGGGGGAGGGTGTGCGCGCGCTGCTGCTTGTGTAGGAGGTTTGATTCCTCAAAGGGGACTCGTAGCTGTGGCGCGCGCTGCTGAAGTTGTTGAACTGCTCGGTGAAATCGATGATATTCGTAGTGTCGTGCTGCTCGCGGCGCGGCGTCGGCGAGGATTCCTCCTGGAGCATTGGTCGACGGAGCGTTGCGGGCGTGTAGGAGGCCAGGTTGGGGGGCGCGCGCGAGGAGAGCGATTTGGTGGGCGTGTGCCCGATTTGTGCGTACGTCGTCATGTCGGGGACGGCGGAGAAGGCGCTGAATGCAGTTTCGTCCGCAAATCCCTCGTCGTCGCCGCCATTGCGCGTCAGGACCGTATCATCGAAGCCGGATTCGGCATCGGCGTAGTCGTCGCCCGTGCCGTCGCCGCTGTCTTCGTCCTCGAGTATCTGGATCGCTTTCGTGAGGCCCTCGTTGTCGCGCAGCACGTCGTTGATGGTCAGGGTCGTCTCCTGGATTTGCCTAGGCGCAGGTTGAGGCTGGGGTTGGGGTTTCGTTTCTTGTGTGGGCGAGAGCGCGATCTTGACGGGGAAGCGGCGGTCTGGCGAGGAGATCTTGCGCGGACTCCTTTGGGATGGTGTGCTTGCGTCTGACTGGATCGAGCGGATCTTGAGCATCTTCAGGGGAGACACCACGCTATTGCGATTCGCGGGCGTCGGCGACGGCGATGAGGCCTCCTGCTTCGCGGGTGGGATGTTTTCGGACTGGTTGCCGTTTGTCATGAAGGGCGAGCTGGGTGGCCCTTCGGACAGGTCCGCCTCAGGGTCTTGGTACATATTTGTTGACATGTGCTGTTTGAGCGGTGATGTCGACGTGTTCATTGCGGTGTTGGACTTCGCGGAGAGGGGTTGCGCCATCCTCCGAGTGCCGGCCTATCGGGAATACAAATGTCTTTCGCCCTTTTGCTGTGGATTTGCGCGTGTCACTGGTGCTGGTAGCTTACGCTGACTCCATGGGAGCGGTCGCGGAGGTGGTTATCAGTGAATAAAGTTGGGTTGTGTTGATGCCAAGTAGTCGCCCTGGTAACCGACGCAAAAAAGGCCAGAGCCGCCATCTTCTCAACGGGTTTGACAAAGACTTTGACTTATTTAAGGCGCGACTAGTTTTACATGATCTCAGCATGCAGCTCGAATGTTTAAGAAATACTCTAATATAGTGCCTGTGCACCTCTCTTTTTTACAGTAGCTATATATCTGCTATATCGGGAAAGAGTCGGCGAGGTGAGTCTTGTGTCTGTCTCGTCTGTCGTTATCGGCGGGAACCGAAACATTTTAAACGTGGACAGAGGAACGAACGACGAAAATCAGAAGGGACTCTGATACGCGTACCTTGCTGGAGGAGGCGGGCGGCGGTGCAGTAGAGGGGGAGTACAGCATGTGCTCTTTAGTACCGACAGACGCCTGATCCGCAGTGGCAGTTGCTAGAGGATGTACGCTCATGCCAGTGATGCGTATCCGCTAAACTTCCCGCACCGTACGGACCGTTGCAAGGGGAAGAAAGAAAGTTATAGCACAGCTACTGGTAAGTGTTAGGAGCGGCTAGAGTACGGCTAGAGTACGGCTAGGGTACGGCTAGAGTATGGCAATAGTACAGCTAGAGTATGGCAATAGTACAGCTAGAGTACAGCTAGAGTACAGCTAGAGTACAGCTAGAGTATAGCAATAGTACAGCAATAGTATAGCAATAGTATAGCAATAGTATAGCAATAGTATAGCAATAGTACAGCAATAGTACAGTAATAGTACAGTAATAGTACAGCAATAGTACAGTAATAGTACAGCAATAGTACAGCAATAGTACAGCCACGCTACAGCACAGCACGGCTACAGCCTACAGACAGAGCCGCCGTCATCGTTCGGGATGTCTCGGCGGGGAATAATAACTTTGCTTTGGTAATGTGTGTGCAGATGCAAGGCATACATTAGCATTTGGAACGACAAGCGTTTAGCCAGGACGGGAGACGGGAGGACTGGGGATCTGAGTTTTGGGGGGGGGGGGTATGATATGGGGAAGGGGGATCTGAGTTGGGGGGGGGTGGTTTGGGGAAGGGGGGGGGAAGGGGGAAGGAGTGGAAGTGGGAGGGGTGGTTTGATGGAAAGGGGTCGGGGCAGGCTGTCTCAACTCTGTACTCCGGATACTGTCGCTCTGTTACTCTGCGAGATGCAGCCATGGAGACAGGCATGCTGCATCCCCTATCTCCTAGGAAGCGCAGGCTTTGAGTTCCTTGATACAGGGCTAGACTGGGTTGGGAAGGGGCAGGGTGCAAGTAGCCGTGCAAGCACAGCGATTTTGTGATTTTGTGATTTTGTGATTTTGTGATTTTGTGTGGAGTATACATGGGACACAGCATATTTTATATGTACAGATGGATAAGCATAGTACAGACGTCTAGAGGGGTGATGTGCACTAATATGTACAGAAGAGTCGAGACAGTTCAGACGAGACGACTGGTCTCGGAGTGCATTTGCTGTAAAGAGCAAGTGGGAGACGATCAAGATCACCATCACCATACCATCAAGATCACCATCAAGATCACCATCAAGATCACCATCAAGATCACCATCAAGATCACCATCAAGATCACCATCACCATCACCATCACCATCAAGATCACCATCATCACATCACCATCACCATCACATCACCATCACCATCTGGGGCGTAGTCGAGTACGGGGTCAAGGGATTGGGTATGGGCGAAAGGTGAGTTGAGTGTCTGATGGGCCGGATAAGGGAGGACCGAAGTAATGAGGCTAGGAGGAGCAAGGAGCAAGGCAGAGTTGAATTGCGACACGTATGAGCCGAGCACATGACAGAGTGACAGAGTGACAGAATAACAACATGACAGAATAACAACATGAGAGAATGACAGAATGACAGAATGACAGAATGACAGAATGACAGAATGATAGAGTAGAGTATACATGTACTACAGGTTGCATACATACAAACCTACGACTGTTCCTCTCTCCTCTCTTCCTCTCTCCTCTCTTCCTCTCTCCTCTCTCCTCTCCGCCTCTCTCCTCTCCGCCTCTCTCCTGTCCGCCTCCCCGCCTCTCCTCCTCCGCCTTTCAACCGTAGTACTGCGTAAGTACCATGTATGCGTGGTGCGTGGTGCGTTGTGCGTTGTGCGTTGTGCTGTGCGTTGTGCGTTGTGCTGTGCGTTGTGCGTTGTGCTGTGCGTTGTGCGTTGTGCTGTGCGTTGTGCGTTGTGCTGTGCGTTGTGCGTTGTGCTGTGCGTTGTGCGTTGTGCATCTTCTAGTAGTAGCTAGTTCCCGGAGTGCAGGTGCAGATGCCGCGCCGCGCAGCGCAGTGCAGTGCAGTGCAGCCGTCCGTAGTCTGCCCGTAGAGCCATCCAAGCTTTCTAGGGGACGCGCACGATTTGATGGTACGGTGTGCGTTGTGTGTAGTGTTGTACTCGTACTGTATGTGTGTACTGTATGTGTGTACTGTACTGTACTTTGTACTGTACTGTTGTACTGTATGTGTACTGTACTGTTATACTATATGTGTGTACTGTACTGTTATACTGTATGTGTGTACTGTACTGTATGTGTGTACTGTACTGTATGTGTGTACTGTACTGTTGTACTGGATGTGTGTACTGTACTGTATGTGTGTACTTGGTACTTGGTACTCGACTACTGTTACTGTACGTGGGACGGGTGGATGGAGGGACAGGGGAACTTGGGTGATGGGTGGACGGGGATGGACGACGGGGGAAATGGGGAAATGGGGAAATGGGGAAATGGGGAAATGGGGAAATGGGGAAATGGGGGAGGGGAAACGGGGTTAGGGGAGAAGATGGGGAGGGGAGGGTACGGAGTACTCTAGTAGTAGACGACCAGATAAGAGTACGTACCCGACCTTGTGTGTGGTGTGTACTTCTAATCGACCAATGACAGGCAACCACGTCTGTGCTGCCCGCTCCTCTCGGGGCCATCCTTAGTCTGTATGTGTCTGGCTGGAAGTTCGGTAGGAACAAAACACTATGGAGTCGGGGAGGAGGAAAGAAAGATACACTCAAAACCAAACTGCCAGACATGGTTCTCTCACCATAGTTACTATACTCTATCTACCTATCTACTCTACCCTTCTCTGCCCTACTCTCCCTTACTCGGCCTCCCAGCCTCCCAGCATCCCAGCATCCCAGCCTCTCAGCCTCTCAGCCTTCGCTTCTCATGTTGGCCCTCCTCCTCTCCCCATCACCTCCCCCCATCATTTCTCCCTCTCCCTCTCCCTCTCCCTCTCCCTCCTCCCTCCCCTCTCTACCCGCCCTCTCTACCCGCCGCTCCCCAGCCCCTCCAATTGGAAATGGCCCCCTTCATTGGACGATCGACCCCTTGTCGGTTCTTATTGCCACGCCACACACAACACACAGCCGACCGCGAACGCGCCAAAGGTACTGTACCAGCTGTACCTGCTCGACTGGCCAAAAGTACCGCGCTAAAACTAAAAGATACCCCGGCGCCAGTACGATTAGTGTCCTACCCCATACTACCCTCATTCCCTCTGCCCCAACCGCCAATCACGCACGGTCAGACCCGCTATTCTCAACCATACCGGCGCTAAAGACAGAGCAGGGCACTCGTCAAAAGTCAAAAGTACTCGGAAGGGTACTTCGCCTGGAACCATCTGCTATTTTCACGCCCCGCCCCCCTCCCCAGCTTCACCCCATCCAGTCCTCTTCCGCCCACCACCACTCCCACCAAATACTCACCAAACACTCTCCTATAAGCTAACAACACAACACCACCAACCAACTCGCTTAGTCATCATCAAAGGTAAAACGAAACCCTTCGCTTCCCCCACCACCTAACCAATTGACACCATACAACACCAACTGTGAACTGTAAAAAAGGACTCAGATTCTTACTCTTAATCCCACCCCCCCATCATATCCCTTCCCCTGCCCCTTCCCCTGCCCCTTCCAGTGGTGGTGGTGGTGGCTTGTGTGGTAGAGTATACATAGTATTCTACTTTTGTAAGTTACTGTACTCTCTCTAATTACCTACTACCCTACTACCCTACTACCCTACTACTCTACTACTCTACTAACTCTACTAAAACCACTCTACTCTACTCTACTCTACTCTACTAAAACCACTCTACTCTACTCTACCCTACCCTACTCTACTACCAACCTCTACTACCAACCTCCTCCTCTCTTCCTCTTCCTCATCCTCCTCCTCCCACTCACCCCCCCCTTCCCCCCCCAAATCCCTACCCCCCCCCCCTCCCCCACTCCTCTAATCCTCCCAAAACCCTGCCCACGTCCTTGCACCTCCGTTCCGCGTGCTGTACAGCACTCTTGCCGTAGCGAGCACAGCTCTACTCCCTCTCCACTCCCCGCCCAACCACTCACAATTCCCGAACTCTGCTGTCGCTAATGCTCTTGCTATGACCTGTATACTTACCAACGTAAACCTCCATACCCCGTTACTACATCCCAACATCCACTTGCATTTGCATCTTCAACCTCTTCTTCAAAACTCTTTCTTAACCTCCTCCTCCCTCCCTCTACCCTCTTCCCCCTCTCCCCCTCCCCTCGCGTCGTCTCCCCTCCGTCGCCAAAACCGAATTCTATTCCCCCATCGCTGTATCTATCTGGAGAGGTGTTGGCCCCGATCAGGTACGTCTTGGGCAAATCTCATCTCGGCTGCTGTCGCCAATTCTCCTCGCGCGTCTTTGTCCTCCCAGTCTCACCATCAAGACATACATTGCGCGTGCATTCGACGGCCGCTGACTCTTTTTTTCTTATGTTAGAGAGTGGTGGAGGACATCGTCATCTTCACACAACAAATATTCTTCGAGGAGCTCTACGAGTCTCCAGGTGGTACTACTCCTACTACGCCGCTGCTACTGCTGCTTGGTTCACTTGCTACGTTCACGCTCAAACGACCTTAACGACCTTACGAGCTCTTCCTCGGCCACATAAACGCCTACGCGCCCCAGGACCCTCGCCGCCAAAATATCACGTCCCAGACTGCCTCAATTGGCAAGAGTACAGCAGCCCCCCCCCCCCCAACGACTCTTAACGAACTCTACGATATACACGTTCTGCTCTTTGAATATTCCCCCGCATTAACGAATACCAACTTGCGATATCCATCTTCTTTTACCTTGCAGCGAGCATAGAAGCATCATCACAACTCCCCCACACGTTCCCACAAAACTTTACCTCATAGTTCTTCTCTCCAGCCTTCTTCCCCAAGTTGGCTCTAGCTGTGCTCGTCCGCTTCCTGCAAACGGCGCCAAGTTTGTCACGTAAACATAACCCTTCCCGCCTACACGCACTTGGCAGCTGCGTTTCCAATCGCCAACGGATCGCGCGTCTCTTAGCTATATCAGGACCAGCCTACCGAAAAGCTGGATTTTCCGTCTCTCTCCCACGCCTCAACCTGGGGACCGAGCAACATTCCGCCCTACAGCCTGCAGTCTTTCCAGCGGTCGTCGCATGCGAATGAGAGGTTGCCGTCGTTGCCATTGCCACAGCCGCAAGTGGCCTATTCGTCCAGTGCCTCATCCCCTCGGTTTGGCTCCACGTCGTCAGCATACACCAATAGCACCGCAGACACGTCGTACTCCGCTGACTTAAACGGCGCGAAATCTCAATCTCCCACTCTGCAAGCTAGTGGAGGCCTCCAAACACTGTCGCATCAGACACCGGCGAGCAATTCTGCTACTGGATATCAGTACAGCCCAGAGTCATACAACAATATGAACCAGGCGCCTCCTGATATGTATTACTCCACACATATGTCGGCCGGACAGGCCCCAGCACCGCAGACCGTGACATCTGGTGGCCTGGGTCATTACCCACACCACCAGCAACCGCCGTCGCTTCAGCCCGTGCCGGGGCAGTACTCCGCCGCGCCGGGGTCTTATGGACAGTATGGATATTCTAATGGCCTCACATCACCTCAGCAATCGGGGCAGGTCTCAGGCTCCTTAGGGTCACAACCGAATGTCCTGTCGCTGCCGTCATTAACTGCAGCGCAGCCAGTCATGCACGGGCAAGGATATCCTCAACAGCAGCAGCAGCCGTTCGATTCGACCGGCCAAATCGCTCCTCCTGGCATGAAACCCAGGGTGACGGCGACGCTTTGGGAGGATGAAGGAAGTCTCTGCTTCCAGGTAGAGGCCAAGGGCATCTGTGTTGCGAGGAGAGAAGATAACCACATGATTAACGGAACCAAGCTTTTGAACGTCGCGGGCATGACTCGAGGACGCCGAGATGGTATATTAAAAAGTGAGAAGATGAGACACGTGGTCAAGATTGGGCCGATGCACCTCAAGGGCGTCTGGATACCGTTTGAACGCGCTCTGGATTTCGCCAACAAGGAGAAGATCACAGAGCTGCTGTACCCCCTCTTTGTCCACAACATCGGCGCGCTCCTCTACCACCCGACAAACCAGTCGAGGTCACACAGTGTCATGGCTGCGGCCGATCGCCGAAAGCAGGAGCAAAACCAGATGCGAAACCCGCAAGCTCCCGGCCTGCCTTCCATGCAGTCACATCATCACCACTCGATGCATAACTCTGGAGGTGGCTCTCTGCCAGGCCCGCAACACTCCGTCTCGGGGCACTCGGGGATTGGTGGCCGCTCAGATATCCAGCGCTCGCATACGTTTCCAACTCCCCCGACCAGCGCCTCGAGCGTGATGGGAAACCTGGGGACTTCTGATGGCTCATTCCAGTGGGGTGGACAGAATCTAAATGGCGTTCAAGGGTCCAACCCGCTCGCGATTGATACTGGGTTGAGTAACGCCCGTTCGATGCCCACAACTCCTGCTACGACGCCCCCGGGAACCTCCATTCAAAACATGCAACAGTACCAGCAAACATCGCAATCATACGACACGTCCAGACAGCAAATGTACTCTGCGCCGCCTCTGCAACAGGGTGCGTATCCTCAACCGAATGGCGCTCAGACGAACATGGGCCGGTACAATCAGACTGGTGCGTACATCAAGAATGAGATGGGTCCGCCTTCAGGGCGTGCGCCAGGGTCCGTGTCGGATGGCGAGCACCACGATACGAAGCTCCCCAATGGTCTCATCCACCACAGCCAAGGCAATGATCAAGTGAGCCACTCTCAGCCAGAAGAAGAGGCGGAACACGATGGGGACTACGCCCATGATAACGCCGCCGCCTACGATGCGAACCGGGGCTCGTACAATTACGCGCCTGGTCCTCCAGTCGGTTCCATCACAGGCGAGCACGCCCATATCTCCCCAGAGTTGACAGGCTCGCCGAACCACAACAGCGGATCTGGCCATGTAACACCGCGCACCGCCACGACCTCTCAGGCCTACTATTCCCAACACCAGGGCGGATATAGCACTCCTCCACGAGCCCAGCCGCCGTCGAGTAATCTGTATAATGTAATGAGCAGCGAACGAGGCACCGCCAATGGAAGCTCAACTAATGAAATGTACGGCAACCAGTCAGACTTGGGTAATCCATTAACAAACGGATTTGTAGGCCAGCCCCTTACCAACGGCGCCACGCCGAGCAATAAGAGGGGCCGCGACGACGATGACGACCAACGGCCCTCGAGCCGCGATGCGGGAGGAGAGACCGATGGCTTGAAGAGGAGGAGAACCATCCGCGAAGACTCGGCGCATAATCTCAACTACGACGCGCCCCTCAACCGCGCTCGCGCGACGATCTCCCAGCGTCGACGATGATGCAATCAATGAATGACTTGACGCAGCAGTACTTCCGTACTATAGATGTTGGCGATTTTGTACCCTTTTTTTTAACTCTTTGGCATAGCAACGGCATCTCAGCACCCCTCTCTCCACCACCAAAAAAATACACCTAAAAAAACCTCTTCAACGTCCTGATGGCAAAGAAACAGTTGGCCAAAAAGACCGCTTTTCTCGTCCATCAATGACACAAACACTACACTCATTCGAACAATCTTTTTCCTTGGGACGTCTTTAACGAAAGTGTGCCTTCGACCTTTTTACCTCCCCTTTGTGTGTTCTGTCCCTGCTCACGAAAAGGGGGGGTGCATACGCACCACACCCACACACGCACACGAAACACACCGATACCGAACCCTATTTTTTACGTTTTTGCCCCAAGTTAAGGAACGAAACACACCACACCCCACCGACCCTTTTTAACGACTATTGAAATTTTTGAGATGGGAAACATGAAATGAAATGGACGCACGCCCTATCCCCTCCCCCCAACGAAGAAAACGGGGGGAAGCCGGGGGGGGGAAATATCTTATTTTCATGATCTGGTTTTTTTTTACAGATATACAATGCGATGTTTGCTGGCTCGGGAAATTGGGAATGGGAAATGGGAATGGGATGGGACGGCTGTCCCGCGTCTTTGATGAAACCAGGCGTCGTGGACGGAGTTTCGAAATGAATCCCCCTCCCCCCCCCCAAAGTCTCCCCATACTACTCTAGCCTTCTGGGCTATGAGAGAAGTTTTTTTTTATGATGACATGATGAACCTATCTTGCTTTTTATGTTTTTTGCTTTTTGAAATTTTAACTTTTAAATGGGGGACTTTTTTTTATGTTGTTGGTTGATGCGTCTTGCGCTTGGTTGATAGAGTAGCCCATCGTTCGCGTTTTGTGGAATGATGTGATGAGGGGACAATCAAAAGCCTTTTTGTGTTGAACGTCTTGTTTTATGAGGACTATGTGATGTGACGTGACTCGTGATGTTGTTGTGCCCGGACGTCCCTTGCCCATGTTTGATTCCGGACAGAGTAGACGGGGTCTAGAGAGCCAGATTGAACTCGACTATAGCCAAGTCCTCCCATTCCATCCTCTGGCAGTATTGATAGCTTGCCCGCCGCCGCGAGGTAGATAGATGAACGGGCCTCTCCAAGAGGCTTAGCTTATCTCCCGATATTTCCAGCATCTATGGGGAAGGGAAACATGCATATTTCTACGTCAAAAACTCATAATGCCGTAGAAGATATCCCACGGCGAGGGCGGATGTTGGACATAAGCACCTGTCATACTGCCATGGCTACACCTGCTAACACCCCCGTCAGCACCAAAAGTATAGCCATGCACCGAAAATGAGAATACCATCACTGTCAATCAACAAAGTTAAAAATCAAAACCTATGCCACTACATCATTAACACATCCTAGCGCCGCTCAACCCATCCAAAGCTTAATCCCTACATATAAACCCCCCAATCCAATTCCCAAACAAAATACATGTTTTTCCCACATCATACAGGTATCACAAGTCTTCGGTTGGTCGTCGGGTAAAAGGAACAACCTCGGATCACGTGCACTTTTACGCGGTAACCCAGCCAGGTCTCACGACGTACCTTGTACTACAAAGATGGCACATTGTGCATCCCGAGCTTCAAGGCAGGGAAAGTGTTCGAACTCTCGTTTTGCTGCTGTGATCAATCATTGATTTCGCGTCTACGGGGTTTATGACATTATACGGACTATTTGGCATTCAAGCGTGTGCGAGAGTATAGCAAGAGCTTCGAAGGTAGGTTTGTGAGGTTATCCGTCGGTGCTGGTTGCACGTATGGTCTCTGTGTTGCCAATTGGGCTTTCTTACATAAAAGAGAGGGAGAGAGAGGCCCAGCAGCTTCAGTTCTAGCATTCCACACAGAGGAGAGAAGACTTTTAAGCACTCACTAACACATCAGCAGACTACCATCCCATCACCCACAATGCCTCCCCACGCCCAGGACGCCATCCAGCGTCGCTCCCTCACCGACCCCGAATCCTTCTGGAGCGAGCAAGCCTCCCAGCTTAGCTGGCACAAAAAGCCATCTCGAGCACTCACCCTCACGCAAAAGACTCTCAAATCCGGCAAATCACACGACCACTGGGAGTGGTTCGCCGGCGGCGAGATCTCCACCTGCTACAACTGCGTTGACCGCCACGTCGAGGCTGGGAACGGGGATAGCGTGGCGATTATATGGGAGAGTCCGGTGACGGGGGGGAGGACGACGTATACGTACAAGCAGTTGCTGGATGAGGTGGAGGTGTTTGCGGGGGTGTTGAGAGAGGAGGGGGTTAAGAGGGGGGATGTGGTGTTGTTATACAGTACGGCCTCCAGTTTCCTACCTATCAATTCCTCTCAATCCCCATCTTCAAATCAGAGGGAGAAGAGAGAGACCAAAACTAACACCAACCGCAGTGCCCATGATCCCCGCAACCCTCATCGGCACCCTCGCCATCTCCCGCCTCGGCGCCATCCATGCCATCGTCTTCGGCGGCTTCGCCCCCGCCGCCCTCGCGCAGCGCATCGAAGACTCCAAGCCCGTCGCCCTGCTCACCGCCTCGTGCGGCATCGACGGCTCCAAGCCCGCCGTGAGCTACACGCCCTTCGTGCGCCAGGCCATCGCTTTATCGTCTCACAAGCCGGGCAAGACGATAATCTGGCAGCGCGATCAGCTGCGTTGGAAACTCGATAAGATGGCGGGGGAGAGGAATTGGCAGAGGTCGGTTAGGAGTGCGAGGTTTAGGGGGGTGAAGGCGGGATGCGTGCCGGTTAAGTCGTCGGATGGGTTGTATATCATCTACACCTCTGGCACGACGGGGCTGCCCAAAGGTGTGTTGCGCGAAGCGGGCGGTCATGCGGTAGGCCTGCACCTATCCATCAGCTACGCCTTCGGCATCCGCGGACCAGGCGACGTGATGTTCTGCGCCTCTGACCTCGGCTGGGTGGTCGGGCACAGCTATATCCTCTACGCCCCGCTCCTAACCGGCGCCGCGACGGTGCTCTACGAAGGCAAACCCGTCGGCACCCCTGACGCCGGGGCATTCTGGCGGATCGTCGAAGAGCACAAAGTCAACACCCTCTTCACGGCCCCCACGGCGCTGCGGGCGATCAAGCGCGATGATCCCGAGAACGCGCGCTTCCGCGAGGTGGGGGAGAGGGGGGGGTTGAGGTCGCTCAATGCGCTGTTTTTGGCGGGTGAGAGGTCCGAGCCGAGTATCGTGACGATGTATCAGGGTCTGCTGAAGCAATATGCTGGCAAGGGGGCTGATGTGGTGGATAACTGGTGGTCCTCCGAGTCTGGGTCTCCCATCTCCGCCATTGCTACCTTTCCCAACTCGGGCACCGGGCGCAACGCGACGACGCGAGTTGCACCGCTGACTGTCAGGCCGGGGGGGGCGGGGAAAGCGATGCCGGGGTTTGATGTTAGGGTTGTTGATGATGAGGGGGTGGAGGTGAAGGAGAGGACGATGGGGAATATTGTGATGGCGTTGCCGTTGGCGCCGACGGCGTTTAGGACGTTGTGGGGGGATGAGGAGAGGTTCTATGAGGGGTATTTGGAGAGGTTTGGGGGGAGGTGGGTGGATACGGGGGATTCGGGGATGATGGATGGGGAGGGGTATGTTTATGTTATGTCGAGGTCGGATGATATTATCAATGTTGCTGCGCATCGGTTTAGTACTGGTAAGCCGTCTCGTCGCCGTCTGGTCGTTGTCTTGTCGTCTCGTTGGGGAAAGCGAGGGGACAGTCTGTATGAGAGAAAGGACGAAAGCTAACCAGCACAGGCACAATCGAACAAGCCATCTCCTCCTCCCCCCTCATCGCCGAATGCTGCGTCGTCGGCATCCCCGACTCCCTCAAAGGCCACCTCCCCTTCGCATTCATCACGCTCTCCACCCCCTCCCACCCCACGTCCGCGACTCCCTCCGCCGCCGTCTTCGCCGAGATTCAAGGGTTGGTACGTTCCCAGATCGGTGCCATCGCGAGCCTCGGGGGGGCGATCCAGGGGAAGAATATGATACCGAAGACGAGATCGGGAAAGACGCTGAGGAGGGTGCTGAGGGAGTTGCTGGAGAACGCGGTGCATGGCGAGTTTGACAAGGCGGTGAAGGTGCCGGCGACGGCGGAGGATGCGGGGGTGGTGGAGGTGGCGAGGAAGAGGATTAGGGAGTATTTTGAGGAGGGGGGGAGGGAGCAGAGGGCGGCGATTGAGGGGAGGGCGAAGTTGTAGGTGGAGGGTAGTTGGGGGAGGGGAGAAGATTGATCGAGTGGTCGTGGGGGAGGGGAGATGGCCGAACTACCTATCTCCAACCTTAGATACGCGTGAGGAGAGGAAGAATGTGATGATGAGGTCATATCAAAACAATTCCCCCCCCCACAGAAACGCGGATGGAGCCTTCTCCAAGACATGATCCGGTCGTAGCGAGACAAGACCATGCAAGTCGGAGCGGGCAGGGTGGTACTTTGCATATCTCCTCGTACCTCACTCCGGCCGGAACGCTCGCTGGGAAGGCTCGGAACCTGGGCCGGCATGATGGGGAGGTGGCATCCGCGTGGAAAAGCGGGACCTTTGGCGTCTGGGCGATCAAACAGGCATGTTTTGTCATGATGCATGCGGTGGGCCGCGGAAAATGGGCGATGAGGTATGTAGTGGTTTCGGGCAGTAGTTTCGCCACGACAAGGAAGGGGAAGGGAGGAAAGTTGGAGGACACAGGAGAGAGGGACTTGGAGGTCGTGTTTGTGTGATTATATGTGGACGGCTTGTATGGAGTGAGTGGGTTGGTGGGGGGGTGGGTGAAATAAGAGTAGGAGTATCGTATCTTGCGGATGGGTGGTGTAGATGGTGGTGTAGTGGTGTAGTGGGTGGTGTAGATGGATGGTGTAGATGGGTATGTATGGGGATGGTGGTGTAGATGGTGGTGTAGATGGGTGTAGTGGTGTAGATGGTGGTGTAGATGGGTGTAGTGGTGTAGTGGGTGGTGTAGATGGCTGTAGATGGCTGGTATATGGGGATGGTGGTGTAGATGGGTGGTGGGTGGTGTTGGCTGGTGTAGATGGCTGTAGATGGCTGTAGATGGCTGTAGATGGCTGTAGATGGCTGTAGTATCGTACCTTGCGGATGGGTGGTGTAGTGGGTGGTGTAGTGGGTGGTGATGATTTAGTGGGTGGTGTAGTGGGTGGTGATGATTTAGTGGGTGGTGTAGTGGGTGGTGTAGTGGGTGGTGATGATTTAGTGGGTGGTGTAGTGGGTGTAGATGGCTGGTGTAGATAGATGGCTGGTGATGATTGTGGCTGGCTGGTGTAGATGATTGTGGCTGGCTGGTGTAGATGGGCAGGTGGAAGGCGTGAGATAAGAAGATAAGGAAATCAATGCTGACTGGGGTGTCTGTGTGAAAAGTCTGATATGATGATGCCCCCCCCACTCCAAACCCGCCCTAGACCAACCAGGTGACAGCCACAACAACCCATCCAATCACCTCTCCCCCATCTGGCGCCCTACCTGAAATGAAATGTGGGGCCCGGACTAACGCGTTAGAGAATTGGTTGCTGAGTGGGAATTGGTCTTGCCGAGTGGGATTTGGTTTGGTCTTAGCGCCTGGGAATTGGACAGGGTATAGGGGTTGTACTAGTGGTGAGGTGCGTGGGAGGACTGGACTGGTGTGCGCTTTTGTGAGGGGAGGTACTGCCTTGGTAGTGTGACCTGGGACAACTTTAAGAGGAGAGGTCCTGCCTTGCTACTGTACCTTGGGACGACTTTAACAGAAGTACTGCCTTGGTAGTGTGACTTGGGACAACCTTAAGATTGCGTGGTCCCACTGCAAGTCACCACCGCATCCTACACCTCGTACCAATCCGTCTCGACGCGTCTTTCCCACCACACCCATCATCACCCCCCCATCCCATCCCCCCCCCGTCCCCCCAACCCACCCCCCCCCCCCCCACACCCAAATCCTTCAACACCGCCGCTCATCATTCCGTATAAGATCGTTTCCTCTCCCGACATTTTCAACTTCTTTTCCTTCCTTCCTCACCCAACACATTCCCTCACTCAAAACAACTCCAGACTTTTAGTCACTTACTTTCGTTTAACACACGCCCTCTCCAAAAACTCACCAGTAAACCATCTAATCAACCTTTTTTACTTTTATTTTTATTTTTTCAAAAAAAAAGTAAATTCACCCAATCTTTCAAGATGCAATTCTCCGCCGCCGCCGTCGCCGCTGCCCTCGTGGCCACCGTCGCTGCCCACAAGAACGTCACCTACGTCACTGAGGTCGTCACTGCTTACACCACCTACTGCCCGGCCGCCACCACCTTGACCTACAACGACAAGACCTACACCATCACTGAGGCCACCACCCTCACCATCACCGACTGCCCTTGCACCATCTCCAAGCCAGTCACCGTGACCCCAGTTGTCGTCTGCCACACCTGGTAAGCCTCCAAAAATACTACAATCCAGTTCGAAAGATCCCACCGCCCCCAAGCTAACAAACCCTCCCTCTACAGCTCCCAGCCAGCTGCCCCTACCTACGTCAACTCCACCACCCCCGTCGTCCCAGTCGTCCCAGTCGTCCCAGTCGTCCCAGTTGGCTCCGGGGTTCCTCAGCCAACCCAGCCTCCTTTCAAGGGCAGCGCCAACCGCGCCGTCGTCGGCTCCGCCGCTGGCCTTGCTGGTCTCCTCGGCCTCGCTGCTTACATCTTGTAAGTAGCTAGCTGCTGAGTTGAGGTGGAAAACTATCTTCTGAGAATCGGGAGACACTACGCACCTTCCTTCACGTGGACACGATGATCGGCACACTTTGCGAGTCGGGAGTTCATGAGATGGATTTTAATTTGATGAGGGGATCTGTGTGTGGTATTTGTGGAAGCGGTCGGGGGGATTAGATGAGAGGGATTTATTAATTCAAAGATGTGTCGGTGTGCATTGCTCTATGGAGACTCTTCATGTGTTCTCTACTTCATGGCCATAAACCTTTTACTTCTTTTTCTCGTGTGTGCAACCGCTTTTGATGGATTGGACGATATTTGGTGTGTGTGGGAGACTGGTTTTTACTTCTCTCTGGATGAGCTCGACCTTTTTTGGCATCTCGATAGATGGAAGGCTCATGCAAATATGAAACGTTTCGATATATTCTCTCTCGCCCTGTCTTGTATGTTTTGACATTCTGCCCGCCCCTTTCGACTTCACTTTCAAAACCTCACATTTTTCTGCTGTGGGCAGCATTTCCTTGGCTCTACCCACTTTCAAAACCTCACATTTTTCTTCTTGTCGGCAGCATTTCCTTGGCTCTACCCAGTTTCCTCACCACAGTACTCCATAACAATCTATATAATAGCCACTATCGAAAATACCCATCCCATCCCACCTCGTATCCCCAAACCCACGCGATACAAATCTCCACATAGACGGGTATTTCGTGGATGAATAGTGGGTTCTTTTACGCCCCGTCTGCGTTCCTTGGTTCCGTCCTTGTGTACAGCAGATTCGCCGCGGTGCCGCGGAGCCGGTGAGCCGCCCGCTTTTTTTCCTGTTACTACAGTACACAACTTTCCGCAATATGAAAAAGCAAAAACAGGGTTTTTTGGTACCGAGGACAACAGTACGGAGTACTGGTGGGTAAGATACCTGCAAACAACAACAATCGCAGTAACTGGCTGATGACTGGCTGATGACTGGCTGATAACTGGCTGATGACTGGCTGACCGACTGACCACACGGATATGCCCGGCTTGCTACATCCAATAAACCACTGCTTTCCCCCGTTCCATCGGAAACTGCCCCTTTCCCATTTTCCCGTCCTTTTGCGCCTCCGGCTGCACCGGCCGGGGCCCGGGGTGCGTCGGTCCCGTCTGTCACACAGCCAGTCAGTCAGTTGGATGGATTGGTTGGATTGGTGTTGGAGTCATCCGTCACGTCAGCGAGATTGATTGTCAGATTGTCCGCTTGGTAGGTACTGTACTGTCGTACGGAGCGCCAAGATGATGGTAGGGCCGAAGGGATACGGTAGGATCGTAGACCACGGGATATATGGGACGCACTCGGGAATTACCCATCATACCGTCCCGTCTGATCTGAGGCACGAGAGCTGATGGGGATGGATGCATGGGATGGATAAGTGGTGATGATGCATGGGCGTGCTCCTCGGCGCTGTGCTGGGCAGGGTGTGGCAGAGACTCAGACTCTGGATAAGGGCAAGCACAGAAAGCAAATCGAGGAACTAAAAGCAATGTTTCTACCCATCCAAAAGTTTTATATTCTCCGTCCTCTCCCCTTCCCCTCCCTATATAAAACTACATGTTTGTATACAAAAACAAAAAAGACTATCGAAAAATCGGGAAAGAGTACCCCCACAAACAAGCAAGGCGGCTCGCTCTTCTCTCTCTCCCGAAAATGAATGACAAGAATGGTATAATGCTCCGGCAAAAGGAACAATAACAAGGTCCCAGCCCCCTTTCCCCTTCCCTTTCCTCCAAAATTTTCGGTGTAAATAATGCGCCAGCAGTTGTTGTGTCTGCTGTCGGTGGCGGTTGGTCCCAACCCCCGAATTCTCCCTCTTCAAACCATTACCTCCCCAAAGGCCTTCGTCTCACGCCTCTCACGCCTCTAAAAGCCTCTAAACGGATCATCCCTTCCCCCCCCCTTCATCTCCTCCTCCCCTGCCGTCCTACTCCCCCCATACCAATCCTCCACATCCGCCGTCGCCCCATACGCCCCCCTCCCACGCCCATAATAACTATCCCTATTCCGAGTCCTCCTCCTCCTCTCATTACTCCTCCTCCTATTGGCCCCCGACCGCGTCGACCCGCCACCCATCCCCAGATCATCAATCTGGACCGGATAATCGTTATCGCTCCTCGGGAACGCGAGCGGGCTGATAAACGCCTCCATCCGCACCGTCCCGACCGCTTCGAAGAAGTTATTCACCACGGCGCCGGGGCGCGACGAGGCGTCGGAGGTCCGGATCGAGGTGCGGTTGGAGTTGTTGGACAGGCCGTTGGAGAAAGAAATACTATTCCCCCCCATGACGGAGCTGGAGCGCTGGGAAGCGGTGTAGATATCGCTCGACCCATTAGTCCCAACGCTCATCCCCGCCGTACTGCCCGCAGGCGCGTGCCCGTAATTGCTGAACCCCCCACCGCCGCCGCCATTACTGCTCCCGCCCGTCGACATGGCGCCACGCTCCGAGAAGCCGCGGAAGGATAAAGGCGGCGGGATGCGCGAGCCGGTGTTGCTGCGTTTGCGGCCGTGGCCAATACCGCTGATTAGCGCGCGGTCGGTGAAGCGCGGGACGATGGGCGGGTCAGCGGCGTCGGGGACGAAGCCATCACCGCCGTGTGGGGCGCCGATGTCTTTGACGCTGTGGTCAGTGGTGCTGGCGCCGCCGCGGGTGCTGGTGTCGGTTCGGATGCTGTATTCGCCGCGGTGGATGCTTGACTGGGCTGTTGTAGGACCGGATTGGGTGGCGAGGGTTGTGCGGCCCTTGGCGAGGCGGATGGAGTCGCGGATGGGATGTTTCTGGAGGCGCGCGCCGTTTTGGCGCAGGATGTCGAAGTTGCCGCTTTCGATTGGGGGTGGGTGAGGCGCCATCACTTCGGGGATGGCTTGGGAGGAGTGGGCGAGGAAGGAGAGGGCGGTTAGCCAGATGTAGTGGCGTTCTCGTGATGTTGCGGTGAATTTCAGGGCGCGTGCTGGGGTCAGGATGAGAATGGAGCGGTTGAAGAGGTTGTTAACGCCCTTTGGCGCCGCATTATCGTCCTTGACGTCCAAAACAGATTGGATCGTTACTGTAGGCTTCTTAGATATGAACATAGAAAGGAGTTGATATTGCTTACACTTGCGACCACTCTTCCCCATCAGAGCAGGCCCAGAAGTCGGCTGTCTGCTACTCCACATGACTGCTCTCTCGTACGGTGCAAGCCAAACCCAGCGCTTGTGACGAACGCCATTCGACGCATCACTATCCAAAGCGCCAGACTCTGGGACCCCAAACGACTTCCTCCTCCTGACATATTTGAACATCCACTCGCCGACCATCGTTTGGGCAATCGCATCAACCACGCTAGTGGCTTGAACAGAGCTGCCAGCAGATTGTTGGGTATTAACTGTATTCGCCGTGGTATTCGACGGCTGCTTCCTGTGCGTGCTGTATCCGTACGAGCTTCTGTTGTCGCGGTGCTCCATGTACGGCGATGTGATTTCGTTGTGCGGCATTGGCGGCAGCTGTGGGCTCTCTGGAGCTTCTGTCGACGGCGAAAACGGCGGCGGGGATCTGCTCCCACGACGTCGAGATCTGCCACCAACATGAGGCAGCGCGGCAGCAGAACGAACCTTGCGAATGCTATTGATCCGGTGATGTCCTCTACCGGATGAACGGCGAGACCACGGTTCCCGAGTCGGGCTCCTGCTGCCATCGCTAGGAGCACTCGCGCTGAACGGAGTCTTTCGGGAGCTTGCACGCCTCGGAATGGGGAATGGTGGTTCCTTGACAGTATCTGGCAGGCTAGGGCTGCGAGTACGGCCTTGGTGCGCAGCAATCCCATTGGATATAAGGGCAGCACGGCGCATTGTCGTCTGTTGAGGTCGAGCAGGCGGCATTACCAGGCTAAGTGGCTTATCGAATTGTCGGATAGTTCGCGTGACGGCCGACTTTGCGCCAGATGTATTCGAATTATCTCGCATTATCACCTCGCCGTTGGCATCGTAGCCCCCTTGTGCCGGTCGGGCTTGCTTTTTCACGTGGTTTGAGAAAGCCTCTTCAGCAGGCTCCTCATCCTCTGGAACAGATGTTGGCGCCATTGAGGTCCGCTTGCCTCTGTTGAGAGATTTCCTCGGTCTTGGAGCAGAGAGCGCTGTCCTGAAGTCGCTATCACTCAGATCACCATCGGCAAAGTCATCCGCGTCATCAGAGCTGACATTCTCGAAGCCAGCGAACAAGCTGCTAATGCGAGGGGGGCGTCTGATCCCCTTGTCAGTCGAAATAGGTCCATCATCATTGTTGCCCGGATACGAATCGTGTGTCTCGGCTGACATTGGCGGGGCAGGAGGCGACCGCATAGGAACTGGCGGCGACGAAGGCGGCTCTCCAATGCTCTGGTTGCTCTTCTTGCGTCGCGGGTTTCGAGGCGGCGGCACCACACCCGGTGTGAAAAAGCCAGCGGGCTGGGTTGACGGTTCAGGAGAAGGAGGGCATGATGATATTGATGAGGGCTGTAGGTGCACGGGAAGTAGATTTAATCGCTTATCAACTCTGATTTCCTCCGTTTGCACGGAAGCGGAGCTGTATGGAGCGGCTACCTGCATGGAGACTTGGCACGCAACGTCCTTAAAGTACTGTGGTAGCAGCGATTCTTTAGGAGTTGCTGGCCTTGACGTCGGTGGGTGTATTGAAATTGATGGGATTGTTGGGGGAACAGGGGGTGCCTTGACCACAAGCGCCCATTCACCTTCAGTCTGTGTCGAGATCGAGATCATACATTCCTTCTCCACCTCCGAGACAGAGGTCGGTGTCGTGGGCGTTCTCGGTGGGCTAAGTGGCTCATCAACGGTCTGGCACGCACTAGAGACCATTGCATCCGCTGCGTTGGGAGCGACTTGGGGAACAGGAGTACTCGCCCGGACGCGTTTGCGGCGTTGGTTGGCCTCCGTCTCTCCTCCTTGGCTATTGTCAACCTGTCTCAGTTGCGGGTCGGCCGCGGGATCTGGTAGTACAGCTGGGCTCGAGGCAGAGATAGATGGAGAGTACTGTGTGCTGGAATCAACATAGTCAGGCTTAATGAGTACCAAGGTTTCATCGCCTTCCGCAATGCGCCCTTCGAGCTTCTCCAATACCGACTGGTTAGCAAGAACTCGGCCGCGGACAACGCTACCAGGCCTCCTGACGCTTTCAATGCTCTGGGTATGTTTGTGGTTCCTTGATATCATACTATCGCGGCTGAGATTGCGCCTATGCGTTGTGGAAAGAACGCTTTCGGGCCCATGAGTGTTGGAGAGAACGCTCTCGTGCCCATCCGGATACATTTGCGACAGCTCATCGTCGTCTCCGAAATCGAGCTCGTCGGCAAGACTCATACCAATCAGCTTTGACCCGTTATTGGGGAGCATAGAGAAGCGGACACTGTTTGTCATGCTCATAGAGCGAACGCTGGCCGTGTCACTACCATGCCCTCCGAGCTCCTCGGCCTCGGACTCCTGCATAGGGTGGCTGGCTTGATACGCTGCAACCTCATCAAGGACGGTCTTTAGGCGTCCTTCAGCTACGTGGACCTTGCGTTCGAGTTTCCTACGCTCATCGTCCCACGAATCTTTGTCTTGCGCCCACAGGCTGTGAACCCTATCGGAATCCACCTCTTGCGCGCGAACCTTCTTCTGTGAAGCATCTAAACGTTTCTTGATGTCGGAAATACTTTCCACGGCCTCATCACGCTCTCTTGCCAGCTCCCCAAGCGCATTGGATGTTCCGCCTTCCAGGAGCGCTAGTTGGCGCTTCAAAGACCGGTTCTCCTTTGCATTGGTAGACAGAGAGAATGAGAGCTCCTCCACCTCGCCTTTCGACGCATGGAGAGTCTCTTCCAGCCCCTCAATGGCTCGTATCTTCTCCTCCTGGTCCCGTCTCAAATTGAGAATTTCCGCCACCAGGTTGGCATGAAGCGTAGGGGTGAAACGTCTCGGGTCGAGTATGGATATGTTTTCGTCCGTCGTCACGCCCCTCGACTCCCTCCGGTTGTGCATCTCTGCATGGGGTATGGGGCCCGGCGACGAAGCGTGCAGTGGCGATACGGACTTCTTCCGCCTTGAGCGTCGAGAGTGACGGGACGAGTTCCTACTGGGTGTGTCTACGGGCGTAGGCAACGGCCGCTGAGCAGCCGAAGCATACTCGTCGTCCGTCTCCCACGCGTTCATCTTGCCCGTCGGAGGGTTGCTAATGTCATTTGGTTCGTTTCGTTACGGCGTCGGTTCGCCGATCCGCACTGGTATGCTGGGTAGAAATCCGATGGCCAAGTCTGATAACTATATAACGCTGGAGAGAACTGGCGGGGTATGATTGGAAAGACGAACGAACTGCGTGCAACCGTTAGGGCGTGTGAACAGCATGAGAGTTTGGCATTCTGGGGAAACTGACGAGTCTACTCCGGATATCTTGAGGTCAAGATTGCCGACAAGGGGAAAAAGGGCAGTACAGCAATTGGCGGCTGAGAATAAGGAGATACTCAAAAACGAAGGGCTCCAGCAAATCGCAGATAGAAGGCGAGTGTAGGAATAAAAGCTCTCGAGTCAACTCGAGGTGAAGAATGGTCGGAAAAGTAGAAGGAAGCTGAGTCGAGTCGACTCAGCAGCGTTCGTTTTTGGTGGATTGTCGAGTTGTTAATGGTGGAGCGTAGGCGTTGTTGATTGAAGGGGAGTAGCCCAAGCTAGCCAGACGGGATTAGAAGGATGGGGGAAGGCGGGGGGAAGGGCGGGGGGGATGTGAGGAGGTAAGGTACAGGGAACGATTTAGGAAGTACCTCATGGTAGGGCAGTCGCAAGGCACACTAATTGGTAGATTCGCAAGTCGGCGGTGTTCCTGACCTGTCCCCGATGCTGTTTCCCCCTTATTCCTGCTCCAGTTGGCGTTGTTGTGTTCCACTTCCTGTTGCAGTTTGTGGATATTTCTTTTTTCCCATTCTCCAAATTAAGCAAATTAACCCAAGGTGGATGCGTTAGCGTGTTTGAGATGCATGCGACCTTAATGTGATTGTGACTGTGATTGACACGGACGATAATGTGCGGCCCTAAGAGAACCTAAGAGAACGGCGTACTGTACTGAGGAGTACAGCAGTTAACAGTTAGTCTACAGTATTATCTCGTTAAGTCGATACACGATTAGTCGATTTTCTGGATAACTCGATAACTTTCTTCGGATCCTTCCATTCGTCATACAAATCACGATACACACGATATTGAGTCCCTTTTCCCAATTAGCGACTTAAACTAATTACTGGACTACTCTTAGAATACCTTCAAAATGCCTTCGAAAAAGCTCTATTCTATGTCTCTCGAACAGCGAAAAGCCCTCCGAACCTGGCATCGATCTCACCATCCGAAACCTACACAAAAGGCCACTATACAGTGGTTCCTCGAGAAATACAATCGTCAACTTAGCCAATCTACAGTCTCAGAATCCCTTAGCTCTCGATTTTTGGACCTTGACAATACTTCTAATACTCTGGAAACAAACAGCTCTAAAGCTCAGTGTCGCCGCACTGTCGCCTGGCCTGAATTAGAAGCTGCTCTTTATGACTGGCAGAGGCTTATTGAAGAGCGTGGCGGCATTACAACTACAGAAATCTTACAATCAAAGGCGAAGATTATCTGGAATCAGCTACCACAATACCGTGGACTACCTACGCCAGAATTTAGCTACGGATGGATCGTAAAGTTTTGACAACGGCATAATATATTATATCGAACTCAACATGGCGAAGCTGGATCTATTGGTGTCACTGCAGAAGAACAAATGAAGGCTATACAAACTATTGCGGGGGAGTTTTTAGAGGACAATATTTACAACATGGATGAGACTGGGCTTTACTGGAGGATGAGCCCTTCAAAGGGCTTTACAACACGATCAATTCCAGGACAGAAGAAGGACAAAGCACGCATATCAGTAGCCATTTGTATTAATGCTGCTGGAACAGATCGACTTCCTCTTTGGTTTATTGGAAAGGCTAAAAAGCCTCGAGCTTTACAACACGTTGATGTAGGGGCAATGGGTGGGGTTTGGAGGTGGAATAAGAAGGCTTGGATGAATCAATTTGTTATGGCAGATTGGCTAAATGCTTTCTATACTCATATTGGTACGTCACGTTCTATACTGCTTACAATGAATAACTTCTCAGCCCATATCGCTGCAGTGGAATCGACGCCTCCTCCTCCAAACATACGAATTATCTGGCTTCCTCCAAATGCGACCAGTCGATATCAACCTCTCGATCAAGGTATTATAGCCTCTTTAAAAAGCTATTATCGTCAGCAATGGCTCGAGTTCATGCTTGAATCTTTTAGCAACAACCTGGATCCAATCAAAACAATGACAATACACTTTACAATTTGCTGGCTTATTTGATCATGGCATCACGACGTTACAAATATGACTATCTACAATGCTTTCGAAAAAGCATGATTCTTTTATGCCCAATACAGCTTCCTATACACCCACTCCCTGTTCTAAACGACTTATATACTCGAGTACAACAAGCTGGTCATATATCAGACGCTATGGACCTTTCGAACTTTTTGAATCCAGCAGAGGAGGGAATACAAGAGGTGGAGGGAGGCTTAGATGAGGACACAATTCTACAGGAGGCGATGGCTCCATATATACAGGTTTCCGATGCTCAAGATGATGACGATGAGGAGCCCCAGCGTCCTGTGCTCACCACACAGAATGCTGTACAAGCCCTCCAAGTTCTGATTGAGTTCTCAGAATCTGAGAATAGTGGCATCACGGATCCAGCATCATTTTTGCGCTCTTTAGAGCGCGTGGAGAGGCAATTAGTGGCCAAACAGGCCAATGAGTTGGTTCAAGGCACGTTGGATGGATGGATGGTTTAGCTGAGGGGCTACTTCGGGTCTACTTCAGATCACTTTCTAACTCAATATTTCTATAACTCAATATATTTATGCATGACCAATTACATCAACTTAACGAGATAAAACTGTAGTATCTAGTATCTAGTATCCAGTATCTAGTATCTAGTATCTAGTATCTAGTATCTAGTATCTAGTATCTAGTATCTGGTTTCTAGTATCTAGTATCTAGTATCTAATACTAGGTCGTCAGCCTACGTATTCAATCGCTCTTCAAGGAGCAATTAGCAGTGACAAAGTTCAGGACTGTCTATGAAGGCGTCTTCCTCAACTACTTGACCGGCCACAAGGAGCTGAAGTTCCTTGTAGTACTAGCATTAGTGTTTGTATTAGGGTTGGTGTTTCTAGGGGAGTCGAGTCTATAGAGTGAACACTCTTAGCGCCGTTCTCACTTTGCCTTTCTTCTACAGAATCATCTAGTATATCCTCATCGTTAGGATCATCAAAGCCAGAGTGCTCTTGTGCTCTCTAGCTAATGGATCTATTACGACTTTGAGGATAAGTCTGCTAGTGCCTCCACTTTGTAGCAAGAGTAACGGATAACGAGTCTCAAGTATTAAGCGCTCGCTATGACGAAGTGATAACAGTATTTACTACCTTACTTCGCTGTGTTTCAATCTGCTTTTCCTCGCTAACAACCCTAATCTAGTTATAAGTTTAGACAGTCAATTCTGACTCGCTATCAGTTTGTTTAGTCCTAAGCCTTAAGGTATTTCCTTCTCTTGTCGATTTCCTGCTATACTACTTAGTAGAGACTCTTGTGGTCTTTACTAGTCTCCCTTTCGAAATCGGCCTATATATAAGACTAGAATGTGGTCTTCTTCCCTAGTCAAAATGCTTTAGCGTTTCGATTGCAAAGTCAGAAGAGGACTAGTACGTTGTCCTTCGTTAGGGGCGCCATCTTCGCTAGAGAGCCTTAAGGATCACTATGTGTTGCTAGCTTGAGACTTGCAATCCTCTTAGCATTTCGGTATTGAATTGCGCCTTAACCATAGGCTGAACAGGCAAAGGAGGACTACCTATATCATCGTCTTCGAGGACAGAGCGCTGCTAATGACTAGGAAGTAAAGTTAGAGGCTGGTATGCCTGGAATTCAAGGGGTTTGGTATACTACTCCATAGTTATCACTTGTATTGAATATAATACAATCATACGACTCCATTACTAACTCTACAGCTACATAACATTCCTCTAAGGTGATTACTAACAAATACTCTTAACTACAACAGGATTATGGCTTGTTATAAGTCTTTAACAGATAACTGTTAAACCTCTACATGTCATACTGACATTCGTTGCACTCAGTTTGCTATCAAACTCAAGAGCAAACTTGGAAATCTCCTCCTCAAACCTACAAGTCACTATACATATTTTGGCTTATCACACCAACAACAAGAGCAATACTACTCAACGATTGCTACAACCATCTATGATTCATTACACGTCATCGCTCCTTAGTTACTGGGCCGATATTACCACATAGCATATCTCTACAACCCTCTATGATTCATTACATGACATCACTCATACTACCACATGACATATCTCTACCAACTAGAGGCCTAGGAGCATGAACGATAGCTCTAAAAGCTCCTACGAACCTCTATGATTCATTACACGTCATCGCTCTTTAGTTACCCACAAGATTGGTTAAGTTATGACATAATTTGTCTATGACATAATTTGTCTATGACAAATTTGTTTATAGGGGTACTCTGACCTTGGACCTCCTTTTACTTCCTATAGGCTACGAACCTAAGAGATGGTTCTATGGGATTCTCTTATGTCGACTACAGTTACCAAGCCTGGTAAGTCATGGAAAGTCTTGGAAAATGAGAGAACTACATTCCTTTAGCATAAATAGGATTGCCCTTTCCTTAAGAAAGGGCAAGCAGACAATACAGTAAATTGACTATCACATACTTCCACGTCTTTTCCAAGCTTCCAAGCATTCATCTTGTTACTCCTTGTTTCTGAAAAAGTCAGTGAGGTGTTAACCTCTGACTTACCCCTGAGTTCCCAGACTCAACATTTGTTGCAACTTGTCTGAACCACTTCACTACATCACACACCTGATTGCTGCGTTGTGGAATAGTCTAAGCTACAACCCTTTGGCTCTGTTTCCTAAGACAGTGTGTTGTCTTAGTAAATTCATCCCTTCCTTGGGTGGCTAGATTCTCACATCTGGTGCACCCACCATTACACCACAGTCCTAAGTCCTAAATAGGAAGTAGTGGAGCTTGGGCTTGCAAGGTTTGTATAGGGATTATGGCACTAAATTCTCATATTTCTATACTAACTACATATGGGGGTGTTGAACAGCCTGTTCAACAGTTGCTAAAATGCTCTACTGTCCCTAACTGTCCCTAGCTGTCCCTAACTGTCCCTAGCTGTCCCTAACTGTCCCTAACTGTCCCTAACTGCCCCTAACTGCCCCTAACTGCCCCTAACTGCCCCTAACTGCCCCTAACTGCCCCTAACTGCCCCTAACTGCCCCTAACTGCCCCTAACTGCCCCTAACTGCCCTGTCCCTAACTGTCCCGAACTGTGGTCCACAGCAGTACGCCCTAGCTTAGCCCGTCCGTCCCCTCATTCGGCATCGCTGACTTGCCGTGTGACTTGCCGTGCTGCTGCCAAGATAAATATCCCTTCTGCCAAGATATATAACTCCCTCAGCCTCGTCATCCTGACCGAAGCCTCGTCCATTTTATCAGTATCTATCATATCCATGTCGTCCGTCGCGAAGGCGTCCTCCGAACAATGAAGGAGTGGTCGCGTATCCCAGTGTCGTTCCTCAATCCGACGGCGCAGAGGCGTCCAATTGCCCAGCCTCCGGCGCGTCTCAGTGCCCCTGCTCTATGACAGCCGCCCGTCAACACAACCTCCAAGAGCCAAGACTGAAGCTGATAGCAGCCAGAGAGTTCAGGATGTCCATCATCTGTGTCGCTCAAGAGACAATCGAAAAGGTATGCCCTCACCAGCGCGCGCTCTATTCGCAGCTCCATCTTGCTAACCAACTTGCAACAGAGGCACGCCATAGCCGTCTCGCCCGCCGCCGAAGGCCAATTCCTCGCCCCGCCACTCTCGAATACCCCGCGACCAATCCTCCACAACTCTGGCGCATGCTCACATACTACCCGGTCTGGGACGTCTCCTACATGGTTGCTCAATGGTTCACCTGGGGCTCGGTAGTCTGGGTCATAAACTCCTTCCTCGTCTGGCTGCCCTCCGTGCACCCCTCGTCCGCCTTCCGGGGTGAAACCACAAACGGTGGCGGCATCTCCGCCTTCATCGGCGCGACCATCTTCGAGATCGGCAGCATCTTCCTCATGATCGAAGCTGTCAATGAAAACCGCACACAGTGCTTCGGCTGGGCTTTCGAAGAGGCGCTCGAGGAGAACGGGCTCCTGCGTCTACGACCAAGTAGCGAGAATTGCACGCACCACCACCCAAACAAAAAGAACCTCGTCGGAAACCGCAAGATTCCCTCCGGAGAAACCGCTCAGGGGAAACTCCTCGCCCCCAACAAATTCGCCGAAGCCAAAGTCCTCGAAACCTGGGTCTGGTTCCCCTCCCTCACCGGCACCACTACGTCCGCGAAATTGGCTTCCTCACCTGCCTCGCCCAATACGTCGCTGCAACCATCTTCCGGATCGCCGGCTTCACCGCCCTCCCCACATCCAATCCTCCCTCTCCCCTGCGGCCGTAGACGGCGCATACTGGGCCCCCCAGGTCATCGCGGGTCGGGCTTCATCATCTCCTCCCTCCTCTTCATGATCGAGACGCAGGAGCGGTGGTGGAAGCCTGCGCCGCGGACGCTGGGGTGGTAGGTTGGGGCGTGGAATTTGGTGGGGGCCGTGGGGTTCACGATATCGGGGGCGTTTGGGTATTGGCAGTGGTGCCGAGGGGGGAGGAGGCGGTGCGTCGTGACGTGGAGGGTGCGTCGTCGTCGGGTGGTACGGAGTAGTGGTGGTGATTTCGGAGTTATTTGGGTTGGACAGCACATATACTATTTGGTGGGATTTCGGAGTTATTTGGGTTGGACAACACATATACTATTTGGTGGCAGGCGTTTCGGGTTCTGGTTAAACAACGCATATATGAATTGTTGTACAGCAGATATTTCGGGGTTGTTTGGATTCGCTATGTTCATATTATTAAAAATATACGTTAGTGTAAATATATTCAATTTATTCGAATTTGTTAACACGTTGGTGAAAACTTGGGATTTATTTGTATTCTCCAATACGTAGATTAATGGACGATAATAATTTAGGAAGCAAGGGAGAAAGTAGTTAGTAATCCAGCAAAAGAGTGGTTTTGGAATTAAACTAAGAAATATAATTATATATTTGTCATTCCAAATGTGATCATTTGCTGACTGAGGATGAAGAGCTTATTGATCAGTTTCTGAGCGAAATTGAGCTGTATTTTACAATTCTATGTTCTGTGCCAGAGACTGTTGACGTCCAGTATTATTGTTTACTTGTCGTATTGGGAACAGATTTTGTATCACGTATAGGTGTATCACTTCACCTCGACGACAAAACCATAACTGCCAGTGGAATAATACACACAAATGGGCTCATAGCTTATCATATTCTAGTCAGGCAGCATCCTTAGCAGAGGCGTAGCTTATGCTGACGCTTGGTAACTCAAGCCCCCAGTAGATAGCTACAAACGCTCCAAGAAATATACATAGGCAAATTTCTTCACCTCCTCCATATTGTCAGCCTCCACAACCTTCTCATCGTTGAAGAGGACCCATGACTTGGCCTTATCCTGTTCAAGCTGCCGCCTAATAAAGGCTACATAGTGACTACCGAGAGTTAGCACGTAACAAGCTATAAGAATGGACTACCTCAACTTACCCAGCGTGGATGCTACCACCCTTATGGCAGATAATCGACTGCAACTCAAACCTAGCAGGCAGCGCATCAGAACCAGAAGTCTCATTCGAGCGCCCCGTATCCGCAGACTGTCCACCCTCATCAACGTCACCCTGGTCATCAGGGTGACTGAATAGCCAATCAACAGCGCGCTCCATATCGCCCCCCGTTTCCTTCAGAGCTTTACGGGCGTGGTTTGGGCTGAACCCCATATTGCCGAGGTTTTCGAGCTTCTCCGCATCCACAGATGCTGCTGGTCCAGCAGAGGTCGCAATGACCAGCGGCTCGTCGATATCGGGGTCCTCCATGTGAGCAAATAGCCATTCCATGGCTGCGTTCGCATCAGCGTTGCCGGTTGCATGCAGCGCCTTCTCGCAGCGAGCGGCTGGGAATCCCATCTGCTCCAGGTTGGAAAGAGCTTCTGGGTTTGCGGTGAAGGATGGCTGGGCGCCTGCTGCATCTTCGGGCATGAGCTCCTCAGTGTCCTGTTTCCCAAGAGATTTATAGCTATCTAGCGTGATAGGGTCGTCACCGACAATAACTGGGACGTCCACCTTCGTCGGCACCCAGTTCACGGCCATGATTCGTCTGGCGTTTACGGCTAGGACGGCGGGGAAAGTTTTGAAGAGGGATCTCTTGGTAAAGCCGTCCTTGCTTCCACAAGAGACACAGGTTAGTTCGACAACCTCCTCTGCAGTGAAGCTGTCCAGGCATTCCTTGAATGTGACAGGCTCGTATTCTCCTGCAGAAGAGGATGGTTCTTCACCGTCTTTCCGCTCGATCTTTCGGACAGGAAGTGGGACAGAGATGTTATCCTGCTCTTCCGTACTGTACCTAACTTTCTTACATGACAGGCATTGCAGTCGTTGCTCCATGACGAATCGGAATGCATCTGTTGGGTCGCCTAATTCGGGCGGATGCTGAGATCGATTGATGAGCTTGAAGAGATGCAGCAGGAACTCAAAGGCATCTTGTTGGCGCATTGTTGAAAACTCGACGTGCCCACGACCAACTAGATGTTTCAGCATTGCTGGGGCGAGGCCTTTTTGGCAAGGAACCTCTGCCGAATACTCGGATGCAATGACATCTGAATCGGGCTTTGAATATCTGCCAGAGAGAAGGCCATCGGCGATCTTTCGCAATTGGGTCTCAAGGTCTTGCGCCGGCTCCTGGACTTGCAAGGGTTCTTCATTGGGGTGGAAGTATCGTTTTTGAAACTGAGGCAGCGAAAATAGGCACTGGGTTGTACTAGCCAAATAGCAGCTGTTGCCGAGATTCTTGAGACCCGTTAGGCCAGGGCCAAATAATGGCTTGAGCTCCTTTCCGTCTTCGGTGGTCATAGAAAATTCCCACCTTAGATTCTGCTCAATCTGCATTTCCGTGAGACTCTTTTCTGTCTTCTGGCGCTCGGCAAGAATAATGCCCCAGTGAGCTAGATGCTTTCCGAGATCTTCATCAACTCTCTCCTCGTCACACTGGTAACAGTACACGTCGGCCGTGCCTTCAGGGGTGATTGATCCCAGCTTGACGGCAACGACGTGGTGCGACGCATCGGCATGTGCCAAGCCGTGAGACTGCCCACCAACTCCGCCAAACTGGGCTCGGCCACAACCCAAATTCCCACATTGGAGACATAGCCAAAGATTTTCCTGCAAGTTGCACATTGAACAGTGGCCAAGGTTTTGAGACTCAATCGCTCGCGCTGGTTCTTGGGCGAGTGTAAGGATATGCTCGCAAGACGTCATTTCCTGTTCCCATGCCTTGACTTCTTCTTGTCTAGAAAACGTGTTTGCTTTCATGACTCCATCAATAACCGATGCGATACGGGCTGAAGTTGTATCCACATCATCAATCCCGCACTCGTAGCAGCGAACAACCAAGTGGGTATCGAAACGATCGGCTTCTGTTTCTGCGGCTATGGCAAGCTTCGACATCTTTTGTTTGGGTTCATCTCGAACAATTACTCGCTTGGTTCGGCGGATGTTGAGAACGAGGGGGTGGTGTGACCGAGCATAATGTAGCTTGCCATGGTTCCTCTCGCCAGTGCATCCTCCATTGAAGCAATAGAGGCAAACGTCTAATCCAGCCGAATCATCCTGGATGAGAATATTAACAATGCATCGTTGTGTTGTTCAAAGGTTGGCATATGCTTACAATAGAATCAAAGCACTGTGTGCAGTCTTCACGGTAGACAGCTTGATTTGGGCCTGGTGGGCGCAACTCTGTTCGATCTAGTTAGCAGGCTGGCTAGTGAGACTCGCAGGTCACAAGATTAAGCCTGTGAGATACTGAAATGGACATAGGAAGTGGGCTGGATTGCGACTGTCATTAGCTTACCCAAAGATTCGAGATGTTTACACGCCATGTTGTCTTGTGCCTGGAGCGAGCGTATGGAGAAAGAAAGAGCGTATGGAGAAAGAAAGAGGGTGCGACAGATTACAGTATTGTGGGTTTCGGGATTCGCGAGAACTTGGGATAGTTAGATGTCCATAATAAAGCTTTTCGTGTTTTGTAGTGGATGCTGAGCTTGGTGTTATCGAGGGGAGCTGTTTGGTGTTGTCGAGACAAAGAGGTCTGAACCTGAGCAAACATGACAAAATGGCGGGATGACGAGAGGGGCGGGGTTGTAGCGGTTGTAGCCTGGAGGTACTGTAGGTTGTGTTGTTCAAAAAAGGTTGGCAATATGCTTTTTACAATAGAATCAAAGCACTGTGTGCAGTCTTCACGGTAGAGACATAAGTTACGGTACGGAGTTAGACATGGGAGGGGTTGATTATGCGCTCGTCACGTGCATCGGAATTTGCCACCCATGTCTGGTGATTTCATATTTCCTGCATCTCCCGCGCGATTACCGTTTATCTGATCCTCCATCCTCTTACTCAATACATACCCACAGACCTCGGGATTCTACGACCACCTACCTCGTCATCAACCTCGATAAGCATTAAAACCTATACCATTTCGACTAAATCGATCTATTACACCACTGCAGGATCTACGATGTTTCAACGGGTTATCGCTACTGCTCCGCGGGCGGCCGCGAGGGCATTATCAGCTCCGACCCCGGCATTTGTACCTTCTTCGACACGGATTGCAACACCCGTCGTCGCCAACCGCATCGCAAATGGCCGCAGACAATACCACGAGAAGGTGCTAGATCACTATTCTCGGCCGCGCAATGTGGGAAGCATGTCCAAGGCCGATACCGATGTCGGAACGGGACTTGTTGGCGCACCAGCTTGTGGTGATGTGATGAAGCTCCAGATTCGGGTGGATCCCACCAACAACACCATTTCCGATGTGAAGTTTAAGACCTTCGGATGCGGTTCAGCAATCGCCTCATCATCATACTTGACGGAGTTGGTGCGGGGAATGACCTTGGAGGAGGCGGGAAGGGTACGGAATACGGAGATTGCCAAAGAATTATGTTTACCTCCAGTGAAACGTAAGTACTATCTGCCATCCTATACAGAACCCTTTGCTAATTATACTATAGTTCATTGCTCTATGCTGGCGGAGGATGCAATCAAATCAGCTATTTCAAACTACTACACCAAGAACCCGGAGACCAAGGCTACTAATCTCGGTGGAACCGGCTCAAGCATGCCAAAGATTGATATCGAGACTGTGGCCCAGGGATCATCGGCGACCGCGTAGGTATGAGGATACTTGTTACGGAGAGTAGTGTGCGGCCATGGATAGATGGCATGACGAGAGTTTTCAAAGACGGGGAATCCACGGGGAATTCATGGGGAATTCGTATGTAAACGAAAAACAATTGGTAAGCAGAGCGACTTCTGCTTAATGACAGGCTGGGTTCTATGAAAATTGGTATCCGGAAATGGTATTGGACCATTTGAAAAGTGCCATGCGACTTAACTCTCCTTGGATTATGCATATTTAGGGGTTCGATATTGCTCACTGTTCCAAATTGGGATTACTTAGTTTGAGCGCAGGGTCGTTCTATGAAAATAAATTCAGAACCTATTATAATTGATTAATCACATGACTCGCTGACTTACACGGCGAAAATTTGATCCGATCGGTGAAAGCCTAGAATATTTTTTGATTTAGTCTCGTCCCTAGCCGGAACTTTTGAGAAACTTGATAGCTTCGGCACATTTGCACAATCGCGCAATCATGGTCAAGAGAGCACTCGAAGATCCCGAGGTTGCAGCTGCGTCTGCCGGAATTCAGGCTACTGCGCCGGCGAAAAAGAAAAGCCGCAAGGAAGCGAAATCAGGTGGCGCATCAGACAATGGAGCCGATGATACTGTAAAAGAGACAAAGGAAGAACGCAAGGAGAGGAAACGTCGCAAGAAGACGGAGAAACTTGCTGCCGAGAAAGATGGCGATGCCTCACCGGAAGATCTGGCTGCTCTTAAAAAAGAGAAGGCCGAGAAAAAGGCATTAAAGAAGGCAAAGAAGCTGGAGAAGGCTGAACCTGCCTCAGTTACGCCCCCGTCCACCGAGTCGACCACATCAGCAGCATCGACTACACCAGCAGCAGAGACTACCAGCACTGGCAGTTATACTCCGTCTGCCGACCTGGCAGGCCTTCCACAGTCCAAGGTCGACCAATTCTTGACTGATAACTTCATCAACATTACCGACCCAACGTCGCAGCCCTTGCTGAGACCCATCATCGACTTTGCCCACCTTCCAATTACCGACCCGAAACAGCGCGCGCCCTTCAAAGACTTCAAAAGCCCCACACCAATCCAGTCGGCAGCATGGCCCTTCTTGTTGGCCGGCCGAGATGTCATTGGAGTAGCGGAGACGGGTTCAGGGAAGACAATGGCATTCGCTGTGCCATGTATCAGGCACATCAGCGAGCAGCCAAAGTTCAAGGGAGCGAAGGCTGTGGTTGTTTCGCCAACTCGTGAGCTCGCGATGCAGAGTTACGAGCAAATCAACAAGTTGGCCGCCTTGTCTGGCATGCAAGCCGTCTGCGTGTACGGTGGTGTCGCCAAGGATGAGCAGCGAAGAGCGCTCAAGACTGCCGACATTGTGGTCGCAACCCCCGGTCGCCTGAACGATCTAATCCAAGAGGGATCGGCGGATCTTAGCAAGGTCAGCTATGTCGTCTTGGATGAGGCTGACAGGATGTTGGATAAAGGTTTCGAAGAGGAGATTAGGAAGATCATCAATACCGCCCGCCCACTGGGCAAGAGACAGACACTCATGTTCACCGCCACCTGGCCAGAATCTGTTCGCTCGCTGGCATCGACGTTCATGACGTCGCCAATTAAGATTGCCATCGGAGACAACCCCACGGGAGACCTGCGTGCGAACACTCGCATTGTGCAGAAGGTCGAGGTCGTCGACCCTCGCGGCAAGGAGTACCGCCTGTTGCAAATCTTGAAGGAGCACCAGAGCGGCAGCCAGAAGGACGATAGGATTATCGTGTTCTGCCTGTACAAGAAAGAGGCAACCAGAGTCGAAGGTTTCCTCCGCTCGAAGGGCATTAGAGTTGCCGGTATTCACGGCGATCTATCACAGGAACAGAGGACGAAGAGTCTTGACGCTTTCAAGAAGGGAACTACACCAGTACTTGTCGCCACCGATGTTGCTGCGAGAGGTTTGGATATCCCAGCAGTGAAGCTCGTCTTGAACTGCACGTTCCCCCTTACCGTGGAGGACTACGTCCACCGTATCGGTCGAACTGGAAGAGCTGGCAAGGAAGGATTGGCAATCACTCTGTTCACGGAGCATGATAAGGCACAGTCAGGAGCGTAAGTTTCTCTAATTGGTACCCCATAACTGGACAAGAATCTAATGTGCTGCAGTTTAATAAATGTCCTAAAGGCTGCAAACCAGCCAGTCCCAGACGAATTACTTAAATTCGGCACGACCGTGAAGAAGAAGGGACACGAGGCCTATGGTGCATTCTTCAAGGATGTGGACATCTCGAAGGCAGCGACCAAGATCAAATTCGACTAAGGACCGTTACGATATTGGGATCATGTTGACGGCGTTCGGACTGAGCGGTAGCATTGCAAAAGGAACTTATGCTCGGACAGGACGCTTATTATGTTAGCGGGTATATGTTCAGTAGATTAGTGGGTTTACTTACAGAAGAATGAAGAAGCTACCTCCAATTACAGTAGTGGTGATGAAGGTTTTGATGTCGCTGCCCTCTTGTGAGCTCTGGTAGTAAAATATGGCAATAGTCCCAAAAGCAGCAGCCACCGTCGTTGCAGTTGGTAGTATCAGACCCAAGTTCAATTGGCTGTTATGCCTGCGGAAAAAGTTGTTGATAAAGTTATAACTCCATAGTATCCGAAACACCATGTTTGCCATATTTGCGTAAACAAGACCTATCGCGCCGAGATCGACCAGACGAAGGAAAACATAGCCAGTGCTAGCGAATCCTACAGAAAATGCCAACATCCAGAGCGACTGGCGGTTCAGTTGAGATTCGGTCGCAACAACCGATACGAAAGCTTCCAGTACGCCATTGTATGCCAGGAGGGGTATGTAGTAGCAGTACTTGGAAAGAACGTCGCCTGCACCGCTTGACGCCCATCTACTGCCGACAACGAACTTCAACAGCAGCGGTGCCATGGTTGGTCCAACGGTCATTGCCGATATTGACATGAGTGTGTATATCCGCAGAAGCTTGTGCAAATCGTCTCTAGCAGATGATATTGTCCCACTCGAACGCTGGCCGTTGCTGGAGTAGAGAAGTTTGCCAAAATAGTTCCTGCTGCTCTCTTCGATGGGTTGGAAGACCATGCGAGCAACAAGACCTCCATAGTTCGATGCCAGGGCATATATTCCCTGAGCGGAAAGAGATGCTAGATACGATATCAAGAGCACATCTCCTTCTGTTAGAATATGTTTGACAACTCCTTGCACAAAAAGGCTCGCCCCGAGCGTCACCAGTGGCTTTGAGAAATATGACATGATATAAGTTTCATTACTACTAGTTCTGGTAAGTAAAAGCCTGATTCAAGAACCACATCCCACTTACCTCGGCGCTATCGGTCTTGCAAGCAATGAAAAGTTGTCTGCAGCTGATATAGCTGAGACTCGCCAGAGATAACATAAAAGTATTGACAGGCCATACGTCCATTGGCCAAGTGCGAAGGGAAACACGCCCAGATCCAAGCCAGTCTTGGAAGCGAAGACGATGGAAGCGCATGTAACGACGCAACGGAGTAACGCTCCTATAGACTCAGCAAAGGCCCGTGTCTTGTATTCGGACTTCTGCTGGACAACAACAAAGCACGGTTCGGCCAGCAACTCAAAGACAGCTGCGATCGCATAGAGCTGGAGGGTTTCTTTAAAGTAGAGGGTGCCGAGAACCTTGGGGTTGGAGCGCAGAGAGCGAATGTATGCCCAGGCCAGTCCCCACGCAAAGAAGATCCCCAAGAATATTGAAACGTAGGCCAGATTCACAAGCGCCTGCGTCTTTTCTATGGCCAGCTTCCTCTTCTGTTCCGACTTTTCTCTATCCTGTGTAGATTTGTCTGCCTCTCCAGGACCTTCAGAAACTTCGGATTGCCGTTGTATTGCTACTCGTAGGGACTCTCGGGCGAAAAATAGTACCGATATCAGGTACACCTCGAACTGAGTCGATATTCCTAGCAAGTCTGGAGATATGAATCGCAGGAGAATCTGGTTGGCGGCAAATGTCAAAGCCCGCGAACCTATCTGTAACGCGATGAGGAAAGTCGCGCCATGAGCAGATTTTTCGAGAAGAGACTGTTGCATCACAGAGCTAGCCGTCCCTGTCGCGTCCATACCTGTCGATTGACTGTGAATAGGGAAGCTTGCTGGAGGTTTGGACGTCGGACGGAATGGAATTAATTTATTCCGAAATATTTATAGCGGTCTCCTAGTTAAACCCCAAGAAAGCTAGCCTTTCCACCCCTCTTGTCTTTTTTTAATGGTGAGAACGCAGCATTAGCAATACCCGCACCGCTCTTGCGAAGGAAAGCAAGGTTTCCTCCAGGTTTCGCCAGAGCAGGGGCAAGGGATATCCTTGTTGGTCGTTTGTCTGCCTCGTTATACTCTTCGTCAAATATCGTCTTCACTGTCCCGAATACCTTGCGCTTCCTCTTCTTGGGCTCTGGTTCATCGGGGATTATAGGCGCTGGAGCTCCTGATGACTTTTTGCGGACGTTGTGCTCTAGTTCATGCGGGATTATTGGCGCTGGAGCTCCTGATGACTTCTTGTGGACGTTGCGCTCTGTTTCGTCGGGGATTATTGGCGCTGGACCTCCCAGTGATTGTTTGTGGATGTTGCGCTCGCTCTCAATGGCTAGCTGTCGAGTGTTCTGTTCCTTCTCGAGGGCAAGTTTCTTAGCGCCCCGTTCCTTCTTGAGTGCAAGTTGCCGAGTGATTCGCTCGGTCTCGGCGGTAAGTTTTTGAATGCTTCGGTCTTTCTCGAGGAGAAGTTGAGAGTTTCGCTCGTTCTCAATGGAAAGCTGAGTGTTTCGCTCTTTCTCGAGGATGAGTTGAGTGTTTTGGTCGTTCTCGACGGGAAGTTGAGTGTTTCTCTCGTTCTCTTTGGCCAGTTGGGTGTTTCGCTCGTTCTCAAGTTGGGTGTTTCGCTCGCTCTCAATGGCTACTTGTCGCTGGAGTTCGTCGTTATGACCTTGGAGCAGGAGGATTTGAAGTTGAAGGCGCCTCGAGTTTTCGTCCTTGGCGATGCTCTCCTGTTTTAGCAGGCTGTTGGAATATTCCAACTCCATGTACTGCGATGTTGACATGTGCTATAAATTCGTCAGTAACCCCAATAAACCCCACCATGTGCATTAGAACACACCTCGATAGTAGTCGAATCCTCGAACATCAAAGATGAATCCATGGTATGCATAAAGTATAACTCGAATAGCTGTAAGTATTAATTAGACATAAAAGATGCGATACTCCGGTAAAGTTGGTATCTATTTACTTGATCATGTAGATACCTGCAATCGCGTCAACAGTAAACAACGCTACCGATACCCCTGTTAAGTTAGCTTACTCGAAGCTTACGTAAGCTTGTTTGAGGACAACGAGTATCTGTGAGCCAGCTCAACTACAAGCGTCGAACGCAATCGTAGCTCTTCAATTGAACGATACGATTTCTTCACGATGCGTCTCTTCGGCGATCTGATATTCGCCCTCCTCTTGGCGCCATGCCTCGCCGCCAAAAAGGCAGCCACGGACCGATTCCCCGATTTCCACGCCAAGTCGCTGGCGTCGTCACCATTGAAGCTCACTGATGCGAGCTATGGCAGATTGACCAAGGCACCGCGGGATTACTCGGTCGCAGTCCTCTTGACGGCTCTGGAGCCAAGATTTGGATGTGTGATGTGCACTGAATTCCAGCCGGAATGGGAACTTTTGGGCAAGAGCTGGGCCAAGGGCGACAAGAAGGGCGAGTCTCGTCTGATATATGGCACACTGGACTTTGGCGATGGCAAGGACACTTTCCAATCCGTAAGACTATAGTGGCTTGGAAATATACATGTGCTAACAATAATAGCTTGGGCTTCAAACTGCCCCAGTATTGCTATTCTTCCGACCCACAACTGGCCCTCTTGCGGTTGCAGGCAACGCACCTCTCAAATATGACTTCACTGGCGGGTGAGTTCTACTTGTTGTTACGTATATGATAGTCTGCTTACATTGATAGACACCAAACCGCCGAGCAAATCCACGCCTGGGTTAGCCGACAAATACCGGATGGCCCTCACCCTGCGATAAGCCGCCCTATCAACTGGATACGCATTATCGCAGTGACAACGACTGTTCTCGCAACGATCACATTCCTCGGCGTTGCATGGCCGTACTTGCTGCCTATCATTCAAAACCGCAACCTGTGGGCGGCCATCAGCTTGATTGCCATTCTCCTCTTTACGAGCGGACATATGTTTAATCATATTAGAAAGGTGCCGTATGTCGTCGGCGATGGACATGGTGGCGTCAGCTATTTCGCAGGGGGCTTCTCCAACCAGTATGGTCTGGAGACTCAAATAGTTGCAGCCATGTGTAAGTTATTTGCTTTCATTGTCTCTTGACGATGAACCTCCATACTATGAACCGAATCTAACAGAAACAGATGGCCTTCTATCCTTTGCTACCATCTCGCTGGCTCTCAAGGTTCCCCGCATATCTGACCCGAGGACTCAACAAGTTGCTGTGATTGTTTGGTGTGGTATTATCTTCGTCATGTACAGCTTTTTATTGAGCGTTTTCCGCATCAAGAATGGTGGATACCCATTCTGGCTTCCACCGTTCTCATAGACGTACCGTATTCTAGATACGTCGTGGTGACACAAGATGAGAAAAACAATAGTTTCGTGGTATGGGGTGGCTGAAGAAGTCAGGATTGTGGCGTTGTAAGAATTACTGGGTTTCAAAAATGAGACTTAGATGTATAGAACGGGCAATGTATGCCTTTATCTATTCGACCAATTGCTCATCTTCTGACTGTTCGCTTTTGATGTGGAATTTGTATTATTATTTCTCTTCACCAATCAATCTATGTTACAATGCTTCCTGGAAGCTGTTATATCCCATCTCCCCCGAAAATGTCCGCGTATTTGGCCGCTTCTTTTCGGCGTAACGCCACAAAATATGACTCTTTTGATTCCTGATCTCATAAGCATGACGTCGGAATGCAATTCTGGGAGTACATACACTTCTGGAAGATTCCGGCTTCTCTCTATGAACGGCGCCAAACAGTTTCTTAAGGCGGTTCTCCAACTGTTTATCTTCGGCGCCTTGGTAGAACTTGCAAACAAAATGGCCGCCAGTTTTGAGAGTGTCGTATGAGAACTCTAGCGCAGCGTTGCATAGATCCTCGGACGTGTTAGCTGGAACAAAAAATTAAATAAAAGGCGACTCTTACCATGCTCCCTGTGTGGTCTCTGAACGGTATACCGCTCGTATTCATCATCCTAATATACGGATTACTTAAACTCCTCTTCCAAAAACCACTCGTTTGTTCCCAGGGTGCGGACATATCACTTAGAACAATATCAATCGTCTTCCCCGATTCATCCTTGAGCTTCTTGCCCTTGTCCGCCGTTGGCACATCTTCTAGGGAATCTTCTAAGCCGGGCTCCTCAGCCATAGGGGCGTGCATCTGCTGTTGAGGTCGACCTCTATGTGGATCATTAAGAAATCGTTTGATCTCTGCCTGCACATCTTTTGACAAGAAATTTCCTTGGATCGTAGATACGCCCTTCGGCGGCTGCGCAGGAATGATATCTATTCCAATAATACGGCCATTGGGCTTGGTGCGTTCCACAGCAACCTGAGATTGAGCGTCAAGCGGGTTCCCACTGGCATCTCAAAAACGACTTACCTGTGACCAGCTTCCTGGTGCATAACCCTATACTGTCAACAATCGAAACATCGAGGTAGGTCAACAGCTCCTTACCAGATCTATAACAGTCTGTCCCTTTTTGAACAGCTTGTATTTCGAATCGATCTTTCAATCTATTAGTTGCAGTTCACATATATTAAGGGGAAAACGGGTTCCCACCTCTAGCAATTTGAATGCTGCCCGGCTTTGAAGACCTCGAACCTTAGCTTCCCTTGCAAAGGAGTCTCGCCCTTGCCTGCTCTTCCACCGAGTTGAAGAGGACGAGGAGCTTTGTCTTGTTAGGGGCGGCGTAGAGCTAGTTCGGAAACAGCACTGTGCGACCAATCGACAAGGCGTCAACAAATGGTGATGCAGCCTCCCATTGCGGATGACCCTTGCTGCCGGCAAAACAACGAAGGGTGGCATGTAGAATTAAATGGTCAATTGTCCACCTTCCATAACCAGATGGCTTTGCTTCTGATTGGGTTTGAAGTTCAGGATCACGGGAAATCCGCGAAATGCGCGGTAGGTGTCTTTCGAACGCCGTAATCAGAGTTCGGACTTGGGGCTGTCTCACTAGCTTTTATGGTGGATTTGTGCAGATATGGGTGGTGACAAGGTGCCACGGGCTTAAATTGCGATCATGATCTCTCAACCCCCCACAAGTTCCACACTCGAGAAGGTAAATAATGTCTACGGGGTAAATAGCTTCATATCTGGACCAAAGTGAAATAAGGCACAAGGCACGAGGCACAAGACGCACATTTATAACCCCCCAGCGCACAAATCCCGAATAGGAAGCCGCATCGCCATGTTTAAAGAATGGGGCACACGTACAAAGTGGGGAAAGGGCTGATGATGATGCGCGCCACGCCAAACCAGTCAGGGGAGGATGGCTGGGATAGTGCAAGTACATAACACAGCTTACTACATACCAGCCACTCAGGGTCACGGATGACAGCGGTTGGCGCACGTGGGACCCTCTTCAGATCAAAGGGGAAGCTGAAGTGATTCGGTTACTGTCCTGTACGTTCGTCTCGCCTCGTACGGTGCCTGGTGGGTGAGAGAATAGCGTGCTGCATCGCCGGTGCTTGGACGCTTTGGGGAGGGATCAGACGGTGGCTGCCAAACTAAAGTACGGAGTATAACAGGGATATGATATACTGAAGATATACGATGGATGCAAAGCTTGATGGCATGCTGCCGAGATGGGGTAGCCGAAGGCAGGGCTGGGTGGGTATTAAAGATGAGCAGGCGCCACTGTGGTGGGTGCAGACACGAGAGCTTGTTGTGAAAGAGCTATTCGCCATGGATGAGCACGAGAAGTATGATCTACTTGATGACGCTGGCCGCGAGGGCGAGCCAGCGAAACAGCGCACGCGACGGGGGAGACTGGCGGCATGGGTCGCGGTGCCGTTCGTGATAATCGCTGTGATATATGCGGCCTGGGCGCTGTCGGTTGGTATTCAAGACGAATCGGGCGGCTGGGCGCAGAGATTTGGAGGCAATGGCCACAAGGAGATTCGAGAGGAAGGCAAGCAGGAGTACCTCATCGGTGTCGGCAAAGGTGATATCACTGGGTATGTAAACACCATCCTCTAAACCTTACACGCAAGACGCAGATCCTAACAGCTCCTAGCCCAGTCGTAGAGCTCAACTTTATGGGCTACGCCAACACGGCGCAAATTGGCACGGGCTTGCGCCAGCGCCTGTACTGTCGCGCCTTCATCGTCGGTGATGTCAATAAGCCAGAAGATAGGTTCGTCTACCTCATCACCGACATTGCGATGGGTGACACGGCCATTCGATACGGGATTCTGGAAGGCCTTGCTGCATTGGGACCCGAGTACGCCATGTACTCGCAGCAGAACATTGCTGTCACGGGGACGCATTCGCACTCCGGGCCGGGCGCTTGGCTCAACTACCTCCTACCGCAGATCTCGAGCAAGGGATTCGACCATCAGAGCTACCAAGCCATTGTCGACGGTGGGGTTCTCGCCGTCAAGAGAGCCCATGAGAGTCTTGGTCCTGGATACCTGCGCACCGGTCAGACGAAGGTATTTGGTGCCAACATCAACCGCAGTCTGTTCGCCTACTTGGCAAACCCGGCTGAGGAGCGAGCAAAGTACAATGCTAGCTCGGAGGATGATGGATCTGTTGAGAAGGACCTGACGATGCTGGCTTTCCAGAGTACCGCAGGCAAGGACCTTGGCGTTCTTACCTGGTTCCCCGTCCACGGAACGAGTATGTTGGGAAACAATACCCTGGTAACAGGTGACAACAAGGGTGTCGCCGCATACCTCCTCGAGAAGTCTATCGGCGGAGACTTTGTAGCAGGATTCTCACAAGCGAACGTTGGTGACACAAGCCCCAACGTCCTTGGAGCCTGGTGCGAAGACGGGTCAGGCCAGCAATGCTCCTTCGAGAAGAGCGTCTGTAGCGACGGGAAGAGCGAACAGTGCCATGGACGTGGTCCATTCTTCCGCGAAAAGGATAACGGCGCAAAGTCGTGCTACGAAATTGGTCGACTGCAGTACCAAGCTGCCGCTGACCTCTATTCCAAAATCAAGAATGGGAACTCTTATGTCGTCGGTAGCTCGGTGAAGTCGTACCACACATTCAACGACATGTCGCACTTCAAGTTCCCTCTCGCCAACGGCACGGTCGTAGAGACTTGTCCAGCCGCTCTGGGCTATAGTTTCGCGGCCGGAACAACGGACTGGCCAGGCTTGTTCGACTTCACACAGAACGATCCTGGGGAGCCCGACGCGAACCCAGTCTGGAAGTTTGTTTCCGCGCTCCTCAAGGCGCCCAGCGCAGCGCAGAAGGCGTGCCAGTACCCGAAGCCGGTGCTACTTGACGTGGGCGAAATCACCGTTCCGTATCTCTGGACACCGAATATAGTCGACGTGCAGTCATTCCGCGTGGGCCAGTTATTCATCATCGTCAGCCCCGGAGAAGCGACCACCATGGCTGGCCGCCGCTGGAAGACTGCTGTCCACGACGCTGCCATCTCCATGTCGCTCACCGGATCCTCCGCCTCCGTTGATCCCATCGTTGTCATCGGTGGCCCGGCAAACACCTACTCGCACTACATCACCACGACCGAGGAGTACGGCATCCAGCGCTACGAAGGCGCAAGCACACTCTACGGCCAACACACACTAAACGCCTACATCAACCTGACGCTGACCAACCTGCACTACCTTGCCCCCGGCGCCACCGACCACCCCGCCCCCGGCCCGCTTCCACCAAACCATGTCAACAACAGCGTCAGCTTCATCACGGGCGTCGTATACGACAACCCGCCAATCGGCAAGAAATACGGTGCCGTGAAGACCGATGTTTCTGCGACATACACCCGTGGCCAATCCGTCTCCGTCACCTTCATCGGCGCGAACCCACGTAATAACCTCAGACTCGAGGCCACGTACGCCGCTGTGCAGAAGCGCGACACATCAGGTGCATGGGTTACGGTGCGTGACGACCGCGACTGGAGCTTGATGTATAACTGGAAGCGTCTGGATGGACTAATGGGGACGAGCGACGTGACGATAGTGTGGGAGAGCGAGGCGGATAGCAAGGCGGGGACGTATCGGATTAAGTATTTTGGGGATGCGAAGGCGCCGATTGGGGGGAAAATTTCGGCGTTTGAGGGGACGAGTGGGGTGTTTACTCTTTCTTGAGAAGGGATGAATAATATGCGTTCGGTATATTGCTAATTGCATTTGCTTTGAAGATAGCTTTGCTTCAAACTCGCAAACAGGGACTCTCACATCCAATTGCGATCAATGAAATAACTCATGTGATATATGGTATTTGGGTGAAACTAAATACAGCCAAACTCCACTATTATAACTTTGAACAGCCCTCTTTTAAAACCCAAGTGCCTTGTTTCCCTCCTCCAAAGCCTTCCTCACGCCCTCGCTTCCCTCAACATTCCACTTTTCAACTCCCAGCGACCTCCTCGCCTCCTTACTCTCCTTTGCCAGATCAGCCTCGGACCCACGACCAACGTGGTGCTGCTCTCCCAATCCGCCTGGGAAATCTGGCGGCGGGAAGCCCTTGAGGAAATTGGCACGCTGGCGAGCAAGGTAGGCAGCGTTGGCGGGAGTGAGGGGTGTGGCGGGGATGTAGATGACGCTGGAGTCGGTGGTACCGGTGTGAGAAGTGTCGACAGAGTGAATTGCTATGAGATGTTAGCTATGTGTTGGTAGAAAAGATGGATATGAGGGAACTCACTATCGCAGTGCCATGCCACGTAGTCGCCAGGACGAACGGCGGGGATGTTAATCATCGACTTCTCTAGCTCAAGGTGAGGATGCAGCGTATCATTTAACTCAAGGCACAGACCCGGATACGCGCCCTCCAGCGTCGAATCCTGCTCCTTCTTCAACCTCCAATTATCCACCGCCAGGAAGTCCTCCTTCCCCAAACCCTCCGGCCCCCTTACCGCCTCAAAGAACGGCCGAAGCAAGTAATACGCCGTAGCCCTATCAAACAACGGGTTAACCCTCAACGTGCCCTCCCCCGGCGCCGTAGTCGACATGCTCATCCACCCCTGAAACATGCGGAACATGCTACAAGCACCCGAGCCACCATAGTTATCACTAACAGCATTCAACCGGCTGGAAGACTCCCACGGATCGAACGCCGCCAAGTCGCCACGGAAAACAGGGTCATAAACGCCGCCCAGCCCATAGCCGTGATCCTCCCACCGCTCGACGCTGCCGCCGTCGCAGTGGGGACCGAGCGCGAACCGGTTGTCGCCTGGGTTGCGGATGCGGAGACGGTCGGCGTAGGAGACGGGAAGGGTGGGGGAGAGGGGGGCCGTGGGGGAGGAGGACCGCCAGTGGCTCATTAGGAAGGATTGTGTGGCGAGGAGGTTGGGGTGGGCGCGGGCGCGGAGCTGGGGGCGCGACCAGTAGAGTTCGTAGACTTGGGGGTCGTCGGGGGGGAAGGCTGGAGGGGGGGAAGTTAGCTTGATGGTAGATGGGAGTAAGAGGCGGGGTGGGAGGTACCTTTGGTTTGGGGGTTTTGTTTGATGTATTCTCTTATCTCGGCCTTCCAGCCTAGTGCTTCCTCTTCGCTCACTACGTCTCTGATGACTGCAACGCCTGTCTTCTTCAGGCGTTTAGCAAAATCTTGCTGGGTATCTGGGTGGTCGATGTCCTTAAAGTCCAGCTCTGGGATAATGGCCAGGCCTGTGCTCTCAATCTCTTCTATCTCTCGACGAAGTTGGGGCAGGAGAGTGTTCCATGCATGCCTCACTGCATCTTCATTGCCGTTTATCAAGCGCTGTTTCTGCTCTGCAAAACGCCGAGGAAGCGGCTTTTGGACCTCACCGCTGAGAGAGGAGAAGACAGACGAGATATCACCTTCCTTCCTAGACTCGGTGGATGCAGACTGCATACCACGCCTTCCAACACGGGCAATCTGAGAACGCAAGGGCTGAGACAGCCTATTTGGGGATCTGAGAGTCGAATGCATAGCTGCAGTTTGGAATAAAGTCAGAACCTATTATCCAGCGGAAATCACAGAGCCAGGCCATATTTATAATTTATTAAATGCTATAGAAAATGTTCGCACAATCGCGACAGTTCCCCATGGGTTACAGTGGTCCGGTACGTCACTATGAGAAGAAGTCTTAGAGCCAGCCCGGTGTGGCGGTGGCTGGTGGGGCGGGGTTTAGTGGGGTAGAGTTCTCTTTCATCACCTCCTCGGCCCGACGTGAAAGGCTACTCTTTTTAGTCTTATGTTCTGTCTTCTATTATATCATAACCCATACTAAATGTTAAATTATTAACACCTGTGCTGTCTTCCTCTAGAAGCTTTATATATCCCTGCCTGTCTGATTTGTTACTTAAGTCTCAGATTGTTGCGCTGGTTGCTTGCCAAGCTTTCATATATTCACTGTTCCTGTATTCTATGACGTCGTCGGTTCGGGACCATCCTTGCATCCTTGCGAGAAATGTTTTGTGTGTACCTGGAACCCACGACAAGAGAGCGACCACAAATGCGTCAACAGCAAGCCAAACCCAATTGTTTCTGAAATACATAGGATTTCCGATGCAGAGTTTCTACTATCTAAATAATCGATTGATCAACTTCCTCGACCAGTAGCTCTCGGCGCGCGACGAGGAGCTCGTCCGGTGGCAAATGTCGAACCTTCCACCGAACTACGAGCCAGCAGATGAGCTGCCGGCAGTATTTATCGGGCCAGATGGTACAATCGAATACCCCTCCCTTATCCCGCCTCATGTCGAGTTCCCTTGCACCACACCACGGGGCACACACATACAGCGGCCGGTCACGGTCAAGGCGCCCGCTGGAGAGGGACTTGGAGTGAACGAGCCTTTTCCAGATCAACGGCTGGGTGATGCCTCGACGTGCGGCAAACCATTACCATATAGACCGTTGAACCAGGAGGCTGGAGAGGTTGGCGAAACTGGCCCTGGAGCCCTAGAGAATCCACCGAGGGATGTATCGCCACCTTATCTAAACCACCGCCCTTCGCCGGTGATAGGATGGCGGACAGAGCAACCGGAGCCGGCGAGGAGACATAGGATGTCGCATGGCCGTCGGGCAACCGAAGGTTCTGGGCCCACTGGCCTGGTTTTGACCCCTACAGCTAATGGGGTCAACGCGGTTGATTCAGCTGATACGAGTGATACATCGTCGAGCTCACCATCATCATCCGAAGAATCCTCATCAGAAGAAGATGAAGAGCCTCAGGGGGTTCTTATGAAAGCGCAGAGTTGGGTTGGGCGGGGACGTAATAGAGCAGATAGCGACCCCAAGTCGTCAAGGAGGTCATCTACAAACGCGAAAGCTCGAAACCGCTACAGGAAATTCAACCTGGGGAACGATAAATATAAATCGTCTGGAAAGGTGTCGAAGAATGACGGGCGGCTGAAGATTAGTGTGAGCGACACGAGCAATACTGGGTATCTGGCCAAGGCACTGGGGGCAACGTTTCAAAGACGCGTAGGACATGAACCTGAGCTAAGCCGGCCAAGCCCCAGTGGTACGGAATTCAGTTCGAGACACAAGCCATTAGCGACATGTTCGGACTGGAGCTATCCTAAGCAGCAGAAGAAGCTCTCACTGAATGTTGTGATTATGGTGATTGGTAGCAGAGGAGACATCCAGCCGTTCCTCAAGCTCGGAAAGGTGCTCAAAGAGAATCACGGACATCGCGTCCGAATCGCAACACATCCAGCATTCCGAGATTTTGTGGAGCAAGACTCCGGTCTGGAGTTTTTCTCAGTCGGCGGCGACCCAGCAGAGCTTATGGCCTTCATGGTCAAAAACCCGGGCATGATCCCCACTATGGAGACTCTTAAAAAGGGAGAGGTGGGAAGAAGACGAGATGCAATGGCAGAGATGTTCGAAGGTTTCTGGCGTGCTTGTATCAATGCTACCGACGACGAGCATGATGTTCACAACCTAAAAATGATGGGCACAAAAGGGCCATTTATTGCTGATGCCATCATCGCAAATCCCCCGTCATTTGCGCATATTCATTGTGCGGAGCGTCTTGGTATCCCTCTACATCTCATGTTCACCTTCCCATACACGCCAACCCTTGATTTTCCCCATCCGCTTGCGAATATCAAGAAGACAAACGTTGACCCGGGGTATACGAACTTTATGAGTTATCCACTGGTGGAGATGATGACTTGGCAAGGTCTGGGTGACTTAGTGAATGGCTTTAGGGTTAAGACTCTTGGCCTTGAGCCAGTTTCGACACTTTGGGCACCAGGCCAGCTCTATCGACTAAGGGTTCCGTACACCTACATGTGGTCGCCAGGCCTGGTCCCCAAGCCAAAGGATTGGGGCCCAGAAATTGATATTGCTGGTTTCGTATTTCTCGATCTCGCATCGTCCTTCGAACCGCCGGAAGAGCTAACGAAATTCTTGGACGATGGGGAACCACCAATATATATCGGCTTCGGTTCAATCGTGGTTGATGACCCGAACAGGTTTACCCAAATGATCTACGAAGCAGTAGAGATTGCTGGTGTCCGTGCTTTGGTGTCCAAGGGATGGGGCGGATTCGGTGGAGATGATTCTCCAGAGAATGTCTTCTTGCTGGATAACACGCCTCACGACTGGCTATTTCCTAAGCTGAAAGCGGTTGTTCATCATGGTGGAGCTGGGACTACAGCAATAGGCCTCAAATGCGGTAAACCGACTCTCGTTGTCCCCTTCTTCGGCGACCAGTTTTTCTGGGGGAATATGATTGGGAAGGCAGGCGCAGGAGCCGAGCCGATTCCATACAAGGAACTCACAGCTGAGAAGCTGGCAGAAGGGATCAAAACACTACTGGAAAGCAAGACCCAGAAGAAAGCCGAGGAAATCGCCAAGAGCATCGAAAAGGAAGGTGATGGCGCCGAAAACGCGATCAAGGCGTTCCAACGTGGGCTGGCTATTCGGAACGAGCAGTCCATGCGATGTTCCATCCTTGATGAGCGATTAGCTGTTTGGACGCTCAAAAAGACGAACCTTAGATTGAGCGCTTTGGCAGCAGACTTTCTTGTGGCTTCGAAAAAAATCAAGTGGAAGCAACTCAGACTTCTGAGGCATGTCGAATGGAATGATTTTGAAGGGCCCGGGGAGCCTGTAACGGGAATCGCCTCTACTATTGCTAAGAATTTTACTTCTGCCGCTACAGGAATAGCTTCTATCCCATTTAAACTGGCTCAAAGCGCAAAAACACGCAAGCACCATGAAAACAAAAAGGCAAGAAAGGAGCGTAAGGCTATCGCTAAGGAAAAGCGAAGGCAAATGCGTAGTGCGCCTGTTCAGAGCTCATCCTTTGCTCCTGGGAATTCAAACAATGGAGCTGGACAGCCGCAAAGTCAGCAAACCGATCCTCTTGAAGCTACTATTGCAAGGCGAGATCTCCTTCCTCCTAACCAGATCCCGAATGTGGTAGCATTCACGCAGGGTGACACGGCTGCAGAACAGATTCAGGGAGGACGTCCTGAGGGGTCTCAGGCTGGAGGGGACCAATCTGTCACAGACAATGACTCTGTCCTAACTGCAGAAAACCCTCAAGGGTATGCTGAGGAGATTGCTGGGGATATTACAGGCGGATTGAAAAAGAGTGGCTGGGCAATAATAAAGAGTGAGTTTCCCAAGCGCTCCATATGAAATCAGCTCTAACTATAACTCTGCAGCACCCATCGATCTCTCGACGGCGGTAGTCCAGGGGTTCCACAACGCCCCCCGCCTTTATGGTGACGAGACTGTTCGCCGCCCTACGCGCATCACAGGCATACACTCTGGACTCAAAGCCGGAGGCAAGGAATTCATCTTCGGCATCTATGACGGCTGGACCGGCCTGGTACTCCAACCGTACGACGGGGCCGTCCGCGACGGGCCCGTGGGCTTCATAAAAGGCACCGGGATGGGCCTCATGGGCTTCGTCCTCAAGAACCTCTCGGCAGCCATTGGGCCATTCGCGTACACGGCCAAGGGCGCGCAGAAGGAACTCCACAAGGGCAAGCAGCCGACGAAGTTTCTCCGCCGCGCGAGGATAATTCAGGGGCAGCGCGATCTCGTTGCGCTGAGCGACGAAGAGCGGGCTGTGGCATCGAAGAGGGTCGCGCACGGGTGGGCGGTTATGGAGGAGCTGTGGTATGAGATGGCGGAGGAACGGCGGGGCCGGTTGTTTGGCCATATCAAGGCGGTGCGTGAGCGCAAGACGTGGCGCATGGAGGTGCGATTTGACAACACATTCATGGCAGAGAAGGCACTCGAGGCGCTGCACCGCGGGGATGGAGAGTGTCTGGAGACGATTTTCGAGCACCAGAGGAGGCAAATGGAGGAGGAGCGCATGTTTACGAGGACGGCGGCGAGAAGAGATAGGGATGTTGGGCGTGACAGGGCAACGAGGGCAAAGAGGGTGACTGAGTTCTTGGCTAGGGAGGAGGAGGAGCAGCGTAGAGCGGAAGGGTTGGGCGGCGTGGGCCCGGTTATTGAGCGGCCAAGAGGGTATGGTGATGGTGGTGTGGAAAATTCACAGAGCCAGAGGGATACGATGGATAGAGTGAATACCAGAGAAGTTTAGTGCTATGGAGAATGGGTTTGTACTTTGGTGAAGGTCTTGAGAATACCTAGTGACGCGGGCATACAGGCGGGCTAAACATATACCACCTTTATTTATAGACATCTATAGCACATACAGTACATATGATATGTATAATGGAGACAACAATAATCAACTATGAAAGCAAAATGTGATATATTATCTATTTATTAACTTACCTCTACTAATACCCATCTATATAATCAAAAAAAATCAAAATTAGTGGTGATAAAGTATAATAGGCATCTCCAGCCCGTCCTTTCCAAAACGTTCCTAGCCTGCTACGGAATTCTACCACTCCTCCTTCAGGGAACGCCTCCAAAAGGCAGATATCAACACACGAGCCGCCTTCTGGTTGGCCACAACCGAGTGGATCACAGATCACGCTTGGTTGTTGCCTTGCGCCGTAGGCTTTTGCTCTTTGGCGACGGGTAGCGGAATTGAACAACCCCTCTCAACCTCCGCACTCGTCAAGGGGACTCCACCGCTTAATGTAACGGGTGCGTAGTGGGATTTCATCCAGTAGGACGCGTCACGGGGTATTGTGAATCTTTCTGAGTTTGCAGGTGCCGCCTCAACAAGAGGGGTCTCTTTCGCCTGATCTTCAGGTTGCTTCTTGGCTGGGGTTGGGATCTTTGAGGTTGTTGGGACCTTTGGAGGCTGCCCATCGGAGGGTATAGGCGCTGAAGCTGACTTTGGCTGCTGCTGGGGCTGAGTAGGCTTGTCGGAGTGTACAACCACTGGAGTTGACTTTGGCATCGAGGGTTGAGTAGACTGGTCGGAGTGCACGGCCTTTGAAGTTGGCGTTGGCTTTAAGGATTGGGTAGGGTGGTCCGACTGCACAGACTTTGAAGTTGGCTTTGTCTTTGTGCCTTGGTCCATCTCCGCTTCGGCCATCCCCTTCCTGAACGTGGCCTGCAGTTTCGAGAATTCTGAACCTGGAAGCTCTGCAAGATCCTTGGCTGCTTCACGGGATCGTTTTTCAGCAATATCCTCTGCGATCCTTTTTCCTTTGTCGAGACGCATCCCCATTGCCTTTGCCTGTACTTCTGTAGGTGCATCGAGTGCCTCTGATGTCCCGCTACCACCGGCTTGCTTTTTTGGAGGATAACCTGGCAGCAGAGCAATATACTTCTTGTCTCTCCTTAATGACGCATCTTGAGCCATAATAAGATCCGCACGAACACCCATAATTTCTTCCTTCATTGCATTAGCTGAAGCCTTCCACTGGCGCAAGTCATATGAGCAGCTGCCTTCCATAAAGCTGAGCTTTTTTTGGAGCGTCGCTAGCTCTTCCCGTAATACAGCCTCGTTTTGGGAATGGCTGTCGCAAACTGCCTTGTGGTCGTTGACAAGAAGCTCCATATCAAGACGGTGTTGTATAATCAGTCCACGATTCTCTTGGGATGATTTCTCATGTGCTCGGTGAAAGTTTGTAGCGGTATCCATCGCTGCCGCGTAAGATCGCTGCCCTATAACTAAATGGGCTTGAAGATTCCGAATTATATTATCCATCTGACGAATTTGTTCGTCCCGATGCCCTATAGCAACCTGAGCCTCTCGGGCGCGTGCTTCGAAGTCATTCTTGCTGGTTTCCTCCAAATCCACATGGCTCTTCATCTCCAGCGCTAGTTTGGCCTCGGCGTCTCGGCATTTTGTTGTTCATCCGAAAGCTCAGTGCTGAGAGTTTGGAGCTTATGCTGGAGGTTGCGAGATTCTTCGGCGCCTTTGTTGAGGCGGGCCATCTTTCTTGCCACTTGATTCTCCAGAGTTTTGATTTGATTCATGTAGAACTCTCTCTGTGCATTGGCGTCCCGTTTTAGGTCGTCGATTGTGCCCTGCCTCTGCTTATGGGTGTAAACCGACCCATCTGGAGCCTTGACTTGCTTAAGCACCGCAATATACCCTGATACTCTGGCATCGAGATCATTAATTTTCTCAGTCTGATCCTTGATTTGCGCGCAGGCTCCGCGATATTGCACTTTTAGATCGCCATTCTCGCGAAAAACTTCTTTCCTAATCTTCAGAGCCTCTGCGAGTTCAGTATCGAACTGGTCCTGTTGAGCTTGCATGGATTCGGCGTGCTTGAAATAAGCGTCGTTGAGTTGTTCCTTGAAAACCTTGTCATTGTCTGATATTTCCTTTTCAGCCTTCCTTGCCCTTGCCTCCAGAGCCTCACTGATACGCATCATATTTTGTATTTGGAGCTCATGTATATTCAAGTTGGCATCAGGCCCATCCTCAAAAGTCCAGCTTCCCCCATCAGATGCGTTATCGCTGTTGACGCTATTGACGCTTTCAGGGTTGTCCTCAGCAGATTGTGAAACTTCCAGCAGCCAACTGCGCTTCTGCAATTCCGGAGTGACCACTAAGACAGGATCGTCGTGCACATTTCCGTCTGCGCTTGGATTGATAACATCTGTTGTCTTAGTGTCACAGCCAGTATTATTCACAAGATGCTTGCCGTTGTCACTGTCAACATTTTGCTGCAGCCTGTCGTTTATACCTTCATCCGGATTGTTGCATTGATCTCCTACTTCTGGACGGCTGAACTGGGGCGATTCTTGGAAGCAGTTCTCGTCGGCCACCTTGTAGCCCATCTTTCTCGTTGCAGAACTGGCCTGATTCACTCTGGAATGTAACAGGGGCTTATTTATCCAAGCCAAGTGCTGCTATTGCTAGCTCCCTCTTGGTTTATTTTTTGTTGGCAATCATAGTTTGTGATCTTTATTGGCAAAAGGAAGCAGTGGGGTATGAGAAGTGATATCTGTGTAAATACAGGGAAAATACGAGATGGAGTAAAAAGGGAAAGAAAGACTCGGACCATATATAAGAAGAACACGCAGAATCACGCCGTTATAGCCTCGGAAGCTTACTATCAGTCCCATGGAATCGAAATCAAACTGGCGCCTGACACATCTCAAGATATGCGGATTTAGTGCCTGTCCTGGCTTAACGCTATGTTTGAACCATGAACCCCAGACGTCCTCCTGAAATACCATGCACCGACGTTCCACACCCTGTCTGTTATTATCCATGAGTGTCTCAGTGTCTACCGTGGTATTTCGGGGTTTGTGCCTTCCAGTGACTTCGACGCAATTATAATCCCAAAATGGCGGAACATGCCATTCTTAGCCAGATGTCTTAAACAGCGGCATCTGACACATCTAGCGGCGGGTAACTCTTGATAGTGTCTCAGTGAAAACGCGGGAATCCAATTACTAAACTTAATATTCGTCAAACGGATTTGTGGCGTGATAGTTACCACCCAGGCCATGTTGTCATCGCTATCGCCAAACGTACGGTGATGTTATCATCCACTAAGAAAAAGGCAACAGTAGACTGGAATCAGTTGAAATGATATACACAATTTCCCCATGACAATAGAGTAATTCCTGAACCTAACCTTCAACTCAGTTTGGTAATGGGAGAATGCCTTGCTCTTTCTCTTCGGACGTCAGAAGTCTAAGTGGGTAGGTAATGTCGTTCAAACAAGCAACTATGGATTCAGATGGGAAGGCGGGGCTTCCTAGTCGTTGAAGATCGAGCTAGTCCTATTAAAGTATACGGTCCCGTCAAAGTACGAAGTACATATACAGTATACTGTCGATCACCCCACAGATGGCACGAGTGCAGCTGCGTCTGGGCTGATATCAACAACGCCGTTACAGTTGGTGGTCATGGCTCGCTCGACCACGCTGGGTGTGTTGATTTGTGGATCATGGCTGGACTATACAACTTGTGTACAAGTTCACTTAATAGCAAGTTTTCGTGGTGTGTAAAACCAATTTATTCGAATTGTTAAATCTACAGTCTCGAATATTAAATCCCAACAAAAACAATTTCTGTAGTATCCAGGTATCGACACTCCAAAATAATATCCCCATATGGATACCACGACAATGCAGCCGGTAAAACTCCTTCCTCTCCCATACAGGAAAGACCGTAAGCTACATCCGACTATCACCTCCGAGCCCTTTTCATATATCCGTAACTCCTGTTAAACTCCAACATTGAACTATGCGTCCATATCCCGTCCCTTCATTACGTATTCACGTCCATCATTGCCGTCATCATGTTTTTAATGCAGGCGGCCCCGAAGCGTTCAGCCTCTTGAATTCATTCCCTCCAGCCATATCCTCCTCGTCTAGTGGCCGTTTACCGTTCTCATTCGTGTTTGTTGTTGGGTTACTGCTTCCTGGTTGCTGTGTGGTGATCTCCGACGACTGCTGCGCAACCGCAGTCGGCTGTGGCTGAGCAGCAGCCGCAGGAGAATCGTTATTGACTGCTGATTGGTACAGTAGTTTTTGGTGACCTTCGTTAGATTCTGTGCCAGGCGCATTCTGAACTTGATGTGGTGTCAAGTCACCTGAAGCTGAAGTGGTGTTTGCAGCTGGAGGAGGAGCGGGTGATGCGCTGGTGGTGGCCCGGAAGGAGGGGTTAGCGGAGCTACTGGAATTGGCTCGAGTCATCCCTGGAGTCATCATAGGCGGTCGAGGAACAGAAGGGCCGTTTGGTCGATTGTGGGATTGGCCAATAAATGTAGGTCTTTGCACAGCGGGACCTGGTGTTGGAGCCTTCTTGGCGGCAGAGATGTCGGAGGTTGCATGAGCTGCGTTTCCTGTTGGCGCAGGGGTGAGTTGGGCCAAGGCCTGTCTTGGCGCAGCCTCCGTTTGTTGCGTGCTTTGCTGCATTGTATTTGTCCCCAATTGGGCGGGAGGTTGCTGAAAAGTGCCGTTGTTAAACTCGGGGAATCTTTTAAGCATCGATTTCAGGGCAGCCATAATTTGATCCTCTAACTTCAAATCAGATTCTACCACCGTAGCTGTGCTCTGAGAAGTAACCCCCATGACACGGTTGATAGATGACGCAACTAAAGCTTCGGCCTTGTTATTCTTTGGCTTCATAGTAGCAACCAAATTTGTCCGAAAGCTATCAATGGCTCGCCACATTGCGTTATCCGGTTGTGGGGGCCCTTGCTCAATCGGTCGGGGTTGTTGTGGAGTTTGGTAAGGCACACTTTGAGGGGGCGCTTGGCTAGGATTGTGAGATGTATTTGGTGGCGCTTGTTGAGTGGGATTAGCCGGTGGCTTTGGAGCATATGGCGAACTGTAAGTATTGCTCGTAGCACCCATGGGCTGAGCAGTCGGTAATGCGGAAGGGAATCCTGGAGGAGGTGCGCCGCCATTCATGGAGTGCTGTCCTGGTGGAAGCGGGTATCCATTCATGGGCTGCCCAGCGTATTGTGGAGGTTGTCCTGGCCGTAAATGGGGCGGCATGTGGTTCATGGCATAGCCAGGAGGCGGCATCATACCAGGAGGCCCATGCATCATATGAGGATGCGGCCCAGCACGGTATATCGGTTGTTGTAAATGTGGAGGCAACTGATGAGGAGGAGTGGGCCGTCTCTTTTTCTCCTTCTCGATGGAAACTCCGTCTACGATAGCCCACATCCAACCCTTCCCGTCTCTCTCAACCTTCCTAAAAGCGTGGTGCTGCGAAAGATTGTGCCTGACACTACTTTGCCAGCCATTTGTGTTGCACTTAAGCACGAAGAAAGGATATCTACGCTGTATGGCGCGATATATCTGTGGTAAGGACATTTGACCTGTTGGCGAGTTGCTGAGAGCTTCATGAATAAGGGTGACGTAGTTTGCTTGAGGCTTCGCTAGCTGCTCTGGAGTAAGATCTGCCTCGTTGAAAGTAGGTGACGGAGAGCGAGGTGGTTTTGTGGACTTTTTTTCCTTCTTTTCTTTGGAGGGTCTATCGTCCTCCCAAGAGCCCTCCTGCTTGGATACGAGAGCATCCGGGTCCTTAGGCTTCCGCTTGGTGTACTTCCTTTTTTCGGTCTTGACCGGAGATTCCTCTACTGGATTCTTCCTAGGTCTACCAACTTTGTTCTTTCCGGACGTGTCCGGCTGTGAAACCGTCTTTTGCGCAGCTCTCTGCTGTGCCTCCTTCTTGGCTAGCTGCTGCTCCCGTTTCGACATGATGCCATTTTTAGGTGGACGCCCGGGGCCTCTCTTCTTTTGTGGCATGGGCATCGACTCTGGAGTTTCTTTGGATTGCTCATCTTGGTCATCATTTCCATACTCCGCCTCATCCGGTACCTCTGACAGTTCGCTGTTGTCTTCTTCGATATCGCTCCCTTCTTGTTGCTCTCCAAGTTCATCTCCGTCTCCTTCTTCGTCGTCTTCACCTTCAATCCCTAATTTGGGCCGATCTGCATCATCCGATACTTCGTCACTGCTATCTCCAAGTAGAGCGCCTTCACGAGTGGCATCGTCGAAATCGAAGCTCATTTCCTTTCCTCCTTCGACATACCGATCTTGTATACCAGATTCTCCGTGCTCAGCTGGGATTTCAGCGCCTGTTTCCCCAAGTGCAACGTCAGGCAGCACAAAGCGCACAACGACCCCCCCAATCTGAAGATAGCTGCCACTCTTCAAAGGAATAACATCCTCATGATAGTAGAAAATCTCGTCCACAAACGCGCCATTCCGCCCGATGATTTCGGCTTCAAAGAGAGATTTCTTTGAATTGTAGGCAATCTTTACATGCCGCCGGGAGATGGCCTTGTAGCCGCTTGCAGGAGTGGTGGCGGGTGGATGGATTCCCACCAAAGGGCAATCGTGTGGGGAAGGTCGTAAGGATGCCGGGTCAACAGGTACTGCTCCGGCGGTTTCGGGGGCATGCCGACGAGCTTGGGGCTGGGCCTGATACTCAATTTTGCCGCTTGGTTGCACCAATGACTGCCTCCTAGACACTCGGTTTGACGAAGACCCGGTAGATTTTGACTTCTTGCTGGCTTTGCGGTGCATGCGACGCCTCGAACGTTCGTCGCTGTCGGAATCATCGCCATCTCTGAGGATACCACCACTTTCGCTAATGACGGACTTTGTATATTTGCTCTCCTCCCTTTTGATCCGAACCGGGGTTTTTGGCTCTCCCCCAATGCTGTGCTCGTCCATATTCGCTTTTGCCTCCTCCGCATCTCGCCTCATGGCATTTCGGGCAGCTTGGCGATCTCGCCCCAGTATTACCGAGTAAGTGTTCATATAGAATTGTCCGTCCTCGAACTCGAGAAGAGCATATGCTGAGATTCGAGTCTCATCATTATGACGGGTAGGCTGCGGCATCTCGGCGTAAGGTCCGTTGGAATCGTTTGTGTTATCCATCGAGATGTCGTTTCCAGAGAGAGTTGCCATTGCGGACGCGTTCAGAGCTTCAGCTAGTCCTGGCGGGGCCTGATATTGCAGCATATGTGACAAAGCACGCAGTTGTTCGTAGTCGCCAAGGGGGACGCGGGGATATTCCGTGTCATCGTCGTTGTTCTCTGGTGTCCGAGGGATTGCCGGCTCCATGATAAGGTCACTTTTAATTTGAACTGGTTGTGATTCGGCCGCGGCGCTTTCCACATTTGGCCCAACATTATCATTGTCTGCACTGATCTGGAGCTGCTCAATTGAAGTGACCCGTTCTGCGTATTCCGGGTTCGCATCCTCTCGCGCCGTGGCTACTAGGATGTCATTCGCTCCCGGAGCGGCGTTATCTCCAGCGGTGAGTTCGAAGTTGGTTGGCCTATCATCAAAAGCAGTTGTGACCATAGTGGCAACAGCCTCATCTGAGGCAGCATGCGGTGAAGTCATCGCTGTCGCTCGATAGTAGTGACAGCTCTTTCACCGGCAGTGAATCCGTCCGATAGGTGTCAGGGTACGCTCAGTCGCGAGAAGGCAAAGGGCGGGTTCTGATTGCGACAATTAGTACTTTCTGCGCATCCATGTTAGCGCCGTTATCACGTGATATTATGGAGGGGTGACCCATGAACGACATACGAACAATGATGGAAGCAACAAAAAGACTGGGGATTCCTATCTCGACATTTCCACGGGAATAGCAATGCTTTTATGGAAAGCAGCAATGTTAATTTATAGTATACACGGATCCTTCGGATGGCTTTCTTCGGGAAACTTAAAAATGGGCTCAGGCGTTCTGGCCTATGACTGACTTCCTTTGAGAAGCACGAATTGTAATTGCTCATGTTCTGGTTTGGAGCGTTACTAGCCTGATCAACGGTCGCGTCTACCAAGCGCAAGTTTAGACTCAATTTCTTCTCTGTGTGGTCTTATTTCCCTTCCATTCTGCGCTAGTACTTCATTATAGTCCTAAATCCAGCAGCAGTGGTCGCTGACGTCACATTATTCCCAAATCTTGATATCAACTCTTTATATCAACTGTCATTGTGCTTTCAATGGGTTCAAATACAACCAGTTACTATATCTCAACATACTTATATCTCACCAATCTGGTGCTATTTTGCCAGCAAGTAGCTGACGTGGCCGGCATGTCGATTCCTTTTGTCCCAATCGCCTTTACAAATGACAATCCTTGTCACATCAAAATTGTTGGACCATGCCTTGCAATCCCAGTGGTTGTTGTACTAGCTGTATGATTATCACTTCTCAAGCCTCCACTGTCTCTATCTGACTCTCTTAAGGTGGTATGCTGGCCGGCATCGCTCTTCTGTGGATGTTGTGCTACCGAGAGGGGAACGCGGTATGTTAGAACATTGTTCTACTCTAAAAATACTTGAGCTGATCAGCGTCAAAAACGAAGCACTGCGATGCTGCCTAATAAAACATACGGCGATATCGTAAATGCAATACCCATATAATGGGACATTCTATCCATAGTGGCATGCAGATTAGATATCTTCCAACATCATTTATTTCAGCCCGATTGAGGGCTTTGTATTAGGAACGATTAGTTGATCAGTACTATATATATATACTGGCAGGAGACTTTTGTATAGACTCAGAGTTGAGTATCGCGAGCATTATCATTAAATTGTGATATTGAAGTTGTCATGGGAGATAAATTCATAAAACATCAAATGCAATTGCTTCATTATCTCTGCCTTGAATACCTATATTGAAGTAGCAGAAGAGGGAAGCAAAGGCGGCCTGGTTCCATTTTCAAGCAGAGATGATTTGAGGCTAGGTTATTCGTACCTCTGCTAAGCATTTTTTTGTTTACAACTTCTTTCGAAATTACCTGACACGCCTAAGTGCTTACTTTGTTTACTCCTTGCTCCTCAAATTCACTTTTCACTTCCATTGCTTTCATTTCCTGCCGTCTTTCAATCGTTCAGTTCGTGCATCCGAATGCTGAACACAATAACTTCCACTACACTCATTGATAGTCACCTTCAAGCTTGCAATTTTTGCTTCCAAAAGCTTAGACACATTCACGCCTGCCACACTCATTAAATTGTCTATTCCAATATTACAATTCCTGCATTGGAAAGCTGTACACATAAACTTCTATTACGCTCATTGTCCATCACCATTCAATCTTACAATTCTTGTATCCGAGACTCCGATGTCCACCACTCACAATGGGCCGAGTGAATAGAAAGAGAGCTCAGAAGAGCTTTGATGCTCGTCATCGCAGTACACGCTTTCATCGTGCTACTCGTTTCAGTATGATCTCTACAGAATATCTATTTTATCCTACTGACATAAATAGGAGCGTTCAGATCTGCACTAAAAGGCGTTGAGAGATTACCTGACGAATTCGTGAAAAACCTCAGATGGTTTACGCCATGTCTTGGTTAGTGGCCTCACTCCCTACTTGATGAAGTCCATACTAATTCTTGGTAGGCCATCGCCGCGAGGCTTCTCAAAATAACGCCCACCTTCTACCCGAAGGGTATCTGACTAACCATGCAGACGCACCTGGATATATTCCTGTTGGCAATAGGGCTCCCCAAGACTTGCAAAACAAGCAGAGAGCTCTGAAAAACTTTTTGTTTTCTTCTAGAAAGACCCGTGTACGCGGGCACGATGCACGAAAGCGCAGTCTACCCCATCCAAACTACATGGGGATCTCACCGGCAATCTTGCTGGAGATGATGGTCAAAGTCGCAAAGGTTAAATGGAAACCGCCACCTATTTTGGGACACGCAAGTACAAGCAATGCGATTATGCTGCAAGCTGCGATGTCAGAGGACTCGCCAACAATGGTTTCGGTGAAGAATATCGAAGGAATACAATATGCCCTCGGTTTTCTTAGCAATCTCCCAGAAAATGTATTGCCAACATTTGTACAGAGAAATTCGACGTTGAAGAGGTTCATACGGCGAATGGAAACACACAATACCTTTACCGCATCAGGCCATAGCGAAAAGCCGAAAAATGATCTGGGCATTATAGAACAGACGGTTAACCAACTGCAACGCCGTGACCTGGTAAAGCCATACCTTGACAAGTTGACTGCTTATTCTTCGGGGCAGAAGGATTTCAGCGTGGATGCGGAGACTTTGATGCAGAAAGTTCTCGTTGACGCAACAAATAGTGCTGCTCTAACCCCACGTCCAAGAGAAGGCGAAGTCGATATGATGATGGTGGATTCCAATGAGCGAAATCTGCCGAAACTTCACCTTGATACGTCTCAGAGGCGTGCGGTGATCTCACTCCAAGGTAGCCGCTGCAATCCTATTAATCTTGAAAACATTGGTTTGCCTCAAGGTCTTTTTCAAGAACTTCCAAATCCCTTTCTTCACTCACTCGAAGGTGGCCGTTGCAATCCTATTAATCTTGAAAACCTCAGTTTGCCTGAAGATCTTTTTCAAGAACTGCCAAATCCATTTCTTGACAAGTCTTCAAACGTCGCGGCGATTAATCTCATAAATATTTCTCAGGGACAACCGGATGCCGTTCTTGGCAAAAGGCCTCGAATTGTCATGACGGGAGATCCTGCGCTGTTGGAACTTTGTCCTGAAGAGGCAGCCATGCATTGGAGGTTTGACCGTACATTGTACGTAAGAGCCCCCGAAGCAGCTCGCGCAGCCATAACAGCTCCACCGCCTTGCCATCATGCGCCATGCATGTATAGCACTTGCGAAAATTACTTGAAGAAGCGTATCACGTCTCCTTTTCGCGAATTCCCTATGATAGGTGGACCAGGAGGACAGTATATGACAACCCCATTTAATTTCGGGGACCACGTTGAAGGCGTGCAGTTTTTATCAGCGGCAATCAATGCCGATAAAACTCGTAAACCGGGTAAGTCATGAAATTCATTGCTGCGCTATAGGTAACTGACAAATATAGACCTTGCGAGACAAAAGACAGTCCAAAAAGCAGCTGAAGTTCAGAAGTATAGGAGACCGATTCACAGATATTCACAGGCATTGCAGCAGACGAGACTTGCTGAAGGACATCCTAACTGGCACGACCTGCCATATCCAGCAATATCTCTCGAGGAAATATCATCTTTGGAATTGGAACTCACTGAGGCTGACAAGAGCTTGGCCCGCCGCATGCTCATGGATGAAATAATTAAAGATACACCTGAGCGGCGCAAAAAACTAGAGGAATATGATATCCAGACCCTTTTTCCAGAACTACAGCCAATCCAGCACGAGTTTGAAGAAAATGGGTATTCCGAGCCGCGTGCAGTGCAACATGAGCCTACCACGGTATCCAAAGAGTCTATTGCAGAAGACCACTGCAGTAATAAGGGCCAATCTGGACATGGATCAAAGCGTCATCAAGCCTCTCCTAAAGAAGAACCCCGGCCACGATATTTCAATTTTGAGCTGGAAATCAAAGCGACTCTTCTCGATGGTCCTCCGATATTCCGTCCAAGGAGTCCTTCGCAAATGTCCACATCGTCTGAATCTGATGTCTTTGTAGACTGCGAAGAAGAAATCTCTCTCGTTAGATCTTCTCCACCAAAAGCAGAGGCAGAAACACACCCTGAGATAGATAGCGATGAGGTTATGCTGCGCTTTCAGTTTGCTTCTGGACCGGTTTACACCCGAAATACAAATTTGTATTCGACTTACAGTTCAAGCTTGCCAGAAAGTGCAGAGTGCAACCAGCACCCCACGAGAACAAACCAGGCCAACAAGGAGCCAACATCAATCTTTGCCGGAGAAACGGCATTCTCCAACCTAACAATTGCAGATATGCAGCCGAACAGCATGCCTGGTACTGGATTTCCTTCAGAGGCATCACCACAAGCAGCAGTGTCTACTGATTCTATTCTGGTATCAGTATCACCATTTGCCCCTAAGTCCCTGGCTAGCGAGCCGATGGTCAAATCATGCCCCAAATGCGACAAGAGGTACAAATACAACGGGGCCCTCAAAAGGCATATACAGAGCTGTCAAGTTCCAGGTATCCCTGAAGAATCTCCCCTACCACATCCTTGCCCCACCTGTGGAAAAATATACAAGAAGCTAGGGAACCTCTGGCTTCATATTGCTACATGTAACTCAAAAAACAATAAGTTTCAAGCCACAGGATTTTCAAAGCAGGAAATTGAAGAAAAGAAGGCTTGTGGAAACTTGGTGCCGTTTCCACGTGATAATGCGAGAACTGCCTCTGGAAAGCCACTCTGTGAGGCGTGCAAATCCAAATTCACTTCAAAGAGGGAGTTGGCCAAGCATATCAAGGCTGAATGTACGACATTGCGTGCCCAGGGTTCATACGGCAGAAAAAATAATAAGCAACTTGGGGCCCCGCTTGCATTAAGCTTCAAGGAGCCGATGTCTGCCTCGGATTTTGAAAGCTCAGATGCCGAGAGCGTTGCTGAAATGACTTCTAGCATATTCGCTACTCCAATTGGCAAATATGGTCAAAATTCTGTGCGAGCAGAAAGGCAATCAACAAAGGGCGATGCTTCTGGAATGGACTGCGGAGTGAGGAAAGGCTCCATGGCAGAACAGTTGGAGCTAATTTATGGACCACAATCCAAATATCGTACTCCTACTAACCTAATGTCCTACTACTCATCCAATATCATGGAGAATCCAGCTCTGGGTGATTATTCCGGAACAAATGGAGCAAAAAATGGTAATGATTCTGATATGGATGTCAGCCCAACACCAGAGCCGAAGTCGCACAATGTTGGAAAACTTTCCAGGCTTGCCTCGAACTTGAGCTCAGGGCAACGACCAACCAGAATAGGAATGTCTCAAGGCTCGGAACCAATCGTCGGCGGCGAAACTCCAGCGTCTGTCTCACGTGTCCTCGTCCTCGAATCTGGACTGTCGGAGCTACAAGATACCAAGCCCCAACCTACTAGTCGAAAACTTTTCTCCCATGCCTCTAACATGGCTGGTATGTCCAGTCACTCACTTCCTAAAGTTCAAGATCAGCAAGTTCTCAAGGGATTCGACTTGGACTTTCCACCACAGCCCACCTGCTTCTCACCCCACAAGGCTTCTGCAACTTTCCGCCGCAGGAGGCTATCAAAAGGGTTGGGACCATATCGCAGCAGGCTAGGATCTTTTGGGTCGGAGGTCGTCACTATCCGATGTGCAACCCAAGTCGTTTGTGATAAAATTGTCAATTTTCTTGGTAAATTCAAGGAAGAAGATGCCAGACCCCAAATCGTAGTTGTGTCGGCGGGTGAGAACGAGTTGACTGTGAAAGTCATTGTGCGGCCAGGGTTTGATATCACCGGGATTAGGATTGATGAACTACCTGGAGTTTTTGTGGAGAGTGCGAATAAAACGTTCATATTTGCGCAACCAGGTCCAGACGTTGGGAGTAATATTGAGAAAGGACGCCAGAGAAAAGCAAGAGGTTGAGCTGGGGACACCTGATGAGAAACCAGCTAAGAGGACAAGAGGATGGAATCTCACAAGGAAATACAGGGAGGAAGCTCGCCATCTTAATCACCACCGCTAGGTGCCGATAATGATGGCCATGGGTGGTTCTAGAAGTAAGAGATGCCAAGTGTTGCGCGAGAGGGCATCCATGTAGGATATTTGTTTGTATAACCATATCACAGCGTGTCTAGCCATCTGAGATTTGTGAAACATGAGTAAGGGCAAGAAAGGGACCGCAAACGGCAACCTCTTGAGCTTAGTTTCTATTTACTTCGGAGTAAAAGAAAGAATAGGCTTGCTCATGGGCATCCTACTGACACGAGTTTGATGGATATTACAGGTGTCGATCATTGCACTAAACTATGCACGAGGGCAGGCTAGCAATACAACACACTTGTTTTTAAAACCAGTCTGGATTACTTCGATGCTGTTGAGTCGTAAATTTTCTCCACTAAGACTGTTAATGTGACTGTTCAAATCAAAGAGTTTGCAGGCGAAATGGAACGCCTCTGTTAAGTGCGAACCATATCAAATTTTGAGCCGAAAGCTATATTAAAAGCTCTAAAGAGACTTAAGTATTAATAGGTTTAAGAACACTCAAATCCATACATACAATTTTCTCTGGAATGATCACACTTGTATTCCCTCCAACTTCTTAACAACCTCTTCATAAAATGTCATACTTAATGTCGCAGCCACCTCCCCTCCCGTCTCATCTTCACCCTCCTCAATCCCCAACTCCTTGCCGCCTCGCAAACATCTTCGAGCAACCTCCTTATACACCCCCCCCATCCTCGCGCCTAACTCGCTCACACTGCTGTCATCCAGAAGTTTTGCCCGGATAGTCTCAACTAGCTTCGGGTGTCCACGTGCACGCTCCAGATCAAAAACCTCGCCCCCCGCGATGCTGCTGCGAGAATGCTGCAGACTCTCGGTATGAAGCCGAGCCATTACCCTATCGATACTAGACCAGTATGCCAGCTCGACCAAGATAACTCCAAAAGAGTATATATCGAAACTTTTCCGATACGCAGGTCGTTCTGGACCCATGTTGAGTGTTGACGGATGGCGGTAAATGCCAAACTCCACATCATCCGCCGGTTGCTCGGTGAATTCACCAGGTCGTGCTGGCCGCGCAAAGTCGAACCCAGAGAGATAGGGTTCGCTGTAGTCCAGGTCTGCTGTACGGTTCTGCTGAACACCACGGCCGGTACGTGGGAAGAAGATAATGTTATCGCTTCGGAGTCCCTTGTGGAGCCAATTAACAGAATGAAGATACAGAATGCAGTTTGCCAGTGCCTTTGCAAGATCAACACGGTCGGTGATGCTTGGATTTGAGAGTTCAGTATCTTGTAGGAGTTGCAGAAGCGAAACTGGCGGCGTGGATGGGTCTACTCCATGTGGTTTCTCAAAGACGAAGCCGATGCGGAAAGCCCAATCATCTTCATCTTCATCTTCACCCTCTTCCTTTCCCTCATCCGACTCAGAATCCGAGTCTGAGGTTTGTTTGGGTTCCTTGTTTATTTCTGCATTGTCAAAGTATCCAAGGCAATGTGGAACACGGAAATGTGCTGGTTTGGGCTTATGATGTAGGAGAGCAGCGAGTTTCTGTGCCCGGTCGATAATCAACGGGGATGGGCCTGGTGTGCTTGAAGGAGCCCACTCATATTCTTTCCATTCGATCCAAACGCATCGGCTAATACCATCAACTAGATAGGTAGCTTCGCAGCGGGATGCCCGAACGTCGGAGTTAAACGTGATAGCAGATCTGCGGATTTTCATGGCCACCTTCTCGGCACTGGGGTCACCGAGTTTAAGAATGCTAGCGGTATTGTAGTCAGGCGGAGCGTCGGCTTCAATTGACTCATTGAATGCCTTGAACCTAGCTAACTGTGCAAGAGTCTCGAGCCCACTGGCATTGTTCTTTTTGCTGTGGGTGGTTTGATATGGTGGAGGGTCTGTGGTGACTTGACCTTGAAGAGAAAGAGTTGTCATAGCAAAGGTGGCCTTGACAATTTGTTGTAGATCTGCAAGTTCATGGTGTAATTGCAACACTGCTCTATTCGTATCTTGTGTTGTGTTCCATATCTCTCTTTGCAACCTCGTGTCAAGAAGGCCCGTCATATTGTCATTCAAGACAGAGAACTGTTGCAACAATATCTCGAAGTCGGCCTTATCAAAAGCCGCCCAACGAAGCCGCTTCATCCCGGACTTAGATGTATTCTTCCACGTTTCTAGTGCATTCATAATGTATTTCCTCTTTGTAGGTGAGAGAGGAACAGAAGTCTCATGGGTATCCAGCAGCAGTTCTGGAGCTGAGCCCAGCTTTTGTCCTCGCTCTTTGGGAACCCGCCTGTTCTCAGTATCTTCATACTCCGCACGTAACCTCATGTGACGTTTTTGCGTTATCTCAAAATCTTCAAAGAGGACCTTTATCTGAATCAGCAGATCGAGCACAGTTGATCTGTGAAGTCCAAAGACGTTGGACTCCAACAACTTTGAACTATTCTCTGGCCCATAATCCAACAGCCCGGACGCCTCACTCCAAGCCAACAACCTCTCCTGCTCGAGCCGTAGTCTTAGAACCAAATATTGCTGATCTTTATGGATATCTCTAGCCGTAATAATAAATTGTATTGCTGGAGATTATTAGTTATGGATATTGATAAGAAATTGACAGCTCCCTACTTGTGATGCATCCTGAGAATACTTGCCCAGCGAGACCAGCCACGCCCAGAACGATTCCAACCACAGAACCCGGGTCCATAACTAAGTATGACAATATATATGTGAGTAGAAGCCAACAGCTGTTCTTCTCGAAGCTCTTGCAGTTGCACGGATAGAGTATACACTTTGATCTATGCCATATTCACGACTTGCGATTATACAATGCCGCCTTTTCAGGGTTATTAATGGAATTAAATGCAATAAGCTCAGTCAATACCCCCACCCAATCAAAGATTGTTTGTCAAGGGCAATTTGGGGGTTTGTTTCGCCTTATGTCGTGGAGAAGGAAGTGTCTTGTCAGTCACACTGTGTACTTATTCGTGATCGGCGGTTAATCGGCGAAGCTAACACGTGATGCTATTCTCACATCGGTTAATAGTGTTGAGCACAAATTTGGACATACAGTAGTATATATACCGCCTAGCGGTATATAGACTACACTGTGTAGCGTACTTCTAGGAACGTAGTTCCAAGAGCCAGTATTGTCCCAAATGCCCAACAACTAGAGAAACTCTATTTACTCCTGCCAAACTCTACACTCTACTTTTTCCTATTCAACGTCCTGGGGGCGGTGGCCTGGGCCCCACAATTTGCCTCCTCCCGGCCCCAATCCCCTGATTACCCCTATTCTGACCATCTCCACCTGTATACCCAGTCCACTGATTCACATCCCATCGGCCTCCAATCCCTCCTCCAATTCCATCTACTCCATCCGTCTGTCCTCCCATCTTCGCCGCCTGCGCAGTTGCCTTCTGCCCCTCCTCCCATTCCTTCTGTCGCTCTCTCTCCATCTCCATCTCCCTCTCTAGCAGCGACTTCGAGGCCCAGCCACCTGCTTTGGTCTTCGTCTGGGATGCTGCTCGCCGGCGGTCTTCGGCATCACGCTCCGCAGTGGAGTCAAAGGCACCTAGCTCAGATGCGTAGGTTGTTTGTGGCTGCGCGGCTTGTGGGGCGGGGTTGGAGGAAAGGTATCGGTCTGTGCGGCTCTGAGGTGCCGCTGCTGCTGAAGGTGGGGATTGATAGACTGAAGGGTCAGGCAGCGGGCGCGAAGACGGGCCAGTATTGTTTTTCAAAACTCGAATAGGCGCTACTGGCTCAGGTAGCGGACGTGGTGGCTTTGAGGGGGCAGCCTCCTCTGTATGCTGAAACCCCCGTGGAGGCTGTGGCGGTGGTGCCTCGTCAGCAAACTGGTTGCTGCGCGAGGGTTTCGGCGGCGGAGTATCGTCGTGGTTTTGCTTTGACCATTCTTTGCGGAGGTAATCACGCTCATCAGCAACCCATGAATCTTCGCTATTCTTATGGGACGGGGCTCGTGGTCGGCTTTGAGATCGGTTACGCGTCCTAGACGGGCCTCTCTGCTTCAGGCGAGACGAAAGGTCGTGAGCTTCGGTAGCGTCGCGATCGCGCGATTTAACTCTCTCCTCGCGCTCGCGTTCATACCGTCGCTCACGATCTCGTGCAAGTTCGAGCTCACGCTCAAGTTCTTGAACTCTACCCGACGGTCCTGGGCTTTTGCTCCGATCTCTACGAGCGAGGCCACGTTCTGCCTGATATTGACTTAGAAACTGACCTTGCAAGCGCGCGTCGGAAGTCGCCCGTGATCGTCGAGTTTCTTTCTCTAGGCGCTCCTCGGCCTCCCGTTCTTCTTGCTGACGTCTCTCCTCTTCCTGCTTCCAGCGCCTCTCGTCCTCCTCCCACCTCTTCTTCTCTTCAGCTGCCTGTTCCTTCAGCTTCCTCTCTTCTGCCGCCCATCGTTCTTCTTCTTCAATCCTGGCACGCTCCTCCTCAGCTTCGCGCTCAATTCGCCTATGATGCTCCGCTTCCTCCGCCTGCACCCTCAACCGCTCCTCCTCAGCCTCCTGCTCTTTCCTCTTCCTCACTTTCTCTGCCATATTCGGTACGTGTGGCCCAGCACTTGTAATTTGCCTCCGACCTCCAAATGCAATGCCCATATTTCCCTGGCTCGCGCCGCCCATATATCCATATTGTGCAATATTCCAAGCAGGCGCCGTAACACCTTCGTCTGTCTTCTTGCTCCAACTGCTAGTGCCACCACCTGGTGAAGTGGACAAATTAACAGCCTTCGTTGGACTCCGCCGCCCCGTGTTCGTCTCGCCTGTTCGTGTTGGTGTCATGGCGCCACTACGCCCGGTTTGGTTGTAAGCTGACGACGTATTGCTCGTGGTACTAGCGCCTCGCGCCCTACTCCCAAAGCCCCCTCCTCCAACTGTCGGGGTTCCGGTGCCTTGGGGGCTCATGACTCCCGATCTCGACTTTGGCCCAATAGCAGTGGGGAACCTCGATGGCTGCACCTGGTTCGCAACCCTGCTGAATGCGCCAATGCATTGTAGGACCTGCGTGGGATCTTTCTGCTCGTATAAATCGACAGTGAGGAAGACGTCATGCGGTTGCAGATTTAAAGGCGGCAATTGGCAGGCTCGGAGGAAGAGCGAGATGTTCTCCATCTGGACGAATGGCATGGCGGAGGTCTTGAATTTGACGCCGGGCGAGGGGACAGCGAGGTTGACGAGCCTATAACCATTGGTTAACGACAATGAAGAAGTATAGGAAGAGTTAGAGATACGTACTTGCATAGCGCGACGCCATCTTTGAGTGCATCGAGCAGGTCGCCTCCGGCGAGTCGCTCACCAAGGATGCCTTCTATCCAGCCCCGCACTTCATTCGCTGCCTGCGGAGTATATTTGTCCAACCGCATTTTGCGCAAGTCCTTATCTAGCGATGACACCGACGCCATGGCTTCTTATGAAGGTTGACGATATGTGCTTTGGTATGTGTTGTGTTGTTCGCTTTCAAATCAACCCAAATCCGTCGTGTTATGCCTGACTTTCGCTTCTATGCGCTTACAATGGTTCTCGAGTAGCAGATCGAGGGCCGTTACTAGTTTCCGAAATGACAGTCGTGCCTGTGAAGTACCGCAGGTGAATAATATTGACAAAGAAACTACAGCTCCCGGCGCATCTCTTATTTACATTAGCCGTCAACAAGAACAAGGCCAGCAACAAACAGCGTGCGTGGAATGTGACGTCTGTAGGCCTGCGCCACACTGCCCGCCCGCTGTGGCTGAACGCCCTGATTATCTCGCCCTTCAAAATAAAATCCCCAGCAACGCAATCCCGGTCAACAAACCAACCATGTCCGCCCCAACAAGCTCCTTCCGTAAAGCCTGGCTAAAATGGAAATCGATGCGCCTCCCCTGGCGCAGGCGTTTCCTCGTTGGTCAGTCCCCCACCACCCTCTTCCCCAGCTCCAACTCAAAGCTAACTATCCCCCCAGGTCTTGACCTCCAGGGAAACACATACTGGGAGTTCCGCGATACGCTCTCCCCAGGTCGCATGCGCCGAATCGTCGACTACCCACCCCACGTACAGTACTCAGACGTCTCGTCACACATCACGCCCGCGTGGCACCAGTGGTTGCGGCATACGCGCCAAGCTGCGCCAACGATCGCGGAGCAGGAGCTAGATGTTCTTAGGCGGAGGAGGGTTAAAGTTCTGGCTGCGCAGGCAGATGAGAGATGGGAGGCTAAGGGTAGGCTGGTGGGTGGGCCGAACATGAAGCAGATGGGGCCGGGGCTAGGAATGGGCAATGCGACTGCTGCGGGTCAGGCCGCGACGAGGAGGGGGACTGCTGGGGTGGGTGTGGATGCGGGAGGGCCTACGATGGGGGGTGACGCTGCTGCGGGAGGGAAACAAGGAGGGACGACTACGAGTACAGTTGCGAGTGGACAAGAGATTCTGGACCGAGAATCTGAGCGGATGAAGGTTAGTGGAGGGCCGGCGCCGAAGGTATATACAAACCCGCGAGTGTCCGACCCGGAGAAAGCGGCGAGAAGGGAGCCAGCAACCCCCCCGCCGCCGAAAGGAGATCCATGGAAGAATGCGCGTGGCGGCCCGAGCGAGGATTGGCAGCCACAGGCTTGGAGCCCTGGGCAGGCAACGCGGAGGTGACAAAACGACTAATATATACCCTTGTACACTACTCATGTATTCATAATAAATCAAATCTTTGGTTGACTATAGGTAATCATGCAATCATAAAGCAATCAAACAATAGTTGAATGTGGTGATCGTCTTCTACGATCGCCAGGGTATTGTAACCTGCAATCCGGCGCCAACCATGATAATCACGCATATTTTCCACCATAGAACCCCACCATCGCCGAACGCCAAACCCAGCTCCTGTACCATACATATGCATGCACCCCTTCAATCCGCCTTCGCAAGAGTAATGATCAGTGTAGACGCCAGGTCCTTAATCCGCTTCTGCAAGAGCGATAATCAGCGTCGACGATAGGTCTAGGAACGGAAACGGCGACGTGACGTCCTTCTCCTCGAGCATAACGCCCGCCGCGGTCTCATAACCAGCACACTTGAAATCAACCAGATAGACACCTTGCTCCATCTCGTACAGTTGGATATCGAGGTGCATGATAACACCTTCCTCCGGATCGTTCAATGGTCCGGAGCCCGAAACACTACTCATAGATGCGAGAGACTGGCGGCGTAGATCAATTTGGGAGGAATGGGTCGACCCAGGCGGGACCGTGCCGGGAGCATACATGCCTCCTTTGCGCCAGCGGACACGAAGCACCCATGGGTCCGCGGGGAGTTTGTACTGTGCGCCAGGCGGGAAGTCCTTCGCCAGGTTGTCTTGGGAGTTGAAGCGGTGTAGAGAGCCGCCATCATCAGAGTCGCTATCGTTGGAGCCGAAGCTGCGTTTTCGTTGTCTGTAGTGGTCAGTCCTTGCTCGAGCACCATGTAGGACTACGTACCTCTCGTTGTCGTTCTTCTTCTGGGTGACTTGGCGATAATTCTCATCTACGACCCATTCTGCACCAAGCTTCTTCAGCGCCCTGTAAATACAGCCAATGGCCTCCAGGGGCTGGTTACGAGATCTAATACCGAATTGCCACTTTGTCGGCTTCGATTTCTTCTGAGGGACTGGTGTCATTGCAGCAGGCTTGTTGTTTCCTTCATCGAGCTTCAGCTGATGGCGAGAATGCGGATTAAGGCGTCTAGCTGTCTCGGCCTGCTCTTCACTCGATTTGGCGCGGTTTGTTTCGACGTGATCGACATCCACCTTTGGCGATGATGAAGGTACATCCTTACCGGTCTTACGTGCCTCCATATACGCACGATGGTATGCTGGCAAGCTACTTGGCAGGATTCCGATCTTGCTAATGAAAGGCCTAGCAGGTCTATCGCCACTCAGAACAGTATTTATGGAGCCAGACCTCGAAGATGCCTGCTCAGCTGAGGGTTGAATTGTAAGGCCACCCAGACCGGCAGGCAGGGACATTTCATCCACGTCTCCCGAGCCAACAACGTTCTGCGACACAGTCGCAATGGACTTGTCACGCAGTGAAGATAGAGGTTCATCCCATGCCGGTGGAGAGGAGCCTAGGAGGGCGTTTATATTTGCTGATAAGACATAATAGTTAGCGGGAAGAATGGAATTAGGGGAATGAGGTTCAGATGGGAGAGGCCCACGATTTGCTTGTGCAATTGTGTTTTCTCGCACAATCAAATACGCATCCTTGATCGCCGACGGTTCATCAGCTTCAAGTGCCTCCTGAACATCCTGCTTTCCGTAACCCATCTTCTTTCCGAGTTTCTCTGTCACCGCGTCGTGGAGTTTCTCTTGCACTGCGCGGCTAGCTCCTGGGGCGATACCCTGGGGGTTTATGGCCTTTCCGGAATCCACGCCAGTATCCATGAATTCCTCTACTGGAGGCATCAGGTATGCTGGCAGATCTAACAAGAACCAGGGGTCTTGGCGGATCTCTTCGATTGTCACTCGGTGTACCGGATTCACTGCCAACATCTTTTTGATAAGTGAGGCTGCGCCTGGGGTCATATAATTTGGGACAACATAGTGACCCTTCGCAATTTTTGCGAATAAAGCCGGAATGTTATCATCGTCAAACGGCAATCGTCCAACAAGGAGAACATAAAGAATAACACCACAACTCCACACATCTACTTCTGGTCCAGCATAGAGTTTGCCGTTAATTACTTCCGGGGCTGCGTAGTTAGGACTTCCACAGCTAGTTTTCAAGAAATTACCATCCGTCATGATGTTGCTGAGACCGAAATCTGCAATCTTGACATTGAGATCGTTGTCCAGCAGCAAGTTCTCGGGCTTGAGATCCCGATGGACAATCTTGTGTCTGTGGCAATATTCGACAGCGCAGATAATCTGCTGGAAGAAACGTCTGGCCTTGGTCTCCGTCATCTTTCCATGTTGAACAATGTAATTGAATAGTTCGCCGCCGGCGAACTCGAGGACCATGATAATTTCGGTTTGTGTCTTGATGACGGTGTACCTAGCGGGGTGTGTCAGTAACCAGCAACAACCAGGATAGTGAATCTTACAGTTTGATGATGTGGGGGTGCCTCAGTAGCTGTAGATACTCAATCTCGCGTTCCACTCGCCCCGCCATATCGCGACTAATCAGTTTCTTCCTGGCAATGATCTTAAGCGCCACCTGCTGCTGAGTAACACGGTGCACGGCAAGCTTGACCTTGCCGAAAGAGCCCTCGCCCAGCGTCCCCTTGATATCATATGCACCTATGCGCTGCTCAGCTTTGCGTGCAGGGACAGTCGGGCGTCGAACCTCCTCCCGCGGCCGGTTAGAGCGTCCGGAGCTGGCATCAGGCGGCTTGTTCTGTGTACGGCGGTTGTTCGAAGGAGCGAGCGAGATGGAGAGCTCCTCGTCATCGTAGCCTTGGGAGGGCTGCATCGCTGCAGTTTGTCACACGCTGTGATCTACAGGAACGGGAATCGTGGTATGTTCGTGTTGGGGCCTCGGTGAGGGCTCGAGGTGAGGTTGACAGTTACAACAGTGGTGACAGCACCCCACCAACGATTCACTAGCGCCTCCGAGCGAAGCGAAGTTGTACAAGGGTATGGTAAACACAGACGTCATCCAACACGAAAAGTTACGGTTTACTTGGGATTTTATAATGAGGGTCTCTATCGATATTGACAATTGCACAAGGAGAGATTCTTCGGGCTATTCTATCGTTGAGTTGATATCTTAATTTTTTTAGGCAGCTCGGCATTGTTCCGCCGAATGGACTCCGAGACCGGCGCGCCACCATTCCCTACACACCACGCGCTTCAGACACGTGGATTATATGTCACATAACTCCATATAGTGTCCGGATTATACAATATTGTACAAGAAATTGCTCCTCACCGAGTGGTACTCAGCATCATCTGCGAAGTTTCTCTTCTTCCTTCCTCAGTCTCTGTACGACCTTCTCTCTGAGAAAGTCGCTCAGTCCCAATCTACAAATGTTAGCAAGCCCCCCAGGACAGACAGGATCGAACTCACATCCCCTCCCTCGTCACAACGCGATATGTCCCGCTCGGCTGGTAATTTCCCCCATCCAGCATGTCCCCCTGCCCATCCACCTCTAGACTGCCAAATATGTCCTCAGGCCATGCAATGCGTCCGTAATCCGGCGGATTCCTCGAGTCGCTCAAGTGCACCCATCCTCCCCTCCCCCCACCACCAGCACCGCCTTGTCCACTTGCCCCCCCCGCGCCATCCCCTCTGGCTCCGTGTGTTGCATCACCACTTCTGTGTCTAGATTGGCCTCGGAATATAGTGCCTCCGCTGTTGAATTGAGAGGTGGCGTTTACGGCGAAGGCTTGGGCCTGAGAGAGCACGCCTTCATCTTTGTGCGCATGCTCTTTCAGTACCTCTTGGAGAATGGTCTGGAAGCGTGGGTTTTCGGTGAAGGAGTCGGGCGTTGGAGGGATAGCAGCAGTTGTGCCAATCGCTAACTCAGGAGTCGGCGGGTCCGAGGGGAGAAGCGTGAGGTAGTGGGATGTGGAGTTCTTGGGGAAGGTATACTGGTATGGTTTAGTTTGGGCATTTTATCCACGGCCGGGGAAGCATACTATGTGGGAGTTGTTGGGCAATGTTCCAATCATTCGCCTGAATGCCTTCAATGCACAGCTTCGAGCTGCTACTTTCAATGGTGAAGCGAACATTTTGTTTGATTTGTGTTCTTGAGCTTCCTGGCATCATATCCTCGGGACTATCAGTGCAAACGGAGCAAACACCAATTAAGCTTTGACAGGGGTATTTCACGTGATTGCTCCTACGTTCTTAGCTATAGATTCAAGGATTTCAGCCCTAGCTTAAAGATGTTTTAAGAAATGGCCGATTGCCTCAAGTGCACCCATCCTCCCCTCCCCCCACCACCAGCACCGCCTTGTCCAGGCAACTTTATATCTCAAGACCTCATCTTGACACACCAGTTACCTACAATTCCCAAACGCACTCCAGAGTTGCTCCGAGTCATTGATGGAACTCCTATCAGTTCAGGTTCCATTACCTGCAACACCCCAGTACTCAAACTTGAGATTCCCCTAGGAAAATCAACATTTTCAGACACCATCTCTTTAGATGTTATATCAATGAAGTACCCAGTCATCCTAGGTCTTCCATGGCTTCAAAGGCATGATCCAACTATCAATTGGAAGCATTTATCGCTTCAGTTTAGCTCAAATCCTGAGCTCAATACTGAAAAAGCCCTTCAAGCCTCAGTTACCCCTATTCAGGTCCAAGACTCAAACTTGTCCCAGATCAAGGATTTTGACCAAACTATGGACGATATATCACCTCTGATATGGGTTAAACCTTTCCAACCTGTCCTGGAGATAGCAGCTACTTCAGATTTGGAGAAATCATCTCAGGAGGTCATTTTGCCTTTAGCATACCAAGACTACCAACATCTTTTTGACAAGGCAAAGGCATCAATTCTGCCAAAGCACCAGCCTTATGACCATGAGATACCACTCGCAGAAGGCTCAATGCCTCCCAATGGACCTATCTACTCTCTATCTGAATTAGAGCTGAAAACTCTCAGAGAATACCTAGATGAGAACCTTAGTTCTGGCTTTATCAGACCTTCTTCCTCACCAGCAGGAGCTCCCATTCTCTTTGTCAAGAAGAAAGATGGCTCCTTGCATCTCTGTGTTGATTATAGGGGCCTTAATGCAGTCACTGTTAAAAACAGATATGCTTTACCCCTTATCCCTGAGCTCATGGATAGGCTCTCTTCAGCAAGGATCTTTACCAAGTTAGATCTCAGGGGAGCTTATAACCTGATACGCATCAAAGAAGGTGATGAGTGGAAGACAGCATTCAGAACACGCTATGGTCATTTTGAATACCAGGTAATGCCTTTTGGGCTTGCCAATGCACCTGCTTCTTTCCAAGCTCTCATGAATGATATTCTAAGACCTTACTTGGATATCTTTGTTGTTGTCTACTTAGACGACATTCTTATATACTCTTTAGACACTCAAGAGCATGTTCTACATGTTAGACAAGTCTTAGAGAAGCTATCTCAAGCACAACTCTTTTGCAAACTTGAGAAATGTCTTTTCCATATGTCTCAAGTTGATTTCTTGGGACATAGAATTTCAACAGAAGGCATTCAGATGGATCCTGAAAAGACAAAAGCAGTACAAACGTGGCCTATTCCTTCCAGCATTAAAGAGGTTCAGTCTTTCCTTGGGTTTGCCAACTATTACAGGAGGTTTATACCAAGATATACATCCTTGGCTTTACCCCTTACTCAATTACTTCACAAGGACACTTTGTATCACTGGGATAAGACACAGCAAGATGCTTTCGATGCTCTTAAAGGAGAATTCAAAGAAGGGAAAATGTTACTACACTTTAACCCCTTGAAACCTGCCACTCTTGAGACAGATGCCTCAGATTTTGCCATTTCTGGAATCTTATACCAAGCTCCAAAAGACAAACAAGAAGAGCTACAGCCTGTGGCATTTTACTCAAGAAAGCTATCAGCAGCCGAACAAAACTATCCCATTACAGACAAGGAACTGCTTGCCATAGTATGTTCTCTAAAGCATTGGAGATGCTACCTTGAAGAGGCAAACTATCCTATCACTATTTACAGTGACCATTCAAATCTCTTGACCTTTACAACCACTAAACAGCTCAATCGACGACAAGCAAGGTGGTCTGAACAACTAGGAGGTTTTGACTTTGTTATAAAACATGTCTCAGGGGCCAAGAATCAAAGAGCAGATCTCCTCTCAAGAAGACATGACTACCAAGATTCTGCTAAAATAAGCAATACAAAGGCCCTGTTAGACTCTACAAAGCTTATAGCAGCATCTTTAAGCAACCCTCGCATTACAGAGGACTTAGAGGGAAACTTATCCCCTCAAGACCAAGTTGCCCCCATTACCTCTTCTCAGAAACCAGAGACCTTTAAAGACTATACACCCTCAGCAACACTTCTTAAAGCATTCAAAGATGCTTACAACCACGATCCCTTTGCCAAAAGAACTTTGGAATACCTCCAGAAGAAAGGCTCCTCTCTTGAGAAAGTTGGACTACAAAATCTCTCAAAAAATCAGCAAGGACTTCTCTTATTCAAGAGCTATATCTATGTCCCAAGGGATAAACGATTACAGCTACACCTCCTACAGCAGTTTCATGATGCTCCAGCTGCAGGGCACTTTGGCTTTGCAAAAACTTATGAACTTCTAACAAGAAAGTTCTACTGGCCTAGTCTAAGGACTACTCTTCAAGACTATATATCTTCTTGCACTACTTGCAACTTGAACAAGCCTACACGGCAAAAGCCCTATGGCCTCTTGCAGCATCTACCTATACCAGAACGCCCATGGGACTCCATTGTTACGATATCAAGTGCGCCTTGCAGCTCGAGTGGGGGTTCAGGGGTGTGGGGAGCTTTCCGGGGTTGGAGCGAAGTTTTCAGTTGTGGAGTGAATTCTCAGAACTAGTCTTGCTAAAGAGAATTCTGTAACGCTGACTTCTAAACGATAGAAGACACAGAGGTTCTCTTGCATAAAGGTTTACTTATCAGAGGAGGCAGGGGATCAGACACAAAGGCTTCAAGTAACACGTTACTAGTATATAACAAATACTGTATTGAGTTGAGCACGAAGCTCCTATCTAAGGAAATACTATCTACTTATATAGTGGCGTCATGCCTAGTGGACTCCTGGGAACTCACTCGAGTCCTCGGAGTCCTGGACTCTTAGGATTCTTCTCATCATCCTGCGAGTCCGTCACGTGCCTAGTGGACTCCTGGGAACTCACTCGAGTCCTCGGAGTCCTGGACTCTTAGGACTCTTCTCATCATCCTGCGAGTCCGTCACGTGATACTTTCGGAACTACTATTCCCCGCTGCCCCTCCAGGTACCAGGGCCGGTCTCATGCGACCTCCCTCCTTCCTGTCCTGTAGTTGGCCAGCCTTCTTGTTCCGTCGTAACAAATTCACTACACAACAACATAGCTGTATATAGATCGAGCCACTGCTCGAGTGCTCCTCTTCTCTTTCCTTTCTTCTCTAGATTGAGTTTAATTCATAATACCCAACTGACGCCCTATGCCTTGGTGAACCGTGACATCCATATCCATTGACTTTATAGTCAAGTTGCCTCCTTCTATCCCAAAATGGGGTGCTACCCCTTATGACTCTATCCTTGTGGTGGTAGAAAGGCTCACAAAAATGGCACACTTTGAGCCTTGCAATGAGACTATCACAGCTTCTGAACTTGCGTGGCTATTCCTCAAGGTGGTCTTTAAATATCATGGAATTCCTGGACACTGGATCTCAGATAGGGGAGCAGTTTTCACTTCAAACTTTTTTAAGGAGTTCTCTAAACTCTTAAACATGGAACAACGCTTCTCTACAGCTTATCACCCTCAAACAGATGGCCAGACAGAGAGAGTCAACTCTGTACTTGAACAATATCTAAGAATTTATACAAACTATGCTCAAGACAACTGGGCAGATCTTCTCCATCTTGCAGAATTTGCTTACAACAACACAGTCTCTAACACTACAAAAGAGACACCTTTCTATGCAAACTATGGTTATCACCCTAGGTTTGAAGTGGCAGAACTGAATTGTCCTGAAAATCTCAAAAACCCTTCTGCTACTGAAAGAATCATCTACCTTAAGGGCCTCCAGGACTATCTCAAGGTTCAAATACAGTGTGCACAAGACGAGCAGGCTCAGGCCTTTAACAGGGGGGTGGTTGCACCACAATTCAAAGTTTGTGATCAAGTCTTTTTGTCTAGAAGACATATCACAACTACTAGACCTTCAGACAAACTTGATACTAAAAGACTTGGACCTTTTAAGATCACAAGGACTATTGGCAAGAATGCTTTCGAGCTTGCATTACCACCTACTTGGACTATCCATAATGTCTTCCATGCATCTCTCTTGTCTAAGGCACAAGAAAGTTCCTTAAGACCACTTCAGTCTCCTCCACCTCCTGTTCTGATCTTGGATCAACCAGAATATGAAGTAGAGTCTATCCTTGACAAAAAGACACTTAGAGGCCAGGATTACTTCCTCGTTAAGTGGAAAGGCTATCCTACAAGTGACAACACTTGGGAGCCTAAGAGAAATCTAAAAAATGCATCTAAGCTCATTCTAGAATTTCTTTCTAAGAAAGCCACCTGGCTAAAGGGCAAGCAGACAGCCAACAAACTTCCTTAAGAGGGGGATCATGTCATACTGACATTCGTTGCACTCAGTTTGCTATCAAACTCAAGAGCAAACTTAGAAATCTCCTCTCAAACCTACAAGTCACTATACATATTTTGGCTTGTCACACCAACAACAAGAGCAATACTACTCAACGATTGCTACAACCCTCTATGATTCATTACACGTCATTGCTCCTTAGTTACTGGGCCGATATGACCACATAGCATATCTCTACAACCCTCTATGATTCATTACATGACATCACTCCTTAGTTACTGGGCTAATACTACACATGACATATCTCTATCAACTAGAGGCCTAGGAACATGAACGATAGCTCCAAAAGCTTCTACAACCGTCTATGATTCATTACACGTCATCGCTCCTTAGTTACCTACAAGATTGGTTAAGTTATGACATAATTTGTCTATAGGGGTACTCTGACCTTGGACCTCCTTTCACTTCCTATAGGCTAGGAACCTAGGAGATGGTTCTATGGGATTCTCTTACGTTGACTACAGTTACCAAGCCTGGTTAGTCATGGAAAGTCTTGGAAAATGAGAACTACACTCCTTTAGCATAAATAGGATTGCCCTTTCCTTAAGAAAGGGCAAGCAGACAATACAGTAAATCGACTATCACATACTTCCACGTCTTTTCCGAGCTTTCAAGCATTGATCTTGTTACTCCTTGTTTCTGAAAAGTCAGTGAGGTGCTAACCTCTGACTTATCCCTGAGTTCTCAGACTCAACATTTGTTACAACTTGTCTAAACCACTCCACTACATCATACACCTGATTGCTGCATTGTGGAATAGTCTAAGCTACGACCCTTTGGCTCTTTTTCCTAAGACAGTGTGTTGTCTTAGTAAAATCATCCCTTCCTTGGGTGGCTAGATTCTCACATCTGGTGCACCCACCATTACACCTGACTAATAGCTCATCATTAGGCAGTGTACATAACACTTGCTAGGGATTAAATGGAAACAAGCCAGCACTATAGTACGCTAACTCAATTTTCTGATGATTGCATACATCAAGCTGTGCCTATATGTACACCTCTATCCATTTATACTTCTGTATGCATGTAAGTTGCGCTTAGTTGAGTTGGGAGAGCGCTGCTGTTAGACTCTTTTTTAGTAGGCTAAATATTACAACATCTAACAGTTGTAACAAATGCGATATATAAGGAGGAAGAATTAGCAATGCGATGCAGTTCTACATGTAATGCATAATGAAACTTCTGCTAATATGTAAGTCGTAGCCATCGCATATAAGAAGCTGATGCTAACTGTCTGCTTTCATGTGTGTTGTTAGCTTAAAGGTGTGTTTTAACAACTCTAACCTATAGAGATTGCTTGTCTAACCTTTCGTATTTGCAGAGAAGAACCACTAGTTAATGACTAAAGGCAGAATCTATAATTAAAGAACATTCTTGCCCTTAAAGATCCCGAGGGGCAGAAGGATCGTTCCATCTATGCAAATACACTCAACTATTAAAGCCCATTCCTAATGGCTAGGATGCGCTTGAAGCTTTGTACGAAGCGTTGAATCAAGTATAATTCGAGTAGATTCTATTGCCCTAATCGAAAATCTGGATTCGTCTATGTTATATGTATTTTCTTGCCTAATTCCTAACTGTTAAACGACCGGTGCAACTGGATTTCTTCAGCTATTTCCTTCAACAACCGATGCCCCGGAGAATAACCAGTGATTGTTAGGTTCTTAATCCACTTCAGAAGTATCACCTCTTGTGCGCCTGACAAACTCTGCTGTTGCTAGCGGGCTTGAGAGCGTGTCAAACCTCCGTTAGCACGACGCGTCACGGAACTCTTAGGTAACCCCGCACTTTCTCAGCATGATATGCGCTCTTGTACTTCCCAGATTTGACGTCTAATACTGCTTGGGCTATTAAGGTTTCACGTTCAGCAATACCCAGGTGTTCGCGACGATTCATTGTTGAGTTATTTACAGTTATCTGAAGTTGGTGGGGGTAAATCCACCGCGTTACCCAGTCCCCCGCATTACACCGTCACTTACGTTAGTTGAGCGTTTTATTATGACCATAATTGCTGTAACCACCAGCTCTTGTGCACAGTCCTTCTACAGGCTTTGGACGGCACGAATACTGTACGTGTCTTGCGCGGGATCCGTAAACACAGCCTAGGCCTAGAATCTGAAAAGAATGCCTATATATTAAACCCGAGGCTCCAGCCCCAGGTAACCGTCATCTAAATTACAGTGAAGCGGGTATGTATGACAGAAACTCCAGCCCACCAGTACTCCAGCAATTCCCAGGCTCCAGTCCTCAAAACAAAGCCCCATTACTCCCACCACCGTCACTATCATACCGTACGACGTAGTCGTTAATCCATATCAACATCCCCCCCTCTACCCAGACGCTGCCCTCGCCCTCCTCCTCCTCACAGCAACCCTATCCCAGGTCCCCGCAAAGATCCCATCACATTCATCCTCATCCTCCGAATCAAACATCACATCCTCTCCATCCCCCTCCCCCTCCACAACATCGCCCCTTCCCATCTCCCCCCTCCTCCCCCTCTCAACAACCACATCTTCCCACCCCTTCACAGCTACTACCCTCCTCATCTCCAATATAAACTTCCCCACCTTGTACTTCTGCCCCTCCTCCCTCGCATCAACATACTTCCACCCCACCACCTTCTCACAAATCGCACAGCTGATATCCGCCACCACATGCGCCCCCGTCGCCAGCTGCCGGCTCATAGGCCTGCCAATCGTGATATTGATGAGGCTAGGCTGTGTATTTTTATCGGCTCCGCGGGGGGAGGCGGGCGGGGAGACGAGGTACGCGCGGCCGTGGCGGCCGGTGAAGGCTTTGCTGATGATTTGGGAGGCGAAGGCGAGGTCGGTGGCGCAGGTGGAGCATTTGAGGTGGTCGGGGCGGGCGCAGTGGAGTTTATAGGTTTGTGTTGGGTCTGTGTCTGGGTCGACGTCGTAGATCTCTGGGGAGTGGCTGAAGGAGGACGGCGAGGTGGGTGAGGTTAGAGAGGTGCTGGGGGAGGTGTTGAGGGATCCGAAGCTGGTGGCTAGGGAGAAGATCGTAGGTGCCGTGGCGGTGGAGCTGGTGGAACTGGTGCTGGGGGTTGAGGAGTGACGCTTGCGGAAGGGGCGGGGGAGGGTGGTGAGGGAGGAGACGAGGTAGGTTGCAAAGGATGGGGGTTCGGGGGGAAGCATGGCTGGTAGCTGGTTCGAGAGGGTAGAGATGTGGTCGTGGTTGAGACTTGTGTGTTGAGGCGGGAGCTGGGTAGGTCACAGATGCTGGAGACGTAGGGCGGCACCTTGGTATGGCGGGTTTTTTATGTCTCGGTGAGGAGCCTGAAGGCTGTAGATGCCCCGAGAAGGCGTGGAGAGTATATCACGTCTAGCCGTATCTTGAAAGTGCGCCGACTTGTGTAGAGAGATAACGAAATGTCGGGCGAAGTTGGAGAGTCCAAGAACGCAGCTAATCATCGCAGGGTTTGGGCAGGTGATCGATCACCCGATAAGTAGGTGGCTTGGACGAGAAGAGCTGGACTACCAGAATACGTAGATGGGCATATGGGCAAGTATTGTAGTAGTTTGCCAGTCAATAATAACTTTGAGACAGTGTGACCGACTATTCGGCCATTCAAAGCAAGTGCGGGGAGTGAACAGTTGGGATGATCCCGTTTCGTTTCGTAGCGGTAGAGTTTAATCCGCTGAAGTCATGATTGTTAAGTCAGAATCATACATTACATCTAGCAAACTATAATTTTTGGGTTTAAGCCACCTATATTCAACATTTCGATACAAGAAATGTACGTACTATAAAGTAGGGATAACCTGTATAAACAGCATTAGCCCCTATACGTAGCCTGGTTGGATAAATGCTGCTTATCGATTACAGCTACGGGCACTTCCGCGTCTGACATATTCTGCCAGCCAAAGTCCGAAGTTGGACCAACCGAAGCTGAGAACTCATACTTGGTATTTTGCCTATAGTTGCTGTAAACGGTGACATTACGGACAGTCCCTCTTGTACTTTTGCGTGGCACAAGGCGCTGGTTTATCAGTAGAACAAAGAAGGCATAGCACATCGGTTTCATAGCTTCCACACGTAATCATTATATTGTAAATCAATTTCATTTTGTGCAAATATTCATTCTGTGATCTCTCTTTTCTCTGTTCAACAGAGAATCTACGAGCCAGACGCAGCAGATGCTCCAATAACCCCAATAGCGTAAAAACCTCGCCCAAACTATGCTCCTCCACGCGCCACCTAATTGAGAACCTGATCTAGAACCTGATCGAAAACTTGCTGTGTCTCGTTGCCAAGAAAATATTATACGTATGGCTGCGAGAGTCGGAGAACCGTCTTCTCTACAACTCCATTCCAAGGAAAAGCCACTCGTTGCTCGGCCTGCTGCGTGATTCTGCCCATAAGTCGAGTGTGACCAGCTCGAAGCCGACCCATCGGAGGCTCTTCAGCAGTGACTTGCTATCCTCGGCCGAAATTGACCTGTCGAGACAAACCACAACCTGAGAACATCCCAAGGGACTGCTTGCTAGATCGATTATTGCCATCAATCTACATTTTTGTCAGCATTTGAATTCTTCCTTCGGAAAACTTGTGGGGGCACCTACGCTTGCTTCAAATCGCGATTGATGACCGAGTGATCAAAAAACGTAAACAGACACCTTTCGTCGTCTGCCCCAGCCACGAAGCCCTTGAAACTACACCCGCCGGCGTAGTCCCATAGCTCTAGCCACGACCCAACACCATTGTGGCGCTGGACCGCGTTCTTGAAATAGCTCTGCCCATCCATCCCCTCTTGTGGGGGTGAATACGCGTTCGCAGTCCATTCGTAGGAGCCATGCGCTACCGAGTCCCTCTCACCAAGGAATACAGTAGTCATGGTCTCGCAGAAGAGTCTCTCACACTCTTCCCGAATGGAATGCGCTGCCCCGCCGGTACGCCCCCCCCTCACCGCGGTGCCATCGTCGCCGTGTCTCCGGGATTTGCTTCCAGAGACGTAGGCGTGTTCGTTGGCTGAGGTGAAGGCCGCGAGGGGGGGGCTGGAGGGCGGGGAGGGAACGCCTGAGGAAGGGACCTCAGGAATACCACTGTGCCCCTGTGTGTATGTTAGTTTCTGCCGCAGGTGTCAGAGGGGGGAGAGGTGTGACTAACCGTCCGCCCCGGTAGTGGAGTAATGGAATCCAGTCAACATCGAAGAACGATCGACGACATAAGCCGAGGCGAGGACGACAGCACGACGTGAAACCACCTCGCCACCGCAATTATTACTTTGACTGTTACTTTTGGTTTGCAAAAGAGCCATTTTTGAGGGCGGCCACGGTTGTTGATAAGTGGTGGTAAGAGGTTTGGTGCTTTGACTCAGCGGTCGAACTGTGACGTTGTGACGAGTTGTAAAGTCGAAGACGATTGAAGTATTTGATTGATGTCGTAAGACGATTGTATTTTCAGAAGTTGGCAGTTGACAGGTGCTGGAGTTTTGGCTGTAAGAAGGTTGAAGTAGCGTTGATTTCTTTGTAGGATGATGAAGTTGTGGTGGAGGCGAAAGTGTTGGAGAGTGATGTTGGTTATCCAATCAGAAAAAAGCTTGGGCCAGATTTTCTACGAGGCACGTGTTCGCATCGATAGGATGGGCACATGGCACATGGCACGTGACACGTATATTACCTAACCAATCACTCATGTTGGAACTATTGGGTGTGGCTAGCTTTGATCTCGGATTCGATCCAACTTATTCATACAAATTTATTTACAGACCAGCCATGACTCAAATGAACACGAAACCTGGCCTGCCTAACCCAGCACAGCACCCACCACCGGTAGCTCCCGCCTCGAAGCCCTCCAAATGCAGCTGATGCGCCAAGAGGAACAGAACAGAAGGAGGCTGCTTGCGGCCAAGCAAGAATTAGAAGCTGGCGGAAGCGCACCTCACACAGCGCCCACGCCCGGTTTCAGAAATCTTGCCTCTCCGGAATATCAGATGCGGATTAGGTTCCTGAGGGAGCAGAATTAAAAGGAGGCTGCTTATGGCCGGACAAGATGCTGAGACGTCTACGGCTGGTAGGCCGGCCATGGGACAGGCGTTTGATGGGGATAAACCAGATGTGGGGTAATTGGGTGTGCACCTGCACAGACAGCGTTTCAAGTCGGAATTTAGGTCGTTTTCCCGAGCTGGTTGAGGCTAACGCGGATGTACTAGGTGCTGTGGAGGAGAAAGCCGGTGTGGTGGAATCAACACCAAGCTATGGTTAAGTCAGACGGCTGTTTATACGAGCTCAGTGTCGCTATGCTGGAGCGATGAGATGTCAGACACAAGATAGGAGCAACGCTATTCGTAGGTAGAGAAGCCCAAGGCGCTTACGTGAAATGCAACATAATATATCATACACATATAAAACCTCTCCGTTGTGGTATTCTTAAAACAAATTTTCGGATCATACATAATCTTACGGTGTCGACGGCAACATTGTGGTGGAGTATACAGATCGAACAGCTTCTCCTCCCCAACAGATCGCTTCCCCCCCCCAATTCTTTTCTCCACCAAATTCACTCCCTTCCAACATCACCTACAGCTTTGCACGATCACCTACGCATCCTTAGCAATAGCCCCCTACCTCAGGTAGTCTGGCAACCCACCGCGACTATCAATCCCCTTCTTCGCAATTGCTGCGATCAAAACAAAAAGAACCCACCTCGTGAAGCCCCCCGTCACACCGCTGCCGCCCAGAAGGAATGCGGCGCGGAGATAGTCGGTGATGCCGTACTTGGTGCGCAGCTGGCGATCAAAGTTGGGCTTGACGGCAGAGGTGGCAATCATCTTCTGGAGCTGGAAGGGAGTTAGCTTGGTTAGGTTCAGTTCATCACGATCCCCGCCTACACAACTAGTCGAGGCTGGGCTGGAGGTGAGAATGAGAGGGGGAAAGGGTAAAAGAACGTACCTTGCCACTGTATGGGGGGTAACGAATATCGAGCAGCTTCTCCATCCACCCAGGTGTGCGGGTGATTGGACGACGATGCGAGAAGCAGTCGAAACTGGCCTTTCCGCGGTAACTGCCCTGTCCGGAGTCACCGACGCCACCGAACGCCAACGTAGGGATACTGGCGTGGAACAGCGTGTCGTCGATGGTGGCACCGCCGCTAGTGGTGGCTGTAAGGATGCGGTTGACCTCCTCCTTGTTGCCGAAGGCGTATAGGCCGAGCGGGGTGGAGTGCACCTCGTTAGCGATACGGATAGCTTCGTCGAGGTTCGCGACGGGGAGGACAGGGAGGAGCGGGCCGAAGGACTCTTCCGTGATGAGCGAGTCGTTCTGGTCCTTGACCAGTACTACCGTGGGCTCGATGAACCGGTCCGCGGCATCAGTGGCACCACCGATAACAATTTTACCCTGCGTCGAATCAAGCATCTTCTTGACGCGGGCGAAATGGTGATCAGAAACAATGCGACCGAAATCCGGGCTGGCCTTTGCGCCGTTGGGATAGTACTCCTTATTGGCGATACGTAGCTGCTTGATGAACTCATCGGCGACATCGGCATCCACCATTGTGTAGTTCTGACTGATGCAGACCTGGCCAGCGTTGATGTGCTTACCCCAGAGCAGGCGGCGAGCGGCGAGACGGAGGTCTGTGTTTCTCGTAACGAAGGCAGGGTTGCGTCCACCCAGCTCGAGCGCGATGGGCGTCAGCGTCTCGGCCGCCTTCTTCGCGATGATCGTCCCAACAACGGAGTTACCAGTGTAGAAGATCTTGTCCCACTTCTCGTTCAGTAGCACGGTGGTCTCATCCTTGCCTCCGTTGGCGACGGCGAAGCAGTCGGAGTCGAGTTTCCCGATGAGCTTCTTCAGCACCATCGCGGACGCAGGGCTGATCTCGCTAGGCTTGAGCACGGCGGTGCAGCCAGCAGCGATGGCTCCGATGAACGGGCCAATGCTGAGCTGGATGGGGAAGTTCCAGCAGCCGATGACGAGGACAGCGCCGAGTGGTTGCTTGCGGATAACGGGGCTCATGAACTTATTCGGCAGAGAGATGTCCGGGGGTGACTCGTCCTGTGCCCACTTCTCGAGGTTCTTGGTGACGAAGACGATGTCGTTCTTGCACCACTCGATCTCTGTAACCTGGGACTCGTAGACGGACTTGCCGACGTCGAGCTTCAATGCCTCGAGGAACTCAGGGGTGAGATCCACGAGCCCCCAGTAGAGCTTGCGCAGCTGCTGGATACGCCATGCGATGGGGCGTGTCTTTTGGGAGGCATAGGCGATGCGCACGCCGGAGGCGATAGAGGGGAGGGTCTCGATGGGCGTGCTCTCGAACGCGTCCAATGGCGCCATGGCGGCGGTTTGCTATTGACTAGCGCTTGTGTTTAATAGTCGTGAAGGGTGGCGTTATTGCGAACGTAGAGATCTCTGGTGTTGAATTAAGAGGTTTTATATGATGATGCAGTCGAGGGGGAGGAGCTGCAGTGATATTGTAAAGGGGAACGGAGAGGAGACGGACCAGATGATGACGGTCTCTCCGCAAATTGTCATACATCTCGCTGACTTCCCCACACTTGCATCGAAGATGAGGTACCGAGACCGAGGCATGTGAATTATGATCTAACCAGAAATGGCATGGGCACATGCTAGTCACGTGCTCTTTAGCCGTTGATACCGCTAAGAATCCGACCCGGACGTTGCTATTTCGTCCGAATGCCGTCCACCGAGCCACCGAGAGCCGTCCACTACACTCACGTGACATATACACGTGACATATACGACCTGGTCAAGTCCAAGGTGCATGGCCTCAAGATATCTAGATTCCGCATTTCAATCAGTATTTGCGCCGTGAAAATTGCATCAAGAAAGAAACTTCTCTATCCTAGCTTCCATCCACGTGTAAATATGATAATATGAAACAAGTACATCGTCTATTCTATCACATCCATATACAACAGTATCTTACAATGTAGCCCAATCCCACATTCGTACACTCTCTACCGCCTCACAAACACTTTCTTCGGTGCCTTACCCCTGCCCGCCACCATAGCTGGCTCCGCGAGCTTCGCAGTCCCAGCCAACTTCGCAGCCTGCGCATGCGCCTCCCTGACAAAAGCCCCCCCATCAACGAGCAGCCCGCCCTCTGCCCTCGCCTGATCAAGCCTCAGTGCCTCCGCCCGGCCAGCGTCAAGCTGCGCTTGCCTCTCTGGCGTAATGCGCCACTCACGCGGGAACTTCGGCTTCGTCTTGAACGTCTGATGGCGCGTATCGAGCGGGACATCCTCAAACGTGTCCTTGGGATCCTGTAGTACGTTAGTTAATTAACCCAATGAACACGCCCATAGCTGTGAAATAGAAGACGTACCTTGGCCTCACGCACGAGGCTGTCAACGAGGTCGCCTAGGTAGCGCTTGTTCTGCGCCTGCGACTGAAACATCTCGCTGCTCATCTTGACGATCTGCGTCTCGGGGTTGAAACGCACGCCCACCAGCTTCTTGAGCTTGTCCTTCTGTACCGGCTCAAGTCCCGGGATGTCGTCGGGGCAGAACTCAACCACCACCTTCTTCTCTGCTGGGTGATCCTCGCCCATGTATGTCGTGTACCTGAAGCGTAGCACCTGGCTCTGGTTCGGAGGCACAAACGGTTTCGCCATCTCTGTTCCGTGTGTTAGCATATCACATCCCCTTTCACCACAAGACACAAGATAAGCGTACTCGTCAACAGTGGCATCTCCCACGCCATTAGCCGCGCATACTCGCGGAACTCGCGGTGCTGCTCAAGATCCCCATGCGCCAACGCCGTCACATCGTCCTCCTCGAACTCCGGGTCCTCAACGCTGTCCTTCTCGTTCATATTCAGGAGGCCCATCTTCTGCTTCTTTTGTGGAACCGATGCCGGCCGCCGCCGCCGCTGCGCCTCGGTCATGTTCTTGTTCACGATGCGGGCTGACGCACTCGCTAGCTCGCCGTGTCGGATCGATTCAATCGTGTTCTCGAAGCGGGCCCATTGCGCGTCCTCGGGGTTTAGGGAGGCGGCAGGGGCGGGTTCCTTGGGGCCCTTAGGTGTTGATTCCTCGAAGCGAGAGGAGGAGGTGGTGAAGCTTCGGAGGAGAGGAGATTGCTTGCTCGTCAGGCCGCTTTGGCACCTCCTAGCTACGAGACGCAGACTAGATGCTGCTGCCGACATAACGAAGCGTACCTCCTACAATTGAGTAGAATCGATTGTGTAAGTGCTAAAGCACTCGATTGACGAGAGCGCGCTGCGAAGGGGGATGTCGTGCGCAGTTGCCGCTTTTGGTCGTTGAGCTCTAGGAGGTGCGGAACTTTTTGACGATGGAGATATATCTTGCTGCCTGGATTATTAGGCACGAAACCATAATCCTAGTCACTAAAGGACACTCCCAAAATTAATTTGAAGTTTAATGCCATTTAATTTCAAGATGGTTAGTTAATCTTTTATCTCTGATGCCTATATCCTTCTCTCTCGCTACCATATATAATGAGCACTATCAATCTAATTTGAAGCATATATCCAAACACTTCTCACCGCTTCTCCGAAACCGGCAGAATCGCCTACCCCAGACCGACCGCCCCATCCTCGACCAAGCATCACCTACCTTCCCTACCTCTCTCGCCTCCTCAACACCCAGAAACGCCTCATAACTCCTAGTGCCCGAACCCGCATCTACAAACAACCACCAGCACTATTCCCCCACAACCATCCCCCATGTCCCCCCGCACCTGCCTCATAACCCTGGGCGCCACGGCTCCCTTCCCCGCCCTCCTCTCCGCCTCCCTCTGCCCCCCCTTCCTCTCTACGCTCTCATCACAGGGCTACACAAATCTCACCCTCCAATGCGGCGCGGACCTGGTCCCCGCACAGGACTGGATTACGAAGCTCGCGCCAACACTAGAAAACCTGGGGCTGAGTGTTAGGGCGTTTGGTTTCCAAGGGGGAGGATTGGGGGAGGAGATGAGGGAGTGTAAAGCTAATGAAGGCGAGGGGAGGAGGAGGGGGTGTATTGTTTCTCATGCTGGTTCGTTGATCTTGCGCCCCTTTGTTGTTTTGCAGGCCGTGCGAATAGACGGCGTGGAGATAGCGAGACATGCTAACACAGCCCAGGCGCAGGAACAGCTCTCGATGCCCTCCGCCTCTCCCTCCCACTTATCCTGGTCCCAAATCCCGCACTACTCGATAACCACCAGTTGGAGCTCGCGAAGGAGCTGGATAGGATGGGATATGCCGTCCACGGCCGTCTAGAGGACCTAAGCGCCGCGCTAAAGGCGAGCGAGGAGCGCGCGTTGAGGGAGTGGAGTGAGACGGGTGGTGGAGGTGGGAGGGGGAACGTGATGGATGTTGTGGGGGGTGAGCTGGGCTATGAGCCCGAGAAGAGGAGAGAAGAGGATGTTAGGGGGGTATTGGATTGAACAGATGCGTGTGAGGAAGGACTATTGTGGTACATGCAGACGCCGGACTACGATGTCGAGGTGATGGTGCCTGTCTATGGCTCCGCAAAGATAGGGATCTATCGAAACGAAACGCCAAGACAGCGTCCTACCAGGACGCTACTCGCATGGGGCACCGAGAAGCGATTGGAGGATATAATCGCAGGAGGAGGAGGAAACGTTCAATAGCAGCTCGCTAGACGTAAGACATTCGAAACGAATATCAGAGTAAGAATATTATTCTTGAATATAGCCTATCATCTATCACCCTGCCCTTTTTTGGCCCACCACCGCCATCGCCCCCCTTTACCACCAAAAGAGTACGCCGCGGGATTAACAGAAAAAAAAATTGCGCGCTGACCGGTCCTATATGCAACCCTACCATCCTCTAGCGAAATCATCAGTCATGAAACAACACCGTCGCCCCATTCCACGAGGCTCATCACCACCACCTCATGACGCCGGTGACTTCCCTGGCACCACTTCTCCCACCTCTGGCTTACGTCCCCACATCACATGCATGCGATGATATGCATGGACATCCCTATCCATCAAGCTCTTCCTCACATCCACCAGATACAGCTCAATCTCGTCCGTGCTCCACCCCAACACGCGACTAAAATACGCCAAACTAAACCCCGCCAGGCCTACCGACATATTCTCCGCCCACCAGTGCCCAAGGTCCTTCATCGCTGGGTCCTTCGGCCAGCGGCCTATCGGCGCCTTGAACACCCGCTGCTGCACATCCACGAAGCCCGCGGCCTCAAACCAGCCTCGCAGCTTCGGCGTAATGTCGAGTTCGCGCCCAACCTCCAGCGAGGCCTCCTGCAGCTTAGCGACGTACTTCGCGAAGGGCCAGTCGTCGGGCATGGTACCATCGTCGCACTGGGGAAAGGGGTTGAGCTCCTGGCTCTCGAGGAAGCCGCCAGGCTTGATGTATTTGAAAGCGGTAGCGATGACGGCGCCCATGTCGGAGAAGCAGCCCTCGAGGATGCGCGTGTGCACGAAGTCGTAGTGGTTCTCGGGGATGGCCCAGTCGGACTGCTCGGCGTCGTCGATGATGAATTGCACGTTTGCTGGGACGGCGGAGGGCTGGATGGGAGACAGGTCCGTGGCTTCGATCATGCCTTCTGGGTAGAGGTCGCCCATTTCGATGGCCCAGTCGCCGGTGCCTGTGCCGATATCGAGGACGGTTAGGGGGTAAGGGGGAGGGGGGATAGGGGCGTAGAAGAGTTTATTTTGCAGGCAGTGGTTGACAAGGACGTGTTGGTATTCAAGGCGGTCGACTTCGTTGGCGTCGTTGGGGAAGTGGTAGGCTGGTTGTGTTAGTAGGGGGCTTAAAATAAGGGGCGTAAGGACATGATCAGAGTATTGCGGACGAAAGAGTTGTTAACACAAAGCCAGCTTGCCGAAGCTACAAACATAAATCGAAACTGCAGGGGAGCACAGGGAAGCAAAGAGAGCACTAAAGAAAGTTAAATACTTACATCCAGCACGATACCCATGATACGTCCTCCCATTCTCCCGATGGAAGTTAAACACACTTGTCGTCACAGAGCGCGTCGACATGTCGCTGCGAACAGGGTCATCGTTAGTTTCATCGTCTCCTTCATCTCCGTCTCTAGGGCGTGGGGGGCTTGCAGGCGGGGGGGCGACAGGCAGGGGGGCGACGTACAAGTTCTCCCCAGTGCTGCTGTGGTTGGATGCCGACTGCGGTGCGGGTTAGGATTGGTGCTGCTGTGAGGAGTAGAAGGGGCTTACGTCGGCCTTGACAATTTGAGAGCGCGCTTCGTCGGGTTGGGAAAGGGGCGCGAGGCGGCTGGGTGAGTCGGGGGGTGAGGGAGAGGGAGAGGGCATGGTGAGAGGGGTTGAAAGCATGTGGCTCCCAGATGTGGCGTTGCGAGGAAGACGTCGGTGAGGCGGAATCCCTTAGGGCTCAGTCGAGTCCGAGTTTAGAACTTTGCACTCGGGGGGATAGTGAAGCAAGCCAAGCACGCACGAAGCGCAAGGCCGTTCGGTCCGTCCGAGGCGCCTCCGTTTCCGTCAACGTAGGAGGTCAAAGAATAGGTAAGAAGGGGAGAAAGCGAAGGGGAGAAAGCAAGGTCGGAAGCCAACTGTTCAATATCGCCTCCAAATCAGTTCCGTATATATCAAATCTCTTAATCAACCCGGAGAAATAGAACCCTAATAAATGGAGCGAAAATGGAACAAGGAAAAGGGAGGCGCATACTTACAATACATATACACGGAGCGACGCAGCCCCACCCGGAGCACAACCCACCCATCATCCACCTGTTCCCCACCGGGCACGTCCAGCCCCATGAACCCAGGAGCCGTGTCGGTGGGAAGCTTGCCGAATCCCCACTGGCACTGGCGGGTGCTAAATTCCCAGGGAATTTAGGAAGTACAGGAGTACAGAAGTACGGCAATACGTACTAAAGCGCTAAGTATTATTATTATTTTGCTTTAGAAAGGGGGGGGGGAAAAGGGGGGGGGGGAGGAACCGGAGGAGGCGTTGTTGGATAGGGTGTTACTGTAGTGGAAGGAGATGGTGGTATTGCATGCAACATTACAGGATACATAGAAAGCACTTATAGTATACTCAGGGAGGGTAAGTTATATATTTTGGTATGGTAGAATTACTATAAGTAGAGTACGGATTAGCCTTAGGGGACGAAGTAGAGAGAGTACATGTTGGGTGCCGTTGAGGGTTCTTGGTTCCGCGTCCCTCAGTGTCGGGATTGCTGTCCGTGCGGGCGGGTTGGAGTGTTAGGGGGGTGGAGTGGAGGTGATAGGTGACCGGATGTGTGGGTTGAGATATGTCTTTGTTGGTCGTACGGCAGGACAGTTTGAGTATCATAGTAGTACGAGCTGGAGTTGGTTCCAGTCGCAAATAGTAAATAGTGGAACGTCGCCGGTAAGGGTCCAGAGTAGAGCGGAGGGTGAGGAGACACTGTGTCTGAGAACCAACTCTGGTGATTACGGTGGAAGACTCTGGATGATGCACGAGTATAACCCTAGGTAGTTACCGCATCTTAGCTCAGGGGCCTGCAATGTCTACTCTAAAGGGTCTGCACCGCCGAACCGCACTTAGCTCCCTTACTTCCCACTTCCCTCGTACTCCCTAACTTACAGTGGCTTAAGCAAAATCCTAGCACCCGGTACTCGTCTCGATCTCGACCCACGAGACAGGCGACCGGAAAATCAGCATGAGACCAAAACCACTCCTATGGTACGCTCCCTACGTAAAACAGACAGATCCAGCTTGTGCGACGAGTGCAGAGGCTGAGCTGAGCGTGATCATGTAGGGAGCAGCATACAGAGCACAGTACAGGACGATGTGCTGCTCTGTATGGCTACTCTAACTAATATCATGCACTAAGAGCATATGTATGTGCCGAGTACCTACCGTGTGACTGGTCCCGTTGTCTTTTCTCCCTTCCCTTGCTTCCCGCCGTCGCCTTCCAGGTAGGGATCCAGGGATCCAGGGATCCAGGGATCCAGGGAAGCAAACATCCTACCCCGGCTCTTCTCAATCCCCAAAACAGACACTTCCCCGTCCCAACCCACTCACCTGGGATCCTCCGTGCAACCCTCAATGCCACCATTCTCTCACAGAGTAGACACCCGCCCGAGGCGCTGGCCGACCGACCCATGTGGTCGGTCGGCGTTCTCAGCGGCGCAGACGACGTGTTCGAGACGCTGCGGACGAGATTGCGAGAGGCAAGGTGCAGCTACTGCTCTGCGCCAGCCAGTTTCACCCTTGCCAGCAGAACTTATCAGATCCGTCCCGCCTGTCTCGCGCACCACCCACCTCACCAAGCAACCAATCACCCAACTCGCGCGCCAACCAACATCCCCCTCCCATCTCCCCATGAAGCAAGACAAATCCCCTCAATCCCGACTTCCCGGGTCTGTCCAGCAACACACATGCACGGCACGACACTGCGTTGGGTGCGTGTCTGTGCTGTCTCACCGCTTCCTTGGTTGGCCAAGAACGGTGGATTGTTGGAGGATGCGGTGCATGCATGGTGCTACGAGCGGAGAGGTGGTGCGTTGTTGAGGTGGTGGTGGTTTGATGTGGAAAAGGTGGGAGTGCTTGTGGGAGAAGGAGGGATACCGAGGCTCGCTCACTGACGAAAGCCGTTAGGGAGGCCCCATACCCAGCAAGCAATATTAGACCATCCTAGGCTGTCCTGGACAACCAGCGAGCGCCACTAGGACCACCAAGGCCACCGATCTAACCAACCTAGCAAACAATTACCAGCCCATCCCGAAGGAATTTCGTACCACCGCCAACCGTCGTCAACAGCTCTAGCTCAGGAGAGCGCCAATCCTACAGAAAGCTGTCGAGCTGAGTTGTTGGTGCCGGGGTAGGTATGTGTGTGTCTCTTGCGGTTCGCAGCCAGTCATCATTGGGTGGTTACGTAAGTGATAGTGTTTCAGACGCTGCGGGGTGGATAGGTGGTTCGGCCAGGAGGTGTGCGCGAGACTCTTAATAGCTTGAGCTGAGCATTTAGTGTCTCTCAACGATGGCGGCGACAACAAGTTTTGAGGGGGGGATGGATGAGGAGAGACACGGGCGAAAGGAAAGCCGAGAGGGGAGCTGAGGTGAGAGACGCGACGAGATGGGTGCTGGCATGGTTTTATTTTGCTTTTATTTTGCTTTTCGGTATGCATGCATGATGCAGGGGCCCGCGCCGAATGGTTAAGGAGCTTTCCTGGGTGCTAGATGGGTGGGGGGAGGGGAGCAAGTGGCTGAGCGAGTTGGCGAGTGAGTAGACGTACGGATAGGAGTCTGTCCCGAGCGTCCGAGCTAGCCATGTGAGGCTACGGGGAGGATTGCCCTCTGGTCCGAAGTATCTCTCAGACATCATGGGATATCCTGGCGCTGTTGGGTGTCTCGTCTGGCATTATGGAGGTGTGGGCGATCAGGATTGGAATCGAGGTTAGACATCCCAAAGAGGGAGTTAGGGACCACTTGCGAGGGGCTAGGTAGAGCTGAGAGGGCTGGGATCGATAGTGACGCACTTGCCATATCCATGGCGGTGGTTTCAGTCCAGTCGACCCTAGGAAGGGGGTTAGAACGGCGCATGCCCAGCACAGCGGGTCTATAGCCTGCTCCACGCATGGATAGGGGGCCAGATGCCGTGATGTGCACCAGATTGCCGTCTCTTCCCGAGACCAAGGGGTGGGGGCGGCACTGGGGGGCATAATTCGGGCAGTTTAAGCTTACAAATGGCGGTAGACTAGAGATAGGATGTATGGATGCGCCGGATTGGGCGTGTCTATATGTCTGTCGCGTCGATGCATATCAGTTAGTCACGGTAAGGACAAGAAAAAAGGGGGCAGCCTCAGTCCTGTGTTGGTTGTGAGGCTTACGACAGTCGGTATTCTGGGGTCTAATGTCGGGCTCTGACTCGCCTTCCTTGACAAAATCTGCGGTTGGTTTATTTCACATCAAGGGGCGCTTGCGAGGGGTGGGATACTCGGGTCTTGTTCTCTGGGTTTGGGAGTTTCATACTGTCTATTTTTTCTTTCGAGGTATAATCTATATTTCCTTTCCTGTTCCTAGGGAGTAGAGAGCCATGATTCTCTCTCTGTTCCTTATTATTGTATTTACTTGCTCCTAACAGTGCCGCTAGGCGAGCAGCACTTAGTCCGACGTGGTCGCTACCTACCTTCTAGGTAGATTCCCATCTCGTCTATGGTAACTGTACTGTCCAGTATGCTTCTAAGTCGCTGTAATAATTTCCTGTTGATCACCCCCTTAAATACTAGTCCATTCGTTATCTCCTGCTTGCTATCTCTACTTCCCATCATGTGCCTAAGGTCCGTAAATCACGCTGGGTCCCTGATATTGAGGACGCGCTGTTGAAGTGGCTTGGGTAGCTAAATAGTAGAAAGCTAACAACGCTGCGCACAACACCTCCATTTAACATATTCACAATTAGAAAATCCCAGTCTCTCAAGCCGATCTATCTATGTCGAGACAAAAACAGAGGCCGCTGTCGAACATGGCAATTCAGTCCGACATATTAACCTCGATTACACGCCATTTGAGACGCTCCCGATCGATCTCGTGATATGCATATCTGATTTCCTTTCCCCGTCGGCCGCTGCCTCATTAGCCCTGAGCTGCCGCAGAATCCGTCTTATCCTGGGAAACAATCATCTCGATGCGCTGCGTCGTAAGGCGTTCAATAAGTCCCTTAGTCTACAGATGCCCTTGGATGCCGCATGCGGCTACTGCCTTCTGGATCACCGCTGCTTAGAGGAACGGCATAAGAACATGTTGCGCGGTCGAGAGGCAAGGATACCGTCGACGGTCACTGACGAAAGGCTGTTGTGTCTCTGTTTCTTGGCAAACCGTTCCACGACATCACATACTGGTCGATTATGAAGATTCATCGCCGTGGAATTCATTGCAGCAAGCTGCTTTCTTTGATCTCTGACGTGGACACCACATATCTACCTGGAGCAACCTACCAAAAAGTATCCATCTGTCGAATTGTGAACGGCCATCTCTTATTCCGCCATCAAAATTGGATTCTATACTGAGATAGGGGGATTAGAAAACTTCCGCCTCCTGATTCCACACAACTAATCGCCTACCCCCATCTAACAATGTTCCACGACTTTGTTGCGGATAAGTTAGTCCGCCAAACAAAGCACCTGCAAAATGTGCTGGATGGCGTGGGCCCTAGCAGTGCCACCTCTGCCCGGCCGAGTTCCAGATTGATACCAAGGACTTTGGAAGGATGGTGTAGCGTTAGTCGTTACGCGCTGGTTGGACCTAGGCGACGGGAGTGCACGGTTTGATCCGACGTGGACGAGCCGGGTGGCCAAAGGCCATTATCCAAGGCGGACGGATGTTGCTATCCCACTGGGGTCTATTAAGCAAGCTTTCCAACATCGTCTAAACAGCAGTGAATTGCTAATTCCATAATTCCCGGTCTCGCTGATGTTCCATTGCACGAGGAGGGAATAGAAAGTCTGATAACATTTTTTGAAAGGAACGTGGAGTATAACGCAATCAATATTGGTTATAGTAATATTGAGAGACGACTTCCTAATTCCTTTGCCGTAGGGATCAATCGAACTTCCTTCCATCTGCTACATGTCTTGTTGAAAGGCATCCGCTTCACCACCCCCTCCTACTTGCTGGAGAAACAGAAAGCCATTCCGAGCCGAAAAACCAAGATGATTCCACCACCTTAACTGAATAGAAGATAGATACATAAATATGATTTATCCCCCATTCTGTTGGAAGGTAAAGCGTGTGTCTGGGATATTGGGCCAATTTGGCTGTTGTTCCCACAGTCGCCACGAATTATCACTTTGGAGTACAGCGGAATGAGCTTCAGCGTACAGAACCGCACTGTAGAATACAGTATAGTAGAGTAGAATAGAATCAATTGAACTATCTAATTACCTATGGAATCTACGTAGTATATATAGGCCGGCTTGATTAATTGCCACCAGGCTCTACGAGCTGAAACTCAGCTGGTTATGCGCACTTGGCAAGCTAAATCAGCTACCTAGGCTTTTGCCACTACGCTACCAGTAGCGCTCAGCTCAGCCAGGATCCTCAGTTTTCGGTTTTTGGCCGATATTTACAACACATTCAGACCCTCAACTGGCGCAACCCCCCATTCCCACACTGAGAAGTGCATATAAACCCCCCTCTAAGCCTCCTCCCTCTCTCTTCTCCACACACAAAACACATACACACACGCACATCCCTAATTCCAACACAAACTCAAACCAAACCCAGACGCTAAACTCAAACCAAACACACACCACTAACTAACCAACCAACCAAAACAATCAACAAACCACAAAAATGTCCTGCCCAAACTGTCCCCGCGGCGGAGGCGGCTGTGGCGGCTACCCCGGAGGCGGCTATCCCGGAAACGGCTACCCTCCCCCTACCCCAGCGCCATACACGGGTGCGTCCCCCAATATGGGAGGGAACACGGGAGTGCCTTATACGGGGATGAATGGTGGAGGGTGGGGGTATGGTGGGCAGGGGCCGACTTTTGGACCTGGGAGCATGGGAGGGTGGGGTGGGACGTAGGGGGAGATAGGGATGGGGAAGTGGGAGATGTAATATAACTCCTTTATAGGAATGAATAAACGCGATGATTTTCAAAATGGAACAGTTGAGGTGGAGTGGTGGCGGTGATTGTATTACAAGCTATCCGCCCAAGCGTCTTCACGAAGCTCTCCTCTTCTGGCTCCGTGGCTCTCCCCTTCATGTTTCCCTGACCCTACAATAAAAATAACCTTTGCTTTTTCCCTGGCCCTTCCTATTATCCCCCCCATATACGCCGTTGTGTGTGAAAACATCGCAAAGACTCCATGAATGAGCCGGTGTGGGGTATATTGACAGTATGAAATGCTCCTTCCTCTGCTCTTTGGTTCTTTCCTTTCGCTTGATGTGGTGAATCGAGCAGTGCCAAAGATACTTCACGCTCTGCTCAACACTTCCCCAATTCTCCCGAGAAGTCCTCTCTTCTCACCCTCCCTGTCTCCCTTGGTCGCCCAGTTCCCGGCTCCGCCCCGTCCGACAACCCAGGTCTTCTCCCTCGCCTCTCTGCGAGTCTGCTCGCGCACTTCCTCAGCGAAGCTGAATGGTTCCTCCTCTGCCCGCGGACGGACATTGCCTGCACCCCCGCGGCCTGCAAAGACGCGCGCTGTGGAGGAGCTGCTGGATACAGTGGAGGATTTGCCGAGGCTCGAGGTGGTCGAGCTTGAGGAGGATTTGGAGAGCGTGGAGCCGCTGGAGGAGGCGGTGGTGGATCGTGTCAGAGATGGAGAGGACGAGGGCTTGTACATGTTTCCTGCGCCGCCGCGGCCAGCGGGCGTGTAGTGGTTCGGGAGAGGGGTGGGTGCGGGTTCGGCGATGGAGAAAGCCATTTTTGCGGTTGTTTTGGAGGTTGTTGTGGTGTGTTTGTTTGTGGGGATTGCGAGGTTATTCGTGGTCACCAGCGCTGTGGCTATAGGTGTTCGTTTGTGGGAGTTGTGAGGTTATTCTCCAGTATCGTGAGTATCAAAATCATGAGTGAGTAAATGACTGGTATCGTATGCGTGTTCGTACAGTCAATTCCCGTCGTGCTATAACCCCATAATTGCTCTTGCTTTTCCTTCCCCATATTCTCTGGGGCACGCAAGCCATATATCCCTCTCCATTCCAGCATCACGTCAACTGGCGTCATGCACCTCAAAAATCTCTTCCCCGCCCCACGCCCCCTGTCCTTCCTTGCACAGTGGCACCGTGACCCCTCCCCTCCTTGGCGCCCCACCTTCCCGCCACTAACGCCATCACGCGCAGCCTCCCCTGCACTAAATTTCGTAATAAGCGAGCCTTGGCGAAGGGCCTAGTCCCACCCAAGCAAGCCAAGCTTATTGATCCGGGAGCGTGATGGGTCTGGATTCCAGGAGGGACCGTGCGGCGAAGGAGGAGCGGGGTTTCTGTTACGTGACGGCGGGGGCGTTGACTGGATGGGAAGTTGGGATGGTCACAGGGGGGTGGCAAAAGAACAACAAGGCAGCGCCAAGACCTATTTTGAGGTCACACGTGCTTTGGGCTAGGTTCACTTGTTCCATGTTGTGCCACTGTAAATCTCTGTAAATCGCGCGGTTGCATAGCACGTGACTAGCGATCGTCGTTTACCGGTCACGTGTTTTTAATATGACAACAATTGGGAGAAGATGCTTTTTATTGTCAGTATACTCCTGTCGGCAATCGAATTATCCTCTCACCGAGTCGAGTATTGGCTAGCTATGTGTGGCTCGCTCGAGGGGTCTTTTGGGTTCTAAGCATCATGTCACCAAAAGCGATCGGTTTGAGCTGCGACTAGCCTGCGTCACGGGGGACTGGTTGTTGGTTGTGGGTATTTTTCCTTTGTTGCTGGGGTTTGTGATTAGGTAACTTCGTTTGGGATTGGGATGAGCTGTGCGAAGTGCAAGCTGAAAGGCATTGAAGCTTGGGCTGTAGAGTACAAAGTCTGAAGCCAACGACATGCAAGAAACAGAGCTCGTTCGAGTAAGGTTCTCCTGGCTAACTGGGTATCATGTACATTCCTCACTACACTACATCTTGCCGCTTGCCTTTCTCTCCAGTTCTCTCCGCCAACTGTGGCGACAGGACTGCTCTACTTACGCCCTTACACGCCGTTTAATACTACGCATAACCCCATTCCCTACCCCTCTCCTTCATCTCGGTAGTCGAGTAGCTGCCGCATAGTAGCCACGCATGCTAGTAGGTTGGTTAATACGGCGGGACATTGCAAGAAGACAAATTATACGCGTTTCAGCCGCTTGCGCGCCGCCCTTCTCTCATTTTCCCATACACCTAGATACTGGTTGGACGATCCGCCGCCCATCCATTCATCTACGCAAACTTGGTGTGGATGATGTCCGGATTCTCATGCCAGTCGTTAATGCTCACCCACATCTATCACATGTTAGCCACCTTTCGCTCAATCCCCAACCCAAAGCAAGAACAACATACCTTCCTAAACGTGCTCAGCCCCGCCAAAATACTGCCTCCAATCCACGTAGAGTACTTCCGCTCCGGCGGCGCAAAGATCTTGATCCGCATATCCTTGACGGCGAGGCGCTGGACCTCGAAGAGCAGGCGGTCACCGAACCCCTTGGTCATCGTGGTGCCGCCCGAGAGCACAATGTTGCCGAATAGCGACTTGCGCAGGTCGAGATCGGTGCGGTTTATGGAGTCGACGACGATCTGGTGCACACCAGGGTACTCGAGCCCGATAATCTCGGGGTTGAAGAGGATTTCGGGGGCGCGGAAGCGCTCAGCTCCGACCTGTGTTTGTTTGTGTTAGGAGGGTATGCCAACGTATAGTTAGGACAATGGGGGCACTGAGGCGCACCTTCAATTTATTCCCATCCGGCAGCACGTAGTCGACCATCATATTGTCCGTAGTCTTCCTCACACCCCAGCCCCTCTCCTCGTCCTTTGGGTCCAGCGACACATAGCTTAGCTTCTCCTTGATCAACCGCACAACCTCCTTCTCGGCACTGGTGTGGAACACATGGCCCCCCTTCCTTAACAACATTTGCATATGCTCCGTGACGTCGCGACCCGCGACATCGATACGCCGAATCGCGCTTGGCATTGCGAACCCCTCGTACACGGGCACGGCGTGTGAGACTCCGTCGCCAGAGTCGAGAACGATGCCTGTCGTGCGCCCGGACGCGTACAGCGAGAGCACTGCCTGGATCGAGGTATGTAGAGCGGGGACATTGAAGGTCTCGAAAAGAATCTGGGCGGCTGTGTCGCGGTTACTTCTTGGGTTGAGCGGTGGCTCTGTCAGGAGCACTGGATGCTAGAATTATTCGTCAGCGCCATGCATTCATTTCCCCAACACAAGTTACCCACATCTTCACTTAGTGTTTTTAGGCCGTCCCCGTAAACCCATTCCCAGATCTTCACCATGTCATCCCAGTCCGTCACGATGCCGTGCTCCAGCGGATACCGGATCTTCAGCAGCCCGCGCAACTCCTGTGCCCGCGTCCCGATGAACACGTCCCCCTCCAGTGCGCCCGCCAGCACGCGCAGGTGCTTCGGCCTCCCAACAAAGGACGGGAAGAAACATTTGGGAAGATCCTCGCCAGCGAAACCCGCGCGAATGGTGCCTGAACCGTTGTCAAGCACGATCGGCGCGTTGTGAAGGGTGGTGTCCCCCATCTTGTGTGGATGGCAACCTGGCCCGAGGTGAAAGATGGGAGGTCAGAGGCGCAGCGGGTGTGTTCAAAGTCAGCTAAGACTGCATGTACGTGTGAGGCGACGAGGGTAGTCGTGAGGAATGAGAGTTGGGTGTTTTGTTTGAATTTTTTGGGTTGTTCGGTGTCCGTTGGCCTTCTTCGCCAGGGTCTGGAAACGCGAAGTTGGGGAGGCGGTGCCAAGAGCGGGACAGGGGTAGCTAGCTTCCCCTTTTCAACGTTTGATGACTTGACAGCTGGAGGTGTTGTAAGTGCGGCATATGCGAATCTTAATATTTTCTATATAATTAACTTAGAGTATGAAGTCGACGAAATGGCGGCAATGTAAGGTCAAGTATCTATTTAAGCAGCACCCTCTCTTCTAGGTCGGTTAACTTTCTTAAGTTAGTAGAGATATCGCGTCGTGAGTCTTGCCTAGTGCGTTAGCGACGAAAGGTTGTATAAGGGACATTATAGGTTGTAGTTGTAGATAAGACTGTAAGAGCAGGGTCGTTTTTAAGGGCTCTAATAGCAAGGATAATGCGACTTGGATTTTTATTTAAAATAAGTGCTGCACCTTTTCATTTATAGGCTACGAACCTAAGAGATGGTTCTATGGGATTCTCTTACGTCGACTACAGTTACCAAGCCTGGTAAGTCATGGAAAGTCTTGGAAAATGAGAGAACTACATCCCTTTAGCATAAATAGGATTGCCCTTTCCTTAAGAAAGGGCAAGCAGACAATACAGTAAATCGACTATCACATACTTCCACGTCTTTTCCAAGCTTCCAAGCATTCATCTTGTTACTCCTTGTTTCTGAAAAGTCAGTGAGGTGTTAACCTCTGACTTACCCCTGAGTTCTCAGACTCAACATTTGTTGCAACTTGTCTGAACCACTTCACTACATCACACACCTGATTGCTGCGTTGTGGAATAGTCTAAGCTACAACCCTTTGGCTCTGTTTCCTAAGACAGTGTGTTGTCTTAGTAAATTCATCCCTTCCTTGGGTGGCTAGATTCTCACATCTGGTGCACCCACCATTACATCAAGGCTCTTAATAGCCCATAGATGACCTGTTTTGATATCACCTCTACTCTCTGTAAACTCAATAAGAAGATTCAAAGCATCCCTAGCATCCTGATTGGTAGGTACAGGTGGTTGTAGTACTTCTTCTTCTTCTTCTTCTTCTTCTTCTTCTGGAGTTTCAAGGTGTTGTGATATAATCTCTTGAAGAATCCGTCATGATTTAATGCTTCTTCATCCTCTACCATAGACTCTTCAACTGGGTTAAGGAAGTTAGATATTGCCATAGAATCCTGGATATTGCCAGCTTGTGCTACCTGTGTATATAGCTCTGATAGATTTGGCGGGGTTATTGATGTAGGAAGAGATATTGGGTTGCTAAGGAGCATTGACTCCAACTTCGAACAGTCCAGCGTGTCACGGTTCACCAAGGCATAGGGCGCCAGTTGGGTATTATGAATTAAACTCAATCTAGAGAAGAAAGGAAAGAGAAGAGGAGCACTCGAGCAGTGGCTCGATCTATATACAGCTATTGTGGAGTGAATTCTCTTTAGCGAGACCAGTTCTGAGAATTCACTCCACAACTGAAAACTTCGCTCCAACCCCGGAAAGCTCCCCACACCCCTGAACCCCCACTCGAGCTGCAAGGCGCACTTGATATCGTAACACAGCGAACTGCAAGATGTAGATTCATTGACTTTATTGGGTCTTGATTTGATGCAAAGCATTGTAGCATAAAAGATAGCCATTGCCATCGATAGTAGCCTTTGAAACTCTGTATAATGACTTGATCAAGGGGTTGAAATCGACTTGTAGAATTGGCTGGAAGCCAGCAGATTCGAATATTTGAGGGCGGTTGTAAGGATGCCTCCACCCTCAGTGACGGAAAGGATCAGAGTCAGGTTACGGTCACGTGGGGAGAGTTAGGGCAGGTTAGCTGAGTCGGACCCGTTTCGGGTACTTAAGGGGATTGACCCAACGGGGTTCCTCATCATCTTTTTTGTATCCTTCGTAGTAGACCTATAGGATAGCATCCGTTTAGCCTCCGACTCGCACTCTCATATGCTATTACTGTGAGCTGGGTGCCCTGTGTCCTTACAGCAGTGGTAACAACTCTAAGGCAGAGTAATGAGCAGAGAAGTTGTCCATTGTCAATAGAATCTCTCAAGTCCTCCCAACATGTTGATAGAAGGCTTGAAGCCACTCGCTCATAATCACTGTATTCATCAAGCCTTCTTATTCCACATCCATTCTCCCACCCATTGTTGTAACATTGATATGTCGAAAAGCTCGAGGGTTCTTTGCTTTGCCAATTATCCAAACAGGTAGTCAGTCATTACCTGTAGCATTGGTGCAGAATACTAATGATATTCGACTTTTGTCCTTCTTAAAACCAGCATGAGAATGTTACGGCTAAGTGCTAGTGCTAATCGTGGGTCGAATAACCCACCGCTACGCGGTGGGCGCAAGCGAGATGCATCGCGAAAGCGAGTTGCATCGCCCCAGATTTCTCAACCACCCAATTTGTATTGCAATTGAACCTTGAACAATGCCACCACCTGCAACCCACGAATACGAAGAGGCTATAGCCCAGGCAATTGCCTGGGCTACTGCCAATCCTGACGAGAGTGAGATTACCGCTGCACGTATTTTCCACGTGAATCCTCAATGTAAGGACAGTTCAAACTGAGGCTGACGTTCAAGTCTGCAGAAGTATCCGAAGTATAATGTGAAGACTTTGATACTCGAAGCAGTAGGACAAGGTATAGTAGTTCAGGCTCCAAAGCATATACTTTATACCACAGGGGTCAAGTGGTGAGACTAACAGGTTGGCCAAGTGGTTCGACTCGAAGTAAGGGAATGCAAAGTAAGTCGAAGCAGGAGGAATTGCAAGAAGGCCAAGTAGTATATAATTTGCTAGCTAAAGATCAATAAGAGACATGAGCAATAAGTGCTTATATAACAGTAAAAATCCCTAGTGCCAAATAAGCGAAGGCACTAATTAACCAAACCCTAGCTAAGCGAGCCCTAGTGCAGCAAGCCAATAACAGAGAGCCTAAGCCAGTAGTCAACATTTGGGCTGATCTAGGTCAGCAAGTGAAGCGAAGTGAGCGAAGTGAGCGAAGCAGGTGAAGTGAATGACATAGTGAAATAAGTACTAGAGACTAAAGCGAATCGAAGGGTCATGACACAAATATCGAAGGAGTGTCATGATACTGAAACCCTCAAATCGAGGATACGACGAAAGAAGCAACGCGACGACCGCCCTCATATAATACACGGAGGCCAGAATCGAATCCTCTCTAGGCCACAACACGAAGCTATTATTACATATGCAGACGATATGCACAGGACAGGCCTCGGGGCTACGAAACAGATGGTCTTTGCGATAATCGAATACCTAAAGGATCTAGAAGGCAGACCGCGACCGTCCTGGCGATGGTTTCAAAACTACATAAAAACAACCCCAGGTTTTCTTCATACACTAAAAACAAAGCCAATTGCACGAAACTGAGTCGGTGCACAAGATGTTAAGGATGTACAGGATTGGTTCAAGAATTGGATGACTTGGTGTGAAGCCCATGATATTCAGCCTGGTGATATTATCAATTTTGATGAAGCTGGGTTTCAAATTGGAGTAGCTTCTGGAGAAGATATTCTTGTCCCTACCTGGATAGTAGATGTATGTATATTCCAGTTATAATATAAAATATAGTATAGCTAATAAACTATAGCCATTGTATACACCTAGCCCTGAAAATCGACGTTCTATTACCATTATAGAATCGATTATTGCAAATGGAACAACTATTCCTCCTATTCTAATTGTACAAGGTGTGAATCATATGACGAATTGGTATACCTTATTAGACGGAAATACAAGGGTATTAATGTTTGATTCTGGATATATCAACTCCCAATTAGCTCTTGAATATCTTGATCACTTGATTCTTCATATACAAGCTGGGGCAAACGCACGTCCTAGGTTTCTATTAATGGATCAACATGGTAGTCATATGACCCCGGAGTTTATTATTAAAGCTACAGAAGCTAATATACACCCGTTTCCTTTTCCTAGCCACTTGACGCATGTTCTTCAACCTCTTGATATCAGTGTTTTTCAGCCGTATAAATGCTGGCACTGGAAGGCTGTACAAGATGCAACCCGGCATCTAGATATTGAATATAGAGTTTCATCGTTCTTCTGGGACTTAACGGAAATCAGGGAAAAGACTATGAAAAAAGAGACTATTCAAGGTGCCTTCCGAAAGTCTGTAATCTGGCCAATTAATTGCCAGAAAGCTCTTAAGAAAATGAAGACGTATATGGTACCAGCGATGGCAATGGCAATGGCGACAGTGATTGAATTACCCTGTCCTCAAACACCAGTAAGAGGTGTTCAAGCTGAGAGATCTCTTCAAGAAATAGCATCAAAAATCTCAGAGAAGATTGATATATTTAGTAGTCCTACACGCCGGAAAATCGACTCTACAATACGAGGGGTCCAGAACGTCCTTCTGACTGCAGAAGTCTGGGACCGGCAGTACGAAGACCTTCATAATAGGGTTCAAAATCAACAGAAGTCTAGGATTCGAGGGAATCGGAAGGTCTTACAAAAAGGAGGGGTCCTTATAGGAACTCAGGCACAACAGATCCAGGAAAACAAGCGTGAAAAGGAGCAGGTTGATAGGATCAAAAGACGACAATATCTTATACGAATTACAACAAATAAGATTAAGAAGAAGTATCATATCCAAGGGGTTGCTGCACGGAAATCAGAGAAGGAACGTCAAAGGACAATTCTAAACTTCAAATGGAGGAAAGAAGCTATTCCTATTGAGCTATTCAATCCAATCCCGGACCCAGAAAAGCCTATAACCGATAAAGAGATTGATATACAGGTTAAGGAAGCTCTTATATCCCTCCCAGAATTTAATGGGGTCTCATTTGAATACGAGGAACTAGGTGCAATTGGTGTCATTGATCCAGGACTTCAGGAATTTACGTCGCAACAGGATTTCATATCATTCGAAGGCACAAATATATGGGGCCGTGATTCAATTGCGTCAGAAGACGAAGAAGATGAAGATTCAATTCAAGATGCGTTTTCATACTTGTAGTGGTAAAATATTTCCCATAGTCTACGATTCAATTGCAATACAAATTGGGTGGTTGAGAAATCTGGGGCGGTGCAACTCGCTTTCGCGATGCAACTCGCTTGCGCCCACCGCGTAGCGGTGGGTTATTCGACCCACGATTATGGCTAGCGCTTACAGCTGCAACCTCACGTGATGGATAACATTGGATATCATGGATATTATGTTATCCATGTTATCCATGGGGATCCACGGAATATCAGGTGATGGATAACATTGGATATCATGGATATTATGTTATCCATGTTATCCATGGATATCCTTTTGGCACAATGCCACTATATAAGTAGATAGTATTTCCTTAGATAGGAGCTTCGTGCTCAACTCAATATAGTATTCTTTACAATAATGTAACGTGTTACTTGGAAAGCCTTTGTGTTTAATCTCCTGCCTTTACAGAGAACTTGTTGCTAGGCCATTCGCCAGAACAGCCCTGTTTCATCCATATTATATATATCCTCCTCTTGAAACTCCCCCGCTAAGGTTTGTAAACTCTTCATTTGTTCCTCTGCAGACTCTGGTACTGATCCTGCTTCACCGTGGAATATATGCTCGGAGATGTGATGTCGTTTCTTGAATCGTTGAAGCTAGCCAGTGCTAAAATCCGGGCATTCCTGGCCAGAGTATTGTGGCAACTGATGCCACACTTGTCGAGCTTTCTCACGGATGAAGTCACCGCTTGTGAACCCTCCTTGCTCTTCAATTCGTTTCTGCCAAAGGACGAGCAGAGTCTCAAGGTCTGGCCACTGCCCTAGGCGAATTCGTGAGCCTTCAACCTTGTTGTCTATGCCACTGAGAGTCGAAAAACGGTCGCTAAGGGATTCAGAAACAGTAGATTGGCTTAAGTGGTGGTCAAACTGCTGCTGAAACCATGCAATACAAGCTCATTGAGAAGGACGGTGATGTTGGCTTCGAACCCAGATGCGTAAAGCTCGGCGCTGCTCGAGAGTTACACGCTGCTTTCGAGGCATTATATGTTGTTATATGTCTGTATAAGACGATATGCTGGAGGAATATAAGGATACCGTGAATATTGATAAATGTATGGTATTTGAATCCGTCCCGAAAAATAAATCGCACAATCGAATATATCGTCTTACATAAGATCGTCTTAACGGTGTTTGACTGTAGCTGTAGATATACCTAGTTTATCAGATTCCGAGTAGCTTTAGTCAATTTAATGTGTTGTGGTTGCTTAATTATATTTTGAAGTGGTAGAGATGGGGGGCAGTGCGCGACTCGGTGTCGTGCGCGACTCGGTGTACAACCATGTTAGTTACCATAAGATAGACTTAAAGAGACAGTCACTATAAGCTAGACTTAAAATGATAGTTGCTATAAGATAAACTTATAGAGATAGTTGCCGTAAGATAGACTTGAAAAGACAGTTATAGTGAGATAGACTCGAAGAGGCAGTTACTATTAGATAGGCTTGAAAAGATCTTAAAGAAAGAGGTTCTATTGGCCTAAATTGCCGATATCAACTCTTTCCTCTACCCAGTCCTTCCTCGGACTTTCGGGGGCAAGAGTATTGATGGTCCACCTCATCCCTCTGTACTTCGTGATTCATGACCTGTCCTTCCGTTTGTTGTCCCGTTCGTCGTTTGCTCACCCATTGTCAAAATCAACCCGCAAAGGCACAATCATAAACGAGTAATCAATCTCTCATACAATATATACACCGCCAATATGCTCTCTCCCCTCCCCCTCCCCAAATTTTCTATACCCTCTATTGGAATTCCTTCTTAAACAACTCCTTCCCCCACGGCTCCCCCTTCAAGCTCGTCAACCCCCCCGTCGGCTCACAGCTCTCTCTTCCACTCGCCGGTCCCGGCGCCGGCACCTTCGAAGGAGTCCCCGCCACATCCTTCGCGCTCGCCTCCAGTGCCTTGAGCAGTGCCACGATCGACTCGGGAGTCAGATCCTCGTAGTAGTCATCGTTGATCTGTACCATCGGCGCGTTAACGCAGGCGCCCAGGCACTCAACCTCCAAGTATGTGAACAGGTTGTCCTTGGTCGTCTGTCCGTTGTGGACGCCTAGGTGGCCCTCGATGGCCTTGACGATGGCGTCGGAGCCGCAGCCGCCGAGCTGGCAGGGGGTCTGGGTGTGTTAGCTCGGATTTGCTGTCGTCGCATTGCTGGGGCATTTGATAGGCGAAAGGGGACTTACGGTGGTGCAGACTTGCACGTGGTATTTCCCGACTGGGGTACGGTTATACATGGTGTAGAAGGTGGCGACCTCGTAAACGCGCATAGGCGGCATCTCGAGGAGACGCGCAACCTCGTTCATGACGCTGAGGCTGGTGAATCCGTGCTGGCGCTGGCCGAGGTCGAGGATGGGCATCACGGCGGCCTTCTTGTATTGGGGCGGGTAGCGGGCCAGGATCTCCTTGATCACGGCGTTGTTCTGCTCGTTGAACTTGAACGGGATGCTCGCATTGTTGTCGGCGGAGTCGCGGTGCTGGGGATCGTGTCAGCGGATGTTTCGGGGGGGTGATTGGGGGGAGGGGAGGCCGAAGGGCGGCATACCACGAAGAGGGAATCACTGGCTACCCGGCAGGAGGCGACGAACGCCCGACGTTGGGATCGAATGGCTGGGCGCGATGCAATGCATACCCGCCTTGCGGCCGAGCCGAAGACGTAGGGAGTGATCTTGGAGGCCATTGGAGCTGTCGGGGGTCGCAATGGCTGGTGTGATGGAGATGCCGTGCGAGATATTTGAGTTCACGCTTTGAGGTGTAATCAGTATTTGCCGCGATTGATTGGTTGGGGTGGATTGGCTGATTATGTCAGCCGGATTTTGTAACCACACCAGGACCTGTCAATATAATTTATCAGAGCAACAATCACTTCGGTCATCACGGAATCTATAAGTATTACTTTCTATATCGTGTTTTCTTTGTAGGAAGGTTCGGGTTTTAATTTCATATACTACCACCAATCTTCATGTGCAGAGATGCCTTGGCTAAGTGATATATTTAAGTTCATTACATCTTGTCTGTGCCCAATATCTCGTTATATTATTAAATTGAAGCGCAATCGTTGTATTGCAATAGACAGCCCAGAATACTGGCAAACAAACAGAATTAACGCCTTGAGAAAATTGGATCGAGGGTATTCGCAGAAGCAGCAAAGTTTCAAAACCAGACGGGTTATGTCTCCAGCGACCTACGATCTTGCAATCAAGATGGAAGGGCAGCCTCTTAACGTCTGTACCAGCGTCTGCGAGCAGGGATTCCGTCACCAGCAACAGCACCATGGTGTGGTGTGTGCTTGCGCATGAACCACATTCCCACAAGTGCGCTGACGAGCCAAAAGATGGCCGATAGGAAAGAGAAGGCGACGTCGGCCTTCCACTTCTGACAAGTCCCATTCTGTGTGATATCGCCCCAGTTGAAGATGTTGCCGCAGTTAAGAGGGCCAATGAACTATTCCCCAAGTTAGCAATGCGGAAATTATATTGGGGCTTTATGCACATACGTTGACCAGCAGACCGAAGGCGGCAATCCAGAGACCGAAGAAAACGATATCGACCGGCCAGTGAATAAAGGCGCCCGAGAATGGGAGGAGCCACAGCAGTGAGAGGAGTATCGATAGTGACGCGACAATTATGGTGTAGATGAACCGCTTTCTGGACCAGTTGCTCTGACCTCTGGTTTCATGGAGGTATTCGCCGGTAAGCCCAGCAACGACGGCTGCGAAGGCAAGCTTTATATGGTCAGTTTATGCATCCATGATTTGGCGGAGGAATGAAACTCACCTCGCCCACGCGAAGCAGCATGCCAACGATTCTATCAATGGCCATTTTGATATGTTTCTTCGACACCTGGTGTTTATGACTAAAATATTTGGGATATCTGCGTGAGATGGATGGCAGGGAGAAGTTGAACCTTTTTCTACGGGTGTCGCTCGCCTTTAAATAACAGATGCGGAAAAACCGGAAACGGAAGTGTGGAGGGCTACAGGTGACAAAGACGTTGGTTAGGTTTTGTCAAGATATTCGTGCCTACTCATATTGCCTCTGCATCGTCAGAGGCTGCGCAAGAGGAGGGGTCCACCTCCTTGGCACATCTGGAAGCAATCAGACCGATCTAGAGTGCCAGGTGTAACTGAGCGAAAGAGGGGAACTGAGGGAGGTCGCGCATCTTTCCCCGCGCCCTGAGCGAAACAGGTTTGGTGGGTTGAAGTTGGCTATAACATCTTGAGTCACTGGCGAATGGTATATACCTTAACCCATCACTGTATAACCAGGGATCGTCAATGAAGTCATTGATGATAATACAACTATATCGTACTCTATATCGCCCCCTAGAGCCTTGCTTTGCCTTGCCCGACTATAAACTTGGGAATACCTGGTGGCGATCGGTGGCCACATAACTGAGGTCTTGTGGCTTCAAATTGGGCTTATTATTGTATCTAGAACGGCCTTCCATGATTGGCCGGGACGAGAACCTTTGACAATTAGGACGGGTGAGACAGACAGTTGTCATACCAACATTAGTCAGGACGTGGAATCTATATGTGTTTGGTAAAACCAGCCGAGCCATGGTTGGCCCCAGGAATGCTGGTGTTGACACAGTGGTAGGGATCGATTCGCTATATGGCTCGAGCAAATGCTCAGAACTGGATCAGCAGCGTCAGGTGCCATCCTCTTTGGTTGGCTTGGGCATGGGGTACGTGTGCAAATGCATTTACATTTGCAGAGATTCATGCAAGTAGCCGTTGATACCCTCAATACACTGGCTGAACTGTTGTATAAACAAGAAAGCTTCCGATATTCTGGCTGATGTTGACGTCATAGCTGCATGGCAGAGGTGAGCTTTACCTTAATATATGATTCTATAGAGTTCAGGTCAGGTGTTTATGATGCCCCTTTTTTGACAGCTGCCGAGACGAACCTCGCATCGGCACTTGGACCTTTGCAAGCGAGAATAAATCAACACCATCAACACCATCAACAGGGCCAGAGTATGACATCTCGGCCTCTGCCTGATCCGTGCCTGTTTATAAAAAATATATATATATCAAACATATGACAAAAAAAAAACGCAAAAAAAATGGACTGGTCTACTTGAGAGTAGATGGTTCTGAAATATTCCGAACCGGGGAGTCGAACCCCGCGCAACCGCGGATTCATAATTCTTTCGAATGGTGAGAGGCGGATATGTTACCGATACACCAGTTCGGAGTGGGTTGGAGTTCGGAACAAGTATTAGGGTAGATGTAGTAGTGTTGGTGGTATCCCACAAGTTTTTTTTGGCGTGTTAAACGGGGCGATCCGACAGTCATGGGCGAGATCCCCAAAGTCACGTACCTCAGGCCCGACTTCACAATCCAACTAAATAAATATGGCTCCCCCGCTGCATATATGAGCCTCTCTACATATAAGAGATATAATTGAGCTGGATTTCCTTCTTTTTGTTCTTGGCATCTTGCCCTGTTCTTGGATATGTCGACCTTGACTGAAGCCGACACAATTGTCTTAAAGAACCTCCGATACGACATTCAGAACGACATCCGAGACTCGAGCACAGCAGCTGCAGAAGCACAACCCAATCGGCCCAAATCCGACGACGATGACGACTCAGTGAGGCCCATCCTGGAGCAATTGAGTGTGGAATCCTCAGCCTTCACTTCATGGGACAATAACGAAATAAATCCGACGCTGGATCGTCTGGTGGTGCAACCTTATCTCGCATGGGCTTCGAAACTTGTACGACAGAACCCAGACACTGTATTCATCACACACATAATAATACACTTCACGACGCTTTTGCCAAGCGCCTTATACCTATACTACAGCTTCTCGTGGCTTCATGCCGTCCTCCACACCGTTTATGCCGTGTGGAACGCCGGCCCATTTACGCTGCTTCTTCACAACCACATACATAATAACGGCTTGCTCGGAAAACAATATGCCTTCTTCGATCGCCTCTTTCCATATATCACGGGACCTCTGATGGGTCATACCTGGGATTCATACTATTACCACCATGTCAAGATGCACCACGTTGAGGGGAACGGCCCCGGAGATCTCTCGTCCACCATCTACTTCCAGCGTGATGAGCCCCTGGAATTCATCAGGTACTTCGTTCGGTTCCTGGTGTGCACCTGGCTGGAACTGCCAATTTACTTCTACCGCAACAAGAAATACGATTTAGCCGCAAAGGCATTGATATCGGAGTGCTCCTCGATGGGCTTTATATACCTCGCGGCCCAGCTGAACACCCGCCCAACAGTTTTTGTACTTCTACTACCATTCTTCATAATGCGCCTCGGGATGATGATCGGGAATTTCGGACAGCATTGCTTAGTCGACAACGTGGACCCCATGTCCGACTTCCGCTCTAGCATCACTCTCATTGACGTCCCCGTAAGCCCCCACGCCCCCTACTATCTAGCACAACAGTCACTAACATCTTCCCAGAGCAACCGCCACTGCTTCAACGACGGCTACCACACCTCTCACCACCTCAACCCACGGCGCCACTGGAAAGCCCACCCCGCCGCCTTCCTCAAAGCCAAGCCCACCTACCAGGCCGAGGGCGCGCTGACCTTCACCGACATCGACTACCTGATGATCACGTACCGGTGCATCACCAAGGACTTCGACCATCTCGCGCGCCGTCTGGTGCCGATGGGCGCGCAGATCGGGATGACGCATGAGGAGAGGGTGGAGATGCTAAGGAGTAAGACGAGGAAGTTCACCCCTGAGGAGATTAAGCTCAAGTTTATGAAGAAGGGGGAGAGGGCGTCGGCGGCTGCGGTTGCGGCTGCGGCGGTGCCGGTGCCGGTGCCGGTGGTTGGAGGGGTGAAGGGGGCGAAGGTGGGGAGGTCGAGGAGGGAGTCGGTTACGGCGGCGGCGGTGAAGGCGGGGGCGTCGATTGGGGAGGGGTCGGGGAGGGTGGTTAATCATGAGATAGTGAGCCGTCGGCTATAAGGGGAAGTTCAACGACAGTTTGATAGATTTGGTGTATAGCAAACTGTAGAAAATAGACCTCTTCATACTGATGCCTCCTAAAAGTTCAAGCCTACAAGGCAACGACAGTCGTAGGACCATGTTATCCCACTACTTCACGCTATTAGGCTAGCACTATTAACCTAGCACTGTTTATAGACTCTTGGTTACTCACGGCTATAATTATCTAAGCTGGTTTCTCAAAACTATACCCAAGACCTCAGCTCCTCACCCAACACGACTTCTCTACCGTGTCCATCATGCGTGCTTCACTCCGCCGGCCCTTCTCGTTGGTCCGCACCGTCATATGCGCCAGATGCCTCCTCCGCGTCCTGCGTATGCACGCCCTGCCAATTAACCTCCGCATTCCTCGCCGCCGCCGTCCCATCCAAATTATACCTCTTCCAATCCCTCCTCGGCCGTCTCCTCACCCCCCTCGGCTTCAGCCGCATCGTCGTTCCCTTCTCCTCACTCACCGTCAGCATCTCCTTCCGCTTCTTCCTCCGCTTCACCGACCGCGCAGCAGGCTCGTCATCATCATCTTCATCCGCCGGCGCATCCGTCGGGACCCTTCGCTCCTGCTCATCCAGCTCTGCCAGCCGTCTCCTCGCCACCTCCGCCCCCTCGGGCGTCGCGCTGCTCAATCCCTCCCGTATCGTAGCGCGTTCATCTTCGATCCGCTTGCGGATTACCTCGATCCAGCCGTGGAACTTGGTGCGCTTGTACGCCACGACTGTGACCTCGTCGTCCTCGGCTTTGCGCTCTTTGATTCCCATCAATCGCTCCAGGAAGCGCGCCTGGTTGCGTCGCTCGGTGGACGCGGCGACGGAGACGGATTCCACGAGGGGGCCTTCCTCGTAGGGGGCGAGCGAAAGGGGTGTTGCGTGTGTGACGGGGACGACGGTTGCGGTGGCGGAGGTTAGGCGGGCGGAGCAGGAGGCGAGGAGGGAGACATCGCCGGGTAGATGGCGTAGGGCTGGGAGGGGGTCATCTGTGTCATCGTCGGGGGTGAAGAGGAGTTCGCTGCCGATATTCTTGGTCCAGCGGCAGGTGAAGGTGTGATCGCGGTATGAGATGAGCGGGTTGTCGGACTCGAGGTGTAGGATCTGGATCTTTTGCTCTGCATGCCCGTTGCTCTCGGGCTCGTTTTCGTCGTGTAACGAAGTGTCGTTGGCGGGGCTTTGGGGCTCTTCGTCGGCGGACTCGACGGGAACGGTGTCCACGCCCTCTTTGTCTTTGTCTTTGTCTCCGAGAGATATTGTGGGTGCGTGCCCGAGTTGGCGCTTATGACGCCCGAGGCCGGGGTTTATCCATTTGGTTTTCGTGCTTGCACGGCCGCTGGGGGGAGCGGTGGCTCGAGGGCGAGAAGTCGGTATGGATGGGGTTGTAAGGTCGAGTGTGAGGTAGAAAGTCTGCAGGATAGTAAACGGGTGTAGGATGGAGCAAGTTGTGAGGGGCACTGACTTCGGTTTCGGTGGTCGAATACTCGTATTCCCATTCGTCGGAATCGTCTCCCACTGAGCCCTTCAATGGCATTGGGAGGGGCTCAACAAAGGAGTGGTTCGAAGCTTCGTTTTGCGGGGTGGGGGCGTCCATCCAGGGCTGGAAGCTCTCCATGGTGCTGGTCTAGAATAGTAACTGGGCTCTATTGGTGTCGCGGAGGAGGACGCATGGAAGGATCTAACCGCGGATCCTAGAGGCGCCTAACAAGCGCAATGTGATAGGCAAAACGTGGCTATCTGAGACGCTGGCGGCATGAAGTGAGGAGTCTCGAGCGCTACAGGAAACGCTGGAGGCACACAGGGCTTTGCTCTTATTTTAGTTCAGCCTTGTGGTCTCGATCATAGGTACAAATGGTACAAAGTATATCCCATAATCGCGTGACCAATATCTTGTTTCAACCGACCCGCACTATATGGATTGATTGGCAGCTGGCGGTGGCTAACGGATGCGATAGTCGTGACACTTTCACGCGCGCTAAATTACATCCAAGCATATACACAGACATACATCTACAGTGCACTACTCTAATTCGCTCAACATTCAACCTCTGCATAGTCGCGGCCAACAAGTCAATAGTGAATAAAATATCCTTGGAAGGGTCAAGTGGCCAATACATAAGTATGCACGGTGAGTCCGGTTGGTCTTGCTACATATTCCGCCTTTGTCTCTGTTTCACCTTCCTCTTCTTTCTTTTATACTCCAGTACATATCTCACCCATGAATACTTCTCCTTTGCTCTACATCAACGCTTACCTCTGATTTAACTTTACCTCAACCAAAACCGAGACCTATATATCTTTACTGCAGCACGAATAACACCACACACTTACTGTACGGATATACGCTTACCCTCACAATGGCCTCCGCCATCCAAGACGTGCCAGACCAGGAGTTCAACGGCATCAGATATACCGGCTTCCCCGAGCCACTGAGTCTTCGTAAGTTCCTCCATCCCATCCCCCTTCCACCAGCCCAACTAACTTCCCCAGGTCGCAACACCACCCTCCCCCACCCCGACGCCAACCTCTCCCCCGACGCCTGCATCGAGTCCTTTGGCAACCACCTTGCCCGCTCCTCCTCCCGCCACCGCTTCTCCTCCTCGCGGCGGCGCGTCTCATCAAAGGGCTTCATCGACCCGACACAGGTGTACGAGGATATCCACTACGTCGATAGCACCGTTGCCGTTGTCTCCAAACCCGGATCCTCCTCCTCAAAAGAGAGCACCAGCCCTTCAGACGGCGACGGGGGGTTCAAATCAAGAGAAGAAGGGGGGAGGTCGTCGGGGGAAACCGATTCAAGCGAGCGAAATCACCGGAAGAAGAAGGGCTTACGCGGCTTGTTCCACAAGGGCTGAGATGCAGTAACACTTCTGGGCAGCCCTTTTAAAATGGGAAAAACAAAAGCTACACGGGGTGTTTCTTGGATATTCCTTTTGTTTTCGGGGCGAAGAGGCACTAGACCACTTCAGCAGCGTAATTTGCGTGTAGCAGCGTAGCAGCTTTAGCCTAAATAGGAAATAGTGATACGATAGTCCTTGCGGCCCCCTGTTGCCACTATATCCTAATTCGGTCTAAAGCTGCTACACTGTAGCAGCTCTTAAAGCGGTTAGTTCTACTCGTGCGGCCCAAAAGTTTCCACAGGGTCTGTGCACAACAGCCAATTAGATTGTAGGAATCTACCAAGCACCATGTACTTGTACCCGAGTACACGCGTAGAAAATGTACACGCGTAGAATATGAGAGTGAATGAAGCAATGAAGTAATGCTCAACAATGGCTGAAATCTCAATACCACTACGTGCTGCAATTATTACCTTGCGTGTATACATGAACGCATCATATGGAGAGATTGAAAAGAAGCTTGGAATCTCAGCTGACTCTATTGCATATATATGGCACCAAACTGTTAAAAGGGCAGGGAATACTGAAATTCACAACCTTCTCCAACACCTCGAATCAAAGCCACGAAGCGGAAGACCACAGACAATTCAAAAGGATTCTGAAGAGTCACTACTCATACGATCTTTGCTACTTGCAAATCCATTTGACACTTTTCAACAAGTTATTAATAAGGAAAATCTACCCTACGCACGATTGTAACGCTGACTTCTAAACGATAGAAGACACAGAGGTTCTCTTGCGTAAAGGTTTACTTATCAGAGGAGGCAGGGGATCAGACACAAAGGCTTCAAGTAACACGTTACTAGTATATAACAAATACTGTATTGAGTTGAGCACGAAGCTCCTATCTAAGGAAATACTATCTACTTATATAGTGGCGTCGTGCCTAGTGGACTCTTGGGAACTCACTCGAGTCCTCGGAGTCCTGGACTCTTAGGACTCTTCTCATCATCCTGCGAGTCCATCACGTGCCTAGTGGACTCCTGGGAACTCACTCGAGTTCTCGGAGTCCTGGACTCTTAGGACTCTTCTCATCATCCTGCGAGTCCGTCACGTGATACTTTCGGAACTACTATTCCCTGCTGCGCCTCCAGGTACCAGGGCCGGTCTCATGCGACCTCCCTCCTTCCTGTCCTGTAGTTGGCCAGCCTTCTTGTTCCGTCGTAACAACGATCAATTGTCGAACGAGTTGCAAAGAATCACTCAAGTGTTGAAATTCCACAACCTATTGTACGGAAAAACATCTGCCTCAAGGCCTACTTGGATAATATCATTCCTTCAGTACGATGGAAATTCTGCAAATGGGCACTATCCGAACTTCAAGCTGGATCAATTTTTATTTTCTCAGACGAATCATATATCAATTTCAGAGGGAATCCACATAAGAAATGACGGATAACACTTTAACGGGGTCAAACAGCAGAGAGCATGGCAATTCAACAGGAGAAATCTTTATTTCAAGTTATGTTTTGGGGAGCAATGAGTTCAGAAACCTCTATCTTACGCCCTTCTCGTTCATGGATTCCTGAAAGTATAGAAGAGAAGCAGATACATGTGCAGAAACTATGAGAGATAAATGCATATTGGAAATCAAAAGCAGAGAATGAACTTGTTAGAGCAACAACAGTTGGAACTCTTGAGTACGGATATATGGAAACTCTAAATGCAGATATTCGGAATGGCAAAAGCAAATGGAAAAAGGCACGAGTTGCTTCACAAGAGTTTGGAGATATAGAGACATGGAGTAGAGGACAGCAATCAGAAGGGCAAGAAGTTTCAAAGGGCGGGATTGATTGGTTTCTATATCGAGAGATGGTTCTTATTCCTCTTCTCTTGCCCTACTTTCAAAAAGTAAAGGCTTTACATCCTACAAAACGAGTATAGTTTGTGGATGATAATGTAAGTCTTCATTTGAAGGCTCACCAGTCATTGGAAGATTATATGAAGAAGGAGGGAATCTATAGAGTGAAATTTTGGCCTCCAAACTCTCCCAATTTGCACCCTATTGAAAATGCCTTTGATTATCTCAAGGATCAGGTTGACGGCTATACACCATTAAACGGAGGGAAGTGTAATGGTGGGTGCACCAGATGTGAGAATCTAGCCACCCAAGGAAGGGATGACACACTGGGTTGTAGCTTAGACTATTCCACAACGCAGCAATCAGGTGTATGATGTAGTGAAGTGGTTTAGACAAGTTGTAACAAATGTTGAGTCTGAGAACTCAGGGATAAGTCAGAGGTTAGCACCTCACTGACTTTTTAGAAACAAAGAATAACAAGATTAATGCTTGGGAAGCTTGTAAAAGACGTGGAAGTATGTGCTAGTTGATTTACTGTATTGCCTGCTTGCCCTTTCTTAAGGAAAGGGCATATTTATGCCAAAGGAGTGTAGTTCTCTCATTTTCCATGACTTTCCATGACTAACCAGGCTTGCTAAATGTATTAGAAATCAAGTGCGACCCACAACTAGCTTGCTAATCATGTAGCGAATGTAAGAGAATCCCATAGAACCATCTCTTGGGTTCCTAGTAGGCTGCGCACTACTCGCCCAATACTCGGCTCACTCACTCAGTGGGTTACTCAGCTGGGTGAGTAGCTGAACCTTTCACTCGACTCGGTGAGTGAGGCCAATACTCAGTTACTCTGTAAAAACCCAGTGAGTACTCGGCTGTCACGTGTAAGATATATGCATTACGTGAACAGTCCCTCATACGATTAATACTGTTTTATGGTTACAGTTGTAAGTTAACTTAAAGTATTACATTTATCAGCATCACTCTACCATCTCTAATAAGCTGTGAGAACGAATCACGTATATTCCTCTATCTAAGTACCACGATTATCAGAAGATTATCAGAACACTATATTATATATGCTCAAGAACATCTTTCCACCTTGCTTGATGAGGCCGGCCAGACCTACTAATACCTAAAGTATTTATAGGGTCTTGACGAGTAGCTTGAAAGATATCAAGTAGATCTCTTCCAGTCTTCCGAGGGCGTTGGATAGGCGTTGGTGGCGAGGACGGCATATCCTTATCTTCATCGTCATGAATAGTTGGAAGTATAGGCTCCTCATTATTACCATCTTCTCTTATATCTTCATTATCTGGGATATCGTCATCTGGGATGTCGTATAAGGTCTCGTTAAGACGGTCAGCCCTATCTCTTTCTTCACCTTGTTGGTAGCGCATTTGTCGTTCTTCATGTGCAGCTTGTGATAAGTCTTGCTGTTGCTGTGGCCGCTGAGGATTAAACGGAGGATATTGTACCTTTGAATATGTCTCTCGGATATGTGTATTTGATCGTGGTTCTTCTTCATCGCTGATATATTGTAACTCGATAGAATTGCACATCCGTTGTCGTTGTGCCTCATACTCTTCTTCGACTTGCTCCTCAGTCATATCAACGACGTCCATCATATCTGCAAGCTTGTCACGATGACCTTGACGATTCTTGTATTGTCGAGAGTAATATATAAGCATAATACTCTTAATCGTCTCAGGATTAAGTTGACCACGTCGGTGGCCACATACGTCCCTTGCGGCACTAAAGACTCGCTCAACTCCAGACTCAGCAGCAGGAATACAAAGTATATCACGAGCCATCGCTGATAGACCAGGAAATTGCTCTTCCTAGGCTCTCTTAACTCAAGCGCACATTGATGTATGCTACCTCATAATCTGGTAATCATCTGGTGATACTAATAGTTGATAGGCCCATGAAGAGTCCAATTTCCGCAAGTGGCAACATTTCTGGGATAGCTGTATCCACTCATATACGAGAAAGGCTGGAAAGCTGAGAAAGAAGCCTGAGCGTCTCTTTGAGTATATGCCGTGGATTGATGTAGAGGAAGGGTACGTCTCTGATCATCCTAGCAATCTTCTGGCAATACTAATTGTTTATTATAGCACTTTTCACGAGGTTATCCCACCACATAAATATTTCTGTTTGTACGAGCAGGCAGTTTGGAAAGTGGGCCTAATTACCAGGACCTGTGCAGTGGTACCCAAAGTCTTACAATCTTGTCGACAATGGATGGTTGCAAATATCCACTCATAGTTCTAGCTTCAAAGAGGCGTTCTTACTTGTCTACTCTAAGAAGTTTGATAAGGAAAAGTGGGCTAAGGTATCAGCTGCACAGGATATGTTGTTCCTGGAGCTAGAGTAGAGGAGAACTTGAGTTGCTAAAGTTATAGCGCTGGAGTACCTTTCGCGTTGGAAAACCAGGTATTTAAGTACTTCATCGTAGCCAGACTTCTGGTAACCTTCTGATAATCGAGCAATTTGCCAAATGCCATCTCAATACTCAGAGTTGTTTGATTCTGACAGTATTCTCAGACTCTTTTCCGTCTTCTCAACGACTATCCTCATTAAATCAAGTCTGTAAGGACACAGGGCACCCAGCTCACAGTAATAGCATATGAGAGTGCGAGTCAGAGGCTAAACGGATGCTATCCTATAGGTCTACTACGAAGGATACAAAAAAGATGAAGAGAGGAACCCCCGTTGGGTCAATCTCCTTAAGTACCCGAAACGGGTCCGACTCAGCTAACCTGCCTTAACTCTTATCATGTGACTGTAACCTGCCCGACTCAATCACTGAGGGACAGGCATCCTTACAAAGTCCCTGCAGGCCTTGAATATATTGGCAAGTTAAACCAATTCGTCAAATAGACTAAGGATACACACGATATATTCATTGAGTGGTGGAAGCTATCACGATGGTATGAACAACACTCAGATCATACTACAAAACTCCTTATGAAGATTGCATGGGATTCAACCAACTGGAGTTCTCAATACTGGAGAAGTTATCACCAAGGAGCAGACCGGCTTTCTGGAGAACCATGTGTTATTTGTACTTATTGTTCGAAGGCCCTTACGCATCCTGCAATCAAGTCTGCTGGCCCAAAGTCTATGGCAACACATCTTGCATCAGACATTTGCAAAAAGAAGTCACAGATGGGAAGGATAGTCTCTATCAAATGCGAATCAATCAAATGCAACCTCAACAAGTAAGGATTACCAGATTATTACCAGAATTATGTAGGTTAATACCTATAATAAGATCATATTCTCACACAAGAGACATTTTATGAACAAGTTCTATACACAGTTATCTTGACTCATAGCTCGTTCCGCTCAGTCGAGGATCCTCATCAAGACCCTATAAATACTTTAGGTATTAGTAGGTCTGGCCGGCCTCATCAAGCAAGGTGGAGGGATGTTCTTAAGCATATATAATAGATAATAGCGTTCTAATAATCTTCTGATAATCATGGTACTTAGATAGAGGAATATACATGATTCGTTCTCACAGCTTACTAGAGATGGCGAGAGTGATGCTAATAGATGTAATACTTTAACTTAACCATAAAACAGTTTTAATCGTATGAGGGACTGTTCACATGATGCATAAATCTTACACGTGATAGCCGAGTACTCACCGGGTTTTTACAGAGTAACTGAGTATTGACCTCACTCACCGAGTCGAGTAAAAGGTTCAGCTACTCACCCAGCTGAGTAACCCACTGAGCGAGTGAGCCGAGTATTGAGCGAGTAGTGCGCAGCCTAAGACTGTGCTTGGCCAGGATGTTCAACTGCTTGTCACTATACGCTGCATTCCCGTTCTCTGTTTTTGCCCTCTCGAGAAAGCTCCTCCAGATCGCTTTTCTCGTATCAACGCCTAAGGGGCTGTACTTAACACCAATGTGTATTCTGCTCTGCACTGCTTCATCAAAGTCTCTGACCCGGTTCGTGGTAAGTAACATAATGCCCTTATAATACTCGAGCTTCCGTAAAAAGACCGAGACGAGAGAGTTGTGATTAGAGTCATATGAGCGCTTGCACAGAAAGTCGTCAGCTTCATCGAGGAGAAGTAAAGCTTTCCAGTTTTCTGCAACTTCAAACATCTCACACAATTGCACCTCGAGATGTTTCGCATCCTTGCTTAAGTTTCCGGCAGAGACCTCACTAAGTCAGTACAAATCTGTGCCAGATTGATGTGGAAGTGCTTACTGTGTACAGAGGCCTCTTGAGGTGTTCCGACAGTCCTTCTGCTGTCATTGTCTTTCCTACACCTGGTGGACCACTATCGAGGATGTTAGACTTATACATGTCGATCGTTACTACCGTGAACATACTAGAGTAGCATAATCAAGCCACGGCCTTTTCCCTCCACAAAATCATCAAACGTATATTTAGCTTGTCCACCAGACTGGAACGTGGTCAGAGCTTCAATGAGCTTCTTTGACCTAGACGGTATAGCCACTTGATTGAAGAGTGACTCATTCCAGGAAATTTCCGAAATGTCTGCAACCGCAAATTCCACTAGTACGTGATCAGCAATGTCGCGACAGCAGAGCACATGTCTTACACCATAATTTGTCATTCAGACTGAAGCCCAGCACAGTCGGGCTACAGATTAGAAAATCTTCATCGGTCAGCGCATCAAGGTCCATACTGCTCTTCATAGCCGATTTATCGATCTGGTTGCTAGAAGCCGCATCTAATATCAGCCACAAATCAATACTGTCAGAGCTCTTGAAGATGCTTGGTCTGGTGTAGTTGGGATTGATCTCCTGAAATGATGCGGCATCAACCATAATTCTACTGTTGATAAATATCTCAACGGGTTTCTTTTTCTTCATCTGAAAGGCCCTGCCTCTATATTGCCGATGTTGGGTCCCGATTAAAGAGAAGCAGAACTTGCGACCGCATTTGACAAGTGTTTCTCTGATGCTCTTCTCTGTATCGTGGTATTGGAGAGGAAATGCCTCGAGAGAGTTGATATTTTTCGATCCGCGGAACCCGAGAATTGCAGTTTCGATTGGAACTTTCCCAAGCATCTTCCCGTCAAATTCCAAATACTTTCCTTTGATGTGGAAATATTCAACTCCATCTGTGGTTACTTTCGCTTCGCCAGATTCGAATCTGATGCATCGTGGGCTTTTCGTCCCGCGGCAAGTGGTATACACAAATTCGTTTGGCTTGAAAAGAAACGGGAGTAGATCGTAAGTTATCTCTCCCGTTTTCAGCAATGAGACAAGCCGTACTTTCGTATCCTTGTAGGATAAATTAATATGATCGATAAGGAGGGCAATGTGCTCCCGGATGATGCTGTCCTGGGGATCAACGCGATTCCATTTGCGGGACGCCTCAAGATCTGGGAGATAGTGGAAGAGGATATTTTGCTCGACCTTTTGAAGAAGTGAGAAAGTCGATCGTGATTGTTGGATAGGGCATGCTTACGGAGAGGCTTTCCTCGTTGAGACTAATCTCAGGAGCTTGTGCAAGTATAACTCTCAAGGTATCTCGGAGCAATTTCGACTTGATGTCAATATAGACCACTGGTATTTCGGTTTTCTTGACTGGAAACTTCCGTTAGCAGGTACTATTTGTGGGGAGGACATACCAACTAATACGCCTGCGCTCTATGAAAACGTATCGATCCAGTCTATCAACTTTTTCTTCCGGTTGGTGTTGTTCCTCGATGACATACTTGCACGACTTTTCATCCCAACTGCACCAGTATCTTGTGAGCCAGGGGAAGGCCTCAGCGACAGGAAGACTTACACTTCATTGACTGTCATGTATGTCTCTGGAGGGTCTTCGGCTTTAACTTCGTCTGCAGCAGCGGGTACTGCAGGGGCGCTCTGCGTAGAATTGAGAGACTTGAGAAAGTCTAAGAACTGTTGGGCGAAAGGCAACAATTCAGACTGACGACAATGAGGGTCTGGAGACATGGGTTGCATTTTCATAGCGGCGAAAATCTCACTAGCATCCTTATCGCTCATCGTCGGGGTACTGGGTGGGGTGGCTGGCCGTGGACTGTGCAGTGGAAGGCCGACTTGAATCATCTCTGTTGGAGCCATGATCAACGTAGAGTGTTGGTAGGTGCTTGATATGAGAGTTGGGAAATATGGACAAAAGTAAGAAGCTTGTGGATGAGTGATTATTTGAAGACTGCAGAGGTTGTGATTGAACTTCCGGGGAATCGCACGCCCTTATATATTCCTCAATTCTTTCGCCATCCTGTCAACGAAAGATCAACCCCTCTCTACAAACCAACAACGGCCGGGGGGATGAGGGAAGCTGATTCTTCTTCGGTTCAGGATCACCAGCAGCCCATGGTTGCAGCATCATGCATTGGCCGATTCAAAAATCAAAAAGGTTCAAGGGTGCATGCAAACGACGCAGGAGAAGCACATATCTGCAAGACAGTGTTGGGGGAGATGCTGGCGAGATCGATTCACAGAGCACGTTGGTTGGAAGAGTCCACTTTCCCAATTCTCATCCCCAAAGCAGCAAGAGGAACTCAATTGAAGTGGAGCGCACTGGCCTCTGAACAACCAGGATGGCATCGTGATTGGAAGATGGTGGTATAAGCCAGAAATGCATGAGTGAGAAACCGATGTCTAATGCAACGCGGATTATGAAGTGCGCACAAGCTTTGCAATGCTAATATCATGCGCCGCATAATTTAACAATGCATTACTTTTGCTCACGTCGTTTTTGGGACTCGCTAATTGGACATTGAACCGTGGGTGCCTAACCCCTCGCTTATTCTGCTGCCCAACTCATGCGACACACAACTTGGGTCCAACACAATGTTTGTTCCCAACATTCTGCACACATAAAGAAGGCCCGTAGGGTAATTTGCCATTATTCTGCGCCGCACAGTCTCAAATATACAGCATTCCAGTCACAGTAGTATCCCGCCATGTCCACTGCAATCGCCATCGCTCAGTTGAGTAGCTTAGTCCGAGACTTGGAGTCTTGGATAGCGGGGTTAAATGACATACCATTCGCGAAGGACGACTTACGCGCGTTGGACGTGCTGGGCATGAAGCTCTCGGATGCAGCGGCTACTGTCCAGACGAAGACTGGATCATTCAGGCCGTCCCGTGAGGATGAAGCATGGAAAGCGAGTAGAAAATTGAGATCTCAAGCTCAATCAACTATTGCACACTTGATTGACCATGGGAAACTAGAGCGTCCGGCAGTCTTTAGAAGAAATATCGTTCTCATATTTACGGGGCCTAAAGTTTCGGAATTTGATTCCGATGAGGTGAGGTCAAGAAAAGCAGCCACGCGACTGAGATGTGAGAGACTTAAGACACTTAGTCCAGATGGGGTAGTTGCATGGGCGGCTTCCTATACACCTACGTCATGGGCAGCTGGTCTCATGGGGAAGGATATATTTGAGTGCCTTATCGACAGTATTGAACTAGGTTCAACCCAGAATTGGCCGCCAGTTATTCGAGATACACTGCAGAAGTTACGGACTGATGAAGCACTTCAAAATTCACTTCAATATAGTGAATTTATGGTTGGTGAGTACGTGGATTGCGCGAAGAATGGAAGAACTAACTTTCGCCATAGCCACTAGTAACCCATCTACCGGCAGCCAGGCGCGGCTTGAAAATCAAATACATACATCAACACGTAAGCAATGGCAATCAAAGTGCAAAAAGCGCTTCTAACATTATAAAAAAATTGTAGCCTCATCAGAGCCGCATATCGGCACGTGGAATCCCAAGGCTGCTGGCAGCTCACATAGCCCATACAAAGAACAACTCGACAACGGGATGGCGCAAGAACAGGGAAATCTAATATTTATGCCAGTTTTATATTTGCCACGAGGTAAGAAAGAGGTGTCAATATTCACATGGCCAAACTAACTTTCATACATAGAATTCTACAAATACTCCGGACTACTCACTAGTCAACTGGAGTATATCTGCGGCCCGCACCTTTCCAATGCCATCAAGACGAGCTGTCTATGGGATGGAGGTGTTGCGACACATTGTTTTGGTGTAGCATTCCCCAGCAACCCTCTCGAGGATGCTATAGTCGTGATATCGATGAGCCAACTCGCTGGAAGTCAACTCGTGCAATTCATTGACTCCACGCCACCCACGTCTTCACTGCCCGGACTGCGTATCCAGCAGTAACAGTGATCTTTTCCTCCGGTTCTGGCTGATAGCGCCACTGCTCCTCTTTGTTCTTTGGGTGGAAGATGATGATTTCGTGGCCCTTCGCATACAGGATTCTGTCCGTTTCCGTCGCCTCAAATATTTTGAGTTTATCTATATAATCTCCGGTTTTGGCTATTGAGGTGGCCTCCTGCTAGTCATAAATCAGCTCAGGGTCTTATATTTAGAGTTCATAGACCTGGTCAAACCTGTTCTGACATGATAAATCCGGAGCCCTTTGTTGGTTGCGCCACAAGTAGTAGAGAATCTCTCGGTGTATAGCGTATTATTGAATACCCTTGATGAAGGCTGCGGAGCAACTGATTAAGGCGCGAATAACCTGTTTGCTTTCTCCGGGCACAATACCGTAATATGGAAGTAGGCGTAGCGTAAGGAGTCGTGAATCTGCTGGAAATATGCCGCAGAACGAAACTATGTCTAGCCAGTTGTCCTCAGCGTAGCTCAGGGTGACTTATGTTGGCGGAGCTCGTCGTGCAATAAGACTGAGTCATTATTCTTGCTCAGAACGGATCTTGGATGTGCCTCTGATCTCTTCATTTGAGAGGTTGATAAGTTTATTCATTTGCAAGAAGTAACCGTGGTTTGCCATGGTGGGGCCTAATGCCATGTGACTTGCTCAGCACCCACCCCGATACTAAACGGAAACACCCTGACGCACTCGGGCACCAACACCTTCAGGCTGCAAAACTTGGGATAACGCCTTGGTCACAACTCCTCCTGGCACATTCAACCATGTAATGTACTATGCGCCAAGAGGATCTCAAAACCCTTCGCATGAGCAGAGGATGCTCTGTTTAGGATGCACGTGTATGATCATCAATCGACATATAGGTCTGTCACGTGATTTTCGCCCGATCTTGACTGCCTAACACCTCAGGCATATTCCCTACTTCATCAAGCATGCAGGTGAAAGCCAGTCTGGGAAGCTCGGGGCCAAGTCAGCCCCTATGACAGTGCGGAAGTTCCAGAGGATACTTGCACTTACAGACTGGTTGGATATCGGGCTCTTGGTCAACCAGGCAGATGACCTCGGCTTCGAGACTAATCCTTATCCAGCATAGCGCCAACGCTTAATTCCCGTCGATTCCCATCCTCGCCGCCTTCCACCTTGCATCTCTGGCTTGCCAAACTTCTGCCGTTTCAAATCCAGCCATAATATAAGTTCATGCCTTACCCCTCGCCGTTCCAGTCGATATGGCACCTCGTCAACCAAAGCCAAACGTCCAAAAGGTTGGGCGGCAACCCTCGGCGCCAAAAGATCACGGCAAGTCATCCTTCGCCTTTATAACGTATTCCAACTGATCGTTGATAGGAAAGAGACCTCAAGGTGTCGAGAAAGGACGATCACAACTACCTTCTCGCAAGAGTGCGCGCTTAGAAAATTTAGAACGTCGCCAGAAACGAACCATACCTGAGGACACAAATACCGAAATAAAACATCGAGCTTTGTTTCCAAACAAAGTAGAGGCATGTCCCTCATGTCCCTCTTCTTCTATGATACTGTACAGCTAACTCAAGCTCTCCACAGAATCCATCGGAATTATTAACAGCTGAGAATCGAAAACGACTACGAGAATCCGAAGGTCCATTAAGCGGCGTTCAATCCAAGCCGGTTCGGAAGCGACCGCGAACATCAGCTTCAAGTTCGGTTATCGGGAATAAATCTAGTCAAGAGGCGGCCTGCAACGTCACCAGGTACAGCATCAATCCAATTGATCATTGGAGACGAGAAAGCTGCTGGCCCGAGGAATATTTCAAACAAGACGATCACGCTAGGAAAGATATCAGCAAAGCTTTTGAAGAAAGGTGGCGCGAGGGATATCGGGTACCGGAGGCGAACATGAATCATCTACTTGCAAGGCAGAAATCATCATCTTCACTTCGCAAACAATCGGAAGCCAGCTCTGCCGCGCCCAGCTCTAGCGATCAGAAGCCGAGAGAAGCTAAAAGTGCCACTTACGCCCGTCCCAGCTATGAGGCTGTACTTGCATCCAAGGGTAGCTTTATGGGCAAGTTCGACTTGGGCATCACAAATGCAAATAAGGGTCTCTGTCGAACTCTACTTGAGGCCGAGCAATCAGTCCCTCGAGATACACTGTTTCGTGACGACCTGTTTGAGGAAACATGCGAGAGCGTGCGTGCAAGAAACGAAGCTATGGTTGTTCGAGACATTTCCCCACTGATATGTCCATCCGCTCAAGTCCTAAGAGTCTATGGTGCAAAACATCTCAAGCCCTTAAATGAAAGTGTCAATGAAGGCTGGAATAGTGCCATACCTTTTTACGGTCCTCGTCCACAACCTGATTATTCGGTGGGGTTTGGACGATCTGCATTCTCTGACGATCAAATCAAAAAGCTTACGCCTTTCGTGGGCGAGGTCACGGATACTTTTGCCTCCTATTTCATGGCCACTTGGCAGATGTATTTTCCATTTCTAACCTGCGAAGTAAAATGCGGTGCCGCGGCACTCGATGTAGCAGACCGGCAGAATGCTCATAGCATGACAATTGCGGTGAGAAGTATTGTGGAACTCTTCAGGCTAGTAAAGCGCGAAAAGGAGCTTCATCAGGAAATTCTCGCCTTCTCAATCTCGCACGATCACAGCTCAGTGAGAATCTACGCCCACTTCCCTATAATTGATGGAAAGCAAACCACCTTCTACCGCCATCCGATTCATAAATTTGATTTTACAGCACTAGATGGCAAGGAGAAGTGGACGGCATATAGGTTCACTAAGAATGTCTACGAGACATGGGTTCCAGGTCACTTTAAAAGAATCTGTTCAGTTATTGATGAGTTGCCCCCTGATTTGAATTTTGAGGTCTTGGAGCAATCGGAGCTAGGGGAATCTGGACTTTCACAAGGGTTGGAAAGCCATAATCTATCTCGCCAATCAAGCCATGATGCTGCGTCTCTGATAGAGACAGCTGACAGTCAGTCAAGCCGTAACCCTTCGCGAGACATTACCCCAGATACGTCCCTATCTCAGGGGATTGAACGAGCCTTCAAAAAGCCAAAGAAAAGGGGTCGGGCAGTGGAATTACATCATTGTTGAGGGCATAAAGGTGCATTATGCGATTCAATGATACCAGGGATAGTCAATTTGATACCAATTGTTTCCAGCAGTGTTGTGATGGCTATTAATGGTTCGGCAGGTGTAACACGCTTCATTTGGTTACTTGGGAGCGTTGACTGATTGTAGGATAACTCTCGGCATGACAGGATGCTAGAGCGTAGACTCTGCAAATACCTAATGGTTACCTGTTGAATCGCCATCGGTATATCTCCATTAAAACGTCCTTCATGGCTACTACCAATGAGCTACAAATCATTAGAAGCAACCCAGTCAATGACTGGCTAGTGCAAGCTGTCTTTTCAACAGCTGCCACGACAGGTAAGGTCCCATTTGCGAGGCTATATACTCTGCTAATGTATATAGTTGCCAAAACCTTGGTATTCGACCTTATTTTAGCTTTGCAGAGGCAACCAGCAGCTCGCGTCGTTCCCCCCTCGATCAACGGACTCTGCCGTGGAGCTTGTCGAAAGAGACAATGATTTGGTAAGTATGGTAAGGTTGAAAGATTCACACTGGATGTTCGATCTACACTCAAGTATGGCAGGATAGGCGACGGTGGAAAAGAATAAACTCGCTGCTGAGGTGCAGAATTGCTTAGTTGTTTCCCCCGCTGGGCGGCCACTCCACGCATATAGGTCAACGAGGGAGCTTCTGGAGGCGCTACGTGATGCTGTCAGAGTTCACAAGTCGCTTCTCGAGGATGGGAAGATTCTTCGTCGGGATATTTCCGAGAATAATATCATTATCACTAAATCTGCGAAGGAGTTGGACAGTGTGCCGAGTGGAGCTAGCCATCGCACGGGCACTATGCAGTTTATGGCGATCGAGGTGCTGCAGGGCAAGGGCCACACTTATCGGCACGATCTCGAGTCTTTTTTCTGTGTCCTTATATGGATGTGTATTCGTTTGGAGTCATGTTGCATGGATGATGGGCAGGCCAGGCAGAGGACAAGGCCTTTGGCAACAAGTAGACTGCGGCGATGGTATACAGGGACATATGCAGAGATTGCCGACACGAAACTTGGTCATATGGATAAGAACGGGTTTGGGGGCATTATCGCGGAATTTGCCCCAAAGTTCAAGCTCCTCAAACAATTGGCTCGCGAGCTCCGAAATGTCCTCTTTCCAATCAGAAACGGGGCAATCTTTACAGGAACTTTCCGCGACAATGATATAATGTACGATGGAATGATCAAGGCGTTCAATAGTGCAATTAGGCTAGGAAAAGAGGAACAGGCAAATGCACAGAAGAGGCATGGATTTGGACATTAGTATTTTGAGGCGTATTGTTTCCTGCTGCGGCACCCTGACAAAGCCCTATGATACACTGCAGATACGACGGTCACATGGGGCCCGGGAAAGATCTAGCAACTTGTGGAGCGGATCAATTTTATTCCGTCTGTAAGTCGGTTTCAAGCACAGCACCTACATCCCGCACGAGTGATTTGAGGCCATGGTTGATTCACGTCATATGATTCTTGGTCATGTGACTTAGTCGTAGATATTTGTAACCCACAACAGGTACTACACCAGCGACATATACACGGTTAATCCTCGGTAATCCTATTTGATCAGGTTGATGCACTTACATAATTGGAGGATCAAACCTTCTGGGCCAGCAGTCCCATGAGAACGGGGTCAAATGACGCTTGATTTTGTCGACAAAATATGACATCTGGAAATGTTGTCTGCACGGCATTGCCGCTGTGTGCCATAATTATAAATACGCGGCCCCTATGTTGGTTACACGGCTTGCCGCAGAGATGGCTGTGACGTCTTTGCATGAGATGCGCAAACCTGTGGGTGAGCTGATTCAGCTAATTGGGGCAGGTCTAAGCACCTTGGCTAGTGACGTTGAGATCTGTCGCATATTGAAGGTTGGAAGGGACTGAACGAATACTGACAAGCATTGGGGTTTGGTCTGTGGAGTTCAAGTACGGTGCCTTCGCTCCGATAGCAGGGAGGGGGACAAGAGGAGCGCACGACACAGAGAGGAAGTGCTCTTAGCGCCGGCTGTGACAGCGGCAGGAGTAGCCGTAGTTGGTTATATTCCACCTGCAGCCAATCACACAATAGCGCTCTCAAAACCCACACTTACACTCAGAGCAAAAGAGAGCCGATGAACTTCGTCTATAGTTAGCCCATTTAGCATCTAGCTGGTAGCTGGGCTAACTATAGACGAAGTTCATCGGCTTACACCATACTACGTGACTTTGACACCTTCGAGTTACTCCTAACCGCCGACTTGAGATAAGACAGCGGCCATTTGGACCAGAAGTTAGTATTGTTTTATTAGCGCGCGGCTGGTAAATGGCGCTGCACACACTCCTTGATCAGCCAAGTTGTTGGAAAGAAGTTGAGATTTCTCAGCCAATACATCAAGTTCCAACACCAATGTCCTAAACCGAGTGACTCACCCAGCCTTCTGGGGCCGTTTGGTCTGAGTTATTCAGCGTGGCACAGCAAAAAGTATTTTCAACCTTATTTAGAGAAATTCAATATATAACGTCGAGCTGTTCCTGTAAGGAAGGCCATCACGTGCCACCACGTGAGGTCCCTTTCATAAGCGGCCCATAGGGCTCGGTAAAATAGGGCACAAGGTGCATAGATAAAAGGGGTTGGAGGCCTCAGAAGAAGGCCTCCAGTCAATAGTCGATGTATCTACGTAGACCTATTGTGCTTACAGAATACGATACCTTCCTGCCTCCTGACCTGGTTCCCTGGACTCCCGTGAGACCTTAGGCTTACGCTTTACAATTCTATTGACTGCACCCATATCCAGCCTACTGGGTCAGGATGGCGAGTATGGAAAGAAGGATTACGCGTGCGACTTCTGGAGGAGCAACGCCAGCAACTGACGCCACTGAGCCAGCTCCAAGAACTACATCCGTAGAAGCTAGCCATTGGACGGCAGGCCAGGACGAGAGCATGGCCTCGAAGCTGGCAGACCTTCAGAAGCGGATGGACGAAGAGAGGGCCTACATCAACACGATGGAGGAAGCCCTAGAGCTTTTCCGAAGAACGCACGGCGACGACTACAACGCCTACCCTGAGGCGGTACGGGACTTCGCGAAGAAGCAAGCCCGGATTCAGGAAGAGAACCGTCGGAAAAGGCGACACCAAGATATTGAGGACGAGTGGGAAGGACCCCAACAAGAGGAGGAGGCAGAGACTGCCTCTACCGTATCAATGGAGGTCACACCAGCCCAGAGGCCAATAGGAAGGGTCAAGGAACCTAAGGTATATAAGGGCGAATCCATCCGAGAGCTCAACGAGTTCATGGCCTCGATCCGCGCTATCTTCCGATACCAACCAAGGGTTTTTCCAACTGAGCAATCTAAGGTGGCCTTCGCTGCCCAATACTTGGAAGGACACCCTATGAAGGAATGGGATAACCGGTGCGCAACCCAAGGAGAAGGATACATAGATCCCTTGGATATCGCTGGGTTCGAAGAGTTTCTTCGGGACCTCCATGTCGACCCAGCCAACCGACAACGCATCGCGGCCTTGAAGTATAACGTCGCCCTACAACGGAAAGGGCAGAGCATCCGCAAGTTCGTGGCCTACCTTGAGGACCTCAAACGCGAGATGGAACCGTATACTGAATCGCAGAAGACTGTCCACCTTCTGACGAAGATTCACCCAGAGATGAGGCAGCGGCTCCTTGAAGGAGGGTACGCAGAGCGTTCCTCTACCCACAGGGACGCTATCGTTAATATCCTGGCGATGTTAGAAATGACAAACCAGTGGGTAACAGAGAGAACTCCTACTGTTGACAAGTCCAACTCAAGGGAAGGAAGGAATACCTCCCAGGGCAGCTTTCCATTCCTAAAGGGCAACTCTGGCAGCCACAGGGCTCCCCAGCCCTCGGCCCAAGGAGAAAGAACACCCTTCTGGAATAGACACCGCCCACAAGACCAGCGGCCGGCGAGAGGACAGGCCCCTACCCACAGTAGGGACGCTAGGCCAATCCCTAGCGGAATCAATTGTTATAACTGTGGCAAGGCGGGCCACCTCGCGAAGGAATGTCGAGGCCCACGCCAACACACAGGCCCAGGGGTGAGGAAATTGGACGCCTACACCCCCAAGAGGGAGTGACTCCCAGCAGAATCCCAGAAGCCTACGGCGCAGCGTCGAATGGAGATCGAGGTAGAGGTGCAGGTAGGGCCCGGATGGCACAAGGCAAGAGCCCTCCTCGACTCAGGATCTGACGCGTCCACCATCCACCCTCTGTTTGCCAAAGAGAAGGGTTTGGAGTGCCGGGATAGGGCACCGCCACGGGCAAGGGCAGTCGATGGAAAAGAGGTTGTGATATATGGAGCGGCCACCACCCAGGTCCGAGCTAGGGACCACTTTCAAAGGGAATGCGTGGTCTCCCAGACCCTCCTTTCCATGGACACCCCAGGAGTAGACGTCATCCTTGGGATGGATTGGATGACGCAGGTCAACCCCCAGATCGACTGGCGCAAACAGACCTGGCGCCAGCCCTTCGATATTGCGAGAGCCGAGGTGGCGGATATTGAAGAATGGGAGGAAGGTGATACTGCCTTCGTCTTGGCCTTAAACACAGATGATAGCGCGCCTACCCAATGCCCGAAGGAATACGAGGACTATATCGACGTCTTCTCGGAGGAAAAGGCAGAAGAACTGCCAGAGCTGGGAAGGAAAACCCATGCCATCGATACTGGGCCCCAGGAACCACCGTATGGGCCAGTATATAACCTATCGGAAACGGAGCTGGCCACGCTCCGTAAATACCTCGACGAGAGCGAGAAGAAGGGTTGGATCCGAAGGAGTGTAAGCCCTGCAGGCGCACCCATCCTATTCGTTCAGAAGAAGGACGGAAGCCTACGCCTCTGCATAGACTACAGAGGCTTGAATAAGATTACCGTGAAGAATCGACACCCGCTGCCACTGATCACGGAGACCTTGGATCGGCTCCAAGGGTCGAGGTGCTTCACAAAGCTTGATATTAGGAACGCCTACCACCGCATCCGTATTCGCCCAGGCGACGAGTGGAAGACAGCGTTCCGTACTCGATACGGACACTTCGAGTACAGGGTGATGCCTTTTGGATTGGCTAACGCACCTGCAACGTTCCAAGCGTACATGAATGAGACCCTACAAGGGTTGGTTGACACCATATGTGTCGTATACCTTGATGATATCCTCATCTACTCCCAGAAGGAGGAGGAACACGCTGACCACGTACGAGAGGTCCTAGGACGCCTACGCGAGGCGAACCTATACGTGAAGCTCTCAAAGTGCGAGTTCAATGCCAAGAAGGTAAGCTTCCTTGGGTATATTGTCACAACGGAAGGGGTGGCTATGGAAAGCGACCGGGTTGCTGCAATCGCCGATTGGCCAATACCTAGGACCCATCGAGAGGTCCAGGTGTTCCTCGGCTTTGCCAACTTTTACCGGCGCTTTGTAAAGCAATACTCCTCCGTGGTGGCCCCAATGACAGGCCTTATGAAAGGGGCAAAGGCAGGCAAGCAGACAGGCCCGTTCGTGTGGGGGGAGGAACAGCAAAGCGCCTTCGGCCAGTTGAAGAAGGCCTTCACTACAGCCCCCACACTGGTCCATTTCGACCCATGCCGTAGAATCAGGCTCGAGACGGACTCGTCAGGCTTTGCGCTCACTGCGAACCTGTCTCAATTAGTGGAAGGAACTAAGCCAGAAGAGAAGGGCGAATGGCACCCAGTTGCCTTTTTCAGCAAAAAGCTAGATCCAGCAGAGCTGAACTATGAAGTCCACGACCAGGAACTCCTGGTGATCGTGAAGTCCTTCGAGCAGTGGAGACACTACCTCGAAGGAAGCCAGTACCCAATTGAGGTCCTAACAGATCACAACAATCTGAAGTATTTTATGGAAACCACCGCCCTCACAAGGAGGCAATCGCGGTGGGTGCAGGCATTATCAGCCTATGATTTCCACATCTCCTATCGAGCGGGAAAAACAAACCCAGCAGACGGTCCATCTAGGAGACCAGACTATGAGGGTGAAAAGGGTAGCCAGAATGTGATGCTACCGACCCTTAAGAACAAGCTCCGAGAAGCCATGCAGGCAGGAGGTATCCCGCAGATAAGTCGGACGATAACAAGCCAAGAAGGCTTTCAGATAGGAGAACCTAACCTACAGCGTAGGAAGGCAAACGCTAGCAGCGTAAGACTGGGCGATGACCATAGTAAGGACACCAAGAGTCCAGGTCTCGTTGTCCCTCGGGTTGCAGTAGCTGCTGTAGCCAAGGGAGAGAGCGCCTATAGTGCTGCGTCTGAACCCCTAATAGACTTGATCAAAACCCTCCAGGCGACTGACGAGTTAGCTGTTAAAAGGGCCAAGGATATTGGGTTGGCGCGAGCAAAGGGCTCTTCAGATTGGAGAGTAGACGATGCAGGCATCCTACGCTTCAAGGGAGCGGTATATGTACCTCCCAACCAGGCAGTGCGGATGGAAATTTTCAAGATTTGCCATGACGACCCACTAGCCGGGCATTTTGGATATAAGAAAACCCAAGAGTTGATCCAACGCAAATACTACTGGCCTGGCCTCAGCGAGGAAACCAGGGAGTACGTACGGGGCTGCGATAGATGCCAGCGCATCAAGCCCGTGCAGCATAGGCCATATGGTGAAATGCAGGCCTTAAGAATGCCCTCGAAACCATTTGAATCCATAAGTATGGACTTTATCACGGATCTGCCCCCAAGCATAGGGGCGGATCAAGGCAAGGCTTCAGACTCCATACCCTGTAGGAAAACCATCACGGCCCCAGAGCTGTCGCGCCTCTTCCTTGCGTTCTGGGTAAAGGACTTTGGAATCCCAGCCGAAATAATCACGGATCGAGGGAGTGTGTTCACCTGTCACTTCTGGTCAGCGTTCTGTTTTCACCTCAAAGTAAGGCGTAACCTATCGACCGCTTTCCACCCTCAATCCGACGGCCAGACCGAGAGGCAGAATCAGAATATCGAAGCCTACTTGCGGATTCACTGTAATCAACACCAAGACAACTGGGTGGAACTCCTCCACTTCGCGGAATTGACCTACAATAACGCCTTCCACGATTCCATCCAGATGTCGCCAAACCAGGCCCGATACGGCATCAATATAGACCTAAGACAAGGGATCGAGGACGACCCCACCAGAAGGGAAGTGCCAGTCGCGAAAGATCGCATCAACCTGATCCTAGAATTGCGACAGGAGCTCGAAGAGGCGTGGAAACAGACGAAGGAAGCCCAAATACGAGGCTACAACAAGCTGCACAAGCCAATGCAGTACGTGGTAGGAGAGAAAGTATGGCTTTCGGCCAAGAATATCAGAACCACCCAGCCAAGTAGGAAGCTTGGGCACCGCTGGCTTGGCCCGTATGAGATCACCCAGCGCATCGGTAAGCAGGCTTACCAGTTGAAGCTACCGCCAAGGTATAAGGCGACCCACAACATGTTCCACGTGTCCTTACTAGAAAGGTATTGGAAAAACACAGAGGAACCCAACCCTCCACCTAGCCAAGAAATTGTGGACGGTGAGGAAGAATACCAAGTAGAAGCGGTCCTAGACCACAGGATAATCAAACGAGGCAGGGGCCAGAGAGAGGAGTACCTTATTAGATGGGCTGGTTATACAGCCGCAGACGACCAATGGGTGCCAAAACATGATGTAGGGCTATCGTTAATCGAGGCATATCACAGGAAGCAAGCACAAGGAAGCAAGGATGGGACAACGTAATGGTATTGGCCTTGGTGGCATTGCTGTATACGCGCTGGGCAGCGTGAAGGGCGCTGATGGCCTGGACAGTAGCCTCAGAATCAGCAGCAAGGCCAGCATCTTCGTCGTCGGCCCAACAGTTCAGGAGAGCGTCGGCCGCAAGCTGGAGGGCCTCCAACTCGGCGCCAAGCTGGGCAGCAGCCTACCCAACCATTAGTACAAACAAACAATGAGGAGGGAGTCCCTTACTGGAACGCACGCGTGGTTGCCCCGAAGGCAGTCTGCACACTTGGCCATGCCGGAAGGGACCCAGCACATCTGGCCTGGGAAGTTGTAATACGTGTGCGCACACTTCATGCAGCACGGGCAGGAGCCAGCGCGAAGGCGTCCTGCAGAATCAGGAACCTCACAGCGGGCAGCGACCTTCCACCCAAGCACGGTGCGCTCATCCTTTGGAGCCTCAGACTCAGGAACGACGGAGCCTTCGAGATCCTCAGCTTCGTCCTCAACTTCAGGCGAACGATACGGACGGATAGTGCGAGAACGTGATGTGGAGGAGGTGACAACAGATGGAACAGGCGTGGCGGGCGCCTGCGACTCGGGAGAGCTGGACATCTGGGCCACTGGTCGCTTGCGAGGTGTAGTAACTGGAGCCTTCCCCTTCGGCTTGGGAGCCATGATGAGGGTTGGATGATGTCAGATCTATCCGTAACGATAAGCTCCTGCAATCCAGGTGGAAAGGAAGTGATTACCTTAAAGAAACAAGCAACTGTGTAGGCCCCAAAGGTTGGGACTAAGATCGAGGGCGAAAGGCGAAGTAAGGTGATGTTGAGGATGAAGGTGGCAGGAAGTTCGATAGGAAGTTTGGAAGGAAGTAGGAGTTTGGCGCGAGACCCATAACAAAGGGGGTTGTCATACTGACATTCGTTGCACTCGGTTTGCTATCAAACTCAAGAGCAAACTTGGAAATCTCCTCCTCAAACCTACAAGTCACTATACATATTTTGGCTTATCACACCAACAACAAGAGCAATACTACTCAACGATTGCTACAACCATCTATGATTCATTACACGTCATCGCTCCTTAGTTACTGGGCCGATATTACCACATAGCATATCTCTACAACCCTCTATGATTCATTACATGACATCACTCATACTACCACATGACATATCTCTACCAACTAGAGGCCTAGGAGCATGAACGATAGCTCTAAAAGCTCCTACGAACCTCTATGATTCATTACATGTCATCGCTCTTTAGTTACCCACAAGATTGGTTAAGTTATGACATAATTTGTCTATGACATAATTTGTCTATGACATAATTTGTCTATGACATAATTTGTCTATAGGGGTACTCTGACCTTGGACCTCCTTTTACTTCCTATAGGCTACGAACCTAAGAGATGGTTCTATGGGATTCTCTTACGTCGACTACAGTTACCAAGCCTGGTAAGTCATGGAAAGTCTTGGAAAATGAGAGAACTACACTCCTTTAGCATAAATAGGATTGCCCTTTCCTTAAGAAAGGGCAAGCAGACAATACAGTAAATTGACTATCATACTTCCACGTCTTTTCCAAGCTTCCAAGCATTGATCTTGTTACTCCTTGTTTCTGAAAAGTCAGTGAGGTGTTAACCTCTGACTTACCCCTGAGTTCCCAGACTCAACATTTGTTGCAACTTGTCTGAACCACTTCACTACATCACACACCTGATTGCTGCGTTGTGGAATAGTCTAAGCTACAACCCTTTGGCTCTGTTTCCTAAGACAGTGTGTTGTCTTAGTAAATTCATCCCTTCCTTGGGTGGCTAGATTCTCACATCTGGTGCACCCACCATTACAGGGGTGGCCGCGGCAACCCACAACCAAGGGGGGTCACGGGACCAGCACACCAAGCACACACCCAAACAAGTCCACCACCCGGGTCAAAACAAAAAGTCTAAACAAGCCAGGAGGGCAAGTAAGCCCTAGCTGCGAAACCTTGGAATTGAGGGCAATCCCTCTAAGAGGGGAGGTAATTGTAAGGAAGGCCATCACGTGCCACCACGTGAGGTCCCTTTCATAAGCGGCCCATAGGGCTCGGTAAAATAGGGCACAAGGTGCATAGATAAAAGGGGTTGGAGGCCTCAGAAGAAGGCCTCCAGTCAATAGTCGATGTATCTACGTAGACCTATTGTGCTTACAGAATACGATACCTTCCTGCCTCCTGACCTGGTTCCCTGGACTCCCGTGAGACCTTAGGCTTACGCTTTACAGTTCCCATAAGTGCTATTTTAAACAAACAACTATTTTGGAAAGCATTGTTTCCATACTCATATCTTCTCCATTTCAGCTAAAGCCGTCTCCAATCCTTCTGAGTTCTATCTTTTTCTCTGATACTTAGTGCAAGAATTTTGTTTACATACAATTAATCAACCGTTAATAGCTGAAATGGCTTCCAACTCGACATCAGGGCCGACCGTACACTACAACGTGTACATAATTTATTTCAATCAAGCCACTGGTCCATCTCATGAAGGAATTGCCCTTGTACCATCACAATTCCCAAACCAGACGGCTGGTCGGTTCTACCATGTTAAAGGCACTGTGGGTATGGGAATGGATTATGAGTGTCGACCCGGATACAACTTTGGTGCTAGTCGATCGTACCAGAAGTCATCTTATCAGTTCCAAATCCCAAAGTCTCGACTCGCAGACTTCGAACGAATCGCCCAAAGCCGACCTCCTCCTCATGATCCCCGTGCGCTCACTGAGCGCAACCCGAACCCTCCAGTTAGAGACTGTGCGGAGTGGGTGGTCGAAGTTTTAAATGAAACCAAAACCGCTCTTCAAGGCAGTAGCACGAACGCCTAACTTTCATCGCTTCCTTATCGAATACGTCTCGGCAATCGCTCCCGAAAGGGCTGGAAATGCAGTTTTTGGTTGTTTGTTTTTTTGATTTCATGTCGATTTGTCGTGTCGCGCAATATAAGGGCTGAACGTTAGCAGAATCTGAGAGTCATATTGTGGTATTGTAAATAGTCAAAGCAATATAGCCATTAGCCTTGAATACATGCCTTGCTCGAAGTAATATGGCCTCAGAATATCAAGGAGATGTGTTCCCCAATCAGTGGCAAAATGCTCTAAATAGAGGGCCTTCGCAAATTCCCAATACTCCGGATACCACCCTGCCATCTCCCAGTCAAGGATTGCCACCACCCGCCCATCTCTCACGATGATGTTAGCAGGTCTGAAGTCTCCGTGGGTGAATACCGTCTCATGTTGGTGCATATTGAGCATGCCTCGGATGTAAGGACCAATGTGGCCTTTCGAATTCGACACAATCGCCTTGAAAATTGCAGCGTTGAAATCCTTTTCGTTGTCGAAAGGGCCTTAAGAAAACGACAGTAAGCATATGAACTGCAATGTACCGAAGCATGAGGTGAAATATAACCGTGCGGACTGACCTTTATCACTTGTTGACCACTCTAATATTACATCTGTGACTGGCCCGCGATCTACTGAGCCAATGTAATTGGCATTCAGAAGTGATCGAAGCTGTTCGATATACTCTTTTAGATCCGCTGCAATTTGCAGTTTGGCTGTGCTATCGTAATTATTCCATGATTTCTCCAAGGTGTCGCCCTCAATAAACTCCATAAAAATGTACGTGTCATAAAGACTTCCAGCATCATCAATATCTCGGTCTAATGGGCCATATGCGTATGCAGCATAGAGCTTTGGAACCGGTATGGATGTATGCTCACTCACGAAACGTAGTGTTTTTGCTTCGATGAGGGACGCATGAGTACCGTATTTGACGAGCATCGAAGTTGAGATTCTCGCGAGCTGCGTGCCTGCACCTATAGCTACGGTCTCTAACTTGGACATCTCGACCTGATCAGGACTGATAATTTCATGCCCTGGAGCGACGTATAACACATTGATTTTCGGACCTTCGGTTGTAGAATCGCTGAGCTCAGGCATAGCCGCTGCCTGTATTGCGGCTATGGGATGCTGTAGTACTGTTAGAACATGATTTTCCTAGATTATGCATTCATCTGAAAAGGAGGCTTGCCGTCATCGTTCTTAAGATTGAACAAGTTCCTCGGAAGCTAGGCGTTGAAGTTGACTCCAGCTCTTACCAACGAAACTATTGCGGCACCGTTGATAAGCCGATGAGGGTTACAGGAGTTACCATTCGAGCTGTACCTTGCGGGTGATGTTGAAGTGTACGTGAGTTTTGGCATGACGGATCTGTCGTCGCTGATGCACTTGAGCACTGGGCTGGGCGGGGCTGAGACGAGGTGGGGAGGCGATGTCGTATGAAGTTAGTCCAGGAGGGCTGAGGAGGAACAGGGCCAGGACCCGCAGTTAAATGAATTTGTCCAAAAAGGTGGTGTGGCGCGCGTTTGTGGCTGAGAAACGCTTAACGCTGGCGGTGACCTCTTTGGATGTGCGCAAATCCGTGAATGAGCTGACCCTCCAACCGCTAGATGTGGAATTTGATATGTGGAGACCGATTGATGGTCTGAACGAATCTGGAAGATCTAGCAGCCTGAACTCTAGGTTGTAAGTTGCCTCTCGTCCTATCCTCACGCACTTGAGAAAGCCCTGAAGAGGATATTCTTGGTAGTCCGCGCCTAGAATTGACTCCGCACGTCTCTGGTACAGGTATCTAATAAGGTGCCGAGGGGGCTACGTACCGAATGAGGTAGGATTGGCGACTCACAGGGTGAGTGGGGGCACTGTGCCACCTGGGGGATCGACGTCACGGGGGCTATGTTGCCCCGCGCCATTTTCTTTGGTGGAGATTTCGTACAAAGCCAGATTCTGCATCACCAATTCTGTTCCACGCCCATCTTCCAACCGAAGAATTGGGTCTAAACCCAGTTTCTTCATCGGTTTTATCTTCACAACCACATTCTCCTCGCACGATTTGGTTTAATAGATTTATCTTGCTAAGCTGAGCTGTACATCTCGTTGGTTTCTTAAAAAAACTATGTCCACCCAGCCCCCCACGAAACTCAAAGTGTTGCTTGGAAACGGATATCTTGATATCGAAGATGCTGCAAAACGGGAACATGACTTCGTACTTGAGACACTCATCAGTGCCTTTCTCCTACTTCCACTCAGTCCAAACACTCTCACTCGCATTCAACTAGGGGACTGTTTTCGCCGTTCACTCCAGTCTAGTCGGCAAACAACACCGTATCGCCTTCACACCATTGTTACCGAGTGCAAGGCCGGATCGGTCGACACATCCTCGCTGGAGGCGAAGTTTTTCGAGTACGAAGGGGTTCGGACTGTCACTGCTCTCGCCGCTGCAGCAGCGGACAATAAGCAGACAGTGAGCCTGCTAAAAGGTCTTTCGAATGCTGAATTCCAGGCCTTTCTGAAGTCCATCGATGCCATTGAACCACACCGTGATCTTCTCTTCATCATCGAGACGCTCGAGAGAAAAAGACCCTCGAGACTATCGAAGCGAAAACACGTCCCGGGTCCTCGCCCTCCTCGCCCTCGCCCTCGTGGCCACTATTCTCATATTCCCGGCAGTGTTCCACAGGCTTTAGAAAGGTTCCAAATGGTGAATGACACTTCTATCAATAACTTACCGGCAACATCACATAAGCATCGCTTGAATGACGCTGCAGCACACTTAGTCAGCCCTTCTACAGTTGGTAAACCCCAAGGGGGAGAAACTTCCATCACGTCGGACCTTGGACAAACAGCGGAAAATGTGCGGGCCTCGGGATTTAATACCCTTGTTGCAGTCGAGTTCCAAGAAAACGATGGCGCAGACAACCATACCTTTCCACAAGGCAAGTCTAGGTGTCCATTATCCGTGACAGTTGCTTATCATTTATGACGCTTAGACCACAACACTTTCCCTAACGTAGCATCAGGCCTGACCGGCACGTGGCAGTGTGATGGTAAGTGCAGCCATGTCATTCCAAACAGACGTTAACCGACTGCAGATAACTATAGGATTGACTTAGACAACCTTCACAACACTCCAAGTTATGGTATTGATGGAGAGAACTCCAACTTTGAACATTATGCTATCGATTTGGAGAGCTTCAACGCTTTGTAAATATTACGATCAATAGCAGTATATCTCCAGGAGCAACATTTATGCTAGCGGGCTGGGTGATTATTGTCCGTTCTCCGACGATTAACGGTTTCCCATCCATGGTTAGGGGGGAATCTTTGTCGTGATATAACGTCAGGATTTCGCCCGGGAACATTTCGAGCGATGTTGGTTCGAGAGATTCGCGACTCGGTCCGCGACACCTCAGGAGAAAAGCCGCTCGACCTTTGGTCTACAGGTAATAATTAGTATCGAAACAAGTGCGGCGAGACATTTGAGCATACTTCAACGTTTCCTGCACTGATCAAGGGCCTGACCCTACTTGTCCGATCTGGATGACTACATTGTTCAATCTCGACGCTGCCTCGGTACGGTCGCCAGTGCTCTTCGTCCGCAATCTGTTGCAGCCAAGCTGCCAGGACATGTGCCTGCTCCAGGACTTCCTTGGTTGCGGGGGCGACGCTCATGAGGTCGAATGCTTCATGCTATACATGATACAACCTCAACTTCATAGAAGTGGAAGTCGCATCAATCACCTCGGTACCTGATTTGCGGAGAAAAAGCCTGTGGGGTGCATGTGACCTCATTGGCTCGTCGGATTATGTCCTTCATAGGCGCATTGCCGCTGGACTACGGAGTTCCTCCGTAAGTTCCCGCTGTCACGTGCATACAACTTTTGCCCGCCTTTAGACCTTTGTCATTTTCAGTCCGTAGATGCTGATATCAGGGTTCGAGGCGGCATTTTAGGAAATATGATAGGTTTCCATGCAAAAGTTTTCTCCGCGCCTCCTCAAGCTTAGAATTCCAAGGTTGTCGCAGAAGACTCGTTGCGAGGCTTAAAACAGAATTCGTTGCGTTCTGACATTAATTGACGCCGGGAATATTAGGTGTCCCAAGGGCAATTTCACGATCAACTACCTCGTGGGGTTCTTGAGCCTGATATGACCGACAATGGTCAGGGCATGAATTGGTCGAGTTGCATATCGAGAGTAGGCGCTGCATGCTGTCTGCCAGGAAGGCCGGTCGAGAATGTATCCACTAACTTCTTCTGGCTTGCTCTTCTGCAGCAAGGCGTCAGCTCGCCTGGACTTCACAAGATGTTATCGCGTCAACGCCAGAAGCTCCCAGCAGGCAATTCCTTGATGGGTTTCGATGTGGTACCTTTGTACTTTCGGGCATATTACGTGGATGACGATCGCCATTAGCGAAATCTTCAGTAGCCAAGGGTTACCCGCAACCAGCTCACCAAACCGTCAGACAGAAAGCAGCGACTCTGGGCGGGATGGGCCGTCCCTTACTATTTTGGTCTACCCTTGTTTCGGATATAAATCACGGCCGCATTTTGTCCAGAAAAAGTCCAAAACCAATTTTCATTGGATATAGGCGAAGGTTTGCCGAGTTGCAGTAGAAGAGTGCGCAAATGCTCGAGTTTCATCTACAAACTAATTCTGTGGGAGCTCAGTGTATCTTCATACGGCAAACGGCAAATTAGATTTGTTTCGCATGGCGCGCGGCTACCGATGGAATGACTTGAGGGCCCAGCTGTGTACATTTCCGTGCTGCTCATCAGCAAGTTATCCGCCCCATCCTTAGCCGCCAGCCTCGCAATACCTGCAGCTTCAACTATATTTAGTAATTGTTGCAGATAGGGGGAACATAGCACATTGGCACTACGAGTTATATTAAATAGCCTAGGCGCCCGTCCCGTACATTGTTCCAAAGAGATGTCCACAATTATAAATCGCAGCTCAAAAAGGTGAACAACCTGTCGCCAGTTACACCGTTTGAACATTGTCTTCTTTTTCAGTCATTATTCACTCTGGGAAGACACGGACGGCTACAAAATGCAACGACTGCTTCAGCAAGTCACACTATCTCGCGAGAAGTCGGAGGATCTCGAATCACAAGGCCAGTCTATCAACCAGCAAGTACCCTACAATAAGCGCTTGGAATTCGTCCAATTACTGTTCGGGATCAAGTCCGAAGATCTCGTAAATTTCCCTGGAATCGAGTCGTACTGCGACTACTTGGAGCATGACGCTTTCCAGTCATTGATGGGCCCAACCTTTGACTCAATTTGGGACTTGATATCCTGTACGAATCCCAAAGAAATAACAGACTGTTGGGATTGGAGTCTTGCAGTGTTGCAGGCGACACAACCAGAACAACCTGAACTCAGCATACACGACATATTACGGCGTCTCGAAGAGCAAGGTGGGAACTACAAGCAGAATCTAGAGCGAGACAAGGATAAAAGCTACCTTTACATGGCTATTTTTGGGGTATTGTGCTGGTCAACCCTGGTGGTGCGGCCCAGATTGACCTTCAAAGACGACGAACCAGCAAACCTAACATGCCTCCTGCCACAGGGGTTTAAATCGAACAAAATGTCCACTACCCACAGACCAAGCGACAGACGTATGCGACCAGTGCTGACCACATTCCGGTCGTTCAAGGTACAGCACTGGGGTGACCAGTCAGATGGACGCGCACAGGGTGTATCGAGAGAGACGGACAGCCTGTACGAGGCAAGCCTCAACATCTACTCATTACGCTATTTTGGACACGTCACAATTCAATGGGTCGATACCGTCAGCGAGCATCTACGATTTAATCCAGCTAATCGCCGGCTGTCATTGTTTCGCTTCCCGACATTCTGCGCCTTGCTTGCCATCCATGGCGACAGCGTTTGTTCAGCGATTCGAAGGTATGATGCACATGTTGACACTGACCCTTATTAAAATCGTTTGGAGGTAACTCTTGATAGTATTGCTGAGCAACTTGACCCCTTGTCCCCGGAGGATAGAGACCTGTGTTGCGTCAGCCTAGAGCAAGAGATTATACTCTCTTACCGTCTTTTGTTTGGACAAGATAGCAAGTCCAGAATGGTCGCACGTGAAGAAGTCTGCAAGTTGAAGAAGTCGTGCGCAAATGAGAGTGTCGACGCCATGCTCTTGGATCTCTGCGAGCGCAAGTACGAGTACGGCAGTCTGTGTTGGAAAACGTACGACAAAGACCTGCAGAGCTATCCATCTGAGATATGGCTAGGCTGCGCACTACTCGCTCAATACTCGGCTCACTCGCTCAGTGGGTTACTCAGCTGGGTGAGTAGCTGAACCTTTTACTCGACTCGGTGAGTGAGGTCAATACTCAGTTACTCTGTAAAAACCCGGTGAGTACTCGGCTATCACGTGTAAGATTTATGCATCATGTGAACAGTCCCTCATACGATTAAAACTGTTTTATGGTTAAGTTAAAGTATTACATCTATTAGCATCACTCTCGCCATCTCTAGTAAGCTGTGAGAACGAATCATGTATATTCCTCTATCTAAGTACCATGATTATCAGAAGATTATTAGAACGCTATTATCTATTATATATGCTTAAGAACATCCCTCCACCTTGCTTGATGAGGCCGGCCAGACCTACTAATACCTAAAGTATTTATAGGGTCTTGATGAGGATCCTCGACTGAGCGGAACGAGCTATGAGTCAAGATAACTGTGTATAGAACTTGTTCATAAAATGTCTCTTGTGTGAGAATATGATCTTATTATAGGTATTAACCTACATAATTCTGGTAATAATCTGGTAATCCTTACTTGTTGAGGTTGCATTTGATTGATTCGCATTTGATAGAGACTATCCTTCCCATCTGTGACTTCTTTTTGCAAATGTCTGATGCAAGATGTGTTGCCATAGACTTTGGGCCAGCAGACTTGATTGCAGGATGCGTAAGGGCCTTCGAACAATAAGTACAAATAACACATGGTTCTCCAGAAAGCCGGTCTGCTCCTTGGTGATAACTTCTCCAGTATTGAGAACTCCAGTTGGTTGAATCCCATGCAATCTTCATAAGGAGTTTTGTAGTATGATCTGAGTGTTGTTCATACCATCGTGATAGCTTCCACCACTCAATGAATATATCGTGTGTATCCTTAGTCCATTTGACGAATTGGTTTAACTTGCCAATATATTCAAGGCCTGCAGGGACTTTGTAAGGATGCCTGTCCCTCAGTGATTGAGTCGGGCAGGTTACAGTCACATGATAAGAGTTAAGGCAGGTTAGCTGAGTCGGACCCGTTTCGGGTACTTAAGGAGATTGACCCAACGGGGGTTCCTCTCTTCATCTTTTTTGTATCCTTCGTAGTAGACCTATAGGATAGCATCCGTTTAGCCTCTGACTCGCACTCTCATATGCTATTACTGTGAGCTGGGTGCCCTGTGTCCTTACAGACTTGATTTAATGAGGATAGTCGTTGAGAAGACGGAAAAGAGTCTGAGAATACTGTCAGAATCAAACAACTCTGAGTATTGAGATGGCATTTGGCAAATTGCTCGATTATCAGAAGGTTACCAGAAGTCTGGCTACGATGAAGTACTTAAATACCTGGTTTTCCAACGCGAAAGGTACTCCAGCGCTATAACTTTAGCAACTCAAGTTCTCCTCTACTCTAGCTCCAGGAACAACATATCCTGTGCAGCTGATACCTTAGCCCACTTTTCCTTATCAAACTTCTTAGAGTAGACAAGTAAGAACGCCTCTTTGAAGCTAGAACTATGAGTGGATATTTGCAACCATCCATTGTCGACAAGATTGTAAGACTTTGGGTACCACTGCACAGGTCCTGGTAATTAGGCCCACTTTCCAAACTGCCTGCTCGTACAAACAGAAATATTTATGTGGTGGGATAACCTCGTGAAAAGTGCTATAATAAACAATTAGTATTGCCAGAAGATTGCTAGGATGATCAGAGACGTACCCTTCCTCTACATCAATCCACGGCATATACTCAAAGAGACGCTCAGGCTTCTTTCTCAGCTTTCCAGCCTTTCTCGTATATGAGTGGATACAGCTATCCCAGAAATGTTGCCACTTGCGGAAATTGGACTCTTCATGGGCCTATCAACTATTAGTATCACCAGATGATTACCAGATTATGAGGTAGCATACATCAATGTGCGCTTGAGTTAAGAGAGCCTGGGTGCTAGTGATCTCTTCATCGGAAAGCTCATCTGGTAGAACAGCCTCGTCATTTAAAATATCTCGCGCTGTAACATAAGCTCCAACTCCAAATCATCTTCAACCTCAGTATCCTCCCATTCGCTGTTATGATTGTCATCGATTGGAATACTTGAGATACCCTCAAATGCAGCAAGCTCAGACAGAAGTTGTTTGGGCGGAGTAGATGGTGGGGCTTGTGGAGAAGAAGAGGCGCTAATATTCTTGACTTTCTGATTCGCAATGCAAGATGCATGGGTACCATTCTCAGTCCTGTTTATAGTTAGATTGAGGCTACCAGAGATTACCAGAAGGAACTTACCGAACACAAATACGCTCAACCTTCAATTCATTCTGTAGATGTGTCTTGTCTTCAGTAGAGGCAGCGATATACTTTGTGTAATGACACAGGGCACCCAGCTCACAGTAATAGCATATGAGAGTGCGAGTTGGAGGCTAAAAGGATGCTATCCTATAGGTCTACTACGAAGGATACAAAAAAGATGAAGGGGGAACCCCGTTAAGTTTGTTTCCTTAAGTACCCGAAACGGGCCCGACTCGGTTATCCCAACCCTAGCCCTGAACCTTCCACCGCAACAGGTCCGCATCGACCCTGAACCCTACACCCTTACCGTCCCCCACTATAGTGTAACTCGCTATGTCCTCCTCTACTGGTCCGAAACCACACCGAGTCGGATTTCATGCTTGTGGTGACCGTAACAGCTCTGAGGCGGGTTCTTCGAGTATCTAGGTAAGGAGGCATCCTTACACTTTGCAGACTTATATAACTTCTTTAAGTAGTAGCTCAGATCAGCATGGTCAGCCTTGAGTGCTAAGTGAACAGCCTTCTCATCTTCAGTAAGGTTGGAGACGCAGTTGCGAGCTTTGATAGTATTCGCATTAGTGGAGAGTTCTTCATGTGCCTTGAGTTTCGCCATACTAACTAAACACGTGATTAGCAGAGATCTCCAGAAGTTCTGGCTATAGAATCAAGATAATAAACTTAGTTGAAATCCTAGAGAAGAGGTAAAGGCTCAAAAGGGAAGAAGAATGTGTAGATCGGAGAGTAACCAAGGAAGGTGGTTCTAAGGTCGTGGTTATTTTAAAGTTGCAAACAAAAATATTTGTGAAGGAATATTCACCTACAAAGAATTACTGTTCCAAAAACAACACCACAATGCGCACCTTCATATAAAACACATACCTTTCAACCTCTACCTCTTTACTATACTCTTCTTCTGCAATATTCTTTCTACAAACTCACTGTAAGTACACATATCTTTTGATCTACTTCTTTATCTTGTGTTTACTTTACTAACTCACCTTGATATTAGCAAATGACTCGTACCAAGCAAACTGCTAGGAGATCAACGGGCGGCATAGCACCAAGGATGCCACTTGGATTACGGGCTGGCTCTGGGCTTGGCGGAAAGGGACAGGAAAAGGCTGTGGGCACAGCAAGAAAAGCTCCAGTTTGCTCATCTCAAGCTAGCAACAATCATGCTCAGAAGGCCACGCGCTGCACAAAGTCTAGTGAGAGGATTACCAGAGGATTACCAGAACTCTCTAATAAACATATAGGCACCAAGGCTCTCCGCGATATCAGAAGACAGCAACTTGATACTAGCTCCCATTCCAGCGTCTTGTTAGGGAAATCACAGAAGACTTCAAGTCCAATCTTCGCTTCCAGCAATCTGCTATCCTAGCTCTTTAGGAAGCTGCTGAATGCTTCCTCATTCGAGAATTTGAGAGTATGATGTTTAAACATAGTGACAGGGACATACTAACAGTTATAGTGACAAACCTCCTCGCTATTCATGCGAAGAGAGTGACAATTCAGGCAAAGGGTATGATATTGGTTCGGCGTTTGCAGGATATGATGTTTAAGCTGTGGGCTTAATCGATGGAAATGTCTCTCACCCAGGAATGAAGGTCAGATGAGTTCTGGCAACCATCTGGTAACCTGGTACCTAAAGGCCAAAGGTTATAGTGTGGAATAGGACATCAACAATATGGGAATGGAGTTGGAGTTATGGCGTCTTGATCAATGAAGTCGCACCCCGTTTTTAACATAAGTAATGGCTAATCAAACACGTGATATAACTGAGTTGCCAAGACCCATACTAGGTACTCAGCAAGTGAGTAATCCTCATTCAACAATACTCGGGACATGAGTGAGTAACTCAGCTGGGTGAGTAAAAATTCTACTACTCGACTCGTGAGTACCCAGTGCGCAGCCTAGATATATCATGGGATTACGACTTGGTGGCTGGCTAAACACCTCAACTGTGGTCTAATTACATGTCTTTACTAATCCTGACTGTTGTCATGCACATATGATACCTAAGCAGCCCTCCTATGGTTTGCAAAAGAACTGAGGTCCAAGTCCCTTTTACCGGCAATAAAAATTGATATCCTACGCAATCCATACTAGACCTTGCGTGCCTGAAGTACCCTTGTGCACCGCCTTGCCGCCAGAATCTTTGTATGGGGTTCTCGGTGCGGAATTAGTTCTGGCAAATCCATCCTGGTACAAAGTCCACGTGGCAGCAACAGGTTTCACCCTGCTCTACGCCCAAGTCTGTCTGAGCTAACGACCTTCACAGAGGCGACCTTCTAGGCTGATGATCCGAGCTCGTGTTCTTCGTCCTTTCTTCCATACTTGTTTTCTTCAAACAACTCCCAAGAATACATTTCAGTCCTTTAGAATGGCTCAGGCACGGAATCACGTCATCTACGCGCCTTTAGACGAAGCTCCCCGCGGCGTTAAGTCTGTCTTTCTCGCTGGCACCACCAGCAAGATCGACACGAGTGACTGGCGCGAGACCCTATCCACCTCCCTCTCCGACGTGCCCATCACTATATACAATCCGTACCGTGCTGACTGGGACAGCTCATGGTGCGAGGATATCAATTTTGCTCCTTACCGTGAGCAGGTGGAGTGGGAGCTCGACAAGCAGGTCAAGGCCGACATTGTCGTCGTTTACTTCCACCCGGCTACCCAGGCGCCCATCAGTTTGCTCGAGTTTGGAATCTGTGCACGGGTTCCGGGGAAGGCTATCGTTGTCTGTCCCGAGGGGTATTGGAAGAGGGGGAATGTGCAGATTGTGTGCAAGAAATTTGGGATTGAAATGGTTGACAATGTTGATGGGCTGAGAGAGGCGGTTTTGAAGAGGTTGCCTGTTGGTTCGTGACTCCAGCGAATATTTATTTAACGGTTCGAGCGTAATGAATGCGATGTGACTGTCCGATCAAGACTTTACGTTGCCAACCCCAACTGGAGAACAACAAAGACAGTGAACCAAGGAGGAAGGTGCATACGATCGCAAGTAGACATTACATCCGATCTCAAAACATACTCCAGAGAGCGGGTCCTAGATCCTAGGGGCAAGACGCAGCGTCATCAGAAAGCCGATGGTAGAGGTCAGTCCGGATACTTGTTGGATGCGGACATATGGCACGAGTAGCAAACACTGGCCTAGGTAGATCGACTGTGGCAGGCTCAAAGGGCGTGGTGCTGGCGTGAAAAGGAAGCAGAGATATTGTGGCCACTTATGGATGGTCTTAAAGATTTCATTCTTCACTCTTGGTACTCTATCGTTGACTAATGTGTATAAGAGCATCAAAATCTTCCTCCTTTACTTGGTCCGAACGTGTGATAAAATTATCCCTTGTGATTTGGAAGTATAAGTCTTTCGCCTCTGTGAGGCGCTGATCAGCTTCCGCCTCCCCTCCAGGGACCTGACGTAAGTGCCTCGGATAGCTTTAACAGGCATCGAGCGTACTTGGCAGGATGCGTGTCTCTGTGAATAGAGCTAATGACCTTCGCCTCTTGGAGATGCTTGCTAAAAAGAAAAGAAATATCATAGTCAGTATAGGGCGTGATTTCACAGTGCACTCGTCATCCTCAGCTTGTCCAAACTTACAGTGCAGCATCTATGCCCCCTTGCATCATGGCGCAGCAACCCAGCTGGTATACAATGATACCGTTGAAGTCTAGAGCGCGAGACTTATCGCCCTCAAGCCACATGGACTGAGATTCTAACAACATGCTTTTCGCGGCTTCGTACTTCCCTTCGAACATTAGAAGCCGTCCTATGGCAAACTTGCACCTGTGTATTATTAGTATCGAATTTTACATGTAACTATGGGTTTCTCCTTTCTCTGGCACGCCTGTGTATAAGAAAGAGACAACTCACGTAGCTGTTGGGGCCCAGACAAACGGCTCTGCAGACAAAAGTCCATCTACAGCCTCAGTCAACTGCTCCCTTGATTCATCGAGCCTTCCTCCGTGAGTCAAAATTCTTCCACGCGTCAGCTTCAGAAGCGGAGGACACTTAAACTCAAAGCCCGTCGACTCGGACCAGCGCTTCCACGTCGCATGACTGCGCTCGTTCCACTCCATCGCAGTGTCAAAATCCCCCAAGCACCCATAAATGGAAGCCAAGTTATCTTCGATCCAGCAGGTATTTTGGAGGTCGATGGTGGACTCAGCTAGCTTGAGACTGTGTGCCGTCAACAAGCTCTTGAGGGCCATTTTGAATCGGCCCCGAAAGGCCCACATCGAGGCAACGTGGATTTCAGTTGATGAGAGAAGGTATATTTCCTTGTCCGGTTCAGGAAGTGTTTCCATGGCAATTCTGTTCACGATGACGAGGTCTTCGAGCTCGCGCCAGTTTTGTGTTTCAAGAAGGTAGCTACCAGCGTATCAGTATACATAACATAAGAGACTTTGGCTAAGGGAATGGAATGAGTAACCGTTGGCATTGAACCCATGTCTCGCAAGTCTCTCTGCAAGCAGAGAAGCTCGGGTCCCGCTTTCGCTCTTGCATGAAGCTACTTTTAAGCTGCAGCACATGCTGCAACCAAAGTTGACACCTGTCCCAGACATTGTAGAGATTGGCTCTGGCAGCCCCAGGCTTTTTTGGTCTCTTTGGAAAGGCATTATACATTAGGATTGAAGCTTCAAAAAATGCTTTTTGGAGGTCTTTGGGGTTCAAAAAGCGGCGGAACTGGGCTGCGATGAGACGGTGAATCGAAAATACGCGATCATATCCATTTCTTTTGATCAATGCAAGAGCCAACAGCTCCTCTGTACTTGTACTCAGACTATGGTGTTCATTGTTAGCAATCGCAATTGCTGCAAGCAGTTTGGATACAAAGAACAAACCACTAACCGATCAGAGTCAAGATACCATAGCATGTCATCTGTAAGGCTGTCCTTCTCTTCATTAAATTCGAACAACGACTGTGGGATGCTGTCTGGCGCACAGAAAGTAAAGACCGATAACAGTGCAGCACAGTCAGGCTTGAGGTTTTCAAAAGATAGTTGCCAGACGGTTTCAAGTCCGTCTTTGAAGTCCTTGGATCTATCATAAACCTCAACGAGCTCTGAGATAGACCATGAACGACGGTAGATCAAACCACACATGTTGGACAGCGCTAGTGCATGGCCACTTAACCTCTCAGAGAGACTGTACGCTGACTGCGTTTCGTTTGCCAAGAGTTCGGCACCGATGTGTCCTTTGAGAAGATGTAGCAGGAACTTGGAGCCTGTATCTGTATCCCAAGGGAGTATTTCAAGGCCAGCATCCGCTGGATCGAAACCGAGCATATGATTTATTGTTGTAATCAGGACTCGACCATTACTGCCAGATAAAGGCCAGTAATCTCGAAGAAGTTCGATAGTCTCTGCATTGTCGTAGATGATCATCCACTTACATTCTAATCGACATTCTTAGCATTTAGTCAGGCTGGGAAGTCCTCTCCAACGTACCAGTCTGCTGCAGCCAGCCTTTGAGAATCATTCGATTTTCGTCATGAGAGGCTGGCCCAGTATCAGGTAGTTTCAACTTAAGAGCAATATCTGTAAAGCTCTGTTGGATAGAAACCGGATTTTCTCCATTGATCCAAAAGATAGCATCAAAGTTTTTGATCGCCAGCTTCTTATCCAGATATTTCATGGCAACATGGCTCTTACCGACACCTCCCATGCCATATAGTGCCAGCGAGCGTAGTGACGAAGTTGAATCTCCGTCTTGGAAATGTTTTTCAACCTTCTCAATCACATCATCTCGATCGAAGAAACGGGCAGTCTGTATGGGTGGAAGGACGAAGCAAGGTAGCTGAGCCGTATCTCGGAACGCGCGAGGTGAGAGTGAGAGATAGGAAAACCAAGAAGCCATGTCACCCTGGTACTGTCTCTGATACATTGCGGCGACCCTGTCGATGCGATCGAGCGTGTCCTTGATATCATCTACGGCAGTTGTAAACTTCTCGGTCAGTTCAGTCCATGTGGGATGGTTCCGGCCTGCCTACATGCATTAGTTCACAAATATTCGCAAAGATAAACGATCTCTTGAGGTGGAATTCTAACTGCTAGCATATGTCAATTCTGAGACATCGTCGTCTGCTTGGCGCAGGCATTGCACAACATCCGCGAGGAACGTGGTGATTCTTAAAAATATATCAAAGCAAGACTCTTTGTCTTCCTTAGTGACGACAGGACTTTGTCGGCAGTGAAGTATGAAATCATGGCAATTCCTGCTTATCTTCTGAAGCATCTGGACAACTCTTCGCATTGTCTCATCGTGTTGTAAGGCCAACTAATGTTTGATCTGTCAGATATAAAAGAGTCCATAGCATTGTTGATCTCTTACAGTAAGTAATAGGCCAAGCAATCCCCAGAACATACCCGTGTCAAGAGTCGGACGAAGCTGTGTGAAGAAGTCGCTGAGCTTTTTCAAGTCGACAAGTCGCGGTTGCAGCATTGCCAGCTCATGCAGGGCAGCCTCGCCAGTTCATCTTGTTCGGCGAAAACATGCTCTTGCACATCCTCATATGTGCGGAAACTCCTGATTGTTCTGCGATCCTGAGGTTCCATACGTTCTGAGCAGGACTTGGTCGCCGACATCCATTGCTGGGTGAAGAAGTCCTCCCTGGTGAATATGCCCTGTTAGCGAATGCCTCGTCAAATTTACGGTACACAAATGAGAATATATGGACGTACAAGTCAGGGGAGTCCATGACACGTCTAGTTATTCAAGAGGAGCTGCTGTCCGTTGAATCGAACGGTCGTAGAATTGATGAAGAGGACCATGATGATAATTTGAGCGTGGGGGATGACATGTTTAGCGCCAAGCCCTTGTTCAGTGGTGCATAGATATCATTAAAAGTTGCAATGTTGGGATGTTCGACTTCGACTTGGGCTGCTATTGGTAGAGAGCTCTTGGCCAATTGGCAAGGCACACGTGTAACAGTAAATTGGGGGGGGGGTTTTGGTTCCGCTATTATGCACACATCTCACTTCTTTCAACCGAAAGCCTCATCAGCGATGGGATAGCTGCAGGGACGCTTCGCAGACACCCATGTTCTCATCCAGTGCACACTGTATGCAGGTCTTGGAAATAAGGTCTTCGACGGGATATACATATTTTTTGGACATGTTGGGTGGAGGATGGACGAATAGTCGCCCACACCCCCGAAAGCCCCGAAGGGGGAGGGTGCGCCTCGAGGGCACTGTGACGCTACTCGCTATATACTCTGGGGGGGTTGCGTTAGCCGGTCAGTGAAGGAAGGTGCCTGTGGCGGGCCGCACGCGGTAATACCTTTAGCGTTAGTTCACCCCCGACCTGAATTTATCTTGCGCCAAAACGCGATGTCCAAAGGCAAGCGGTAGCAACCGAGGCTAAAACCTGCCGCCGATCCAGTCCGCCTCCAATCTGCCGCCAAGCCGCTGCCAATCCGTTATCACCCCGCTACTCATGCGGCCCAAAAGTCTTCGTAGGGCCTGTGTTTTCTAGCCATTTAGCGCATCAGAATAGGGTCTTCAGCTCATTCTCAAGTCGTACATAACAAGAGTTTGCAGAAACAATATTTTGAAACCTTAACAGGCTGAAACCATCATATTATATGTATTCATACGACTTACTACTAGCCAATTTCTTAAGGTGGAAGAATTAGAGATGCCTCCTTACGAGGACCTCTGTGTGCCATCCGCACACGGAGCTAGCAAGATTGGTGGTGAAGCAGGGAGTAGTCACTTGTACAGATGCCGACCTCTCTCGGCCCGGAACGCGTATGAGGAGCGGAAGAAGTTTAATAGCAGGATGAACTCGCTCCGGAAGTCGTCACTGATGAGCCCGTCAACGACATATCCGTACGAGACAGTGCTAACTCAGCTCACGAGTTCAATAGACACGAATCACGAGTTCGATGCAGGAAGCCGGCTCTCATTCCACAATTTCGACGGCAATTCCGAATGTGAATAACGCGGCGGGATCCAGTGGATACTCGCCGTGCGCAGCCTTCGTGGAGTGGACAATGGTGGGGAGCTTCGATATGCGCTTCGATGGTTGTTGGGGTCGAACGAGTGTTACTAGATAGTATTAAGAGTCCGGGGAACGCCGCTTTGCTCACGGATGAACGTGGACGCAGGTTGTGGACAATCGAATCCATTTAGCGCCTCAAACTCAGGCTAGGTGTCCGGATTGTTTTGTCACCAGCTTTTGATCGATATCACGTGACATAAACGCTTCTTTGGTAGCACGTGGCCAGCGAGTGGCACAGAGATACTCATCCAACTAGCACTCCAGGCAAGGCAGTGAACTTTCCGCCACATGTTTGGCCCCGATTCCACCAACCAGACATATGCGTCAAAGGGAGGCAAGACACGTCAAATTCCGAGGCTTTCTGTAATTCCCACTGTCCAGTAAAGCTCCGGCGGCGGAGATATGGACGAAAAGATTTTATTCATGTGTGAGGTGACCATTGCCGCCTGGGTGTATTTCTGGTGACTCTACTATAACCACGTGGCAACAAGACCAGCTTCTCCTAATACGGCACCTTCACAGCCCCAACCACAGTCTTTGCTTTCACAACCGCCTTCGAAACCCTACACAATTCATCCGCAACATTAAATATCGTCCCGCCCGTTTTTCGCATCCATAGCGTTCCGTCCTTGGCAATTACGAACGCCCCCCGCTTCACCTGCCCTTTCGCATCTATATACCCCATCGTGCGTAACAACTTGCCGCCTGGGTCGCTGAGGATATTACAGTCTATCTCATCTCTCCTGTCGGGTAGGGAAGCGTTTGTGGCGGCTGAACTGGTTGTTAAACCGTAGATTGACATGTTTGATCTAGGGGCGGCGTAGGATGAACTTATTATCTCGGAGGCGAAGTCGCAGGCTTGGATGTCAGTTTGGTGCTTTATATTATTTTCTTGCAGGGTCACAGTGGGAAGGAAAATGTGGTTGGTAGGGGGTTAAATTGGAAAGGTAGTGGGGAACAGATGAGAAGAGCTACCTTCATCTTCGGCTCGGGGTTTGAATGTCCAAACCACGATTCCGCTTTCACTCTCATCTAAAAGTCCCATGAGGGTCTTGGGAGTCCCATCTTGTAGCCGAAGTCTTGCTGTGAAGTGGCCTGTAGTTGAAATCTTGTAACCAACCACAAGAGGCGTCGTCACTATAGAAGCAGAGGGATGCGTGTCCAAAGTAGTGCCCTTAAATCGAGGAGAGCTTCTCGTCCTGCCCTTTATTCTTGATCTGGACGCTGCCTGGCGGCTATGGTTGCGATTAGGGGCCAATACTCTCGCCATTTTCTATATTCATGAAGATGACGTGGCAGTTCTAAATTTCAAACATTCCGGGGGATGAGAATGCCTTATATATTCCCCTGGGAGTCATGTGATTGGCGAAAACAAAGCTCAGCCACCACACAATAGTTTCGCAACGCTTTTATCGTTTAATGGCACTGTAGTTCTAATCACCATTGATGCTATCCATTTTATAGATCTAGAGCCATAAATTCGTCGCTGCTGGTTCGGCCCTACACTATGCAGTTTATGGCGATCGAGGTGCTGCAGGGCAAGTGCCACACTTATCGGCACGATTTCGAGTGAAGCGATCCGATGCTCCTGTCCGGGAAGGCACGGATAGAAGCCCGATGTATCTTTTTCCACGGCAAGCCCTTCTTCTTAAGGCGCATCAGCAAATTGTCTTCTTGCTCTGTATATTGGAGGCGCCCGCGCTTTCTCTGCTTCTGTAGAGCGGGACTTGACCTCTTTGCATGAGATGCGCAAACCCCTGGATGAGCTGATTTTCCAGCTACTTCCTCGCTAGACGTGGTATTTGATATGTGTAGACCGATTGATGGTCTGAAGGAATCTGGAAGATCAGCCTGAACTCTAGGTTGTATCGTCTCTCGTCCGATCCTCACACATTTGAGAAAGCCTGGAAGAGGATATTCTTGGTAGTCCGCGCCTAGAATTGACTTCGCATCGTCTGGTGAACTCTGAGAAACTGTAGAACCTCGAGTAGTGTAGGCCTGGGCTTGGGCTGGCCAGTGAAGAGATCGAACGTCGTTCCTTGTCTAAATTACGTGAGCTTCATAAATGTAGTCACCGCTTTATATTCTGCCATAACTTAGTCTCTTGTGATTTTGATGTGGGTGTGGATGGCGATCGCCATCAGCGCGCTCCTGAGAGCTGGCGAAATATTCAGTGCAACACCACCAACGGAGTAGATGTATCTGCGGACCCTCTGCACATGGCTGACCAAGGATTTATAACCATAATATGATATAATATTCATACAGCTCCCAGCGCCCGTGTATATTCTGCAAAGATCTCATGCACCTCAGGCCGTGGTTTCAAAAATATTGGGATCCATCTATTACGCCATTCTCCATCAAACGAACAAGTATAGGCTGCTTTGCAATATTCCCAATAATCAGGATACCATCCAGAATGGGCCCAGTCAACGATCGCAAGTACACGTGGCGGCCCTGCTGAAGAGACGATAATGTTGCCTTGATGTAGGTCCCCATGGGTTAGCTTGATAGTTCCTGTATCTGGCAAGAACGTTCTATAAGGATCCTGGATATCTTCCGAGTTAGGAAACCGAAGCCAAGGCAGTCGAGAAAACCAATCGTTGAACTGCTTGACAGTATTGAAGGGTCCGCCTGGAGGGTGGCCTTCAAAGACAATGTCTAAGAGATGTTGGCGATTGATAGACCCTGAAGAAGATTTAGTCATTATCCTGAACTGCTTATCCATTTCGCAGCATACCAATGAACGAATCATTTGGGTCTTGCTCGACTTGCCGCAAAGATGTGGTAATCTCGCGTATGTGATCGCAAACAGAGGTTTTATCGGCGATACTCAGAGAATCCCACCGATCTTTCAGTGTCTCTCCTCGTACATACTGCATATATATGAACACATCACGCCCATCAACCCGCCAGCCATAGACCTCTGGCACAGGAACTTCGTTACGAAGTACTCTTTTAATCACCCAAAGACATTGCGCTTCAGCAATTGCAACATGAGGACCGAACTTGACAATGAGATTAAGATGCTCAAATATCACAGGAAGTGGTTGAGGCCTCGCCTGGTTTGTGCCTGACAAGGCTCGAACCTCTGTCGGCGTTGGCAAGCATCGGTTAGGTCCGTTGTTCTTGAAGAAAGAGGATTCGAGAAAGTCCATTTTCAGTTCTCTGCCATCTGGTAGCCCTGTGGCATGGATCTGAGGATTAGCTGGCATTATTAATGCCCTGGAAACTTATTGTGAGCTTTTGGTAACAACTACTATAACGAACAGGTTGTCAGGGAGGAGAGCTCAGAGAGAAGTCTTACCGAATGAGAAGCGAAGACGAGTACGGAGAAGGCAACAGTGGTCGACTCTGCGCAGGCAGCGAAAACAGTCGCACAAGGATACCTAATTTAACGCTGGCCTCCGTCTGTGCTTTGTGCGCGTAAAGTAGCCCGATTACAAATGCACGGCCACTGTGCGAGGGGTTGTGTATGGCGTTGTTTCAGCGTGCGCTTTCATCAGTGCTCATTCGCCACAATCGCACCGTCTCTAGCGCGCGCTACTTTGTGCACGAACGACACTTCAACTGGAGCAGGGAAAACATTGAACGAGTTAAGTGCGCTATCGAAAGCGCTTGCAGCTATAATTCACCTAGTCAACACAGATGATTGGCTCAACTTATACACCTTACATGCCAGGCAGGCGGCTATGCGGGCCACACTAAATGAGGGTTCCTGAACGCCCACCTTAGCTCTCAGAATGAATTTACTTTATGTTGTAAACTCGACACCAATCATCCAAGTTACACTGCGCAACTTTGAGAGCACATTATCTAACATTGTATCACAGGTGTCTCAACAAGCGCTGAGTTTCACTTATTTTTAAATGCTTTTGTGGGTGTGATGCCAACTCGTAGATCGCTGTTTGATTTTTTTCTGCATCAAGTATTTCTCAGAGTACTTAAGATGCCTTTTCTCTTCAAAGTCGTCTCGATTTTCTAGCCATTTCTATCATCAATTGTACTCTACTCTCTTCTTAAGTCATCAATCATTATATTATTATCGCGCCCTTGGCAAGCAAGTAGCGCCAACATGGCCACTCGAACCCTTCAACTCATCTCCTATCGCAATTCTTCCAAACAGCGAGCGCACTTTGCAATTTTTGTCCCGTCCGGTGCCAATCCCGATCTGGGGACTTTGATTCACGTTGTCGGCGCACCTATGGCTGGTTATATGCTCGAATTCAAGCGGAACTACTCTCCAACCATGACCCAGGAACGGCACGAAATGTACCCCATTGGAGAGGTTTTTGCAGCCAATATAGTCGAATCTACGAGCAACGACCGAAGCAGAGACAATAAACCTAGAGATAAACTTGAGCGCGAAGCAGCCCAGGTGGCCCCATCTCGTATCAGCGAAAACTTCAGGGCTCCTGTAAACGATGTGAGTGAATCCATCATTTGATAGTGTGGCGCCTCACTGACTATTAGGCTGCGCACTGGGTACTCATGAGTCGAGTAGTAGAATTTCTACTCACCCAGCTGAGTTACTCACTCATATCCCGAGTATTGTTGAATGAGGATTACTCACTTGCCGGGTACCTAGTATAGGTCTTGGCAACCCAGTTATATCACGTGTTTGATTAGTCATTGAAAAGGGGGTGTGATCGTGACTTCACATTGATATCGATATCGTAAAACGCCATAACTCAATAACTCCATTCCCATGTCGTTGATATCCTATTCCACACTATAACCTTTGCCTTTAGGTACCAGGTTACCAGAAGGTTGCCAGAACTTATCTAACCTTCATTCCTGGGTGAGAGACATTTCCATCGATTAAGCCTACAGCTCCATGATTAAACATCATATCCCGCAAACGCCGAACCAATACCATATCCTTTGCCTGAATTGTCACTCTCTTCGCATGAATAGCAAGGAGATTTGTCACTATAACTGTTAGTATGTCCCTGTCACTATGTTCAAGTATCATACTCTCAAATTCTCGAATGAGGAAGCATTCGGCAGCTTCCTGGAGAGCTAGGATAGCAGATTGCTGGAAGCGAAGATTGGACTTGAAGTCTTGTGCGATTTCCCTAACAAGACGCTGGAATGAGAGCTTTGGAATAATCAGGCGAGTATCAAGTTGCTGTCTTCTGATATCGCGGAGAGCCTTGGTGCCTATATGTTTATTAGAGAGTTCTGGTAATCCTCTGGTAATCCTCTTACCAGACTTTGCACGGCGCATGGCCTTCTGAGCATGATTGTTGCAAGCTTGAGATGAGCGAACTGGAGCTTTTCTTGCTGTGCGCACAGCCTTTTCCTTTCCCTTTCCCTTTCCACCAAGCCTAGAGCCAGCCTGTAATCCAAGTGGCATCCTTGGTGCTGTGCCGCCAGTTGATCTCCTAGCAGTTTGCTTAATACGAGCCATTTGCTAACATTAAGATGAGTTAGTGAAGTATACACAAGACAAAGAAGTAGATCAAAAGATATATGTACTTACAGTGAGTTTGTAGCAAGGATGTTGTAGAAAGAGTAAAGAAAGAGGTAGAGGTTGAAAGGTATGTGTTTTATTTGAAGGTACGCGTTGTAGTGTTGTTTAGAACAGTAATTATTTGCAGGTGAATATTCCTTGACGAATATAATTGTTTGCAATTTTAAAAAAACAACAACCTTACAACCAACCACCTTCCTTGGTTACGTTCCGATCTACACATTCTTCTTCTCTTTTGCGCTTTACCTCTTCACTAGGACCTCAAGTAAGTTTATTATCTTGATTCTACAGTCAGAACTTCTGATGATCTTCTGCTAATCACGTGTTTAGCATGGCGAAACGCAAGGCACCTGAAGAACTCTCCACTAATTTGAATACTATCAAAGCTCGCAACCGCGTCTCCAACCTTACTGAAGATGAGAAGGCTGTTCATTTAGCACTCAAGGCTGACCATGGCGATCTGAGCTACTACTTAAAGAAGTTATACAAGTCTGCAAAGTATATCGCTGCCTCTGTTGAAGACAAGACACGTCTACAGAATGAATTGAAGGTTGAGCGTATTCGTGTTCGGTAAGTTCCTTCTGGTAATCTCTGGTAGCCTTAATCTAACTATAAACAGGACTGAAAAAGGGCACCCATGCATCTTGCATTGCGAATCAGAAAGTCAAGAATACTAGCGCCCCTTCTTCTTCTCCACAAGCCCCACCATCTACTCCGCCACAACTTCTGTCTGAGCTTGCTGCATTTGAGGGTATCACCAGTATCCCAATCGATGACGATCATAACAGCGAATGGGAGGATACTGAGGTTGAAGACGATTTAGAGTTGGAGCTTATGTTACGGCGCGACGATATTTTAAATGACGAGGCTGTTCTACCAGATGAGCTTTCTGATGAAGAGATCGCTAGCATCCAGGCTCTCTTAACTCAAGCACGCATTGATGTTGGTACCTCATAGTCTGGTAATCTTCTGGTAATCTTCTGGTAATACTAACGGTTGATAGGCCCATGAAGAGTCCAATTTCCGCAAGTGGCAACATTTCTGGGATAGCTGTATCCGCTCATATACGAGAAAGGCTGGAAAGCTGAGAAAGAAGCCTGAGCATCTCTTTGAATATATGCCATGGATTGATGTAGAAGAAGGGTACGTCTCTGATCATTCTAGCAATCTTCTGGCAATACTAATTGTTTATTATAGCACTTTTCACAACGTTATCCCACCACATAAATATTTCTGTTTGTACGAGCAGGCAGTTTGGACAAACTTTACAGCTTGGAAGTTTGGAAAGTGGGCCCAATTACCAGGACCTGCGCAGTGGTACCCAAAGTCTTACAATCTTGTCGACAACGGATGGTTACAAGTCTCCACTCATAGTTCTAGCTTCAAAGAGGCGTTCTTACTTGTCTACTCTAAGAAATTTGATAAGGAAAAGTGGGCTAAAGTATCAGCTGCACAGGATATGTTGTTTCTGGAGTTAGAGTAGAGGAGAGAAATGGAGTACTTGATTTTCCGACGCGAATAGGGGCTATAGAGATTTAAGTATTTCATCGTAGCCAGACTTCTGGTAATCTTCTGATAATCAAACAATTTGCTACTTGCCAAATGTCATCGCAATATTCAGAGTTGTTTGACTCTGACAATCCTATTTCTAATATATTCTCAGACTCTCTTCCCTCTTCTCAACGACTACCTTCATTAAATCAAATCCCTGCGGGCCTCGAATATACTGGCAAATTAAACCAATTCATCAAATGGACTAAGGATACACACGATGTATTCATTGAGTGGTGGAAGCTATCACGATGGTATGAACAACACTCAGATCATACTACAAAACTCCTTACGAAGATTGCATGGGATTCAACCAACCGGAGTTCTCAATACTGGAGAATTTATCACCAAGGAGCAGACCGGCTTTCTGGAGAACCATGTGTCATTTGTACCTATTGTTCGAAGGCCCTTACGCATCCTGCAATCAAGTCTGCTGGCCCAAAGTCTATGGCAACACATCTTGCATCAGACATTTGCAAAAAGAAGTCACGGATGGGTAAGGATAGTCTCTATCAAATGCGAATCAATCAGATGCGACCTCAACAGGTAAGGATTACCAGATTATTACCAGAATTATATAGGCTAATATCTATAATAGGATCATATTCTCACACAAGAGGCATTTTACGAACAAGTTCTATACACAGTTATCTCAACTCATAGCTCGTTCCGCTCAGTCGAGGATCCTGAATGGAAAAGGCTTGCTATCTTACAGAATCCTCACTATCCACTACCCTCAGCAACAACTATTCGAAACCTCTTAACAACAAAGCTCACACAAATCGAAGAAGAGATGCTACAAGATGTTGTTCCTGGTTCAAAGATTGCATTATCGCTCGACTGTTGGTCAAGTGTTACTCGACTTTCATTTATGGGTGTTATTGCATCATTTATCGACCGTCATTGGAAAATGCAAGAGGTCTTGATTGGGTTTGAACCTATATATACAGAGCATACTGGTGCTGAGTTATGTGGAATACTTGAAAAAGTTATCACAAGGCAGCATTTAGAAGGACGAATTATATCCATTACGACTGATAATGCGTCAAACAACACTTCAATGATGAGAGATGTGGAAATAATGCTTGATAGTATTGCAGACAACGAGCATTTCATTGGAGGAAAAGTACAACACATACCCTGCCTAGCTCACGTTATTCAACTTGCCCTTAGTGCTCTCCTTGGTCGAATCCGGATTACGCCAACAAATCAAGAGATCTTAATGAACTGGGAAGAAGAGAATCAGATGGAGGGCCTTGCAAAGTTGCAGAAGGACAAGGGTATTGGATTTACACTTGGAAAGGTATATATTCTCTTGTTAGTTCTGGTAAACTTCTGGTAGTCTTTTCTAATATCTCATAGCTCCGGAAGCTCACTATCTTTGTTAATTCAAGTCAAACTCGAAGGAACAGGTTTATGACTTTGCAAAAGGCAAACATGAACCGGGGTCAATCATCTCAGAGGCTTCTTCGACTTATTCAAGATGTATCAACTCGATGGGATTCGACATGCCATATGCTTCTGCGAGCACAGCAACTCAAGTCAACAATCAATCAATATACTCGAGGCGATCATGGTGCTCACATGTTCAGACTTAGCGAGCTAGAATGGAAGCACATCGAATACATCATTGATCTTACAAGGCCATTCAACTTCTTTACAACAAACATTGGATCGTCAGCCGGACCTACTGTCTGCTATACACTTGGAGTATATCAAAAACTCTTATCAACGCTTGAAGGAACTCGGCACCGGCTACGGCATAAGACATATCCATGGGCAGCAAAGATGACTTTAGCAATCGATGCTGCAGAGAAGAAGATTAGGAAGTATTATAACAAGCTATACACAAATACTGGATCTATCTTCGCATTTGCTAGTATCTTAAATCCTAGTGTGAAGCTCTCACACTTTAACAAAAAGGTTTGCAAGCTTGACTTTTCAATACGAAATTGGGAGACAGAGTTTGAACAACAGTTTAGGACTCTTTATAAAGAGCAGTACTCTACAGTGCGAGTTGCGAGTCAATCAGGATTACGAGATGCAGATATGGATCCATTAGCCTTAGTATTGCAGCAAAGTCAGACATTAAATGGGACTCGGGGCCAGCGAGAGGAATATGTGAATGAGGCTGATCTCTATCTTGATGCTCGTAAGTTTCTGGTAATCTTCTGATAATCTTATTCTAACTTGTATAGCACATATCTACACAAAGATATTGCTATTTTGGCAACAAAAGGAAGAGCAATTTCCTGGTCTATCAGCGATGGCTCGTGATATACTTTGTATTCCTGCTGCTGAGTCTGGAGTTGAGCGAGTCTTTAGTGCCGCAAGGGACGTATGTGGCCACCGACGTGGTCAACTTAATCCTGAGACGATTAAGAGTATTATGCTTATATATTACTCTCGACAATACAAGAATCGTCAAGGTCATCGTGACAAGCTTGCAGATATGATGGACGTCGTTGATATGACTGAGGAGCAAGTCGAAGAAGAGTATGAGGCACAACGACAACGGATGTGCAATTCTATCGAGTTACAATATATCAGCGATGAAGAAGAACCACGATCAAATACACATATCCGAGAGACATATTCAAAGGTACAATATCCTCCGTTTAATCCTCAGCGGCCACAGCAACAGCAAGACTTATCACAAGCTGCACATGAAGAACGACAAATGCGCTACCAACAAGGTGAAGAAAGAGATAGGGCTGACCGTCTTAACGAGACCTTATACGACATCCCAGATGACGATATCCCAGATAATGAAGATATAAGAGAAGATGGTAATAATGAGGAGCCTATACTTCCAACTATTCATGACGATGAAGATAAGGATATGCCGTCCTCGCCACCAACGCCTATCCAACGCCCTCGGAAGACTGGAAGAGATCTACTTGATATCTTTCAAGCTACTCGTCAAGACCCTATAAATACTTTAGGTATTAGTAGGTCTGGCCGGCCTCATCAAGCAAGGTGGAAAGATGTTCTTGAGCATATATAATATAGTGTTCTGATAATCTTCTGATAATCGTGGTACTTAGATAGAGGAATATACGTGATTCGTTCTCACAGCTTATTAGAGATGGTAGAGTGATGCTGATAAATGTAATACTTTAAGTTAACTTACAACTGTAACCATAAAACAGTATTAATCGTATGAGGGACTGTTCACGTAATGCATATATCTTACACGTGACAGCCGAGTACTCACTGGGTTTTTACAGAGTAACTGAGTATTGGCCTCACTCACCGAGTCGAGTGAAAGGTTCAGCTACTCACCCAGCTGAGTAACCCACTGAGTGAGTGAGCCGAGTATTGGGCGAGTAGTGCGCAGCCTACTGACTATCCATTCAGACAACCAACAGAAGATGCGTGAGTGGACGATAGATTTTGTGCGACGGCTAATTGATAATGGTATTATTGCACAAACGGCTTTTGATATCGTTCAAGATAAACGTGACCCGCCAGGCCACGGGATTGTTTAGCATCTTAGGAGTCGCGGGCACTGGCATTGAAGTCCCTGGAAAGGCGGGACAAATAGCACTAGGGTGGTGCGTTTGGTTCGAATTACGAACTGGACACAGCAGCATTGGTTCTGAATGAGAAGCTTCTTTGATATCTGAAAAGGCACGTCGGGGCTGCTTAGCCCCTTACATTCCGCGTTCAACTGTGAATTTAGACGCGTTCCGTCGCACATGAAGCGTCGTGCCAACTCGTACCATCGCATCGAGCTGTGCCTGCATGAAGAGGAAATGCAACAACTTCCAGAAGACTTCTTCCGCCCAACTGGGCAGCGATGCTCTTACTAACGAATACGTAGCGTCTTCTTCGTCCCTGCCACTCTGCTAACGCCCTCGTAACCAAGCCCGCTCTCCCTTGTTTCCTAATCCCAGCCGTGTTCCAACACTTGTATTGCTCGATTCACAAGACTCCCCGCGCAAACAAGCTGTTGTCATGCGGCAACACCTTCGCACCCATTCCCGGTGGTCATCGAGCGCGTAGACCGGTGAAGTTGTCTCTCGTTGCTCTGTACCGGAAGTCGAACGCCTTCCAGAACCTCCCTCTAAAATGTCTTCCTTTAGCGGCGCTCTGCAATGAAGCCTTGACGATGCGCAGCTTGATCTTCGTTTGCTTTGCCGGTTTAATGGCTTTCACCAGACTCTTTCCTGCCGGATAAACAAGAACGTGCAGGATTACGTTGAGGCCAAGGAGCTTCCTTCTGAATGGCTTGCACGTGACCAAAATAAAGGGTTTTCACAAGCACACCGAGTCTCGGGTACCCTCCATCTCTTCCTTTAGCCACTCGACAAAGTCAGAACGCCCTAAAGGCTTGTTATTCGAATCATAGATATCTACTCTCCTAATTCCTCGAATGGAACTAAGCTCACAAATGCCAGGATCAGCCTATAAGCCTCCGGAGACATGCCCAGTATGAGGTCTCTCTCGAAATAAAGTCGCAAGTATCTCAGCCTCCTGCAATGCTTGAGCAGCTGGACACACTTCGCGACATGAAGGGTTGGCAAAGCCAACGAATGTCCGTTAGGCCCCGGAGCTTCAGCCCATTGGCACTGAAGATCTGTTCCACTATGCCAGGCAAGCTCCAGTGACTCAATGTTGTCACGAGCAATATCGCCAATTGCAATCAAAAGCTTAATGAGGTCGTCCATATCATCCAAGCGAAACACCATCTGACGATACGCAAGGCGCAGTGCCTCTTGACGCATCTGTCTATTGACTCGGGGCATGGCGTGGCTACTTGGTGAAAAGTAGGAACCACTGGGATCACCTATACCTTTAGCGAAGATGAGCTCATTAAAACTGTCAAATTCACGAGGAGCTTACTTGAGCAACAATTGTTCAAAAACCACCAAACTCGTTGTTATGCACGGTGACTTCCTTTTAAAGAGACCCTCGCTTCAGAACTTTGATTTGAGTATTTTCTCAGACAAAAGGCCCATACTTGCGACACGACTTTTGATGGGTGTCCGGATAATTTTAGAACCGCCTTCGCATCCACCTGAGCGGGATGAAGGCTGCGTGGGCCACCGCAATTGACCTTACCCGACTCTACAGTACCATTGCTAGATAACCGGCCTTGCGACCGCGCCATTTGGCGTGGATGATTGAAGCACTAGAGCCATGGACTGCACCAGTGGCACAGAATGATCTAAGCAGATTGTATTCAAAGAAGATTGTATTTCCATATAACTATATTTTATCAACATATAAAGAAATACTGACAGGGAGGCGGTGGGTAGGGTACTGGGTGGATTGAACTTCATATATCTCGTACAGCTCCTTTGCTTAGCAGCACCTCGACGATCTTGTCGTGGCCTCCAGTTGATGCCGCCTGGAGCGCGTTGCCGAAGTGTCCTCCTTGCGCATTGACATCGGCGCCCTTGCCCAGCAGCACCTCGACGATCTTGTCGTGGCCTCCAGCTGATGCCGCCTGGAGAGCGTTGCTGTAGTATCCTCCTTGCGCGTTGACATCGGCGCCCCTGCTCAGCAGCACCTCGACGATCTTGTTGTGTCCTCCAGCTGATGCTGCATGGAGCGCATTGCCGTAGTGTCCTCCTTGCGCATTGATATCAGCGCCATTGCTCAGCAACACCTCGACGATCTCGACGTGCCCTCCAACTGATGCCTCCTGGAGCGTGTTGCCCAAGTATCCTCCTTGCGCGTTGACATCAGCGCCCTTACTCAGCAGCACCTCAACGATCTTAACGTGCCCTCCAACCGATGCCGCCTGGAGGGCATTGGCGAAGTCTCCTCCTTGCGCATTGGCATCAGCGCCCTTGCTTAGCAGCATCTCAACGACCTTGTCGTGGCCTTCACCTGATGCCGCCTGGAGGGCATTCTCGTAGTATCCCCCTTGCGCATTGACATCAGCGCCCTTGCTCAGCAACACCTCAACAATCTTGGCGTGCCCTCCAACTGATGCCGCCTGGAGCGCGTTGCCGAAGTGTCCTCCTTGCGCATTGGCATTAGCGTCCTTGCTTAGCAGCATCTCAACGATCTTGTCGTGGCCTTCACCTGATGCCGCCTGGAGGGCATTCTCGTAGTATCCCCCTTGCGCATTGACATCAGCGCCCTTGCTCAGCAACACCTCAACAATCTTGGCGTGCCCTCCAACTGATGCCGCCTGGAGCGCGTTGCCGAAGTGTCCTCCTTGCGCATTGGCATTAGCGTCCTTGCTTAGCAGCATCTCAACGACCTTGAGGTGCCCTCCAACTGATGCCGCCTGGAGCGCGTTGCCGAAGTGTCCTCCTTGCGCGTTGACATCGTCGCCCGCCTCAACTAATTGGTTAGCGGTGTTTGCTATACCACCAAGTGACGCATAGTACAGTGGGTTAGGGCACGAGTCCAATTCTCTTCTAAAGTTAGGCGTACTCCATGCTTTGTCTGGGTCGTATAGACGAAGCCAGTTCAGATAAGCACCGTCTCTTGTGGAGAGAAACTTCGTGGCTAAATAACTTAGCCGATTGTCGCCCTCTTCTCCGTTACTGGTATGGATGATCCAGTGCTTAGCCGAGTATTGAGCTAGCGTATAGACCTGTTGGAGACATCTAGCAGATTCGAAACTATCAAATAATACCTTTTCAAATTGGAGAAGATAACCAATGGAGCCCTTTGCGATATAACCATGACAGGCATCCGGTTGCATGCTATACCGCGCGGCACGACCCTGACATATGCGCGCGGAGACGAGGTATTCCTGAACGGAGTAATGGGCCAATGTGGCAGTCCGGGATATTGTACTCAAGCGGCGATTCGGTTCACTCAAAGAAGGCTCTTCTATCATAACCACTGAGACAAGACTCAAGCAAATATCTAGAACGTCCATCGGGTCCTCAAGGGCCTCATCCCGATCAAAGGCGGTCTCTCGCTCTACATTGATAGCGACCACCTCAGCGAGCTCTTCTACTAATAGCGGCCTGGATGAAAAGGCCAGCCACTGAAGGATGCGCATAGCATGCTCTGAGTCTGCTTCGCTGATTGTACACAAGATTCTTTCGTACGTCTCATCTAGTGTTGTTGGTAGCGCTTTTAGAGCCTTTTGAAGCGCTAACCGAGTGCGACACTTCCCTAATGTGTCCATCTGGCAGACAGCCCATCGGAACCTTCTGAGTGTCAGTATAGCATATTTGCAGTAAGAGATGAGACACCTACATTCCGCGAGAGCCTTCCATTAGAGTAGTTTCAATCTCCCGCCTAATATCAGCATCTTTTTGCCATTTTTTTAGCCCCTTGTCGTCAGACAATCTCTGGCGAACGTAAGTTTGAATATCCTTGTCTACTACTTGGTGTTCGAGGCAGATGATAAACTCTCTACTGACGATGTCCTCAAGTGAGTTCTCAATATCACGTTCTTTCCGACTTGTAATCACGACACGCATTTCCTCGAGTTGCCAACCGGCCATCTGTTCGAGAATACTCAGCAGCTCAGCTCGGTCTGCGCACTCATCTAAGGCGTCTAGAATCAGATATGACTGGGGGAACTCTTGAAGGATCTGCTGTAGAACATCCATCAGTGCATCGAGGGGAGGTTGTCGATTTCCCTTATCCAAGGATGAGTATAGTGCCTCGAGGGCCGAAGGCATTTTGATGCATTGTTCCGAGAGCTGAGAGATCAGCGACCGTACCATAAGCTGGGGTTTCTGCTTATCGGTATCGGTGAAGTCAAAGTAGAAGTACGCAGCTACTTTACCAGGATCGTTGTCACAGTAAAAGAGGATGTCCTGAGTGATCGTCGAGCTTAGAATAGTTTTGCCGCAGCCAGAGATCCCATAGAGCCAGACAAAGGATGACCCATTGCTCTTCCACTTGGAGTATACTTCACTCTCTAAAAGCCAAAGCCCAGTGGCAGGCTGACGGACTTTGATTGCTTTCCGGTAATTGGTTGACGGATCGGGTGCGGACAGCCACCGACGAATCTTAACTAGTTTTGCGTCTATGACTACCCGTTAGCTATAAGGTTTGCTTTATCCCGCAGATGCACACCTTTCATAGGCTGCAACGTCGAAGACGCAGCGGCGTGGTAGAATGTAAGGGTTACGATTAGACTGGCCACGGTCCGGTCCGGTCCGGTCTTTTAATGTTGAGTGAGGACTGTTTTACGGTCCAGTCTTTTTTTTTAGGACTGGACCGTGAGACAAAAAGACCGGACTGATAACATTCTAGTCTTTTTTTTAGAGTGTAGACTGTTTGCTAAAGTTGAGGTCCCTTTAAAAGACCGGACTGATAATAGTCCAGTCTTTTTTTAGAGTGTGGACTGTTTGCGAAAATTGAGGACTGTTTAAAAGACTAGACCGTTCGGTCTTTCCTAAGAACAGTCCGGTCCAGTCCAGTCTTTTACATTATAAGTGGGGGCCACCACATGTCATCACATGATATGTTATTAGGAATAGCTTTAAGTGCAATCGAATATTAATAACGTTACTATTAAGTGTTACTGTACATGCATTTTGAGGTATAAGTTGAAAATAGTATAACTATAATAGTTCCATTTACACACTGTTAAATAATTACACGTGATTATATTTACACGTGATATTATATTTACAAGTGATATCATATTATTCAATCAAAATCGATCATAGAGTAGTCAATTAGTTATGACTTATATTTGATATGAGTTTAATTAAGCATTAATAGCAGCTACTAACGTTACTATTAATTATTACTATAGTTTGATAAATATTATATGGTTAACGTACATGTATAGTGAAAGCGCCAAACAAGCGAAAGCGCCAAAATGATGCGGTGACCAAACCCCCCAACTAAATGTTAAATTCCTCAACAACAAAACATGCCCCATAAAAACGATGAAAGCCAATTAGTGCTAGCTATCCAGGCTATGCAAAGCGACCCAAAGTTACGCCTTCGAGTTGCTGCTAGGATCTATTCTGTGGACCACCGCAAGCTAGGTCGTCGTCTAGAAGGTGTACCTTCACGACGCGATATCCAAGCCAACTCACGGAAATTAACTAACCTAGAGGAGTCCGTCCTTGTTCAGTATATACTCGACCTAGCTGCCAAAGGGTTTCCTCCTCGGCTGTCTGTTGTTGAAGATATGGCAAGTCGACTACTTGCAACACGCGACGCGTCACGCGTTGGGTCGCGTTGGGCTTCAAACTTTGTTAAGCGGCGTGTAGAGCTCCAGACACGCTTTCAGCGCAAATACGACTACCAGAGGGCTAAGTGCGAAGATCCAGAAGTTATTAATGGCTGGTTTGAGCTTGTGCGTAACACAATTGCGAAATATGGTATCGATGAAGCAGATATCTACAACTTTGATGAGACTGGGTTTATGATGGGCGTTATCTCAACTGCTATGGTTGTAACAAGCTCAGACGGGCGGGCAAAAGCAAAGAAGGTACAGCCTGGTAATCGGGAATGGGTTACAGTAATCCAAGGCGTTAGTTCTCAAGGTTGGGCAGTACCACCATTTATCATTGTTGCAGGCAAAAACCACCTTACATCTTGGTATGAGAATAGTGGATTTTCAAGCGATTGGGTGATTTCTGTTACTGAAAATGGCTGGACTACAAACGAGAGAGGCATGGATTGGATTCAGCACTTTGAGAAGCATACAAAGGCCCGGAGTGTTGGTGGTTATCGCTTGTTAGTCCTTGATGGTCATGAGAGCCACCACTCAGATGAGTTTGAGGAGTACTGCAAGGAACACAACATTATTACGCTTTGTATGCCTGCTCACTCTTCTCATCTACTCCAGCCACTTGATGTTGGCTGTTTCGGCCCGTTAAAGCAGGCCTATGGTCGGCAAATTGAAGATATGATGCAGGCTCATATTTCTCATATTACAAAGGATGACTTCTTTCCTGCCTTCCACACTGCATTTAACACTACAATGATGGAAAGTAACATTCGAGGCGGGTTCCGAGGGGCAGGGCTTCTTCCATTTGACCCTGGAGTAGATGAGAAGAGTGAGCAGGCATACAAAGCGTAATAATGTTGTGTTCCTTGCAGTACTCCTCAAACTCATCTGAGTGGTGGCTCTCATGGAGGCGTTGGTGTCCTTAACTTAAGATCAAGTGTAGATATCACTCTCTCAGGGTCAAATGGAAGAAGCCCTGCCCCTCGGAACCCGCCTCAAATGTTACTTTCCGTCATTGTAGTGTTAAATGCAGTGTGGAAGGCAGGAAAGAAGTCATCCTTTGTAATATGAGAAATATGAGCCTGCATCATATCTTCAATTTGCCGACCATAGGCCTGCTTTAACGGGCCGAAACAGCCAACATCAAGTGGCTGGAGTAGATGAGAAGAGTGAGCAGGCATACAAAGCGTAATAATGTTGTGTTCCTTGCAGTACTCCTCAAACTCATCTGAGTGGTGGCTCTCATGACCATCAAGGACTAACAAGCGATAACCACCAACACTCCGGGCCTTTGTATGCTTCTCAAAGTGCTGAATCCAATCCATGCCTCTCTCGTTTGTAGTCCAGCCATTTTCAGTAACAGAAATCACCCAATCGCTTGAAAATCCACTATTCTCATACCAAGATGTAAGGTGGTTTTTGCCTGCAACAATGATAAATGGTGGTACTGCCCAACCTTGAGAACTAACGCCTTGGATTACTGTAACCCATTCCCGATTACCAGGCTGTACCTTCTTTGCTTTTGCCCGCCCGTCTGAGCTTGTTACAACCATAGCAGTTGAGATAACGCCCATCATAAACCCAGTCTCATCAAAGTTGTAGATATCTGCTTCATCGATACCATATTTCGCAATTGTGTTACGCACAAGCTCAAACCAGCCATTAATAACTTCTGGATCTTCGCACTTAGCCCTCTGGTAGTCGTATTTGCGCTGAAAGCGTGTCTGGAGCTCTACACGCCGCTTAACAAAGTTTGAAGCCCAACGCGACCCAACGCGTGACGCGTCGCGTGTTGCAAGTAGTCGACTTGCCATATCTTCAACAACAGACAGCCGAGGAGGAAACCCTTTGGCAGCTAGGTCAAGTATATACTGAACAAGGACGGACTCCTCTAGGTTAGTTAATTTCCGTGAGTTGGCTTGGATATCGCGTCGTGAAGGTACACCTTCTAGACGACGACCTAGCTTGCGGTGGTCCACAGAATAGATCCTAGCAGCAACTCGAAGGCGTAACTTTGGGTCGCTTTGCATAGCCTGGATAGCTAGCACTAATTGGCTTTCATCGTTTTTATGGGGCATGTTTTGTTGTTGAGGAATTTAACATTTAGTTGGGGGGTTTGGTCACCGCATCATTTTGGCGCTTTCGCTTGTTTGGCGCTTTCGCTATACATGTACGTTAACGTTATTATTTTATATTTTTATATTTAAGTTATAGTATAATGAACTTCAGTTTCATCATAAATTATGTAATTAAGCGTTACTGTATACCGTTACTGTCACGACTGAAATACTAAAGACAGGTTGTGAAATCATCAATTGACTATTTATACAAGAACACACTAATTTATCTAATGCTGCGAGAATTGGCGAACCAGGACACAAGCTGCATATCCTTGTTCTGGATGGTGATACGCTTGGCGTGGATGGCGCACATGTTGGCCCCTTCGCACTATTAGTATAGTTTTTGTAGGTGTTCATAGAGACAGCTTACCTTCGAAGTATGACACAAGGTGGGCCTCAGCGGCCTCTTGGAGGGCACAGATGGCAGTAGACTGGAAGCGGAGGTCTGACATGAAGCTTTGCGCGACTTCACGAACAAGACGCTGGAATGGGAGTTTGGGGAGGATGAGGGCGGCCGACTTCTGGTAGTGTCGGATCTCGGCGACGATCCGTTCTTTCATATAAGTTAGTAGTGTGAACAATATTCTATTAGAAAAGAATAGCATACTGTTGACAGAAGCCTTGCTCAAAGGAGGGACAGGGCGAGGGGCTTGTTGTGGGAAGTTGGAGCCAGGGTGATCCCGCTCCCAGTTCCTTTTCTGGGCATTGTAGCTCCAGATCTTTTCTTGGCGGGCTCGGCGCGCAGTCTTGTGAATATCGACTGTTTGTTGAGTTAGTAACCTTGTATTGCTTGTAGGGTAGGGTGGAATACTTACCGTGGCGCTCAGGCTTTTGCTTGGTGCGAGCCATGGTACAGATGTGAGCGAGAGCGATATCTAAAACATGTTAATTTGCCATATTGTAGCAATTTGGCGTTACTGCTGGGCGTTACTGTAGTTGTAACGCCCAAAGAACAAAAGGGGTGAACTTACAAAGGTTGGTGACAGAAGGAAAAATTGCTAGAACTTGTATATTAGTAAAATAAACACAATACCGTTACTCTACAGCGTTACTGTAGGGTTAAATCAAATGTAAAGAAGATTGAACTTACCAATGTTGCTAGACGCGTTATCTCAGAATTGTTGTAGAAGTTAGGATCGAATTCGAAGTAAGGGCGCTTAAGTGTTGTTGCAAACAAAAAAAACTCCGTTTCTTGTTCCAAATCTGGACGTGTCAATAACAAAGAATAGTACGAGTAAGTTAGCAAAGAAACCACCCTTACATTTGATTACCTCTGATTATTAACTTCCTTTTAGATTTCCAAATTTATTGACTATACCGACCCCGACCAGTAAGTAGTTGCGCCCCTACTTTCAAAAGACGTCCGCCTTGTTAGCACATTGAGTACTCTCACAACAGTATAATCAAAGCCAGTGCTAACAGTAACGCCCTATAGTAACGCTCATCAGCTCCAAATCGCCTCTAACGCAACTTTACCATGTCGTCTCCAGCCACTGCGAAGTCATATGAGGAGAGACGCGCGGAAGTCATTGCAGCTACTGCCCACACCATTGAGCTCGCTCAGAATGCGGACCGACAGGTATAACAATCCTACCATCCTGATATCAATTGTTCTAGAGCTGATAGCAAAGCTAGGCTATGAGCCGTGCACGCCGTACCCGCCAGGGTAAAGATGACTGGGAGGGCCTTACGGCCAATGAACAAGCTGCCGTGTTAGCTACAACGCAGCAGGATATCATGGACAGGCGCACCGCTCGTGGTATTGACGCCAATTCCCGCCTCACAGCCGCTATTAATGATGAGAGTGCGGCTATTGCGGCCATTAATGCAGAGGAGCTGGAGGAGAAGTTGAAGGCCCTACCAAAGGGCGAAGGCAAAGCTGTAAGTAATAGCTAAAACATGACGATACTATCTAACATAATGGTTAGACTGGCAAGACATCGACTAGCGACAGTGGTGAAGAAAATACCTTAAAGGATATCTGGGCCAGCAACATGGTCCCAGTCATTGAGCGCTGGGAGCGCAATATTGCCCTTGCTGGCAACATCCTTATGCCCGAACTCTCAAGGAAGGAGATCGAAGAGTTTGCTGGGGGGGTTAGCAACCCTGATAATATCAAAGAGTTCGTGAAGCAGTGGGAGAATAACAGCAATGCTGATGTTGAAGATGGGCTGGTAGATTTTGATGATGATGGTGAAGAAGTGGAGGTGGTTATATCAGAGGATGAGGAGGACGATGATGAGGACGAGGATAGCCTCAACGGCTTCATTGTCGGGGTTCGTGTAGAGGAGGAGGAGGAGGTGGAGGAGGAGGAGGAGGAAGAAGAGGAGGAGGAGGAGAAGGAGGAGGAGGAGGAGGAGTAAATTCACGTCGTATACTGTACTATAGTATACTAAACCAATGGAGTTTTTGTGGTTACTGAATTCCATTTTGAGATCTTCTGCCGTTACTATCTGCCGTTACTATCTAATAAAACTATTTGTCAGTACTCCGAATAGTGACTACTGTACTCATAGTAACGGCCAGCAGTAACGGAAGAGAGCCCAAAAGCAAAAAGTCAGCATGCTTCTACTCCTCGGCTGAGCCAAGGAACACAGTCCGACCAATTAACAGTCAAACGCCTGTTTTGCAATTCCAATTCATATTACACTAGCTAGGATATACAGACTCTGCATCCAATAAAAATAAGGGCTACTACTCATCATCTCGGTTACACGTAGGCTACAGTAACGGCCAGCAGTAACGGAAGAGAGCCCAAAAGCAAAAAGCCAGCATGCTTCTACTCCTCGGCTGAGCCAAGGAATACAGCCCGGCCAATTAACAATCAAATGTCGGTTATACAGTTTAACTTTATATTATGCTACATAGGAAATATAATCGATCTGTATCTACTTAGGGTTATACACACTGCTCATTATCTTGTTATATGCTGTAGCAACAGCTAATAGTACTAGATATAGCTTCAGACTTTGAAATAAGATAGGGCTAATGTAGCAAATTGTTAAGCCAATGAAACCAAATTGCTGATTTTGTAATTTAAAACTCGTAAGCGTTACTCTCTAGCGTTATGGTAAACCTAATTAGAGCTAGACAAAATTGTTTAACTCCATAATACTATGTTCAACTAACACAAAATAGGAATAGCAAAGAGTAACGGCAATGAGTAACGGCAATGCGTAATGGCAATGCGTAACGGCAAATAGTAACAGCAAAGAGTAACGACAAAGAGTTCAAATATTACCCTATTGCAATGTGGCATTCTTGTATTCTATACTACCATTTGTTCTGTTGCAAAAGACTATGAAGAAATGGCCGTCCTTCCAAAAGGCCTCACTTAACATTCATCATTCGTCTGATTGACCTACACTCCTACTACAGTACATTTTCTCTATCCTCTTAACAACATGTCGAGCCCAAGCCCATTTACAATGATGAATCAGTCACAATTTGAGCATCCGCTTACCTCTGACACTGAGGATATCAACTCGCCTTTCGAGCCAGCACTTATCTTCTCCCAAGATGATGTACTGAGTGGAATTGAAGCTCCTCTTGATGAACTTCTTGAAAAACTACCCAAGTCTCCTAATAATCGATATGTTATATGGAAGGAGGATACCGCTAACGAATGGCATCAATGGTGGACTGCGAAGATTTCAAACAACATCAATCGAGAGATATTCCGACATATGGTTTGGACAAGGTCGAAGACGTCCTTAATATGGACTCAATTCTACCAAGGAGCTGAGGTCCGAACTGGCAATCCTAAGGTACTATGTCAGTTGTGTTGGAGGGCTTTTGCACACCCTAAGCTTCGACAAGGTGGGAGTAGCACATCTACTTTAACCCGACACACCAAATCTGGTGCTTGTAGTAGAAAGGATGGATCGCAAACTCATTTACACTTAGTAAGTTATCTATCCAGTGGTCTAGAGTAACGTTCTAGAGTAACGCTAATGACCTTCTTTAGCTGCCGCGTGCGCATTTGGAAAGGAATACCATACAGCCTTTCACACATACAGCATGGTGAGAGCAGTTGATTATAGCCATAATTTCATCAAGCCTCCCTTTTCGAATAGTGGAGAACAAGGAGGTGCGAAAGGTTCTAAACATGTTGAAACCCGACCTGGAAATTCCACACCGGACAGTTATACGCAAAGAATTAACAATGCAATTTAACAACGTCATGGAGAAGCTACTATTGGATTTACCGCCTATGGCAAAGGTTTCAATTGCCCTTGATGGATGGCAAAGTCCGTTCAAATTAGCGTTCTTAGCAATTACTGTGTATTATATCACTGATGATTGGCAATGGAGAGAGGTGAGCAGATTATAACTTATATAATAATATATTAACTTACTAACATACATCTTATAGTGTCTTATTGGTTTCGAAATGACTGGAGTCCATTCAGGACAAAATATGGCAGCTGTTGTACACAATGTACTGGAACAATTCAATATTACGGGACGACTTTTTTGCGTGACAACTGATAATGCATCAAACAATGGAACAATGCGCAAGGAACTTGAGAGCTACATGAGAAGTACTACACAAGAAGTAGAGTGGAGTAGTGATGCAACAAAAATACCATGCATGGCGCATGTTATACAGCTAGTTGTAAAAGCTATGCTAAAGGCCTTCAATGTCGACATGGCTGAAGAAGTTATAGATGTTACTGGTGTTTCAATTACTGATGATACGACAGTCACATCAGCTATTAGAAAGGTTAGTCCATGATAGTAACGCTTGATAGTAACGCTAACTGACGTCAAATACACAGATACGCACTCTTAGCAATCTTGTGAGCAGGTCTGCAAAGAAAACTGAATTATTGCTCCAGAAGCAATCTGATATAGAAGCAAAGAGACTACTGTGGCTAAAACGGGATATTGATATATGCTGGAATTCTACATATGACATGATAGTCCGAGCGATAAGACTACGCATCCCAATTAAAAGTTGGCTTGAGGAACAGATTATTAAGGAGCCTCATCTTGATCAATTCGCATTATCACCAACCGACTGGAAAAAACTAAAATACTTAGTCGCTCTTCTGCGGCCCTTTGCAGAATTTACTCATCTTATTGGAAACACGAAAGACACTACAATCAACCATACATGGAATGTATACAATACATTATTTGACCATCTTGATGATATTAATCAAAAGCTATATAACAAGGATACAGCATCTAATCCTTGGGTAGACGAGTTTATATAACAAGGATACAGCATCTAATCCTTGGGTAGACGAGTTTACTGCTGCTATTACTGCAGGTGTTGCAAAGTTAAGGCACTATTATACTGAAACTGGTGGTCCTGTTGAACAGACGTATGCTCTTGCTGCAATTCTTGATCCATCTCAGAAACTGGACATTTTTAACGCTCCTGAATGGGACCGTTCCCACTCAAAGAAGTACCGCCAAATATTCTTAGATTACTGGAAGGCTTACTATCAAAAAGATTCGAGGGACCAGCATGAGGCAGTACCGCCTTGCCCCTATACACCAACAAGTCTTAATGCGGTATTTCGGATGAACCGGCAGCTACATAAAGGGTGGCAGAGCCCATCAAGTACCAGCTATAATGAAGCTGAGCGTTATTTAAATGCGCCAGTGGTTAGTGCTGATGCAGATACTCCAGTGCTCCTAGTGTGGAAGACCTTAGAGCTCTCTTACCCTTCAGTTGCGAAGATGGCAAGGGATATCCTTGCAGTACCAGGTAAGCTCCTACAGTAACGGTTAAGAGTAACGCAAATATCTTACAAATCGCTTTAAACAGCTACTGGTACTGGAGTTGAGCGCATATTTAATATTGCCCGCGATATCCATGAATACCACAGGGCACAAATGAGTACGGCTACAGTTCGAGAGTCGATGATTGTTAAACACTATCATAGGTATAAGTGGGAACTTGATAATCATTGGGATAATATAGACCATGTATTTGGCGCTCCTGACCCAGACTCTATAATTGAGGACTCTGATCGACAAGTTGCTATGACGATGGTAATATCATCTGACGAGGAGGATGCTGAACAAGACCTACCAGACCCATCAACGCCACATAGAGCTACACAAGGTCGCAATGGAAGATTGGAAACTCAGAGGAAGCGAAATTTTGGGGTTCTAAATAAGGACCTTCAGAATGATGAAGCCTCCATTGATACTCCTCGACATTCGCAACGACTTAGAAGGTAGAGGAGGGTACTATTCAGATGTGGGTTAGAGTAACGGCTCACAGTAACGGAATATATCACTAATTAGCCTTATATAGCATTTGGAACCAGCTTGAACAATATATTATGTTAACTACTGCGATAGATACCAACCTTTGCGCTAGGTGGTAGGAAGGCTGGCCTCCCAAAGTCGACACAAACCTGTGTGCGATGGCGGTGGTGGTGATGGTAGGGAAGCCACTGTAAGCTGATGCATTCTGAGACATACGGCACTTATAACTCTAATGTAATTACCATAATTTATTATCTATATGATAAATTTATCCTAATTTCTATCAATATACCGTTACTATATACCATTACTCTTGGTCACAGGACTAACATCGTGATCTACAAGCTAAATATACTAAACTTCAGTTCGGGCTTTTTAAAAAAAAGCTCGGATGGTAAAAAAGCCTAGACCGAACCACGGTCTGGTCTTAACCCTAGAGACTGGACCGAAGTTCAGTCCGGGCTTTGAAAAAAAGGAGGACCGAACCACGGTCCGGTCTTAACCCTAGAGACTGGACCGAAGTTCAGTCTGGGCTTTGAAAAAAAGGAGGACCGAACCTTAAAAAAAGGAGGACCGAACCACGGTCCGGTCTTAAATTTAAGGACTGGAACACTCATATAAGCGGTCCGGTCCAGTCCAGTCTGGTCTTTACGGTCCGGGCCGGCCAGTCTAGTTACGATATAACCACAGAGAGTCTTCGTAATGCTTTCAACTTTGCTGTCCTGCGTTATGCTCCATAGCGCTTTTGTAGTCTTCTTAAGGCGAGAGTCACCTGCCACTGGTAAGGTTTCGGCAAGGAGACCATCGAGCGCTTCAATTTGAATCTTGCAACCTTGAACGGCTGGCAGCAGCGCAGCCTTCGTTGACTCTTCGATAGCACCATGGTCAATTTTGTCTTTGGTTTGTTTGAGCGTCTCTTGCAGCACTGGCAGCTCGGCTTTGATGTGTCGAAAGGCCTTTGGAATCTCCCCAAGGTTGGATTGGAAGTCGTCGAGACGCGCTAAGACTTTCGTGCTAAAGTCGACGAGCTGGACGATGCTGGCGATAATGCCGACTACTGTGAGAGGGTCAGCCATGAGAAATGGCTTGCCTATGAGCCAGCATTATTAATGTAACCTGGCTGGTACAACGTAAGGTTGAATGCCGGAGTCTCGCGGCGCTTGCCAACAATAGACGATACCCGGTTGGTTGCGAACGCCGCAACCCAAGAACACCAGAAATAGACTTGCTGACAAAGGAATACAGGGGAAAAGAACACAGCTTAAGGGTTTGATCATGTGTTAACTATGGCAAAATTGAATCAGCTGCACCATAAAGACCTAGGATGAGTCACTCATGGAGCGCCTAAGCATACAAATGCGGATATGCAGGTAGTTATCACATACGACCATAGACTCAAGAGAACTGGGCATCCCGTCCGCTCTGCCATACATAACCTTGGGATCGGTAGATTAGTAGTTGGGTGGGTGACCACCAGCGAATACCCACTGTTGTATGTTTTTTGTCTTTTGACTTTTTATATAACATTATGTAAGGTCCTTTGTTCTTCTGTCTGCGCTTCATCTATTGCATGTCCCAGCAAACACTCGGTGGACATCAGGTGAGGGGTAATCGGTACCATCTGTGTGGAATAATCGGGACCACCCGATGGACCGTCTGGTTAAGGCGATGGTCGCAAGTAGCGCCATATGATAATGGCGTCATAAACTAATGAAGGCTCTCATCCTTTAGCCTTCATACCGGGCGGGCAACACCCACTGAATGAACCCATCACCACCCACTTCAGACGCATGCACTACACGGCTTTTGAATTAGACAAGAATAACAACGTTATTGCAACTCAGCACTTGGTTAAACAGAGATAAGTGATGTCCTAGAGGCGAGGCGGCTTAGAGGCTCAAGTTGGTGAAAGCGATGATGGTGAAAGCAGATATTTGAGTGGTTGGTGCTCGTGCAACACCGACATCCTCAGCTGAACAGGGTTCGGGTAAATAGAATTCGTGAGGATCGACTTATAGTGCAATATCAGAGGAGTAATCATCACATGCTGCCGTAGACTCAAAGAGAATTGGGCATCTTTGTGAATTCGGTCAACGGAACTTTATACAGAGGCTGAATCGCGTGAGTGGTTCTAGGGCAAACGCCTTTATGAGGGCGCCAAATGGCACGTTTTAAAACCTGTCAACCGCTTCGCGCTTTTTCGTTGCTCTGAGGTATGGCCGGCTGAACATTTATGAGATATTTCGTAACGGCGCGAGCCGCCGTCGGGCGTGATCACGTGCTTCTTTTAGCCCACGTGCTGTATGGACTTTCAATGTCCCTGGTGCAATATAAGTCATTAAGTAAAACTAATATATATCGCCAAAGCGAACTCATCTCTTATGTATGCAAGTGCTTGCTAGCCCTAAGATACAATGCAATGATTCCCTCCATCACCTTGCCTCAAACTCTTTAATTCATTCAGAGTGTATTGTATCTCTCTTCTCCCAGGAATTCTCACCCGTTGGACGGCCCTTCCATTTAACAAAATATTCAATTTTCCCTCTCCGTTCTCGCTTCTTGAGTAATTCCACACCAAAGTTACCTTGATAGCTCGCCTCAAAGTCATTGATGAGATCTGTACTGATGTCGTCCTGTTTCTGCCACGTATTATCCTCATCCCGGAAGCCTGCCCACTTCACGAGGTACCAAATCACGCTGCCTACTTTTGACTTGGCAAGAAGCGCTTCAACCTCCCACCTCCCTTCTGTAGCGTGGATGGCAACTAGATTGCTTTCTACTCCTTGGCTGCTACAAAGCTGTTGAACTTCCGTGCGTTCTATGTTTCCTGGTGTAGTTGACACTATGCTTCCGTGAGCATCCTCGATCGAGTCGGCAGTCGCTGGTAGAGTTGATGTGGAAGGAGGAAGAGCATCTTGAAGCTGTGGATCAAGCAAGTCCATCGAAAACCTGGATGGATATCTTTTTCCGCTTTCTTTAGCTGAGTTTGTTATCTTGCGTTTCTTGCACTTAGACGTCTGCGAGCTGTTCTTCAGCTTTGTGCAGTAGTGCACTTGCAACGTCCCTTTGGTCCTTTCCGGGAAGTACTCTGCTATTTCGTCCCATGGCAATTTGTCTTTCTCTTTCAGCTGTATCAACAGTTTGTTGTCATCTTTTGAATATGTCGAATGCCTCCCAGGTCTGCTCACGACTCGTTCTCGCAAATGCGGCCGCTCCCTGTCTCTATCGCCACTAGAGGCACTGCTGATGACATCTTGTGCCTGCTCTATGTCGAGAGGAAATGGTAACTCCTGGTAAAATTTAAGGCAATACACTATTCCCGACTGGAATGTTTGTAGTGTAAGGGAACCCCGGATTGGTATCTCGTGACTCTCTAGCGGGGAATCAGACGACGTCGCTCCTGTCTTTGGAGTTGAGACCTCAGAGGAATTGGCCGTAGCAAAAAAAGCCTCTTTCACATTGCTGGGGCTCATGTGTCCAGAGCTCTCCGTGCTTTTTGCCCGCCTCGGCCGTTTTAGTCTCCGCTCCTGTATCTCAGAGCCAGCGGTGTCGCTATCATTTACGTGATCTCCACCATTAATAAATTGACTCTTTGGAGGGATATCGAAAGAGACCGCTGTTCCTCCCTGGCTTAAGACATCCCAGGAATCGGTCGAAAAAGTAACGTCTTTCACATTGGTGAAGTTTGTTTGTGCAGAGCTATCCGTGCTCTTTGCCCTCCTCCGCCGTTTTAAACGCTGTGGGTGCTCTATATCAGAATCGGAGCCATCATTGCTATGGTCTTCGCCATCAGTACCATCTGTGCTTCCATCTCGATCATCGCTGCGCTTCACCCCAGGGCTTAGTTCAATCGTGTCGATATGGTCGTTCTCTGCGGAAATATAATCATTGCTATCCCTTGTTGATTTTGGTTGATATATATCCATCTTGTCTTCGTTCGTTGGGATCCCTTCGGTCACAGATATAGCACTGGTTTCTTGAACACTACCCAAACCGGATAGACCCTCTGTCTCAAGCTTGCTCATGTTTTGAGAGGCAAGCAACAGCACGTCATTCACCTTTGTCGTAGTTGTCTGTATCGCCACATCACTTAGTGCAGCTTGAGAACCGGAGAGATCTACTAGGATCTCCCTCTCAGCATCGTCCAGCACTCCACTGTGGCCCACATCACTGTCCAGGAGGATAGGCTCATCTGAAAGACATGAGCAACGCGCTTTGCAATTACTGGAGGCTTCCGGTACTCACCCTGGCTTGTACCCCATTTCAGTTTATCCGAACCTGTCCCGTCTCCGCGGACGCTGCTAAGGCTGCCATTTATATCTGGTAATAGGAGTTCTTCGATGGAAGGAAACTCCGTCTCTGCATCGCTGACGTCTGCATCTCCACTGTATCGAATTGACTGCATGGTTTCTGCATTTGGTCAGCTGTTGCCGTCATAAAGAAATACGGACACATACCTCCTGTTCCTGGTAGAGATTGGCGTTGGCGTTGATTAAGAGGCAGTTCTGCGTGGTCCGAACTGGATGACATGTGCATCTGGGCTGCGTCATGTGTAATTGTCCTCTTGATCCCTTCAAAATTGGCACTGGCTGTAGACGGTTGAGAGTGAGTCGAACCAACACCTTGTTGTGGATGCGAAGGTGGCCAAAATGTCGAAGGCGGTATAACCACAGGACGTGGTGGTTGATAAAATTGTTGGCTGTCCCACTGAATAGAAGTCATCTTGAACTTTGATATTGGACGAGACCTATGAACTCGCTATCTGCTGAGGGACACCCGTCCTATATATACTCGTGAGCTACGGCTAGCGCCTGTAATCCGGCCTACAGAACACCCGTGGCAGTCGCCCAACCGCTTCGCTCACTTTTGGCATTACGTATGAGGTTGCTAGATGGCGTAATCATCCCATGTGTGCCAATCTTCCGGATCGATAGCTGTGAAAGCCGCGTCCTGAATCAAATCAGTGGGAACTCTGGCGAAAATGACACCAGGCTCGGTGATCTTTCCGTAGAGGCTGAGCTTTGCTGCCCCAAAGTGGCACTGTTCTGGCTACAAAGAAGATCGGCGACTCCGAGACTAGGCCTGTATCAGAGCGTTCCGCTATATCCCTTTGCTGCGCAGGCAGGCGAAGGAAGTGATTGACGAAAGACTGGATCGGCCTTGGGAACCAAACTAGGGGCGCTAAACCCTTCAGGCTGACCATAGCCTGGTATATCGTGAGATTCGACGCTTAGTTTCAGAGAGAGTCATACGAACTCTCTGCGACTAGGCGTAGATTTCTAGAACCTTCTAACCTATTTGTTAGGGAGGAATCCTTTAGGGCAGAGAATCATACACGAAAATGGGTGTGTTTCTCCAGTAGCCGTTGATATCTCTTACGTTAGAGATGAGCATTTTATAATAACTCGTTACCTACAAGGTATATGCAGCATGCGTTGTAGGTGCTAAAGCAGCATTTGATGACTGCTTAATTTGGCTTGTACTTTGATGAAAACTGAATTCTTCATACGCAGTCTGGGCTTGTAACTTGTCAGCTAGTAATTGCTCTGTTGCTGTAATAAGATCCTCTCTATCTTCAAAATCCTCGTTCTCAGTGAGTGTATCCATCTTAAAGCTTTAAGAGTAGGTAAAAGGAAAGGTACGAGGGAAGGTGCTCTATATTATATAATCTGTGTAGAACCTCATTAGATTCCTCGCTAAGGATGAGGAATAACCCTAACTATATAGAGGCATTATTATTAAATAACATCATAAAATAATTTAGCTACAACTATAATAAAAATGTCGCTCCCATCGAGAGAAAAGAAGATGTCTTCAAATACTCATCTACAACGAGAAATTGACACAGGCCATACATCAATTGAATCATTTATTCCACCTAAAAATATAATTGATTCTGATACAATTACTGAGAAAAACCGACTTTTAAGCTGGGCCAATGCCTTTAACCTAGCTAAATATGAAGCTGAAAGGTATATATATTTACTTATATATAGGTGCTAAAGGTATAATAGTAAGAAATAAGTCGGTCCTATCAAGGAATCCTATAAACTTGTCATTCCAAATGAGTCAAAAAGGAAAAGGGACAACGCAGACAAAGAAGCCGAAAGGGTCGTTGACAACGAGGAAAACCAGAGAGTATTGTCGTCGCCTACTATAGTTCAGTGACCTCAGCTACTCTACTTACCACCAACCCCATCAAAAAGGGTCGCTACCAAAACGACAAAGAGGGTTATATACAGCTTGATTTCCTTAACAAAGGAGAACTTGTTCTTATTTCCTTAATTTCTATCCCACCATCAAAAACATATCAGGCATACAAGGAATTACCACAACTTATCCTCGACTGGGACGAGGGAAAAACCCTCGTTATTAACGACCAAAGTATACCACTTAAGTATTGGAAGATACTACATAAAGACAGCCTTCCAACTTACTGGAAGGTAATTAAGAATAACTGGTTTCAATGGAGGGTAAGCTACGATAATACACCTTATTACCTCGATACTAACAACTATTTTAGTTTATTTATTACTCATTTGTTGCCTGCCAGAGGGACTGGGAGGTATTTTGGAAGAAGTATGGCGAATTCTCGTCTATAACGAGGCTCTATAGTACCCTCCAGGGGGAGCGTATAGCAGCTGATAAAGCAGATGCAGACTTAGCAAGGAAAGAGGTTAATTTTATAGCTACTTATATGCATCGTGGGGCACGAGGGAAAAGAGCAGTACTTATGAAGAAGGACATTGATATTGCTCGTTTATGGCGAGAAAACAATAATAGAAGTGTACAGTGGTGGCATACCTTCTAGTATATAGTAGACTATAGGCTATATAGAGCAATTTACTTCCAAAAAATGATGTTTATATAGGCTATATATCAAAATTCTCGTTGGAAACGAGGAATCACCTGCGCATGCGCAGGTGATTTTTTACTAGTTTCCCGAATTCACAGGTGAAAAAATACGATGCGCAATGCGCAAGTGATTTCTGCAAAACTCAAAATTTCCCTCGCCTACGGCGACCCCATTTTATTTTAAAAAAAGTTAACGACGTAGGCGTAGTGCACATATATTACTATATAAGATGTTAATTTACGAGAAAGCTCGTCGTTACCCTATACTATATCTCCAAAACTCGGTGGGAACGAGCCTTCTGAGGCCTCGCGAGCGTGTTGATGGGGTGGCTACAGGGGGGTTGGGGCCGGCCCACTTGGTGGCACCTTGGCAGCCAAACCCAAAGGGGTGCGCATCGTATTTTTTCCGACAATAATCCCCCATTCAAGTGTTGTCAAAATTACATCGCTATAACAGGGGTCCTACTGTAGGCAACTACAGTAAAAATATGATAAGTTGATGCCTCGGATCCACAAAAATATATCGACTTAATGCATATATCGAGTATACTATGCGACGGCAAGCGGGGCGCGGTTTTCAGCGTCCTGGCTCGCTTCGGTTTAGCGCCTCTACTTCGGGTTTGGCGGTGTCTCGTTCTAGTTTGGCGTGCGTGGTTTAGGCATTACTGCCTGCCGATCTACACCACGCCGCTTTTCCTCAACCTCAGAAGTATAAGTAGACGCTGCCCCTCGCTCCTCTATCCGCACTCTCCCTCGTTCCTTTCCATCACACACTTTCGGCTCTGGCCCACACCTTCTCGGCTGCACTGCCCCCTTCTCTCCTACCAATTTCGCAGCATGTATCCAGATCTGTCGAATGCTCCGGCTCTAACTCGCCTTCGACCTCCTCAAAGTCGTCATGCGCCTATCATTCTGTCGTCTCAGCCTTTTACAAGTTGCAAGGCAGTCAGCTAGGCTGAACTTGGCCGGTTCTCGGCGATAGGGCGACGACAACGCGCTGGCGGTCTGTCCAGAGCAATTTCCCCCGTCTGTTCCCACTCGAATTCCAACACCTACATCGGACGTCGTCGCCCAAATTTAGTCGGAGGCTATACTGCTGAGCGTTGCGATATCCAGGATCCCCCTGACAGGCATTTTTCGACCACCAACAATGTCTTGTCTCTGGTAACCAATATCGGGTCGCGACATTATGGATTCTGGTGGACCTCACTGAAGTGTCGGCATCATCGCGGTTGGATTAGGGCGGATGGAACACATGACAAGGAATGATTCTTGCTCATGCTTGTGGGAATGTGCCTTGGCCAATGGCAAAAACACCTCACGACGGCGGCAACAATAATGACGGGTTAGGCAAGGTTGCTGTGACACCTTGATTGCGTTGCATCCATGAAGCGGGGGGATTATATGGGCTGATTGGGGTCGGATGCAGGAATCGGGAGAAGGAGTTAAGGCATGTTACACGCTAAGATCGAAAAACGTCGCCGTCGAATTCGTTTCTTCGCTTTTGAGCCACTCGAGGCTTCAGCATACTCGTCGATGAAGGCTCAGAATGCAAGGAACAGTCTATTTGGAAATTCCGGGTATTGAAGACATCGATGAGGTTAAATCGTTCGCACGATCAATGTTACAGCGTGGCTCCGTTGATTTTGAGAGCCTCACGGAAAGTCTTGACTGATCATTTTGAGGCAGGAGAGGATGCGATTCCCGGCATCACTGATGTAGCAGAATCTGTCCTACGGGAACTAATATCGGAGCAAGCACAGTGGCCAGAGGATGAGATGACAAAAATGAAAATGCTTCAATCAGCGTTTGAAGTACTGGAACAGAAGGGTGTGATCTCAAGGGCGATGCTGCAGCAGATGTGGGAATGGCGAAATTCGTGGCGATGCTTCGTCTCATCATGTCGGCTACTGCTATTTCCATGAGCAGGACCTTGACGGGTGTATCGAAGACGGCGGCCTAGTTCTTCGACATTGTGTCATTGGTGACAATTTTGCTGATTTGGAGAAGAGGGCGGAAAATGCCCGTATAATTACCGAGACAATGGAAGATGTGGGGTTGGCAACGGAGTGGAATGAAGATCCTGAAAGAGTAATCCATCTCCCTGGGTTTAATTGGCGAGTTCGCCTACACGATAGCACCCACGATGGTAATGAAAGTGAAGGAGAAGAGAGTCTGTCTCTAGATGTCTCTAGATGCCTATGTTTGATGAGACGATTACAATTTGAATCTATATGGGCTGTAACTTACCGTGGATTCTAAGCGAACGCTACTTTTAGTACAGAAATATTATGAAGGCAAGAACGTCTCATGTCTGTAGAACTAAGATATACACGTACCTGCGCAGTCTCCTCTTTCCTTCAGGACCTAACAGTCTCTCGACCAGCACCTCGACTCCCCAGCTTACGTTTTCGAATGCGAGGAGTGCGGCCGGACCTTCAGTCCTTCGCAGGCGACGGGTTAGCACTACCAACCACCTTGTCCGCTTTCTTTTTGTCCTCCAACAGATCAACACTAGACTCCCTGCTCAAATGGCTACTATCCTTAACCGGACTTGCACTCTGTGAACCACCAGCGGTTCCCGGATTAACGTTGCTATTGCCACTACCGCCCTGGCTTGCGATGCCTACGCTAGGGGAAGAGAGATGTGGTATGTTCTTTGGGAGAGGATGCTGAGAGCCAACGCTTTCGGTGTCGACCGAACTAGCTTTTCCGGCTTTGGAGAGAGCGTAGTCACCAGAGTCGAAGTATTTGTGCTCCGTGAGGTGGCCGAATTCGGAGGGGAGCTTGCCGTAGAGGCGAAAGAGTCGTTGCTCGTTGAGGGAGAGAGACTCCGTGTAAAGTTCAGTAAAAATATAAAAGCCGACAGGTGCAAAAAACGTGCTGGGTCACAAACTACTTACGCTGATATTGATTTTGTTCTTTTGATGGAAGTCCATATTGAAGCTTGCAAAAAGATTCGTCCTCTCTCTTTTAAATTTTGACATATGAGATGAATGAACTACGTTGGGGTCCCGTTCTGCCTAACAATATATGAGCTCAAGATTGTATGTATACGTCATAATACGGATATTGCCGTTAATGTGGTAACATCTGACAACAGTTGTCACTCCTCCAGAATTTCAAAGCTTTTAAAGGTGATCAAAGTATCGTGTGTAAGTACCTAGATTAAGTTATGCAAACTCTTTCGGCGACGACCCACTAATACAATGATAGTCTTTCAAGATACCTCAACGTCGGCGGTGGAGAGCTGTCAAAGGCCATTGCGAGGCTAATTACCAAGTGCAAGCTTAGATGGATTCAATGCTGATGTATGTAAAAGGTGCTCGACGACTCGCCCCCGTATTCCAGTAACTCATATGCTAACGCCCTCATCTCCGCTAAGTCTTCCAGGAGCTCCTCAATCTACTGTACCGCCACCGCACCACCGAATGTAAGAAGGGCGAGGAGGTCTTTGATAAGGACGACGCCCGCGCCATGACCCCGCGGCGGAACAGCGACGAGCTGGAGAAGATGAGCCAGGAGGCCAGAGTACAGTTATCACAGTCAGTCCGACCCTCGATTGCCTCCCCGTTTCCGGTCCACACCGGTCAAGCTCAGCACAGAGCGACAGACATTTTTCGTTAACCCGTTTTGTCCTCTTCCCACAGACACGCAAAACTGCTCAACGAGTCCCTGCTGGAGATCTTTAACTGCATCGAGGCAATCAAGGAGGAGCACGACAAGCTGGACGGCAATAATAAGTTCCTGCAGAGGTACATTAGCGATCTTATGTCCACACCTAAGATCGCGGCCACCGGCTCCGGCAGCAGGAAGAAGTAATATAACGGATCTTCCATTCTGTCGACTGGCGATGACCGGACCCTCCGTTTATGGAATGTTTCCGGATCAGTAGCAGAAAATAAATTGACATTGTTCGGCCACGGGAACTTTATCGAGTGCTGCGTATTTGCGCCACCATCCTATATCAATACCTAGCAACTCTAGCTGGATTGCAAAAATCGCCGCCTCTAACTAGCACATCAGAGTTTATGGCCACGGGTTCGCGAGATAAGACCATCAAGCTGTGGGATACACGGGGCAGTTGTTTCAAGACACTGATCGGCCATGACAACTGGGTGCGGTCTCTTGTTTCCCACCCTGGTGGCAAATATCTCATCTCTGTTGCAGACGACAAGGCACTACGATGCTGGGACCTTAGCCAAGATGGAAAGTGCGTCAAGGAGCTATCGAGTCTGCATGATCACTTCTTCTCTTGTCTGGCATGGGCTCCGTCAATTGTGAAGGATAAGGATAAACCTCCAGCCAACGGCGAGGCGGGAGGAAGCGCACAAGATGTGCAGATTCGCTGTGTCATTGCCACTGGAAGCGTGAACATGGCACTGAAAATATTTGCCAGATAGTTGTGCAAGAACAGGCTGCATCGTTGCACCAATAGGGGCTGGAGCCGCGACAATGATGGGCAGGCTTCCTTTGAAACGGTCATCCGCACATCCAGTTGTTACAAGCCCCGACGATAGATGATGGGTGGGCTCCAGCTCAAGCGCCTCGGATGATAGATGATGAGCTGTATACTAAGCTGCTTAAGTGATAGATGAGAAGCGTTAGAAGACATAATTCGCCTAAATATAAATTCGGTGTTTTCATGAATAATATCAGTAGTGGCATTGGCCCATTTCATTCACAAGACAACGATCCATTGTAATTATGAACAGCTATAAAATAGACCATGTACGAACTCCGCCAGGTGAAGAAAACATCCGCCACTATACCACATGATATCCGCCCCCTTCCGGCCACTAGTCCTCTATTAAATCAATAACCCCATCCCTCCCACATCCGCGTCACGGGTCCAATATCCCGACGCACCCCTTTCATCAGTCCATCGCTACACTATACACCCTCCCCCCGGATCCTCCAAACCCATCTATTTCTCGGGCCTGTTCGCACGACGGCGGAGCATCCACTTGTGGATGCACAACCAGATGACGCCAAGCGCGACAACGCCAACGATACAGAACACGACCACGACACCAGCCTCCTTCTTGGCCCAGTTCTCGCGCTTGGAGAGCTGCATGGCGACGTCGCGCGCGTCGAGGGTGTGGATGGTAGGCATCTTTGCGGAATTGACGATGAAGCGCGATGCGGACGTAGGCTTTCTGCAGTGGGATGTTAGTTGTGAGTGAATAAGGCGCGAGGAGGCTCTGGATCGAATCGTATGTATCGGCGAGGACGAGGAATGGGCGACGCGACGGAACGACGGGATGACGAGGAGTAAACAAGAGCGTGCTGATGCACAGAGCGTTGGCTCCAGGCTCGCTGGCTGTCTGGGGAGCTTGTAAAGCACGAGCGTCGCGGATTGTGGGGGAGACGGTCGTAGGGATAACTCGGCAGTTCGTGATGCGATGTTTTGGCGTGGACAAGCTTGGGTTCATCGGTCTTGGCGACGCAATCGACTGATGCTGGTGGAGAAGCAGACAGAGAGGAAGGGAATACTCACAGAATGATATAAACGGCGATATTGTCAACAACAGCTATCAACTGTTGATGAGTTGCATGAGTTGATTATGAGGTTGTTTTGGTGATGGAGATGCGGGCTGTTTGGGTGGTGAATTGACGACTGGAGGTCCTTTCCTTGGAATGTTGGAATGGGGAGAGGAGAAGAGAGAGCTAAGCTACAAACTGCACAATCAGGTGTACATGGGTACGTTGGTTTAAGTGGGGTTTGGGGCAACTCCCGCGGGCAGTGGGTAGACACTGACAGGTGGCTGGATGACGTGAGGTGTGATTGGCTGAACGGCTTAGTTCTAGACCCGCTCTAAATCTTTATCCTTTTCATGATTGGATGTCTGCTTACACTAAAGTTGAGTTTGCCCCACGTAGCAACAAGAGTGACGAAATGCATTTGTCGCTTAATCTCTAGTGTCAGTCAGATTAGATAAGAGGCTAACTATATAAGCTGTAAGGCTGCAACCTCACATGATGGATAACATTGGATATCATGGATATTATGTTATCCATGTTATCCACGGATATCCCTTTGGCACGACGCCACTATATAAGTAGATAGTATTTCCTTAGATAGGAGCTTCGTGCTCAACTCAATATAGTATTCTTTACAATACTGTAATGTGTTACTTGGAAAGCCTTTGTGTCTAATCCCCTGCCTCCTCTGTCAAGTCAACCTTACGCAAGAAACCTCTGTGTCTTCTATCGTTTAGAAGTCAGTGTTACATTACACTGCTGATTCGTTGTAAAAGTATAATACTCATTAAGCTTTTGAAGTGCAGCTCCGCATGCTAGTCCAATTGCAGAGCTTTTACCAAGATCTTCTTGTATCGATATAACTTTATTTATCATCTTTAAGTAAAGAGGGATAGTAAAGTTAAGGATTGGATATGAATCGCTTTGTAACCATCTCGATGGCTTTAAGAATACCAGAAACAATCGTTCAAGAGCTTCAATAATAGCCCAATCACTTATAGTTAACGCAATATCTTTCATACTAGGATCAAGCTTTTGTGTAGTACACACTGCAGTAATCGGTATTCGAAGCTTTAAAGCAGTTTTGTAATGGTGGGTGCACCAGATGTGAGAATCTAGCCACCCAAGGAAGGGATGATTTTACTAAGACAACACACTGTCTTAGAAAAAGAGCCAAAGGGTCGTAGCTTAGACTATTCCACAACGCAGCAATCAGGTGTATGATATAGTGGAGTGGTTTAGACAAGTTGTAACAAATGTTGAGTCTGAGAACTCAGGGATAAGTCAGAGGTTAGCACCTCACTGACTTTTCAGAAACAAGGAGTAACAAGATCAATGCTTGGAAGCTTGGAAAAGACATGGAAGTATGTGATAGTCGATTTACTGTATTGTCTGCTTGCCCTTTCTTAAGGAACGGGCAGTCCTATTTATGCTAAAGGAGTGTAGTTCTCTCATTTTCCAAGACTTTCCATGACTAACCAGGCTTGGTAACTGTAGTCGACATAAGAGAATCCCATAGAACCATCTCTTAGGTTCCTAGCCTATAGGAAGTGAAAGGAGGTCCAAGGTCAGAGTACCCATATAGACAGATTATGTCATAACTTAACCAATCTTGTAGGTAACTAAGGAGCGATGACATGTAATGAATCATAGATGGTTGTAGAAGCTTTTGGAAGCTATCGTTCATGTTCCTAGGCCTCTAGTTGATAGAGATATGTCATGTGTAGTATTAGCCCAGTAACTAAGGAGTGATGTCATGTAATGAATCATAGAGGGTTGTAGAGATATGCTATGTGGTCATATCGGCGCAGTAACTAAGGAGCAATGATGTGTAATGAATCATAGAGGGTTGTAGCAATCGTTGAGTAGTATTGCTCTTGTTGTTGGTGTGACAAGCCAAAATATGTATAGTGACTTGTAGGTTTGAGGAGGAGATTTCTAAGTTTGCTCTTGAGTTTGATAGCAAACTGAGTGCAACGAATGTCAGTATGACAACTAACCAGGCTTGGTAACTGTATTAGAAATTAAGTGCGACCCACAACTAGCTTGCTAATTATGTAGTGAACGTAAGAGAATCCCATAGAACCATCTCTTGGGTTCCTAGCCTATAGGAAGTGAAAGGAGGTCCAAGGTCAGAGTACCCCTATAGACAAATTATGTCATAACTTAACCAATCTTGTGGGTAACTAAGGAGTGATGATGTGTAATAAATCATAGAGGGTTGTAAAAGCTTCTAGAGCTATCATTTATGTTCCTAGGCCTCTAGTTGGTAGAGATATGCCATGTGGTAGTAAGGCCCACCCCCTTAAGGAAGAGGTTTACTTAATAACTTGTTCAATGAGTGTCTAAATGATATGCCGTGATATATGTAGCATAAACAGATGTAGTAGAAGAGGTTGCAGCAATCGTTGAGTAGTATTGCTCTTGTTGTTGGTGTGATAAGCCAAGATATGTATGGTAACTTGTAGGTTTGAGGAGCAGATTTCTAAGTTTGCTGTTGAGTTTGATAGCAAACTGAGTGCAACGAATGTCAGTATGACATGATCCCCCTCTTAAGGACATTTGTTGGCTGTCTGCTTGCCCTTTAGCCAGGTGGCTTTCTTAGAAAGAAATTCTAGAATCAGCTTAGTGTTACGATTACATCTCACAGCTTGTCACAGCTTGTTACGATTACAGCTCACAGCTTATCACAGCTTGTTACGGTTGTTACTGTTGTTACAGTTATTATTGTTATTCCAGTTGTTATGGGGATTACGGGTGTAATCGTCGTAACCAACTTTTCGCTTCGCTCAAGGTTGGAGTAAGCAATGTGAACGCGCCCGAAGCGAGGCGAAGCAATGTGCACTCCGTCGCAACTTGAGCCGATATGCAACTTGCCCAATTCGCTCTAGAATTTCAAAAGGTCCCACTTGCTTGTGGTCTAGCTTCTTTGATGGCCTCTGTGTCTTTATATTTCGAGTTGAAAGCCATACTCTGTCTCCCACTTGATAGCGTGGTGCAGGTTTCCTTTTCTTGTTCGCGAAATGTTCCATTTTTGCTTGCGAGAGCATGATTTCATCCTGCAGAAACTCCCAAACCTTTGCCATGGTCTGAGCTATGTTCTTGTGCTCTTGTTTGGCTTCGTGATATGCTTGCTGCTCTGTATCGAAGCTCATTCTTGGTTCATAGCCCTTGTTCGCAAAAAACGCACTTGTCTTGGTTGCATCTGATGGCAAACTGTTGGCAGCAAACTCCGCCATGCACAAGTATGAAACCCAATTGTCTTAAAGATAGTTCACATGAGCTCGCAAGTAGAGTTCGAGCTTTGCATTGAATCGCTCAGTCTGTCCATCTGTTTCTGGGTGGAAGGCAGTTGAAAGTTTGGCTGAAATTTTCCAAATTTTGCAGAGCAAACTCCAGACTTCTGCAATGAACTGAGGACCTCTGTCTGATATTATCGAGTTTGGTAGACCATGGTGCTTCCATACATGTCGAAGTAAGAGCTGTGCTGTAGCTTCTGCAGTAGTCCCTTCTTGCCCAGCGAAACACGGAATGAAATGTCTTTCTTTCGTCAACCTGCATGCAACAACCAAGATAGCATTGTGCCCTTCACAGAGTGGTAATCCTGTCACGAAATCCATTGATATATCCATCCATGGTCGACTGTCAATAGGGATTGGTTGTAGAAGTCCATTGTAGGAATCTCGAGATGGTTTCGATCTTTGACAACTATGGTGTAAGGACACAGGGAATACGGCTCTCCGTAGGTGCATATGGGAGTGCGAGTCGGAGGTGATGCTGTATTCTATCCTATAGGTCTACTACGAAGGATACAAAAAAGATGAAGGGGGAACCCCGTTGGGTCTGTTTCCTTAACTCCCGAAACGGGCCCGACTCGGTTATCCCAACCCTAGCCCTGAACCTTCCACCGCAACAGGTCTACATCGGCCCTGAACCCTATACACTTACCGTCCCCCACTATAGTGTAACTCGCTATATGATCCTCTACTGGTTCGAAACCCCACCGAGTCGGATTCCATGTTTGTAGTGACCGTAACAGTTCTGAGACAGGTTCTTCGAGTATCTAGGTACGGAGGCATCCTTACATATGGCAGTTTTTGATATATCGAATTATTGTTTTGTCCATGTTTGGCCAGTAATAGTGCTGTTTCATGACTCGCAGCATTTTTCCAGCTCCTGGATGTCCCATAGAGGGTTGTTCATGAACTTCTCTCAACAAGTCCACCTGAATGGTTTCTGGCACCCAAACTCGATTTTGATATTCTAGCATGCCATTTTTGAGTTCGCAATAAGCCAATGCAACCTCTTTGCTTGTTCGATCATCATTCTCAAGCTTCTGTGGTGTAGCCTTGCAGAATTTGTCTTCCAGTTGAGACTTTTGGATTTTCTCAAGAATTGTCATTTCTCTGATATGAGTTTCCACTGGAGCTAGCTGAGCTGTTTGGCCTTGTTCTTTGAGTTTCTGAATGTCTGGATGTAGCCTCGAAGGTGGTAGCAACACCTGAAGCTGTTGCTTTTGTCGATCATCCTCATCATTGCCTTCTGGTCTGTCACCAGGCCTTCGAGTCAAAGCATCTGCTTTTCCATTTTGCTTCCCAGGCCTATAGATGATCTGGAAGTTGTATCGAGAGAGGAATTCAGCCCATCGAGCTTGTCTTCTTGTTAGCTTCTTGGTGGACATGAAGTATTCCAAGCTTTTGTGATCAGACAAGACTTGGACTGGAAAATCTGTCCCTTCAAGTTCTGGTCTCCATGCTTCGAAACATCTGATGATTGCAAGCAATTCCTTGTCATATATCTCGTAATTGCATTCTGCAGGTGCTAGCTTTTTCGAGAAGTATGCCACTGGATGTAGAACCCCTTGATCATCTTTTTGTGACAAGACTCCTGATGAGATGAAGTCTGAGGAATCTGCTTCGACATAGGCTGTCTTGTTTCTATCGAAATGCCTCAAGACAGGAGCTTCTGTGACTGTTTGTTTCAACAGCTCAAATGCAGTTTGGCATGCATGAGTCCATTCGAATATCTGATCCTTTCTGGTAAGGTTCACCAATGGCCTCATGATGCTGGAGTAATTTCGGATGAACCTTCGATAGAAATTACAGAAACCAATGAAAGCTTGCATATCCCTGAGCGATTTTGGAGTTCGCCATTCCAATATAGTAGAAACCTTTGCAGGGTCCATGCGAATGCCATTGACTCCCACGATGAGTCCTAGGAATTTGGTTTCTGGACGAAAACTTCACATTTTGAGATATCTGCTTGCAGTCCAGCTTCTCGAAGCTTCTGTAGGACTTTCCTTATGTGCTCTGTATGCTCCGCTTGAGTAGCACTGTAGATAAGAATGTCATCCATGTATGCGGTGACGAATTGGTTGAGGTAATCCATGAGGGTTTCATTCATGTACCTCTGGAATGTTGCTGGACCATTTGTGAGTCCAAAGGGCATGACCTTGTATTTGTAGGATCCAAATCGAGTTCTGAATGTAGTGAGGTCTTCATCTTCTTCTGTCTGCATTCGAATTCGATTGAAGGCATGTCGAATGTCCAGTTTGGTGAGATATTTTGCTCCTATGACTTGGGCCAGCGTTTCATCAATGAGTGGTATGGGATATCGATCCTTTTTCGTTATGGCATTTAGCTTCCTGTAGTCAACACAGAATCGAAGACCACCACCTGGCTTTCTCACAAACATAATGGGTGAAGAGTATGGGGCTTTGCTTGCTTCAATGAACCCTTTTGGCAAGTGCTCGAAGACATATTCTTCGACCAAATCAAGTTCTTCCTTTGACATATTCCAGAGTGGTGCATATCCCAGCTTTGCATCACCTTCGAGTTCAATATGATGGTCTGAAGGTCGATGGGGAGGTAGCTTGTCTGCTGCCATTTTTGAAAAAACATCCAAAAATTCATGAAATTCCTTCGGAAGGATCAGTCGAGAGTCAATTTCTTCAGTTTTGGTCTTGTTCTTGTGCTCGATTATGTCCTTCATTGATATAGCAAAGACTTGAGCTCCTCTTTGCTTCATGAGCATTCGAAATGGTGCTGCGCCAATCATTGCTATGGTGCAAGGTTTTGGTTTTTCCACTTTCGGAGCAGGTTCCGGAGGAGGCATTTCTTTGGCTTTCTTCTTTGGCCTTTGTCTTTCACTTTTAGATATAGGCTCTGTTTCGAGGGCTCGATCTGGTATAGAATGGTTGCAATAATCTCCAGTGAAGAGGACTTGATCATTGATCATATTGAGAACAACTCCATGTTGCTTCATCCAAGCTTTCCCGAGAATGATGGAATGTTTTCCCAGCGAAGTGATGAATAATGGACATAAGCTTTCCACATGCTCTCCCACTTGTAGTCGAGGATATATAGCATGTGTGATAGCAGGGGCAGCCTCTCCATTGAATCCTTCAACTTGTTTTGGTTTCACAAGTTCGACTGGGGCTATCCCTTCGATTTCACATATTCTTTCTGCATCAGCAGCATTAATGAAGTTTCCACCTGTGGCACCAGTATCGATCAATGCATGGACAATAGCTTTGTATTTTCCTATTCTACAAGTAGCTAAGAAAGGGGTGTCCGGATCAAAACTGGATCTCGAGGAAGAAGCTGCAATTCTGGCTGCACTGCCTCTAGTGATGACTTGTCTAGAGGCTATTCGTTTTCCGAATCGATGATAGACTGAGCTGTAGATACCTCATTTACTTGAGCTTTGAGCTTCTGGGGACAGTCTCGAGCTCGATGTCCATTTTGTCGGCATATGAAGCATTTCCCAAGTTTCATGAGCATTTCTTTTGCTGGATCTTGATGCGGTGGTCGATACAGCTTCTGCGTCTTGTTTTGCATGTTCGAATCCATTGTAGGTTGAGGGATTGAAGTTCGAAGTGCCTGGCCCTGATCTTGAGTTTGGCCCATGTTGTTCGAAAATGACTTTGGCTTCCTTTTGTCTTCTTGTTCCTTGATCCGCTGAATGTTCTGGTCGATGAGCATGCATTTCTTTGCAAACTCGTGAAGTGTAGTAGCTCCAACTTCAGCCACTAAGGCTTTCTGCATCTGTTAGTTGACTTTGAAGCACAAGTCATCCAGCAAAGTTTCTTCAGAGTAATCAAGCTCTGTCGTGAGCCTTTGGAACTCAGCCCAAAACACTGCAAAGGTGTTGTTTCTCTGATACAGCTTTCGATACTCAGTTTGAGCTGTGTGCCTTCGATCGGGATCACTGAAGACTTTTTCCAAAAGTTTGAGAATTTCTTCTGCTGTCTGCAATTTGTTTGTAGAGTTTGGTCGAAGCCTTGGATTGACATGTCGAACTGCCAGTCCTCCCAGTCGACTCTGAATGTAGCTCATTTGTAAAGTCTGTGTTGGAAAATGATCAATGTTGGCTTCGAGCTTGAGGCGAATTTTCACAACCCAGTCTTCAAATGCTGGCTCTATCCCATCTGTGAGGATTGGAGGGTCTGGAATCCGAGCTGACAGTCGACTGTGAGAGTGGTGTCCTGGTTCATTCTTCAGAGCTTGTTGGGTTTGCTTTTCAAGATATTTCTGAATTGTTTGTTGCTCTGTGATTTGTTGCTCGTTGCTCTGGATCAGTTCCTGTAACTGGAGAATGGCATCATCCTTTTCAGCCAGTATCGAATTTGAGTCCTCTGCTAGGGCCAAATAGTCCCGAAGAATGTTCTTGTGCAAAGTCCATGCCATTTTCTGGTTGGCGACAGATAGTTTCTGGAATTCGTCAAAGGTTTCAACATTCCATTCAGCCTTTTCATGTCGATTTGCAAGTATAGATTCATGTCTCTCTTGAGCTATTTTGCCCAGAGTGTGAAGGAAGGTTTCGGATTTGAAATTAGGATCATGAAGTTCATTGGTTTGGTTTGCAGAGCTTGGAATTGATGCTCCTTCTGCCAGGGATTCCTGGTCTTGTTCTGGATCATTTCGAGCTGCCATTGCAGCTTTTTCTTCAGCTGTATAAGCCATAGCGAGTTGCTATTTCAATTTCAGTTTATATCGTCAAGTCAGACACATATTGCCAAAGGCCCTATTGTGCAGTTGTTGGCCGTAGGAGCCACTCGAGAGGAGCGCACTTCCCTCACAGTTATATCCTTGTCGAGGGAGCGTTGTAAAAGGTCTGACTTGCGAAGGTGGTGTGTGTGTGTCGAGCTGACTGTCGAAAGCCAACTTTGAGGGGTTGCCTCGAGATCGTCCTGGAATCGACTTCAGGATAAGGTTTCTGGTTCTGGGGTTTTCAAAGAGTGGATTTCGATTTCGATTTCAGAAGAGGGTTCAGCTCAAAGAGCAGGAAAAGAGGTATAAGAGAGATTGAGTTTTATGTCACGGTTCACCAAGGCATAGGGCGCCAGTTGGGTATTATGAATTAAACTCAATCTAGAGAAGAAAGGAAAGAGAAGAGGAGCACTCGAGCAGTGGCTCGATCTATATACAGCTATGTTGTTGTGGAGTGAATTCTCTTTAGCAAGACCAGTTCTGAGAATTCACTCCACAACTGAAAACTTCGCTCCAACCCCGGAAGCTCCCCACACCCCTGAACCCCCACTCGAGCTGCAAGGCGCACTTGATATCGTAACACTCGTAGCTAAAGAAGCCCGGGTAGCACGCCAGACCTTAAACCAGGCCCGGAAACAGCTTCATAGGGCAGGAATTGAGGCACGGAAGGAAGAGCGTGCCCAAAAGAAGATGATTGCCAAGCTCTACGAAGAGGGGCTCCCAATTCCTCCAGAGTTCGAGGAGCCAATTCCTGACCCAGAAGCCCCCCAAATTGAGAGCCAGTATGAGAGCGAGCGTGGGAGCGAGTGGGAGTAAGGAAGTGATAATTTCGTAGAATAGCTTATTTAGGTATCTTTACATATAAATTACTATGTGTAGGTACTTACAGTCGCAATTTGACAGCGTGCACATTGCTTCCTCTCGCTTCGGGCACGTTCACATTGCTTACTCCAACCTTGAGCGAAGTGAAAAGTTGGTTACGACGATTAGCCTTAGCCACAAGATTACAACCGCTAAGCAGACAACTGTATGTTATGAGGAATAGCCTCACCTTCCTTCCTTCTTCTTTTTCTTCTCTCTTTAGATTCAATCTAGATTACTTTTCCTGGACTGGCATCATGACCTCTATGACCATCGTAACATAAGATTGAATCTCATTTCTTCATTAGCTCATCCTGAGCAAGAAACTAGAAACCAGCACAAACCTTTGAGCAACAGAACCCTCAAACCAGAAACCAGCACAAACCTTTGAGCAACAGAACCTCCAGAACCAGAAATCGAAACTCAGACCAACCAGAGCTACACATTGAACCAGAACCAGAACCAGAACACCAGAACACCAAATCCAGAAACCACAAGTCAACTCAATACCACACTCAAGCATCAGAACCTAGAACATTATATCAGCAGAATTAGACCTTTCCGTGACGCTCCCTCAACAAGGATATAACCATGACGGAAGTGCGCTCCTCTTGAGTGGCTCGTACAGCCGACAACTGCATAATAGGGCTGTTACGACGGAACAAGAAGGCTGGCCAACTACAGGACAGGAAGGAGGGAGGTCGCATGAGACCGGCCCTGGTACCTGGAGGGGCAGCGGGGAATAGTAGTTCCGAAAGTATCACGTGACGGACTCGCAGGATGATGAGAAGAGTCCTAAGAGTCCAGGACTCCGAGGACTCGAGTGAGTTCCCAGGAAACCACTAGGCACGTGACGGACTCGCAGGATGATGAGAAGAATCCTAAGAGTCCAGGACTCCGAGGACTCGAGTGAGTTCCCAGGAGTCCACTAGGCACGACGCCACTATATAAGTAGATAGTTAGTTCTTAGATAGGAGCTTCGTGCTCAACTCAATACAGTATTTGTTATATACTAGTAACGTGTTACTTGAAGCCTTTGTGTCTGATCCCCTGCCTCCTCTGATAAGTAAACCTTTACGCAAGAGAACCTCTGTGTCTTCTATCGTTTAGAAGTCAGCGTTACAAGGGCCTTCACCACATACGTGTCTAGTTCCTGATACCAACAAAGTCAGAAGAAGATCCTGACCTCGACAATTCCAAGGACAAGAAGCGAAGCCTGCTATAATGGCACGCGATGCACAAGGACATGTAATCCATGACAGGAGTCAAGATCAAGGACAAGAAACCCAATCTACTACAAGCAATGAGGACTGCTTAGAAAGCCACACCTACAATAGAAGGGAAACACTACTTGAGGATCCAGAACATCAAGCTACCCTTTGCATTTGGGAGCTTAAAGACATCTCAGTTGTGAGCACCTGGAGCCAAGCCCAGAGAGAGGCTGCACTTCAAATCCAAAAGCAGATGATGGAGGATTATGATCATGTCACCCAGCTCTACAATACTACCCTCCAGAAGAGTCGAGAGGAGAAGGCTACATATGATGACAATATCAGCCAACTACAAGAGGTTATCCAAGCTCATGAGTAGACAATGGCAGGACAAGCTGCTGTTGTGAAATATCTTGAAAATGAGAAGTCAAAAAGCAGCACTACTCGCAATAGAGAATCACACCAGAAATCCACTAAGATCCCAGACCTCCTACTTGTCATACTGACATTCGTTGCACTCAGTTTGCTATCAAACTCAAGAGCAAACTTAGAAATCTCCTCCTCAAACCTACAAGTCAACATACATATCTTGGCTTATCACACCAACAACAGAAGCAATACTACTCAACGATTGCTGCAAACTCTTCTACTACATCTGTTTATGCTACATACATCACGGCATATCATTTGGACACTCATTGAACAAGTTATTAAGAAAATCTCCTTCTTAAGGGGGTGGGCCAATACTACCACATGGCATATCTCTACCAACTAGAGGCCTAGGAACATGAATGATAGCTCTAGAAGCTTCTACAACCCTCTATGATTCATTACACGTCATCGCTCCTTAGTTACCCACAAGATTGGTTAAGTTATGACATAATTTATCTATAGGTACTCTGACCTTGGACCCCCTTTTCACTTCCTATAGGCTAGAAACCCAAGAGATGGTTCTATGGGATTCTCTTACGTTCACTACATGATTAGCAAGCTAGTTGTGGGTCGCACTTGATTTCTAATACATTTACCAAGCCTGGTTAGTCATGGAAAGTCATGGAAAATGAGAGAACTACACTCCTTTGGCATAAATAGGATTGCCCTTTCCTTAAGAAAGGGCAAGCAGGCAATACAGTAAATCGACTATCACATACTTCCACGTCTTTTCCAAGCTTCCAAGCATTCATCTTGTTACTCCTTGTTTCTGAAAAGTCAGTGAGGTGTTAACCTCTGACTTACCCCTGAGTTCCCAGACTCAACATTTGTTGCAACTTGTCTGAACCACTACACTACATCACACACCTGATTGCTGCGTTGTGGAATAGTCTAAGCTACAACCCTTTGGCTCTGTTTCCTAAGACAGTGTGTTGTCTTAGTAAAATCATCCCTTCCTTGGGTGGCTAGATTCTCACATCTGGTGCACCCACCATTACACTACTCTCACAGATAAAATAGAGCCAGCTTATGACGATGGGAGCATTAAGATAAAGATGAAGCTCGAGGCGAACCTTGACCATTTTCCTACTCCAGCCCTTCAGATGGGTTATGTGCAAAGCAGACTAGGTGGCAAAGCCTCCTCTCACATCAATCCACGCCTTCGATCTACTCAGAACAAGTTTCAAACTGTAGAGGAAATGTTTGAAGTCCTAGACAGAGTCTTCAGTGATCCAGACCACCGCTTTACTGCACAACGCGCTTATAGAAAGCTCTTCCAAAACAAGGATAACTTTGCTACCTTTTGGGCAGAGTTCCAGAGACTCACTGTTGAACTGGATTACTCAGAGGAGTCCCTCATTGATGACCTCCGCCACAAGGTTAATACGAAGATGCAGACTGCTTTAATAGCAGAGATAAATCCAAGCTCTCTCCATGCCTTTGCACAAAAGTGCCGTTAAGCTCGGCACCCTAGTTTTCGTCACCCCCCCGTTCTCGTCACCCTTCCGGAATCAACACCTTTCATTATGATAGCTAAATAATACAACGAATATCACTCTAATTGCCACTCAAATGTCATAGATTCTAGAGTCATATTTGATCTAATCTCTGTAGCTTTTTGGGCTGCAAATTCCGTAACCTTTCCTTTTCTTTGTGCCTCCAAAGCAGCTGCTTCGTCCAATGCCTTCTTAATACTTTCTATATTTGCAAAGCGTGAATTTAGATCAACAGTTATTCTCTTCCGTGGCTTCTTTGCCTGCAGACTCTCTATCTCAGCCTTCTGCCGTTGAATTGTTGCCTCATGCCCTGCTTGGATTGCATTCAACCTCCCAATTACCTTGCCTGCTTTCTGGATCACAAGCCTCTGCATCCGTGGTATTTTTGCAGCCTTGGTAATGCTCCGGACTGCTTAGAAAAGATGCTGTGGCTTCTGTGGGGTCCGAGTAACGTCGTAATCCAGAGAACGGGCACGTTTCCGACGTGGAGGACTCTTTAGCTGGTTCTTGACTTGTGAGGAATTGATAGCCTTAGCTGGATTCCAAGGATAGATACCAGCAGCACGCCAGCCGCCCCGGATAACACTCTCTGTAAGGCCCTCCTCTCGTGCATAGTGGTAGGCTGCAATAAAGCGAGCTTTCTTAACTGGGGCGGAGTCATCGAGTGCTGAGAGCTCCGTAATCATCTGGCGGTATTTGCCCTTGACAGGCGAGAAGCATGAGAGATCAAGCGGTTGCAAAACATGTGAAGAGTGTGCAGGTAGAAAGATAAGCTCAACTTGATGCTGTTTACAGACCCAAAGGAATTCTACAGACATGGCTGCCATGGCCATCAAGGACAAGTATCCGGTATCCACCATCAATCGGCTTCGTTTCTGGTAGAAAAATCTTTTCTAGCCAAGTAACCCCAATCCGATTCGATGTCCATCCGTTTTCTGACGTCGTACAATCTGGCACGTTATCTGCTGTATACCATGTTGTTTGTAGGTCCTTCCCTTTGAAAATGACAAGGCAGCGTGTCTTCTGGCCTATAGCTGAGATTGACTCAATAATTGAGACCCACTCACGATACTGCGGAGCTTTCACGTAAGTACGTGACTTTTTAGAGCTTGCAAGAACTTGTGTATTCGTACAAAGGCCAAGAGCAATACCTTGCTCATCCATATTCCAAATATTCTGAGGCTGGACTTGACGCTGCTCTTGAATACGGTGGAAGTGGTCGAAGAATGTGCGTAATTGCTCAGAACTCGTTCCCTAAATGCGAGAAGCTTCAATTCTCCTGCCTATAACAGAAGCAACGCGTGGATTCCGTTGTAGAAAGCTAGACACCCATTTCTTGCCAAGTGGCTCCGTCTCGCCGTTCATATGCAGAATGCAGGCCGCCATTTCTCGCGCTCGTGCATGAGACGGAGGATATCCACGTGAGTCTTCCTCGAGGATCCAATCGGCAAGGAATTCCTCTTGCCCTGGCGTCAGTCTCTGCTGTTGTTCATGGCCAACGCGTGTGTTTGTAGAGCCTTTGAGTCTCGAGGCGAGGGTCGTCCGTGGGATATTATACGCCTTTGCGGCAGCTGATTGGGTAGAATAAACACCAGATTCGAAATCCTTGATAGCTGATTGTATGGCAAACTCTCGGGTAGCGTTTTGAGACATGTTGTTGTTGAGTAGGAAGAGTCGTGTTCTAGACAGACGCGTCGAGGTGGGGTGACGAGAACGGGGGGGTGACGAAAACTAGGGTGCCGAGCTTAATAAAATGCTTCTTTAAACGTATTTCACAAGCGAGTCGCCATCCTAAGCGAGTCACTAGCAAAAACACCAAAACGTGTCGTCAACTTGACTACAGACAACATGCCACCCCTAACACAAGCCCAATCCTCTAATAAAGAGGATAGAATACTACAAGCTATCTAAGCAATCAAACAAGGCTATTGCCAAAGTGTTCAATCAGCTTTAGAATCGTACGATGTGCCCCGCACAACCTTCCGTGACCGGATTTATAGGATGACTTCCTAACGCGACTCTACCCCTAACTCACGTAAGATAACTCCGTACGAAGAGTCAGATCTTATTCAGCACATCCTCGACCTAGATTCACGTGGATTTCCGCCCTAGCCGCAAGGTGTACAAGAAATGGCAGCCCTACTACTCTCTAAACGAGGCGAGGGCTCTGTTAGTAAGATCTAGACTACCAACTTTACAAAGCGTCGTTCGGAAATCAAAGCAAAGTTCAGTGGGAAGTACGATTACAAACGGATGGAGTTCTCGAATGGAAATGATTGTGATACCTAGTAGGTGCAGTACACAGGAGAATGTTTCGGGGCCTGTCAATCACGCCCGCCAATGTGGTGTGGTGTACTGTTGCCTAAAACAACTCGGCCCTTCGGTAAGCAGCCTCACTTTTTCAAAATGCCACATAGAATACCTCTCAACGCCTGACATCTACTGATGCGATGAAGGTTGCCACTTGTTACCGCTCCCTGCTCTGACCGTCTTTTCATTAAGATGTGACAGTACCTCCGCCGTTGCGAACCCTCATTTTTAATCCCAAAGCACACACCGGTCCACGGTCGAATCTGCCTCGTTGCGGACTTCGATCCTTTGCGAACCATCAACGCCCGGCCAGAGTCGTTCGCAACGCCATGATGCTTCGGGCGCCATTTCACCACATCTAGTTTTCCTTTTTGCGAGGGAACCTAACGTATATCTTTTCAACATGGATGTTGGAGAGAGTTAATTATTACTTTTTGGCTGTGTCCTACCCTACTTTGATCGGGGTCGCAAGGCTTGAAGTCGAGAGTGTCCCGACTGTCAATTTAGCTGGTCTGTCGGGGACATCTCAGCAGCTCGAAGTGATAGCCTTGGATACAGGCTCTGCAGCTGGCGAAGATGGACTCGAATAGCGCTCACCGCAACACGAATAATGTATGAAGCTACAGGTTCCATGAGTGATGTTAAAAGACATAATCTGACATACTTGTCGATCTAGCCGCCAGGATTTTCTCGTTCCTCTACGTCGCCGCTCAACTGGGACCAGTTCAGCCATGATGGACCATCAGACCCAGGCCTATTCCCGATGCAAATGAGCTATCTGTCTCAGCCGGTGGCAGGAGATTCCATTATTGTTAGGACTATGGGAGCCAGCTTTTTGGACGCTGCGTATAACTCTGTACCTTCCGGGATACCGGGGCAGAGAACGTTGCCGAAATGGCACAGCACTCCCACAAATCCACCACAGATATCGGTGGGTGTTTCATCTACTATTCCATATACCCACACATTGGCTTTCTATGTTTTCAACGATGAGGATCCATGGTCACAAAAGGGGTTTTTTGCCGAACCTTCTACTTTTGACGGTAGGTTGCATCTGAAGAGCCAGCTGGTTGGACAACTCCCAGTGAACCAAAACCTATATGGGAAGCGCTTCCAGACCGAGGGTGACGCCGCAGCCGGTGTGGTACTTGGCAAACCCCAGTCGGACTCAGGGTATGGATCGCTGCAAAGCGCATATGCTCCTTCAATTAGCAATTTTGATACTGGACTCCCGGCCACAGGAAACCGGATTGCATATCCCCATAGCCATGGCTTCCAACAGGCGGATGCCACGTTTGGACCAGAAGTTGCTTCTTCCAAGATCTCGCGTGTTGTGCCTCCATTGCTACGCTGCCCAACCTGCAACAAGGCAGTCAGAACACCATCCGTGTTGAGGTAATATTTCTGTAGAGAAGCTGTGACTGTGCTGAAAGTTTCTAGGAAACATGATCTGCGCCATAAAAAGCCATTCATCTGCTCATATCCTGACTGCCCAGGAAGTGGACACGGACAGGGGTTTGGGACTGTCAATGACCTGGACCGACATATTCGAAGCAAACATCCGGAAGGCAAAGTCTCTGGACGTCCCATCCAGTTGTTCTCTTGCCATTTCAGTGAATGTCAAGAAAAGGGCAGGAAGTTTACTCGTTCGGATAACTTCGGAGTCCATCTCGATCGATGCCATGGTATGGAAAAGGACGAGATCAAGGGAATTATTCAACGGTTAGTGATCGTATAAAAACTACTACGTGAGCCTAACTAACATCTAAATGGCAGGAAAAAAGAGCAGCATTGGTTTGGGGACCCAAGGATTCAACTTGGTGACAGACCACAAGAAATAAGTGCAGATCTTCAAATACAGGACGCCAGCCTTGAGATTTCCTTTGACCATGCCATGGAACAGAGCAATGAATCACTGGCTACTGATGGAAGCCATTACGAGATGTATGATAATGATGACCAGGGCCATCCAGAGGATATATCTTTCTACATAATGGCGGATCAAAGCCGTGACCTAGGTGATACGGCTACCAATATACTAGCGGAGACCAAATATAGGCCAGCTGATACCACGGATATGGAATATTTAATGGATCCAACATTGGATATATCCAAAAGTGCAACACCAGTTGCAACTACGATAGGAACTACCCCGAAGAGGGAGAATGGATCATATATACATGGTTCCACTGATTCTCACGCACAGAAAGCTCTTGCAAGCGCACTAGCCAACAAACGGAGCCAGGACAGGAATTTCAGAGGAATGGGCGCCAGCCAAAAGCCAATGTCTCTAAGGGAGGACCCAGTGGACCGACGTGTTAATATAGGAGCCCTGTTCAGCCGTGACAAATCCAACCAGCAAGATTTTAATTCAGGAGACCTTGTTGCAGCTCATTCCAAAGATGAGGACTGCTACACAGATTCACAAGACGACGATAACGCGGCCACAATCTTACGAGACATGAACAGCCGCGGATTCGTCTTACAAAGGAAAACCGCTCTCCTACCTGAACCCCCCGCCCCTTCTCCATCAACCCAGCCCCGATCTCCCCTCTCCTGTAGCGTTTGCTTCAAAACCTGCCGCCGCCCCAGCGAAATGGCGTACGTCTCCCCCCACCCCTCGATCGCACCTTCCCTCCTAACCCGTACCATCCAGAAAACACATGAAGCGCCACTCCCGCCCGTACCACTGCACCTTCCCACCCTGCGCCAAAACCTTCGGCAGCAAGAACGACTGGCGCCGGCACGAGAACTCGCAACACCTCCACTACGAATCCTGGCGCTGCCAACTCCCCTCCGCCACCACCACAACAACAGCAACCCTACAAACGCAATCTCAAAACCGAGACAGAGACCACGACAAACCTAGCGCATGCAAACACATCTCCTACCACCTCGACGCATTCAAATCCCACCTATCACGCACGCACCAGATCGGCTCTACAGAACTAAATGACAGCGCCACCCTCGCGCGCTGCCTCGCCCCCTGCCCGTGCACATTCCACTGCGGCTTCTGCGCCCGCCGGCTCCCGCAACGCGACTGGAGCGCCCGCTTCGACCACTTCGATGGCCACTTTTCCGGGCGCGGCGGAGCGGGCAAAGTGGAGATGGCAGCATGGACGGAGGAGGGTGAGGGTGCCGACGGTTAGGGCGAAGGGGAAGCTGGAGGGGAAGCTGGAGGTTGGGGGAGTGAAGAAGAAGGGGTTGAGGGTGCCGAGTAAGGTGGTTAAGGGAGTGGAGGTTACGATTAGGGGGGGGAGGGATCTTGTGAGGGAGGGGAGGAGGAGGTTTGCGAGGGCGGCGCAGGAGGGTGAGAAGAGGGTTAGGAGTGTGACGAGGGAGGGGGGGAGGCAGGTGAGGAGGGCGTGGGGGGGGGTGAAGAAGAGTATTCCGTGAGTTTGGTGGTGGTGTTGGTGGTGGCATGGGGCATGGGGCTGACATGCGTGCAGGAAATCATTGAGGAAAGAGATGGAGTGAGGCGGGTGTGACGGGGGTATGGGAGCGGAAAAAGTGAGGCGGGTGTGACGGAGTTTGGATCGGAAAAAGGAGATGGATAGAGTGTGGCGTTTGGGGCTGTGCTTGTTTTATTCTCTTCCGACGTCGATGGTGTAATGGCGGGCGGAGGCATGGTTTTGGTTCCTTCTCACTTGGATTGGCGGCGTGTTATTCCTTTTCGCCTCAATTGGCGGGCGTGTTTTGGCCCCTCTCATTATCGGCGCATGTTTTATTCTTTACTCGGGTGTTTTATTACACAGCGCGGGCATGCATGCGGCATCGGAGTTCTCTTGGATCACATGGATTACTTGGGTTTTCACGTCGAGGCATTCATTCGCACATGGGCCTTTTATCAACCCTTACAAACCTCTAAGTTTGACATCACGGCATCTTTACCTACTACCACTCCAAGCCGGCTTCACGACATCTCCCATCGCTCACCACGCCCCACCGACTCTCCCCGAGCAACACCACCGACACCTTTAACGCTCTAACGGACAGCGCGCATATAGACGTGGCTGGTTTTGCTCCTTCTGCCCCAGACCAGCAGGCAAGGTGTTAGGCGTCTCACGGGGCGTTATCCTACCTACCTACCAACATACATACATACATACCAGTATCCATCCAACAATCAACCATCAACCATCAACAATCAACCATCAACCATCAACCTATAACCCAAATGCACCTCGTATCCGTGCATCCATCATCATCCAGTTACCATGTGCCGTCATGCCGTAAACCCCCCCATCATCGTCATCACCCTTCCACCGCGCCTCCCTCCGGCCCCGCTCCCTAGCCATACTACGTACAGTACACACCCATTAGAACCCACATACTAAACTAAAACTAACTAATGCAGGGAATACCGTAGAGGACTTTATTCCCTGCATTAGTTAGTTTAGTTTAGTTCAGTCCAGTGGCGAATCCGCAGGGCGCGGCTAGGGCTTCTTCGGGTAGGAGTAGGGGACCAGGGGTTCGGCTGGGGGGATGATGGGAGATGGGAGATGGGAGATGGGATGGGGGGGGGGGAGTTTGTTGGTGGCGCGGGGCTGTGCTGTGTTTGGATGGATAGTTGTGGCGGGGTGCATAACCAACAATGAACTGAACCAGGACAAGTAATCACTGCCTATAGCGGACGGGTCGGTTCGAGCTTTGCCTTTCGGTAACTTATATAGAGTTTCTGCCATATGTAGTTACAGTACAGTACGTACGCATATCACGTGACGCTCCTACAATATTACCCCCTCACCATCTCCCCTCCCCCCCTTCCCGCGCGCCATTCCCATCCCGTACACCGAACCCTGACCCACTACAGCGCACCGGATGAGGTTGATGGTGATGGCGAGGCAGGAGGGGGGACGGAGGGGAGGGAGGGGAAGGGGGGGAGGGGGGGAGGGGGGGAGGGTTATCCCATCTCCAGCTCTAAACCGCCGTCGTCGTCAGTCAGCTGTCAGCAGTCAGTCAGTCGATCCCTGTCTGTCGGTACTACTATCCCCCCCCCCTGAATGATCGTCACCATCCACTATTTTGTCAAAAACTATTTTGTCAAAAGGCCTCTGCTTGCCGCCTCAGCTTCTCAGCCTCTCGACCGGTGAGCAGGGATGTCGGTCTGGCTTCGACTATTCCTACCAGCTCTACAAGCGTGAGGCTCTGCTCAAAGATACGTATCTTTCACCGCCCACCGTCCACCCCGCCCGCCATCCATAGAACCGCCCACCACCCACCCCCCGCCTTCCCTCACGCCGCCCGCCGTCCCTGCCCACGATATCTGAGAAAACAAGAGGAATTAGACCCTGGGAGTCCAACCTGACCGGCCCATGAAGAAATACAACAACAACAACGCACTTTAGACGCCATGCCCACCCACACGAGACACGCCACGCTTCCCTTCATTCTCTATCCTTCAATTGACATGCAGCCATACATGGGATACATTTCATATGCATGCATGCTTCGGTGTGTGTGCCCTTTCCCTTATGTCCTGTCCGTCTCTCTCTCACTTACCCTCCATTCTTTAAATCTCCCCCTCCTCCTCCTTCCCCCTCTTCCCTTCTTTCCCTTGCTCACCTTCTTCCTTCTTCTCATCCCTATCACCATTCATCCTCAACCAACACAACACAACACAACAACAACAACAACAACACGCATGTAAGTGCCTAGCTAAGCCTCTCTCACCATCACCCCTACACTCAGCCTTGGCCGCCCACAGTCTGTCCGTGACGTGTGATCCACCATCCACCGTCTGCCAACGCGAGGCGAAGCACCATCCTTCCCGCTCTCGTTCCAAATCCAGCTCTCACACTGGCCGACGCCCGGTCAAACATCCAACACGACGTCACAGCTCTCCAACAACCCTCCGTCTATATCAACGCTCTTATCCCGAGCCTTCTCTCTCCCTCCCCCTCCAACACCTGCCCCTTCCAGGCTCCTGCCTACCCACCTACCTACCTTCCATGGATTACCAGACCCAAGCCCCATGGGACCGTCCCCAGATATTTGCCTATAACAGTATGATGGCCTCCCAGGTCGATCAGCAAGAGGCTTCCTACCCCGTGGACCCCATCCACTGGATTACCAACCTGGAGTCTGTCCCCGTCCCCGTCCCCATCTCCGTCCCGCGCGGCCGCTCCCATCCTGATTCCCAGCAGCAGGAGTGGACAGCGCAGACCCTCGAGTCCCCAAAGGCCTTCAACGACAGTATGCAGAACCGCCAGAGCCAACAACAGTACTCTTACCAAGAGGCACACCAGGACACTTACCCGGCGCCCCAGCAGCTACAAACCTCCAACCTCCCCTATGGCTCCTCGTCGGCGTCGTTCGACCAGTGGGCCCCATCTCCCGGCGCTAATTCCCGCGATAGCAGCGCGCTGAGCCCACAGAGCGAGCGCGATTACCGCCAGGATCCTTCTCTTGTCTCGTCACCCTACGCCGCACACGCTCTCACGCGCTCGCACTCCGGTATCAGCTCTCTCAGCCATGAAGCAGACTTCTACGCTGGCGGCGGACAGCCGTTTTCACAGCAGACGATTCCCAATATGTCCATGATCCACTTCGAGTTAGACGAGGACCCAACATTCAGAGGGCAGGAGGAGATGTTCATGGACCAAGACTCCGGCGAACAAGACACCAACACCTCCATGACCACCACCCTCGCTCCCCGCCCACCAACACACAACCAATTCCTCCACCTACACCTCTCCCCCGCACCCTCCATGCACAGCCACCACTCCCCCGCCCGTTCCTACACAACCCAAAACCCACCCGCGCCACGCCTCACTCCCCACCAAACCCCAATGGAAGTCGACGACGCAGACCTCGACGCAGCATTCGACATCGACTCCCCCCTCCCCGCCAACGACGACACCGACACAGACGGTACATGGACCCCCCACGCGGCGCGTCGCACCTCTCGCACGCCCCGCCGTCGCGCAGGTCAACGCCCTGCTCCGCCGCCGCCGCCGCCGACGACGACGACGAGGGTGTTGCAGCTGACTTCTGGGAGTCGCGTGGAGAAGAGGAAGGGTAATGCTGTCTCTTCTTCCTCCTCCTCCGCGGGGCGCGCTGGGAATTCAAACCCGACATTCCCCTGCACCTTCGAATGGGCGGGCTGCACCTCAGCCTTCGCATCCAAAAATGAATGGAAGCGCCACGTAGCCAGCAAACACACCTGTTTCTTCTACTGGGAATGCCGTGTCGGGCCTTGTTCCGCCCCCGGCCAATCCGGTAAATTCAACCGGAAAGACCTCTTTGCGCAGCATCTCCGGCGTATGCACTCTCCCCTCTCATCTTCGGCTAAGTCTGGCGCGGGGAAAGAGGCGTGGGAGAGACGACTATCTGAGTTACTCGACGAGGGGAAACGCAAAGGCAGAGCGCAGATCACGAAAACGCACTGCCCCGTCCCAGGGTGTACGGCGGGGTGGGAAGGGGCGAGGGCGTGGGACGAAAGGATGGAACATGTTGCGAGGCATTGGGAGGCGGTTAAGGGACGGGGAGGGGGGGGTGGTGTGAGAGTGCTGGGGGGGTTTTGGAGTGGGCGGAACGGGAGGGGGTTGTGAGACGGGTGGAGGGGGGCGGGTGGGTGCTAGGGGAGGGAGTGGGGGAGGTGGATGCTGTTGGGGAGGAGGAGTAGGGGGGGAAGTGTGTACAGGTGGGTGGGTATATTTGGTGGATGAGATGGGTTGTCTCACTTGCTGGTCACTCATCTCGAGACCAACGATCTCACGCACCGTCACGCTCTACCACACCAACGACCCATCGCTTCGGCACCTAGCTTTGATCCGCCTCGGTTTCAGGGCCGCTGTTTGCCTGTTATGTTATATACGACTCGCCTTTCTTTACTTTATATTTTTCTTTTCGTCATATTTGCTTTTTTATTTTTCGTTTTTGGTTCCGGATTTTTGGATTCGGGTTTTGGATATCGGGGATGGATTGATGATACGTTTTACAGAGCCCCCACCACCTCTTATGTTGGTGTGAGGGTATCTGTACATCCCCACCTAATAAGGGGGGGGGGGGGTGGTGATGATGATGCGCATGCATGATGGATATCATGATGGGATGAGATGTATTCACAGACTTGGGAATGGGACTTTTATAGACAGGACGGGATGGGTATGGGCTATTATAGACAGGATTCGGTTAAGAACAGGAACGGTGCCATTTGGAAAACTCCCGAGGCAAACTAAGGATAGACTTTTTTTGTAGGGGGTTTTACTTGTAATTTGATTAAGAGATACCCTACTTGAATAAAAACATAATTGTTGTTTTATCACCCGTCAGATTCTTTACATGGTGCGTTTGTTATTGGTTCATTTTGAAAATGTCATATTGTATAATATTATTAATACGAAATAGTGAAAGTAACTCCTGTCTATCTGACATCCGAAGAGACGAGGCGTTCACAGACCCCCTTGCCCCGTGTTTCCCTGTTGCCCCAAGTTACCTTGTTGTCCAAAGTTCCCCTGCTGCCCCTGTTGCTGTTGCTGTTGCTGTTGCTGTTGCTGTTGCTGTTGCTGTTGCTGTTGCTGTTGCTGTTGCTGTTGCTGTTGCTGTTGCTGTTGCTGTTGCTGTTGCTGTTGCTGTTGCTGTTGCTGTTGTCCTCCCTGAGCCGGAAATACTCCCGGACCCTGGAGTGCCTCTTGAGGCTGAGATCCTCCTTGAGCCATAGGTCCTCCCTGAGCTTGAGAACCTCCTGGAATCTGAGCACCCCCCAAAGTCCCACTTTGATTCCCGTCCTGCTGCTGCTGGCCCCCCTGCCCCTGTCCCGAACCCTGAGGATCCTGACCACCGCCACCCCGTGTATTCTCACCCTGTGCATTCTCACCCTGTGCATTCTCACCCTCAGTGGGTGGATCGGGCTTCTCCGGCGCGGGCAAGAACTCAATCTGTCTCTCGGCATTTATCCTATACCACACAACACGTCAGCGATCTATCCTCCCTGCCTCCCCCATCCAGTTAATGCCAGAATCGTTCCCGCTTCCCCTTTCCCTGCTGAAATCAAGGGGATATACGCACACAAACAAGGACAAAAAAATAAAGAAGGCACATACAAACAAAACTTATTCGGCAAACTAAAACACGTCAAAAACACCCTCGGAAGCTTAATCCTGAGGCTCTCAACCTCCTGGTAGGCGTTATATATTTCCCTCAGCTCGCGGGGCCAGATCTTGCGCTTCGCTAGCTGGTCCTCGTGGTACCGGTGCATGAAGGTGTAGATGGCCATCTGCTGCTCGTTGGTCATGAGTTTGTCGAGGAGTTCGCGGGTGTAGAGGTGGCTGAAGGTGAAGAGGATGGCGGAGCGGTTGTTTATCGTCGCGACACTACACACCGACACATAAACTCGTGAGCCCAAAATACAGACACACACGCGGTAGTCTTCCCTCCCTCCCTCCCTGCACGAAACTGCAGCAGTTGATCGGCACGGAGGATTATGATGAGGAGGATGAGTAGGATGAGGAGGATGAGGAGGATGAGGAGGATGAGGAGGATGAGGAGGATGAGGAGGATGAGGAGGATGAGGAGGATGAGGAGGATGAGGAGGATGAGGAGGATGAGGAGGATGAGGAGGATGAGGAGGATGAGGAGGATGAGGAGGATGAGGAGGATGAGGAGGATGAGGAGGATGAGGAGGATGAGGAGGATGAGGAGGATGAGGAGGATGGAGGAGGAGGAGGATGGGGAGGCAATCCATCTCTGTACTCACGAAAAATAATCCGGCAACAACTGCAACAGCGCCCTCTCCCACCAGTGCGGATCGTCGGCCGAGCGACCGCGCGGGTGCGCCACGAACGCGTACTCGTCCTCGAACACCCCGTCCCCCTCAAAGGCGGTGTTGACCATGTCCCGCACCACGTCAGCGGAGAGGATGGTCCCGATGTCGGTGGTTTCGGAGAGGACTTTGGTGTACTTCAAGACTGCGACGAGCATCTTGCGGAAGTAGGTGGGGGCGGTCCATTGGAGGCAGCCGAGGGGGCCGGTTCTGGTGGGGGTTTGTTAGTTTTCTGGCTCTCCGTCTACCTCCCTCCTGACGGATTACTCACGTCCAACAAGTACTGAAATACGTAAGACAAATCGACCTGAAATTCGCCGTGCTGAGGCCGGCCTCCCCCGCCATGAAGTTGAAATGGTGAGCGAGCTGCACCTCATCATGCCAGGTCACGGACTCGGGATTCGCGTACTCTCGACAGCGGAAGATATACTTCCTCACCAGCTCTATCATGCAGAGGAGGTCCTCTAGTGGCAGGATCGCTTCGGGCCACGATGGGCGCGAAAGCGGTGGCTTAGCGGGTCCGAGGGGCTCCCAACCCGAGCTGATGGAATGGACCATCATGGAGCTTGGATGCCAGCTGTGGAAATGAATTAGCTTTCAGACGGCACATGCTACTTTGAACTTTGTTTGGGGATGGAAAGATGTACCTCAGCATCTCATCGACCGAATTGCACGTGTGGAGAAAGAACTTCCACTCCTCGGGAGTGATAGTTGGCCCCGACGATGCTTTAACTAAATGCGATAGGTGGAACCACAGAGCGTCTTCCGAACAAGTTGCTACGACGTGGAGACCGAGGGTGTTGCGGAAGTATTTGAGGTACGAGGCGATATTGTTGACTGCCGTTAAGTCGCTTGCTCTGGGTTCCATGAGAGGGTCGTCGGGGAGCTCATAGACTGAGGTTGGGGTGGGGGGATCGCGGGGTTCTCGAGCTGGAGCTGGGGCTGGAGCTTGGGGCGGGACTTCCTGCCCCTCCGGTCCTGTCGCTGGTGGCTGCCCTTGGACTTGGGGTCCGCCTTGAGGCTGTTCTGTTTCCTGCGCTTGCGGGACACCTGGTTCTTGAGGTCCGCTCGGTTCCTGGTGAGTTTGCTGGCCCATTCCTGGCTGTAATGTTGGAATGAGGGTATCATTGGGACCCGGAACGTATCCTTCGCCCATTACCTGATCGATCCTATCTCGAGCACGTCTGTGCAAAGTTCTGCGCATATTTATAGCCGCCACCACTATTTTGTCCTCAGGGGACATGTCAGGCCCAATGTCAACGTCGGGACGTATCACTACATTTTTTATAACAGTTAGGTTTGGAATATATTTCGCATTTTTATCTCGTTTCCAAAACTCAAGTCGTTCGGCTAGGGGCTCATCTGGAACCATTGCGTCTCCTCCGAACCGGACAATATGATAGTCCCAGAAATCGGCGTGCAGAAACATACGCATCCATTCGATGGATACCAACCTACGAACATCTGTGTGCGGCTCCAACGCTTTTCCGGGAGGCAAATACCTGGTGTCCCCTTCGTCTTTGTGAGTTCCGGGATAAGGAAAGGTCGTGTCATATACCAGCAACGGCAGGCCGTTGTTGGACTTAACCAGGTAATGGTGGGACTTGAAGACCTAGTTGGATAATATGAGTTAGAAGCGTGATCGGATATTTTTTGCAGACATCAGGATAGGGATGGGTTTTTGGCGGATCATTACATTGTTTTCCATAGAATGGCCCCTATATAATGTCAGAAATGGGGCACAACAGAGGCGCGGCCGACATACACTTCATTCCATCCCTCGTCTTGGAAGTAGGGTTCTGGAGGGAATCTGTAAGATTTCGTTCGTCGCCTCGGGTCGCTACGTTCTTCATGATGTATAACTGCCGCGTGCTGTTTGCAGGCAAAGTCAGCAAAAACTACCCCCCCTTATCCCTCCTACGAAGAGAAGTTAAATCCATAAGGATCACAGCATACTTACGGCAATTTCATGGGTAAGGGTTCTCGCAGCAAAATTAACCAACACGACCCTTTCTGGTTCCTTTTCTTCAGGTCAGCAGGATTCACTCCACGGATGGAAAGGAAATTATACCGTCAAATCGTTTCTAAGGAGTGGACTGATCAACTCCGTACAAAGAGTTACGGAACTTTTTCCAGGCCCTCCAAATGCAACCGTTATACCCCACCAGTTATCATCTTGTGGACTGCCATCCGTGGAGTCGCGATACATAGATCTCAAACAAAAGAACCACTTGCCAGCCATCTCCCTTAAAAGTTCCTTTACTGGAACTCTTTGGTTGTGGATTTCTTCCGGTGTTCGCAACCTGAAGAATAAATTATGCACGCCGGCGCAATGTGGACTTGGCTCCGTTCTCTTATTATCGGAACCCGCTTCGCTCAGCAACGCATCCCACCTTGGAAGTGTTCATCAGCTCATCTGTGACTTCAAATCCTGCGCACACAATACTGTACTTACCACGGCCAAAGATGTGAGTTATCCAAGTAACGAGTGGTTAGTTGTAAAATAGGCTTAAGTGCCTCCCAAATAATTGGGTTGTCGGCCTGTATCATACTCAGTATTGGAAATAACCGTTTTTGACTAACAGCGGCACACTCACTATCATGAAGCCTTCGTGTCCATCGCCTACTAATGGCGGTGGATAGCTCTTTAAACATCCATTTAGTGTCTCCCACTGAGATCCATCAATGAGTGGGTGTATATGATTTTCAAGTTCAAACTTCCCCCAATGGTCAGCGAAATCAGCATCGGCAGTTGGTATATATGCTCTCAAGGCCCTCGACCATTCCATTGGGAACCCCCCATTAACAAATTTCTGATAATCTGCTATTGTGTGTTTCCATTCTCTCCGCTTCTCTGAGTCATCTAGCCTTTTGGGGCTGACGGGTGTACGGCCGCTCTTGTAGCCTTGAAGTGCGTTGACAATATCAGGCCTAGTCCTATCCTTATAAATTCCGTACTTCTGGGCAAATTTTGTAGGTGGCCGTCTGGGCCTGGTCGGATCATTGGTCGCCATTGTGAGAATGGGTATTAAGCATCACGAGTGGGTGCCAATAGGTTTTGAGGAAAAATCTTGTGGCCGACGTGCTGGTCCTCTATCAATATATCGCTGCAAATTGAGCCTCCTGAAGGTCAAAGCAAAGCCACTTCGCTGTTGGCATCATCTTGAAAGAAACAAATCGGCCGGCCGCGCAAACGCGTTGGAATGGGCTTGTTTCCATTCCCTTGTTTCGTCAAAGAACACTATTCCCTCGAGCAACATTGTTAACCACTGCAAACGGAAATTTTTCCTTTGAAAGAATGGGACAAGGGATTTCTAAATTTGCTGTTGATACACACGCGTATAGATGGGAATATATCCTAAGTGGTCATTGCCAACTCAACCCAACCAGGAGGAATTTCTCGCCAACGCCGCATTCGCTCTTTAAAGTACATTTTGTTCATAACTGCACCCCTGCTCCATCACGCACTTACCGGAAAACTAGAGTGCGGCCAATGGCACCCTGAAAGGCGTTGTTGTACCTCACCGTCGATGAGCAGTTGCTCTCCTGGTATTTATTTTCCGCCTCTGGCAATAATTGGGTAATTTGCTGGATTCGATTCGCATTCTGGAGAGGGTCAGGTAAAAGCTTAACTGCCTTGAAGATGGAAACTTACCGACGGATGCGTAGAAAGCCATTCGGGGGGCGTTTCTTTGTCTAGCTTCTCCATTCTCTCCCACAACCCTACCGCTTCCTTGGGATCATAACAGGCTGCTGCCATCAGCATGAGGCCAATATGATCTGCTTCACTCTCCTGCTCTCTGGAGGAAACTCTCATAATTCCAAGGTCGAGCACCATGCTCCCTAAAAATCGACCTAATCCCATTGTAACTCCAGTATAATCGAGATACATTAATCCCCAAACAAATGGCTGGAGCAATACCATCTGGCTCATCTTTTCAGCCGAGTGCTGCGCCATGTTGTGGGCAATTTCGTGGCCCATAACCGCCGCCAGCCCGTCGCTGGTCTTGCACACAGGGAATATTCCACTGTAGACGAAGACCTTGCCTCCTGGGAGGACAAAAGCGTTTGCTTGATCTGAAGCCCGTATCGTCAGCCATTGTATACCCAACCTGACATATGTACTTACTCGGATCCTCGATGACGTGTACCGTCCATCCCTCGCCCTTCTTCTTATCACTCTGTCCCGTGCCCAAGTCCCCTGCCTCTATCAACCGCCCAAGCACCTTCTCCACCATCTTAACTCTGAAATCGGACTTCGGTAGCACCCTGCCCCTCCTCAACTCCTCGGAGAGGATCTGGTTATACGCCAACTTCCCCTGCTCCTCGGCACTGCCTTCGCTGTAGCAGTTGAACCTCCGCCGCCCTGACACCGGAACCGTCTCGATGTTCATGAAGTAGAATATTGTTATCCCACCCGCGGTGAGGATCGCGAGGCCCCGGAACTGCCCCGACGCGAACAACCTCCGGACTTGCTCGGGGGTGATGAGGGGCCGCGCATTGTGCGGTTCGATGCGTCGGAAAACTTGGCGGCGGTGTGTGTTGAAAGATTCGTGGAAGGCCCGCTGCTGCTGCCGGCTACCTGCCGAGTGAGGTCCGTTTCCTATCTTTCGCCATAGTTCGTAACTGGGTCTTGTGATGGCGCGTGGGGGCAGGCTGCCGCGAGGCTGAAGGACTTCCGCGAGCTCTGCGCACCTTGCAAACTTGTTAGGAGCTGCTATAGGGCGCAGAAGCTTGGAGAAGAGCATCATGACCCAAGGTAATTAGGATATGCTACTCTGGCTTGGTAGCATCTCTTGTTCATAAGCTGCCCATCGTTGTTGTGCGTTGCTTGTCAAAGTTGTCGCGGGATTTTGGGCGGTCATTGCGACGACCAAACGGATAAAGCTCGGCTGAACCACATGTGGGCTTATGCGTGGAAACGGTTACAGCCAAGTCTAGCAGCACAACCACTACACAGTACCGTACAGGAGAAAAGACTACGAGATTGTTTTTAATTGAGATGATTCTGTTATCTATACAAGATAGTGGAGAGCTACGAGGCGAATATCGCTCCACCAATCTAATGGCCTCTCGTTATGGCCACTAAGCTTCATCCCTAAACGCTCTGAGAATGATGTCCCAAATTTTGATGGCCCCTGGTCGCCTATTGGCGCAAGTCAAAACCTCAATCTTCCATCTCAACCTCATCAGCCGTTAACTTGTTGACGCCTTCCCAGTCCTCCTCCTCGTGCATGATCCATACATCATTTCTCTTCATTAACATGAATCTCAAACGTTCCCTTCTTCCCTGAGTATTTCGCCAACGGCTGGGTGCTCGGGTACTCGCTGGGCGTGCTGCTCGTATCACTAACTGCGTCTTCATCATCATCTGAGAACGCCCTAGCCTCGATATTATTGTCGTCCTCCTCTTCCATCTTAACCTGATGAGCCGTTACCTCGTTGACGCCTTCCCAGTCCTCCTCCTCGTGCTGAAATGCCTGGTCCGTATCCGGCATATAATCTTCGTTATTGTTGTCATCAGTCTCGAATTCGTCCGTGGGGCTGTCTTCGTTGTCGATGCCCCAGTCGTTCGGGACGTTACTCATAGACCTTCTGTCGTTATAAATATAAGTTGCGTTGCTGTGAGGTGTAGCATATGCGAATGGCGTCATCCCTCTCTTATGCTCCCGTTCCTCCTCAAAGACGTAAGGGCTAGGGGGCTCAGCGCTCCAGCGAGGCGTGTCACGCGGATGGTTGGGTGATTGAGTACGCTGGCGCTTCGCAGAAAAGCTATAGGAGTATCTCGGGGCGCAAGGGGAGGGCGAGTGGGTTACTCGCTCATGCTGAAGCTCGAAGGACGTAATACGGCGCTTGCCTTGGCTCCCCGGCGAGGGTCGGAAGTTTATCGGAACAGTGATGGGCATGGATGTTGTACGGCCATGGAACGGGCGAGTTAAATTGCGTTCGGTGAGTGGAGATATAGGCTGGCCAAGGGCCTCGGAAGCGGGTGTACGCGAACGAAGTGGAGGCGAGTACTCAGAAGACGATGTACTAGAAGTTGGCGAAGCTTGGCCCTGGTCAGATTCTGGTGCTGGAATGATGGCGAGAGATAGTTGCTGTGTGGTAACGGTTTGGTGGATAACTGGTCCATCTAGTCTTTCGTCCCAGTGCCAGTGCGGCTCGTGGATTTGCATTTGGCTGGGTTTGAAGCTACGGCTTGCCCGAAAGCCACCATCGCTGCTTGCTGCGGAATTTCTTCCCTCGTTGAATAGAGGCAGATGCCTAATCTTCTGCCATGTCCAACCCGCGGATCCGTTTTGCATATAGCCGTCTTTATTGGTGACGTAAAGGCGCCTTATATTAGACTGTTGCATAGATACTTCCGCAAGGAAGGATGCTGTCCACAGTGTGGGCGTCAGCATCTCAGAGGTTTCGAGGAATCGTAGTTGCGAGTCCTTGTGCAATTTCCGTAATGGGATCCATGAGGTACCAAGAGCTTCGCGGTACCGCCGAAGGGGTTTTGGAATTTTCGAGGGCGAGCTGATGCCAGAAGACATGGTTTGAAGTATATCTTCAAATGCTTCAAACATGGCAAACTGAACGTGCTGGGCATCAGGACCTTTAACCTGGATTGTCCTCACAAGGCCTCTGCTCCGAAGTCGCTTATCGACTACAGTCTCTATGCCGCAGGCTCTTGCCGAGAAAACAGTTGATGTTGGCTGTAATTTTTCTAGTATGTGCTCCCAGGAGTTCTCTGTGGCCGCCTTGCTGAAAAATCGTTGAGACAGTGCTTCCGTTAACATATGAGGAGATGATGTGTCTTGCGTACTCCAGGCATTTCTCTGCGTGGGGTTGCCCGTTCGAGACCATACTCGATCCATATCAAGTCCGTATGGTAGAAATATGACCTCAAACTCCCATGGATTGGTCGCCGACGGAGGCATGGCGTTATCAAGATCACCTAGGCGAAACTCCAAGGCCTCGATACGTGAGTCAATCCGGGAGTACATTTCCGCGTGGCCCGTAGAAGTCATCACGGTCGAATTATCCGACGTAACTGACCCATTGTCACGGCCAGTAAGACCAAGTTCCTGGAATCGCTTGGTAGAGAGAGCCTTCTCCACCCGATCCAACCGGCACTCTATTTTCTCATGCTTGTGGCTAAGCAAGTCGCAGTCACAGTCACAGTTCCCGGCGTCGGTCGGAGCGGCACAGCTATGAGTCGCATTCTCCAAGTGATCCAGACGGTCTTCATGGTTCTGCAAAGTGTCTTTCAATGTCGGCTTAACCGCATAGTGTTTGTGAATGTCCGAAACGTATGGCAAAATATGATGGAAATTGGGAGTAGAATTTGCAACATCCATCTCGGATTGGGCTACAACGGAGGTAAGACATTCATCATTTTCGTTTGTGGAGACCAATAGGTCCATTCCATGAGACGATGGTTTCTGGGCCAGGTTTGTCTGTGATGCGCCACTTTTCTCAGTCTCCACTGTCATAAGCTTGTCATGAAATTCGGCATTTTCCAGGTATCCAGATAAGGGCGATGCAGCATCGGTTAAGCTTTCGTTATATGAGCCAGCCTGGATGGGGTGAGAGATCCAGTCATGTATCAATCCAGTGTTCGCTCTGTGCTCCTCGCGAGATCCTGCCGATCTAAACGAAAGTGGTGCTCCCACAAGAGCACTCAAGTTCATATTTGAGGACAGCAAACACTGAGATGGAATAGGAGGGAGCCCAGTGTCCTGGGGAGTGAAGTTTGGTCCGGGGGCTCCTGCATCACTTCTTGGAGGGCCGGTCTCGGTATCCACGCCAGGTGTTGGCAGCTGCCTCCCGGCTTGTGTCCCATTATTGAAGCTTACTGGGGCCGCTCGTTGCAAAGAAATACTTGGGGCCTTGGGAGGGTCCCTGTATGTGCTCAGGAGCGACGAGTCGCCTCCATGCGAGGCTTGTCGAGATCGGATAGGCATCGGAGCGACATCTTCCGTCGGCTTTCCAACTTCATGGAAACATGCATGGTGCTCGCACATGCACCAACCCACCTTTTCAACCTCGAGTTCTCCATCCGCATTTGTTGTCCCGGCCGAGTATTCCGACCGGTCGCAAAAGCGCTGGCACCCGCATTTTGCGTTGTTTCCAATGCTCAGATTTGTATAATTGCAGGCGCCCGTTGGCAGCTTTTGTGACGGTTGCCTGGCGGCAGGTCTTTCGCCATAACGGCTGTTCAAGATTGGAGTATTGGCAAAGTGAGCCATCAGCAAAGTCAAGTTTCGAGAGTGCTATGCATCGAAAACGATACGGCCGCCAGTGGGTTGAGCGACGACGGGGCTTGAGCTTCGAGATATATAATTAATTTTCGACTCCTTGGTAAAACTAAATCATAAATAACCCTCGATGAATTCCGATCGCGGGGAGGATTTCAGCGGACTGAATGGTTACCCTCACGGTAAGGACGAGCCCGCCTAATTGACAACTTTTTAACTTGGGATACTAACAGGTATATAGAAATATGAACATGGACACACTTGACTGAATGAAATATACTTTGAGTGAAGGACGACAAACGCAAGAGGAAAAAGGACCAAGGCACGAGCAGGCGCACGTACGGACACAGCCTGATCGTGGGATCAACCGAAAGGTGTGGAGAAAATATATTTAAGGAAGGAGAACGGCGAAACGATACAGAAGCCACACAAGTACCCGGTGGCTTCGGTTGAGCACAGTTGGACGTGTGCACTGCCATGGACTGGTATGACTCTTCGAATCAACCTTGTCAGCTGCAGTAGTCCAGGAGGTCAGGTTACCAACCCAATAGAGCAGCATAAAACCGCTCCATGGGGACCGAGTTCGCAATCGTTCATCATATCTCCAGCCAAACAGCTCCCTTACTGTGCCTGGAGCCAGTGACGCCGGGGCAACTCGAGGCGTCCCGTCCATAGCCGCCTCAGCGTTGTCGAATCATAAACGCCTTGCGGTGTCGCGAACACGACAGCGCGGTACGGGTCGCATTTACCGTCGCCTCGTTGACAAATTAGACGGCGTCAAGTGTGCATATTTCCCGAACTGGTTAGGTGAATATGCATGCACTCTGGTGTTGTTTCCCCATCACATCAGCAGCAGGATTGTGGTGAGATCCCCGCCTTGCATTGATATGGTAAATTCCAAGGGTCTTGGAATATACATCCAGCTGAACAAATTACCATGGGGCGTTTTGACATCGTATTATACAATAAAGCCACTCCTCGCGCGGTTGCTGCTTTACGCACCCTGTTGTAATAGTCACATGATCTCACGTGATCTCCGTACGGATTATCGGTAAAGCCAAGTATAGGTTAACGTAGTTCACAAGCGAGTTGGCTGCACAAGCGAGTTGGCAGATTTTTCATGGCATACAAACAAAACGTTAAATAACACAACAATTAATTAATTAAATTATTAAAGCTAACGTACATGTATAGCGAAAGCGCCAAACAAGCGAAAGCGCCAAAATTATCTACCCTCACGACAAACATTGCGATAAATCTACCACAACATTAGAAATCAATTGAAACTACTCGGAGTCCTCTTCCTCAGAGGTGTCTATTACAATCTGACACGTGCGCGCATTGTGCCCAGTCTCACCACACTTGCCACAGCGACGGGCACGGGTTTCTTCCCTTGGCTTCCGACCACGGCTTGCCCTTATTTCCTGCTCTACCTGCTGCACAACATCCCTCTCATCCTGTAGCTCTTGCGCCCCTTGTTGACTAAGTGATCCTCCTTGCTGTAGTCGTGTTTTCCTAGCTCTCCGGCGCTTGCTTAGTACTTCATTTGCCTGTCGTAGGTTTTGGTTCTCTCCCTTTAGCAGTGCTAATTGATGCATTATTTGCGATGCACCCTTTGTAAACTGGTCAACAGCTGCATAGATTGAGGTTGGAGAGCTATTTTGATGGCGTGAAATCCGAGTTTTAATAAATGTAGACTGTGACATAGCTTCAATTGGGTTGTTTGGTGTCTGAGAAACCCAAGGTTGAGCAGTACCTGGGCGGGAGCTTGGAGGCGTTGGTGTCCTTAACTTAAGATCAAGTGTAGATATCACTCTCTCAGGGTCAAATGGAAGAAGCCCTGCCCCTCGGAACCCGCCTCGAATGTTACTTTCCGTCATTGTAGTGTTAAATGCAGCGTGGAAGGCAGGAAAGAAGTCATCCTTTGTAATATGAGAAATATGAGCCTGCATCATATCTTCAATTTGCCGACCATAGGCCTGCTTTAACGGGCCGAAACAGCCAACATCAAGTGGCTGGAGTAGATGAGAAGAGTGAGCAGGCATACAAAGCGTAATAATGTTGTGTTCCTTGCAGTACTCCTCAAACTCATCTGAGTGGTGGCTCTCATGACCATCAAGGACTAACAAGCGATAACCACCAACACTCCGGGCCTTTGTATGCTTCTCAAAGTGCTGAATCCAATCCATGCCTCTCTCGTTTGTAGTCCAGCCATTTTCAGTAACAGAAATCACCCAATCGCTTGAAAATCCACTATTCTCATACCAAGATGTAAGGTGGTTTTTGCCTGCAACAATGATAAATGGTGGTACTGCCCAACCTTGAGAACTAACGCCTTGGATTACTGTAACCCATTCCCGATTACCAGGCTGTACCTTCTTTGCTTTTGCCCGCCCGTCTGAGCTTGTTACAACCATAGCAGTTGAGATAACGCCCATCATAAACCCAGTCTCATCAAAGTTGTAGATATCTGCTTCATCGATACCATATTTCGCAATTGTGTTACGCACAAGCTCAAACCAGCCATTAATAACTTCTGGATCTTCGCACTTAGCCCTCTGGTAGTCGTATTTGCGCTGAAAGCGTGTCTGGAGCTCTACACGCCGCTTAACAAAGTTTGAAGCCCAACGCGACCCAACGCGTGACGCGTCGCGTGTTGCAAGTAGTCGACTTGCCATATCTTCAACAACAGACAGCCGAGGAGGAAACCCTTTGGCAGCTAGGTCGAGTATATACTGAACAAGGACGGACTCCTCTAGGTTAGTTAATTTCCGTGAGTTGGCTTGGATATCGTGTCGTGAAGGTACACCTTCTAGACGACGACCTAGCTTGCGGTGGTCCACAGAATAGATCCTAGCAGCAACTCGAAGGCGTAACTTTGGGTCGCTTTGCATAGCCTGGATAGCTAGCACTAATTGGCTTTCATCGTTTTTATGGGGCATGTTTTGTTGTTGAGGAATTTAACATTTAGTTGGGGGGTTTGGTCACCGCATCATTTTGGCGCTTTCGCTTGTTTGGCGCTTTCGCTATACATGTACGTTATTCAGAATCGGAATTATCAAGCTCAATTCTACCATTCTTGCACGTTCGTACGTTGTGTCCAAATTCTCCGCACGCTTTACATCGTCGTTGTTGTGGCCCGCCAACCTTTGTACGACCACTACTTTGAACCAAATCAGTCTGTAACTGCGCGTTAACATCAATTTGAGCTTGAAAATCTTGCGCATCTTGTAGACTAAGTGATCCTCCGTCTTGAATTCGACGTTTTTTCGTACGACGGCGTCGACTAAGTTCATCATTTGCTTTACGCAATGCGGTGTTCTCTTCGCGTAACAAAACCAGTTCGTGGATTGCACGTGTTGCACCTTTTGCAAATTGATCTACACTTGACAAAAGTGCAGTTGGCGAGCTATCTTGATGTCGTACAATCTTTTCTTTCACATATTTAGTATGTGATTGCGTTTCGATCACGTTGTGCAGCGTTTTTGGCTCCCATACCATAGGCAGATCGGACGAAGTTGGCGGTGGAGTTGGCGTAGAAACTCGAATATCAAGCTGTGAAATCACATACTGCGGATCGTACGGCACTAAACCAGTTCCGCGGAATCCTCCTCGAATGTTTGACTCTGTAAGTGCTGCACGAAACGCAGCATGAAATGCAGGAAAAAAGTCTTCCTTCGAAATGTGGGTAATATGTGCACGCATCAATTTTTCAATTTCAGTGCCGTACGAACGTTTTAAAGCTCGAAAACACCCAACATCAATGGGTTGAAGCTTATGAGATGAATGAGCAGGCATACATAAAGTAATAATGTTGTGATCTTTGCAATATAGTGTAACGCTGACTTCTAAACGATAGAAGACACAGAGGTTCTCTTGCGTAAAGGTTTACTTATCAGAGGAGGCAGGGGATCAGACACAAAGGCTTCAAGTAACACGTTACTAGTATATAACAAATACTGTATTGAGTTGAGCACGAAGCTCCTATCTAAGGAAATACTATCTACTTATATAGTGGCGTCGTGCCTAGTGGACTCTTGGGAACTCACTCGAGTCCTCGGAGTCCTGGACTCTTAGGACTCTTCTCATCATCCTGCGAGTCCATCACGTGCCTAGTGGACTCCTGGGAACTCACTCGAGTCCTCAGAGTCCTGGACTCTTAGGACTCTTCTCATCATCCTGCAAGTCCGTCACGTGATACTTTCGGAACTACTATTCCCCGCTGCCCCTCCAGGTACCAGGGCCGGTCTCATGCGACCTCCCTCCTTCCTGTCCTGTAGTTGGCCAGCCTTCTTGTTCCGTCGTAACATATAGCTCAAAATCTGGTTGTGGCTGACCATCCGGTGGATAGCTGCCCTGGTTCCTGGAGGAGGAGCACCACGCCCTCGTCGCCGCCGAAGCGGCCCTCCCTGTTGTCGACCAACCGAACACCACAAGGAAACGCACCGAGACGCAGGGAGAGTGCTGGCCAGTGCAGTACTCGCACTTCGACGACGAGGGAGACCAGACGCAGGCATGCGCCTGGACTCCCCGAGCTTTGGCCAGAAGGCAACGCAAACAGAGGACGCGGAAAGCGACCGACAAGGCTCCGGCAGGAGGCGGGACCGGCATCTTCAAGTTGGGATCTATAATCCCGTCAGTTGAGCCCACATTATCACCCGCACGCTGAGCGCGTTCCCGTCACCTACTCGTTCGTGTGGAATGGTATATTCTAAAAAACAATCAATTAGTATACAGATATATGAATGGAGGGGGCCACTTACCAGTCTCGGATCGGCATTCGCTGGCGTTGGAAACAAACAAGAGAAAGTGGGCGAAGCGGAGGACTCAAATGTTGGCTTACAACAATAAATTCTGAATCAGGCTAGCGCAACCACTCCCCCTTTCACGTTTCCGAAGGTTCGACTCAAACGATTAGCGGATTCTTCCCGGGGCCCATTCGGACCACGAAGATGGAAGTGAGATCAAACAAAGCCAACTCCAGTGTTGCATTCCACGAGGTGGTGTTACGGTACCCTTCACGAACAGCCACCTCTGCACACAAGCACACCCCGACACATTTTAGAAATGGAGAGGTTACGGAAAGGACCCTGATAGCGTGCTTTGCAGACAAAGCACCCTCTTAGAAGGGGGGTAGTGTAAGGATGTCCTCTCGTCTCTCACTCTAAGGAGCAGACAAGGAGCAGACTCTGAGTAGCTGCGGGTCACGTGTGATCATTTGGGCGGGCTAACCGACTCGGAGGTTTCGGGTACTTGAGGGAAATGACTCACGGGGTTCCCCCTTCATCTTAAGAGTTAAGGCAGGTTAGCCGAGTCGGACCCGTTTCGGGTACTTAAGGAGATTGACCCAACGGGGGTTCCTCTCTTCATCTTTTTTGTATCCTTTATAGTAGACCTATAGGATAGCATCCGTTTAGCCTCCGACTCGCACTCTCACATGCTATTACTGTGAGCTGGGTGCCCTGTGTCCTTACATGTTTATTCCTTCCATTACTTGTCACGGTTCACCAAGGCATAGGGCGCCAGTTGGGTATTATGAATTAAACTCAATCTAGAGAAGAAAGGAAAGAGAAGAGGATCACTCGAGCAGTGGCTCGATCTATATACAGCTATTGTGGAGTGAATTCTCTTTAGCGAGACCAGTTCTGAGAATTCACTCCACAACTGAAAACTTCGCTCCAACCCCGGAAAGCTCCCCACACCCCTGAACCCCCACTCGAGCTGCAAGGCGCACTTGATATCGGAACATTACTCATCCATGACTGTTTTGGGCTCAACGGGCTCAGCACGGTATCATTGATCGAATTGGTCTGACTATGCAGCCACCCTTCTTTACAAATAAGGCTCTCTTCAACTCCTTCTTCTCCTCCTTGTACTTGTCCCACAGCTGCTTCATCTCTTCCTTCTCCGCGACACCGTGCTGCACCAGGTCTGAGTTGTCAGCGAGCCTGAGCCTGACTGTTACGGCTAGTAACATGATGTCATGGTTACAGGGCCAGGGCCTAGTAACGTGACGTGTGAGTCACAGTGGGAATGTAATGGTGGGTGCACCAGATGTGAGAATCTAGCCACCCAAGGAAGGGATGAATTTACTAAGACAACACACTGTCTTAGAAAACAGAGCCAAAGGGTCGTAGCTTAGACTATTCCACAACGCAGCAATCAGGTGTGTGATGTAGTGAAGTGGTTCAGACAAGTTGCAACAAATGTTGAGTCTGGGAACTCAGGGGTAAGTCAGAGGTTAACACCTCACTGACTTTTCAGAAACAAGGAGTAACAAGATGAATGCTTGGAAGCTTGGAAAAGACGTGGAAGTATGTGATAGTCGATTTACTGTATTGTCTGCTTGCCCTTTCTTAACGAAAGGGCAATCCTATTTATGCTAAAGGAGTGTAGTTCTCTCATTTTCCAAGACTTTCCATGACTTACCAGGCTTGGTAACTGTAGTCGACGTAAGAGAATCCCATAGAACCATCTCTTAGGTTCGTAGCCTATAGGAAGTAAAAGGAGGTCCAAGGTCAGAGTACCCCTATAGACAAATTATGTCATAGACAAATTATGTCATAGACAAATTATGTCATAACTTAACCAATCTTGTGGGTAACTAAAGAGCGATGACATGTAATGAATCATAGAGGTTCGTAGGAGCTTTTAGAGCTATCGTTCATGCTCCTAGGCCTCTAGTTGGTAGAGATATGTCATGTGGTAGTATGAGTGATGTCATGTAATGAATCATAGAGGGTTGTAGAGATATGCTATGTGGTAATATCGGCCCAGTAACTAAGGAGCGATGATGTGTAATGAATCATAGATGGTTGTAGCAATCGTTGAGTAGTATTGCTCTTGTTGTTGGTGTGATAAGCCAAAATATGTATAGTGACTTGTAGGTTTGAGGAGGAGATTTCCAAGTTTGCTCTTGAGTTTGATAGCAAACTGAGTGCAACGAATGTCAGTATGACACAGGTGAGGATTCAGAGGAAGATGAGGATGCATAGTTACTGTATTTCCATAGTCTATATAGCTATCAATCATGTTTTCATTTTTATACTCGAGTACTACTCGAGTACTACTCTACTCGAGCCCAAAAAACAGTACTCTACTCAAAGATCTCTGAGTAGTACTCTGAGTAGTACTCGGGCAACACTGGCTGGATTCCAGAGTAAGGTAAACGGACCAGGAAGCTGCTCTTGCTGCCGTAGACACTCGCAGGCTGTAGCGTACCGTTGGATTAGCGGGTTATACTCCATTAACTCCACATGTAAACATCGTAATATAGTAGAATCAAGATTTGGATTGCGTAGTAGCCGCATGTTACTTGCTTCATCTGGGTCGTAGAAAAACAGCTGATTAAAGGCAGCATCCTCAGGGCGTCCCGTTATAGGGTTTAGCGGACCTTGGTAATGCATTAACTCTCCATGGACAGTAACCATTCTCACGCCTCGATTACCACCTGTAATGCTGTCTAAACGGCTGTCCTCTGAGAAGCTATAGAACGTTAAAGCCAGAGCGTTGTTGTAGGCCTTAATATTCTTGCGAAAGGAGGTAGCATCTGGAGCGTCCGAAACATATAAATATGTAATATAAGGGGGCGGCTTCTGTAATGGGTAGGAATCTGGAACTGCTCCATCTAAACAGCACTTCTTTCTAAAAAACGGACCGTCCCTATCAGCCCGAACCTTCGACCCTATAAAGAACATTGCACCACAGAATCGACACTCGTTATCCATACGACCGGTAAAGTGTGGGGGGTGTTAAAGAGTTGTATTCTGATAGAAAGGCAATAGGGGTATTCTGCTGGGGGCTCTAGGTCGAGAATTGGGTCCCGGTCCTATTGCGGACACAGTTTCGACTATAGTCTATTCTATAATATACTACAGTCATGACGCGTTAAGTCGATACTCGAAGCACATTTTACGATAACTGCTGTACAGTCATAATCCGTTATGTCGATAGCTCGGGTCCCGTAAATACCATCGAGATAGCGTAAATATCGAGATATCGAACGTGGGTTGAGGCCAGCAAAACGTATCGACGTAACGTGAATCGAGTATCGACTTAACGCGTCATGACTGTAGTATATTATAGTCGAAACTGTGTCCGCAATAGGACCGGGACCCAATTCTCGACCTAGAAACTAGCTCTAAGCCCGAGCCTGGGTTCGAGCCAGTCTTTGAGTTCGAGTAGAAGTGATAATTTTCGTAGAAATAATTTATCTATGTACCTTTATATACAATTTAGTATGTAAAGGTACCTTGCGCATCCTTCTCCACCCACGATTAGGACTTTTGGGCCACACAAGTATGTAGTACATCCCACCGACTTCAAGAGTTACGTCATGGCACGTGATAAGTAGATTGACGTTGAGCTAGGCTAAGTGCGAAATCACAACCGCGTCACAGACAAGCAAAGCTGCCCAGTCGCGTGGCGCGAAATAAATTCCAATACTCCGTACAACAGCAGGCTACTACCTTGCGAAACCAACAACACCGTTTCATCTACATATTTCACAAGTTTATTCTTCTGCACAACCTTGTACCCAAACACATACCACAACTTCACTGGAAGTCAACCAATGCTTCCAACCAGTCACACATGATGACGGATTGGAACAAATTGAAGGTGCCGGAGCTCAAGGCTGAACTCAAGTCAAGAGGACTGTGCCAACATGGATTGAAAGCTGTCCTTGTCGCCAGGCTGGATGAAGCCGACAATGGCACCGGTGCACAAGGTGGTGAAGCTGAATTAAAGCAAGGCGACGGCAATGAAAGCATTCAAACCAATACTGTCGACAACAGCCCAGAGGCGGAGGAGGCGGCACCACATCCTGAAGTTGAGATCGACAGCGCACTGAAACTGTCGCATGAACCATCTACACAAGATGTAAATAAGGATGCGCAAATCGAAGCGGACTCCAAACTAGGTGCCCCTGCGCAACCAGAAGCTACCCCCACCTCTCAAGAGGCGCCAATACAGGATAGTTCGTTGGCTGAACCATGTGTCGCTGAGGCTCAAGCAACTGATATTGAATCGCGAAAAAGGCGCTCGCTATCTCCTCCTCCTGGCAGCTCAGAGACGTCACGAAAACGCCAGCGCAAGGACACAGAACTCCCCTTCACCGACGTTGATGGACGACGCGATGACGTGACTACTTCAGAAGGAGATGCACAATGGGTCGAAAAGCACAACAACGTCGATACTACAATAATCAATGCCGAATCGGAGGAGGTTGCAACGGCTGGGGACGTGGAAGGGGGCCCTACAACCATGGGCGTTGGAAAGGAGGAGGTCGTAGTCGAGCATGCAGGAAAACACACGGAAGACACTCGTGGCAGGCACAGAGAGCGCAGCTACAGATCGCCTTTAGTCTCTTCCCATCGACGCTCAGAAGACCGCCAAGCAGGCAGAGACTACGACATGCCTGATGCAGAGCAAGAGCGCAGTGTTGCGCCATCCATTCACCCAGCCACCTCAGCTCTATACATCCGCAACTTCCAGCGACCGTTAAACCGTACGCAACTCAAAGACTATATTGGTGAACTTGCCACTGCGCCAGGCCTGTCTCCGGGTCCTGATGTCATACTTGACTTCTTCCTCGATTCAATTTGCACGCACGCATTTGTCTCGTTTTCCAACATCTCGGCAGCTTCTCGTGTCCGCTCCGAGCTACACGATCGCATCTGGCCAGATGAGCGCACCCGTCAGCCGCTTTGGGCGGATTTCATCCCGTATGAGAAGGTAGCCGAGTGGATTGAGGCTGAAGTCTCTTCCACCGCTGCACGATCCGGCAAGAAATGGGAAATCATGTACGGGGTAGATGATGACAGGAATGTTTCAGCCACCCTCCAGGAAACCGGTGCCGTCCCAGCTCAGATCCGCAGGCAATCGTCATCCGTAGTCAACAATCCGCCCCCTGCTTTTGATCGCCTTGGCCCAGGCCCAGTCCCGGGTGCACCTTCTGGCCCTAGAGCAGACATGGGAAGAAGAGACAACGGAGTACCCCTTGACGGCCCATCGGATCGATACAACAGGGATTCTGGCCGTGATTTCAACCCATACGATCGACCTAACGCTGATGTACCACCGGTGGCTCCATTTGACCCGGATGTGACCTACACCAGAGCCTCTCCACCCGTCGCTTTTATTCCCGTAATGAAGGCTCTTGCGGAGCGGAGATTGGATAACATTCATAGCCTCTACGCTAGAGACGCGGAGGACGATTTCAGGGCGAAGAGCGAGCAGCACAGATACTCGTTCGAAGGCGACCTGTTGGTCGATAGAGGGCCAGAAATCTTCCCAGGCGTCAGGCCTCCGCCAGGCGTGAGAAGGAGGGGACTACCTAGAGGATTACTCAGCAGGGGCGGCGGCGGCAGACGTGGTCCACGAGGTGGAAGAGATTTTGGTGGCCCGAGAGACTTCGGTCGAGGCGATAGGGGCTACAAGGGGGGTTACGGCAGAGACGAGGGGTATGGGGGAGGGTTCCGGAATGATCGCCCACCGCGTCGCGGAGGAGACTCGTATGCCGGCGGATATGATAGCGGCTACAGATTCAACAGGCCTGAGTATGATCGCCCGAAGGATGATTTTGGCCGTGGCCCGAGAAACGGGGGAGGAGGTTACGGCCGAGAGGATCAGCATTGGCGTGGGGGTTCGGTGGGAGTGGGCAGACGTTATTAAGGGGTTGTGTAAATACAGGGTCGGGGGGGATATTGGAGTTTCTGAGGCGTTCATAGTGGGTTGGTTGATTGTTTGAGTATATACGGGTGGGTGGAAATCTCGAGATATGGCATGCGATGATTTCTCCAAGGGCCCTGGTTTCGTGGCGTGGCGTGGAGAGCCAATTAATGCACAGTTACATACAGTCCGTAATGATGCAAATAAAAACGATGTTACACGTTAATCGCTGGGATCTTATATTCGGTGATACATACTCTAGATTGCACCTATCCCATACCAGTCTTCAAACCTAAAGATTTGATTTAAAATGTCCGAGAGGGCTGCATACATGTATGCTGCATTCTTACATCAAGCCAGCAAGCAAGTAGTATGCTGAGGCAAGCTGCCATCTACTCTCAGTCCAAAGGATCTCATCTGCCAACGCTCCGTTAAGAACCATCTCCTATAGAGAGAAGGTCCCTGCAAACACTGAAGTCTGCATCGCTGGGTATATCCATCTTTGCCATATTCCAGGCGCCCACACATGCTATACCAAATGGCGGCGACAAAAGAAAGGTAAGATGAAAGAAAAACAAAAAGTTGTCGAGTGAATTCACCAAAATACTCAACGCAGCATGTTCAATGCCCAACAAATGGGGTTCATAAAGATCGTTGGTCAATTCTAGCTGGAAACAGCAGCCCTTGCCAGTAAACGCCTGTGCCCTCCTGTCGTCCATCCATACACCAGCGCTTCGCTCCGTTAGTGTAAGCAAAAAATTATATCCGGCACCGTCCCGTTATAACCGTCCTACCCATAACCCAGCCCCGTCCCGCCAGACCACAAACCTAATCGCTAATATGTTGAAACAGCGCCGAGATGCTCTCGCCGTAATGGTTCCTCCGGATGGCCTCGCTGAGGAGCCCGGCCAGCTCGAGCACGACGAGCTTCTTGCTTGCGCGCGCGCGCTCTTCGGGGATAGGGAACGAGTTCGTCACGAGGATCACGTCGATGCAGTCGCACTTCTCGAGCTCCTCGAGGGAGTCGCCGCCGAATAGACCGTGCGTCGCGATGATGTACACCTTCTTTGCCCCACCACGCTTGACGACCGCTTCGGCTGCGGCGACCCAGCTACCCCACTTATCGATCATGTCGTCGACAATGAATACCGAGCGGCCCCTGACGTCTCCGACGAGGGTGATCATCTTCTCCAGGTCGTGGTTGACGGGGTCGTCGCCCTCTTCGTCGCTGCTTTCCGCGGCGTCGTGCGAGCCGCCGAGTGCGTAGGGTTCAGGGTTGAAAAAGCTCGAGACGCGCGATATTTCCAGAGGGTCGTCTTCTGGGCGATCTAAAATCATGGAGTTCGACATGGCGGAGGTGGTGGGAGAGGGGTAGTCGTCCGGCACGATGTGGCCGTGTACAAGACGGCCGTGGATAACTTCCCGGGCGCGTTCATCGGTGTATTCATCTTCTTCGGTGTGTGAGAAAGGGATGGGAGTGGTGACGGATCGAGTAAGAGGGGAGCGCGCAGCAGAGGTTGGTCTGGTGAAGGGCAAGCGGCTAGCTGATATGGGATTTGAGGCGCGAGTTGATGATGAGCTTTCGTGACGCGAATGAGAAGGGGTGGGGTTGGATGTTGGGCCGGATATCGGGTTAAATGTCGGCTCCGAGTCGAGTGTGACGGCGCTGAGAGGGGTAGACAGATCCGGTTCGCCATCAACTTCGTCATTCCGCGTATCTTTGTCGTTGGGAGGTGGGCTGTGGTCTAGAGAGCTGAATATCATGCTTGAACTCATGTTACCGCCTCGCCTTCGGTCTGTGGTGACCATTCCGAAGTTCAACTTCAACGCATCCGCCAATGACGTGACCCTCTTTGTGCCGCCCGCGTTCTTCGATACGCATACTGCTTCCTTCCATCCCGGGACATTGTGCCTGATCCACCTTGCTATTAACGGTTCCGCGTGAAGATTGTCAACAGGGCATTTGAAGAAGCCCTGCATTTGAGATGCATGTAGATCGATCGTGATGATGTGGTTGACACCAGCAACATTGAGAAGATTAGCAAGCATGCGAGCAGTAATCGCGCCTCTGTGTGACTTCTTCTTAGATTGTCGGCTATATGGGAAGTATGGTAGGACAGCTTCAAAGAGAATCAGTAAAAGCAATTTGCATGGCGTGGTACAGAATGGGAGACTTGAAGCAACGCACCGGTGATTTTGTTAGCAGAACCGCCTTTGCACGCCGAGATAAGAATCAGGAGCTCCATGATACTATCATTTATCTTCGAACTGCCAGACTGGACGACGAAGACATCCTTCTCTCGAATGCTAGTGAGGATCTTGACGCTCGTCTCGCCCTGGGGTAGAGTTAGCCCCACGTGCAGATACAGAGCTAGATAGCTGCATTGATACGTACGTTTGCAAATTGCGACAGCTCGACAGCGGCCGGTGCCATTCCTAGATTTGTGCATATCTGATTTGTGAGCTCAGGGACAGAGCTCCCTGCGAAAATGAGGGTTTTGCGCATCTTCGGTGGTTGTTGAAGGATAAACGAGAGATGGGGGAGCTCAAAATAATATTTTAGCTAGTGGGAACAAAAGTTCCGCTTCCCCACTCATGATCCCGCTCACAGCCACCACAACAAAATTCCAGGATGGCCGAAACAGATAATCACATTAATATCCGCCATGGTCTCACAGTAGATAAGGACTGATGGTTCATATAATTAATTGTCATCAGCCTTTTATTTATTAAAGATGGGGATCCCTCACCTGATCACCCATCTTCGTCCCTACTCAGAAAACACAAATTTCAACGGCCAAAATGTAATAATTGATGGCCCTGGGTTCGCATATCACATATTTCACACCTGCTTGGCAGAAGAGCCGGAAGCTCGCAATCCGTTTGAGGCCTTTCCGTCGTACAAGAAGATTGGCGATGCGGCTATCCGCTGGCTAGAAGAGCTAGAAGGCTTTGGCGTTGAAGTGTACAGACCATTCCTATTCCTGGCTGAGAAAGAAAAGAAAGAAAGCTGATCCCATGCAGGAAGAAAATATACTTTGATGGATTTTTGCCTGCCTCCAAAAAAAAGACGAGGTCATCACGACTCATGAATTACACAAAGCAACTGGCTTTGTATCACGAGGCATGGCCGCAGGTGATCCCGAGTGGAAATGCCCAGCAGAAGCCGAAAGGCAGAAGATCAAGCATGTTTGATCATAAGTCGTCTGCAGCTGTCTCTGGGCATGTTCCTGCTATTCCATTTCTTGTCCCCGCCATTCTTGAGAAGCTTCTGGCTTCTCAGCGCTTCCAGGGCATCACCTCTGTCTCTCCAGGCGAGGCAGATTTGTACTGCGCAAGGTATGTGAAAGATCACGGCGGAACGGTGCTCACAGGCGACTCTGATCTCCTAGTCCATGACCTTGGTGCCCTGGGCTCGGTATCATTCTTTAAAGACCTTGAAGTTTCCGAACAGTTCAACATCAAGACGATTAGGTGCTTCCAGTATACACCAGCTTTAATTGTGGAAAGGCTTGACTTAAACCGGTCATATGGGCTAAAATCCTTTGCTTTCGAGATGGTTATGGACCCACATGCAAGTTTACCAAAGCTGAAGCAGAAATCTAAGGACATTAAAGCGGTCACGGATTATCCAGGCATGTACACAGACTTCGTAAAGGAGTATGAGGCCTTGTCCAAGGAAGTTCATACCACGGAACTCCCAGAAGCTGATTCTGCAAAATCCCTTCGAGCTGTGCTCAGGACACTCGATCCCAGGATATCAGAATACGTTCTTCAATTTCCTCGGGCGGCTGAGGCGGCTGAGCGTCCGTTTCCTTCTTCAGTTCAGCCAGCTGAAAATGGGAACAGTGTGGATATGTTCCTCCCATTTCTGCTAGATTGTCCTTCCAAAACAAGTGCCTGGGAGATGAGCACGGCAGTTCGGCAATTAGCTTATGGTGTGATGAATTTAACAGAGCCAAAGGAGAACCATGTTGTGGCCGTCGTGGAACATCGACGCCAACAAAAAGGCTCTCGGGGGAGGGAATGGCAGCTTCCCACTTATGGTGAGATAGAAGAAGCATCCGCAGGATTAGTTGAGCTAGCGGAAAGTATTGGTAAGAAAATGCCTGGTCTCTCGGACTTTGGCCTATGGAGAGCTATTGCCCTCCATCAAGATTTGGTCTTCTCTTCTTCGGCTGGGAAACAGTCACTGGGGAGCTTGATAATTGAGTCGGGGGTGGGGTCGAGAAGGTTATCGTGGGATACGATACACTTTTCCGCTCAATTGCAAGGCTCCTTCTACTCTTTTCGAATGCTCAAGCAGATACTGGGGGTTGCCTTGGTCTCGCAAAACTCGGAGAACATATCCGAGGCCTTGAAGAGTTTATCTAAATTGCTCGAGTCGTTACCAGATTTGCAAGCAACGCCAGACGTTCACGCAGACCTGGAACCCTTCAAATCCTCCGCGGATCGCAAAGCGCTTTTAGCAGTCAAGACGCTGCTGAACATAGGAGGACAGGATATAACGGACAATCACAATCCCAAGTCTACAAAAAAAGATAAGAAGAATAAACGGAAGCGGGCGCAGGGGTCAAGCGCGTCGGTGGAGGTCACAAAACGGCCAAATAATATGTTCGACTTGCTAGGCTCGACATGAATAACGAGCACCACGTAGAAAATATCAGCCGCTTAGAGACGACACAAACTCCCGTTGAATACGCTCCGTCAAATACCCCGGGACGGATGCTCATTACCGAATACACTCCCCTAGATTCTCTTCAACTGATATCCTGATTCCAGTCACCACATCATATTCGCCGCATCCTGCTCACCACATCCTCTTCGCCACATCTTGTTCACCAGATCGCCTTCACCACATTGCCTTCCCAGATTGCCCTCACCCCAACATCACAAGGCTGAAGCTGCTTCATCTTGCTCCTAGCTACAATCAGTAAGCATATTTTTATCCTTGCACACAATCAACTAACTAACCTGCAAAGCAATCGACACGTATTCGCTCTTTTCCTCTCTGATCTCTGAGAGGAGTTCTGTCTAGCGATGTCTTCTCTATTTCCAAGCCTTCCTTTCGAGATCCGCCACGAAATTTGGCGTCACTGTGTCCCAGCACCACGCGTTGTCGAGACACGTTATGATAAGGCCACTGGCAGAATTCTCCCAGGCTCTATGCCTCCAGTTCTGCTCCATGTGTGCCAAGAGTCTCGCAAGTTTATTCTCTCCACCGAAACAGGATTCAGCATGCAATTTGGCACGCCAGCATACCCCGCCGCTGTTTGCTGAATGTTAAGACCGACGCTGTTCAGATTGACTATTCCGCTCTCGAGAACAACAACATCGAAGCTGCCGAGTTAGAAACCATTATTCACCTTGAAATCTATGGTGCTACTCTTGCTAATAAACTTCCTTCTGATGTTATCCGCCAACTTGTGAGATTTCAACATCTTGATACAGTATCACTAGTCACGCGTTGCGCACCACTCCAGAAGCCTACAGGCCTAAAGATTTTTCTTGCCTACTTTACTTGCTAATGGAGAACCTCCGTACTTGTTTGACTTCTCAGGACTGCGATACTTTCAAAGGGCTACTTATAAACTTCGTTTATATGAGGCATGATGGCTCACGCAACGCTGAAGAAGTAGAGTTTAACCCAGATTGGAGTTTGGCTGTCGACAGTGTCTACTCTCATGATGATTTTGCGAGTCGACTATGACGCGCCGTATGGAGGAGTTGAGACGCAACAGGGAGACCCAGGCTGCATAAGTCTGGGTATAATTTCCATTCCGAACTTCTCAGTTGAGAAAGGGGGTTTCTATTGTAATCTGCTCTGCTTGGTTGGGAAATGGGGTGGTACTATATGGCTGGGTATAGTTCGTTTTCTAAACTGCTCAGTTGAGAATGGGGGTGACACAAAGTGCCCCAGTTGTTTCTGTTCTAACCTTCTCGGTGCAAAGCAAAGCAAAGCAAGAATGAAGTCGCATGTATCGTCCACTGGCCCGATCTCCTGGTGCCATGGGTCTCTCAGAGGCACCAAGTCGATCTCACTACCCGAGTCACAAGAAGAGTAATATAGTAGCTCAACCTCGCGTTTCTTGTTGTTATGCTCGATAGTTCACTGTGCTTAGTGTATGCAGAAGTGTAATTAAAATCCGTTAATAATCCCTTGATAACTCCCACGAAAGCGTGTAGCTCCTCTCCAACTCCCACTGCCGCCGTCTGACTCCTACGGTATGACGAGGCTAACCCTCAGCCTTGCCGACGTCAGTGTCGAGAGGCGGCGAACAATGGCAGTATAAAAATGTGCCCCTCCAAGAATCTAGAGGGGCATGTTAACTAAATTTCATTTCCAAACGATATATACCATCTAGAGGCATCTTAATACTGCCAAAATGCCCTCTGAACTTGAGGATCTTGTAGGATTTATAAACCATGGCAGTACTCCTGTACGACAACTAGGTATGCCCAATCCCCACACTTTCGTGCAACAGGGCTGATGAAGCGCATGGTAGCTGTCGAGAATTTGGTGCCGTATTCTTTGAGCCAGCCGGCGATATTCAAGAGGGATGGTTTATTACCAGTTAAACATCTCAAACTTTTGGTTAGAGATTATCCGGTATGCGGCCCCAAAACGTCGTCAGATGGCAGTGGCTAACAAGAGATGTAGCAAATAGCCAAGAATGCCCTCGATATCCTCATCAACCTCTCTGATGACCATGAGATCCTTGAGGACCTCTCAAAAGATAACACTCTCCTCGATTCCCTCTTAAGTCGCCTCACGGTATATTGGCCCTTTACAGTCCCACTATTGTAATCCTGCGCTTACTTTCGATCCTGAACAGAACCCTACTGAGCCAAATGCAAACTTAATAGCTATGCTCCTCGCCAACCTTGGCAAAGAAGATAATGTAAAGATCCTTCTACAGCTAGGCTGCGTATCTCCCGAGGGTCTGCGCTCCAGCAACCGCATCATTGACCAGCTGTTCGATTTATTCGTCAAAGGCGCCGATGGAACATACAATAAAGATGCCAACTTCGACTACCTCGCCTACCTCTTTGCCGACATCGCAAAACATACCGAGGGCCGGAAGTACTTCCTGACCAAGCAAGAATACGATGGCGTCATCCCATTAACGAAGCTCACGGTCTTCACCGAGCACAAGAGTGACGTGAGGAGGAAGGGTGTCGCGAGCACGATTAAGAATGTGGCGTTTGAGACGGACAAGCACGAGCTGTTTCTTGCTGAAGACCAGATCAATATTTTGCCTTACCTGCTACTACCCATCATCGGCGGAGAAGAGTACAGCGACGAGGACCAGGAGGGCATGCTGGATGATTTGCAGCTACTCCCACCTGACAAGGCGAGAGATAGCGATCCCGAGATCATTAAGGCGCACGTGGAAACACTGATGCTGTTGACTAATAGCAGGGAAGGGAGAGACACAATGAGGAGAATCAAAGTCTACCCCGTGATCAGAGAGACACATCTTGCTGTCGAGGATGAGGGGGTGAGGGAGGCTTGTGAGAGGCTGGTGCAAGTGCTAATGCGGGACGAGGAGGGGCAGGAGGTTAGCGATGGGATGAAGCAATTAGAGCACACGAGCAAAAGAGCGGTGCCAGCGTCGAAGGCCGGCGGGTGGGCAGATCAGGAGAGCGAAGACGATGATGATGAAATTAAAGAAGTCTAATAGACTCAGCGAAACCAAATATATCGAAATATATCCACCAATATCCAACGCCTGACACCTTTCATCGTCAATTGTCTCAAGCATTCCTCCATTCATGCTCTCTCAATGGATGTGTTTCAGAAGTCTTAGAAAGGGGGAGTACCTGCGTATGTCACGTGAAATGTCATGCAAGTTGTACCTTGCTGGGTCATGCGTGCCCTACGCCTGCAAAATGGTAGCTTTCACCAAACCCAATTGAAGGCTCGAAGCTGCCAGATACAGACAAATATGACTTAATGTATGTCATGTCGAACAGATTTGAGACTTCATAATTGTCCTCTCCTTGGCGGCCAGCCGGTGGAGGTTGATGACTGGGAAGACAACATAAACAAGCCGACCGCCCATCACAAGCCAGCCATCAATGCCTCCGTAAACACAAAATTCGGCCATGGAATATGTAGTACGTTCCCCTCAAAAATCCCCAATCGAACCATTCTAACACCCGACAGAAAGGATTTCTCCCGTGGCCCGCCACCCCCGTCCCAGGCGTCGCCCTCTCGGCCTCTGGCCTCCTCGCCCTCGCCGACCTAGGCACAATCGCCAACCGCACCGCCATAACCGGCACCTCAACATGGCTCGACATGCTCGTCCTCGCCCCCGGCCTACACAACCAGCAGCGCGCCGACACCCTCTCTGACCTCCCAAACCCTTTCACACAACCCCTCCTCACCACCCCCACCCACCGCCATATCAGCCTCACAAACGCAGCCACGATCCGCTACCTCGCGCGGCTCGGCGCGGGATCCCGTCCCGTCACCCTCCGCGTCGGGTCGCCGCGCACCCAATCCCTGCGCAGGACAGTTAGCACGGCTTCGTTGAAGCGCGTTCGCCAGAGGCCCCGGCCTAGTTTGATGGCTCCGCTCCTGTATATCATTGCGCTTCTCCTCACCGTCAGCGCAATGGCACTCATGGTCTTGACGCGCGACTGGTGGGGTGTGGGGATCCTGAGCGCGCTCATGCTCGCGCGCGCGCTGAACATCTGGATTATCCGCTCGCGCACTTCCGGGGGGCCGCCGGCATCCGCGCAGGCTTCTGGGCAGGCAATTGTGCAGGCGTCTGCGCCGACCTCTGCGCCACCAGGATCGCCGCCACCTACGCCGGTGGATGCGGAGCCCGAGAGCTGGAAGGTCAGGATTGATGGCGAGAGAGAGATATGTCTTCACGGGATGGCTGACGACTTAGAGGCTTTGACAGGGGGCATCTGGATGCGTGGCAAGACAGCAGTAGAGGGGTACGCAGAGGCGGCGGCGAAGTTGATCGTCTATCTCGTCGCGTCGTTCAGCGGGAATATGCACCAGACAGGTGATATGGTACTACTTCTGCTGCTGTTGTTTTCGGCCGGCTTGCTGGCGCTGAGTAATTCGAGGGAGGATAGGTTCTGGATGAATGGACGGTCAGCGGTTATTGTACCTGGGTTTGCGGAGGTTATGGATGGGATTGCGACGCCGGATTGGGGGGGGACGACGGATGGGGGGGGGAACGAGATGAAGGGCGGTGGTGGGAATGAGACGCCGGGGAGCGTGATGTCGGTGTGAATTTTGGGCTTTAATGGTGGGCTTATTAAGGATTGCGGTAGTATTTGCGGGCTTTGGGGGGTTGTTTGATATGGTGTCCTTTTGTGGCACTCGGCTGGTTTTGGAGGGATGATCAAATTTTGCAGCGACGAGCGACGACATTACGACTCATCGCGAGAGCACCTGGGGCGCAACAGGTTCTATATACCCTCTAGGAACGCATGCTTATCTTCAGAACTCCACAGAAATCATAGACTTAGATATATATATTAAAAAAAAGTCTGGGGGAAATCGCCTCGTTGGGTATAGAAAATAGAAAAAACATTTTTTATCAATATTATATTTCGCAGCTCTTTGGTTTCGGCTGCAGAGGCCTCAATTCATCTCTTCGTAATTATAAATATAATTCTTATTATGGCGCGGCCTTCAGGCTTGCTTGCCCTTGTCTGCAGGATAACTTGGAAGCTGACGTAGCTGAGTCGATCCTTCTCGGGAATTACTGTATAAGATATAAAACCTCACCCTAATTCTTAGAACTGCCAAATAAATGGAATCTTCCTTCCTTTAATCAATACAGAATAGCTGCACGACATGGATTTACCGTTAACACACAAGTTCCAAGGGTGGAATATCCGCTACAACCTCCAAACCTCGTCGACAAACACACCAGGCTCATAGTCTTCATCCACGGCACACCCTGGTCCTCGGTCGTTTTTAAGCCCATCGTTGAAGCACTTCTAGCAAAAGGCTTCTATGAGATTCTCGTCTACGACCTCCCCGGCTACGGACAATCCCAATCCTACACCCCCTCCGCCGCCGCACCACCCACCTCCAAAGCCTCCTTCCCCGGCGACACATCCGTGAAATTCCAAGCCACAGCCCTCGCAGACCTACTCAAAGGCCTACACCTAGATGGCAAAGGCCGCAACCCCGCACCCGCCACAGTGATCGCGCACGATATAGCCGGCACGATCGCCCTGCGCATCTCCTGCACGATTGCAACTTCGCCTCCTTGCTAATGGGGATGTGGGGGAGATGCTGGAGGGGGGTTGTATGGGGGGTGAGGTGTGATGTGAAGATTGCGTGGGGGGAGGAGGATCAGTGGATTCCGAGGGCGAGAATAGAGGAGACATTAGGAGGCTGGGGGGGAGTGTGAGGGAGGTGGCGATTATTCCTGGGGCGGGGCATTTGGTTATGTTGGATAGGCCGGAGAGGTGGGCGATTGCGGTCTTAGTGCTTCAGTAATATCTAAGCAGATTAGGCTTTTGTTAAAACGGGAATAAGTTGAATATATATATATATATTCTCACTTCTAAATTCCGAAAAGGAAATCTTTGGAAAATATAGCTACAATTGATAAATGATGAAGCAAGAGAACCAATTTTTTAATCAGAAGAGAATTTTAAGCCTACAGCATCCCCGTAGTTCTAGTAACAAGGGTTGTTTTGTTGCAAGTGAGAAAACCCTAGTCACATGACAATCATACATGGCTTGACAACCTCACTTGGAATATCTCCTCAGCCCTGCCTTCGAGGTACATTTTTATTATCCTACGCGGAATTGAGCATGCAAAGCATATCCCAACGATCAATCCCGCAGATTTACAGCTTACAGTCTCAGTTCCTCCCCACAGCAACGCCCTCACCACCTCACTTATCACCTTCGAACTAGCCCATTATACTCAGGAGAGCAAGCATCAACAATGAAGAAAGCCCATCGTACAACTACCTCCACCACAACAGTCACGCAGACAGGGAGGCAAATGGTACATTGATGTAATGTTACATATAAAAGTGTTTCATATTAGGCCAGGTAGGATCAAGATCCGGGTATTAGACAAAGACGCCACGACGTTCCGCAAGATACTACAATGATTCCGCAAACCCCCTCTCTGGGACTGCGTTAATACTCTCCGAGCCTCCAATTTCTCCATCTCTCCTTTGTTTGTTTGTTCCCGTTTATACCCGGGTATCTTTATATTCCCACAGACAGACGACGATGGTAGCTAAAAAAGGAAATTCCGTGTGTTGGTGTGTTTGGTTTGTTTGAATGAGAGAGCGACAATGGTGAGTGGGAGAATCTAGTACTGTTGCCCACCCGGGACCTTCATCTCATGGTTCGCAGTCGGCTGCTGCGTAACGCCGCCCTGTTGGAGGAGGCGGTACTCGACTTCCTTCTCCTGCTGGATACTAATCGGAGGGTTAGCAAACATTCTCATTCCCATTCCCATTTTCACCCAAACTCATCAATTGGGGGGGATGGGGAACTTACAGATCGCAGCATCCGCAGAAGCAACCCCTCAGACAGTTAACGGGGAAATCACCAGTGAGACCAAAGCGATCCATGATCGTGCGGCGCTGGAGCACGATACCAACCGAGGTAGCGGCGCAGCATCCACTCGCCCACCACCCGATGCACGAGGCGTTGACGAGGCTGTAGTCCTCGAGGTTTGCGTCGTGGTGGAGACGGTGGTGTGTCTTGCCGAAGGTGACGCAGGGGCAGCAGCAGGTGATGAGGCCTGGATTCTCAAATTAGTTGTCTGGCCGCTGGCTGGAATGGGGAGAGAGTCATTTGCGTGAGAAAGGGGGGACATACAGAGATCAATAGGCGTGAAGAACTGAAGGAAGCTATGGTGCCATGGCTGATGCGACGCAGGCACGGGGCTGGTGATGGTCTCAGGCTTGTTCAGCGCGGCGGTGATGCGGTTCGTCCAGTGCGCTACGTCGTCATTTCCAGCTGGGGGACCGGCGACGGGGGCAGGCTGGGAGGCATACGGCTGCTGGACAACCTGCTGTTGCGGGGCTGGTGCGTATTGAGGCTGGGCAACTTGCTGTTGCTGGGTGTTCTCGTAGGTGGCCATGTGATAGGATGTGGGAGAAAGAACGACTATTGTAAGTTGGATGGTGGATGGGTGATTGTATATGGAGAAAAGTGAGAACGACGAGAAAACGAGAGGGACGGGAGAGGTCTTATAACGCTGATCCCATCCACCCACCACCACAGAGAAAAAAAAAACCACTCGCCCGCCCCTATTAGCCTTGACTCATCAGTTCCGTTTGCCGTCTAGACCCGCGCCACGTCTCCAGTCGGCGCAAACGGGATATTCGAGCATGACAGACATGCCATGACGGGACGTTTTACCCCAACTGGGCCCGGACGCCCAAGGCTGAGACGGTCGTCGATGTTGTATGCTGCGGCCATCACATATCTCCCTCCACACGTCTGGATGCGGGCTAAAGCTCGCTCGGCAGCTGAGGCAGTGTTCGGCTGGGGAGGGCTGGGATTGGTCGAGGGGGGGAAGTTTGTTTGTTTAGGAATTGGGATGTGAGGGATTCATTTCCACGCTTGAGGTGGCTTTTGGGTGTTTGGAGGGTGAGGGACTAATGGGGTGTACACTGTGCTGTACTGTACATGCATCAACGGCCCGCTATAAATGAGAAATGAGAGATAAAAGAGTTTGTTTGGACGCAGAGTTTCAGGCTTCACAGCGATTCCATCATCTTTCACTTGTTTCCACTGGACCTGCCATCCCGCGACTCTCAGCTGTCAGAAAGTGACAACGCCAGGGTCCAGAAGCTCACAAATGAAAGTGGACTCTTCACAGCTGTACTCGTACCAAAAAAATCGAAATTTCTCACGAACCTCTCCATCACTGCCTCGCACCCACGTCGTGAATGAATGGACCATCAACCGTCCGTCGTGAGATAGTGTAACACGATACCGGGACTGAGATGACAGTATCCCCTTCTATTTCCAGCTGCTGCTGCTGGTAATCTCCTTTCCCAGACTCACACAGTGGATGATCCTCGGCACTGCGCCGCAGCCAGCCAGCCAGTGCCGCCGTATCAGGTGACTGCCTGCCTGACTGACTGGATCAATGGGAGAGAGGTGCAGAAATATCGCGTCGCGTTGGATTTCCTTCGGCGATGAGCGGCTTCATTGAATTTCATCCCATTCCCTCTGTTCTGTTTCGTATCACACTTATCACACTTATCAAAACGGGAGATTTAAAGCCCCGAGATTTCCACACTATTTAATGTCATACATATATTCATTTCCCCAACAAAAAAAAACGCCTTCCATGCTACATATATATCCACGAGTTTACTCCACATCTACGCCATGCCATCATCCAATGCAGGATCCCTCCCACGCGTCTAAAACACAACATTCACCTTCTCCGGCCCCCCCGGGACTTCCTCTCCCTTAGGCCCCTCTTCCTTCTCCCCACCCCCCGTCTTCTCCTTCACCTCCCCCTTCTCCGCCTTCATCTCCCCCCCAGTCCCAGACCTCCCCCTCCTTCCCTCCCCCTCACCAACACACAACGAGCTCTTCTTCCCCTCCCCCTCACTCTTCTCCCCCTCACCCTCACTCTTCTCCTCCTCCCTCCGATGAAACGTATGACTCTCACTCAAATTAATAGCCAAAAAGCTCTTCGGCAACCTGACCTGATGAAACTTCGCCCTCAGCGTCTCAATCACCTCCTTCCAATCCATATGCTGCGTCAGCGAGCGCCGCGGCGCGCATCCAATGCAATGTTTCGAATCAAGCTGCACATCGAGCGGGTCATAGGTGTGACACCCTGGGGAGATGGTGATGCGGATCGAATACGCGAACGTCTGTTCCTGCGGCATCGGGTCCGGTACCGGTTCCAGCGCCGCCGACGGCGGCGGATTCGCAGCTAATTCCGCCAACGCAGCCAGCTCACCCGGCGTCGCGAGTTCAGGCGCCGACTGCGCCTTCGGAGCCGGCGAAGGCGTAGTCTCCGACTCATACAGCTCAAAGCAGATCTGAGACAAGTAATCGAGCTCCGGGATAGCGGAGCGTGCGATCTTGGTCTGGATCCCGCCCTCGAGGATGCAGTTGAAGAGGGTGTAGATGTGCGATTCCTTGGTGAAGTAGATGAATGATTTGGCGTCGTCGGAGGCTTGCATTTCCTCGAGGTCGGCGACGATTTCTTTGAGGAGGGGGAGGGAGGTTAGAAGGCCGATTTCGAGCTTTTCGCTGTCGGTGATGCCGTATTCTTGGGGGCAGATGAAGTCGAAGAGGACCTTGGCTAGGTTGTATAGCTCTCGAAGCTTCTCAAATCTGGCATCCGTCTTCGCCTTGGTCTTGGTGCTTCCGGTAAAGAGATGGAAATACTATTTCAAGTTAGTGATAGCTCCAACAGACAACTCGAACGGGGTAAACATACACTTTCCGGCGTCTCCTCAACCACATTCTTCATAGTCCCAGAGCGGCGCCTAAACAGTCGTCGCGACACCGACTTGCTCGACTCGGACTTCTCCGTCGTAGTCGTCGAATCGCTCCTCTCCGGCTTATCAGACTTATCCTCCGACACCTTCGCCGACGACGCATCCTCAACCACAACAGCCGAGTCCTCCTCCTCGAGCATCGACTTGCTCGGCGTGAACACCCACTCGAGGAACTGGCGGTTGTGCAGCGCATCGAACTTCATCGTGTCGTAGAGCTCCGAGATCTTGCTCGGGTCGACCTTTTCCGCGTCGCAGAACTCGATGAACAGCTTCTCCCAGCGCTCGCGGAAGAGCTCGGCATCTTCGCCGCAGCACCAGCGCGCTTGGATGTTGTTGATTGCCGTGGCCTGTCCCATCGCGCCCACCTGTGGGGACTCACTAGTAGCTTTGTCGCCGGGGTTGACGATGTTGTTCAGAGATGTCACGGCGCCGCCGTAGAGCTTCTGGTAATTATGTCGCATGACCTTACGATGGAAGTTCATCAACTGGATGACCTGGCGCTGGACAATAGATGGCTCGGGAAGATTGGCAGGCCACGCGAACTGCGGAGGCGGCCCCTGTCCTTCTCTGAGAAGGACCTTAAGCTTCTTTTTCACCTTGTCCATCTCATCCTTTGCAGCATTCGAGTCGTCCAGAAGATCTTTCCGGATAGTAATGAAATCGCTGGCAAGATCCTTCTTATCCAAGAACGAAGCTGAAAAGATCTGCGCGCTCGTAGTAACGCGTCTCTCAGAGCTGCTGAAGACGTGAACCTCGTCGAGAACTTCCTTATTCATCAGGTAAAGATCATTGCGCATATTCTCACCGAGCTCCTGTGCCTGGTATCGCGCAGAGTGCGTCGGCTCACCGCCCCACTTTACGATCAGTTGGAGCTTGTCGAGGACAAGACTTTCTTCCGCGGCTGTGATACGGGATAACGTGACGCCCGTGAGGGAGTCTTCTCGCTTTAATGGTCTTTCCTCTGGGTCATGGGAGTCGTCTGTTGCCCCAGGCGTGGTTGGAACCGAAGGGATAACCTTCGAGACGTCAACTGCGATCGTGGCAAAAGTCTGCTTAGGTGAATCTTCCACCTTGCGTTTCCTGAACATGGGCTTGATCTGAACCTTCGTCCCGACCCATCCACCCTTCCTCACAAGCACGTTTCGTAGGGCTTTCAGCTTGGTCTTGTCCTCGATCCCCTCGCGTAAAGCCACATCGACAGCGTCAAGAACGCTATCAAGCGCAGCCTCACCCGTCAAGAGGACCTCTTCCTGATGGCCCTTTAACAGCTCTATGAAAGGCTTTGTGTGAAATGTATACTTGTATTTCTGCTTCGGAGTACGATCAGCGTGGCGAATGACAGAAACCATCCCCTTAAGCTTCCAGGCATGCTTTGGTGCGGGCGGAGGAAGCTCCTTATCTTCTTCTTCCTCTGGGTCTGTTTCGAGGATCGGCGAGGTCCGCACTGATGTAGCAGCTGATACAGGCCCTGAAATCGACGCGCGAGACGAAACATGTGGTAGGGAAGGCACCATGCTGGACACAGGCTTCTCCATCGACGAGGCCGTGCTTAGTGGCATAGTCGGGACAGACCTATCAGGTGAGGTCGACCTCTGCTCCGATGACTTTCCATGTGGGCTATGGTTATGATGTAAGTGCGCAAGTTTCGAAATACTTGGGGATCTGCCGAGGATAGATTGTAGAGTAGATCGGTGATTTTCTTTCAACGAGCTCTCCCTGCGAGTTCGCGGGGGCACCTCTGATTCCGACGCTTCAGCTGATGGGGCGACGCTTTCCGAAATCTTTGCCTGCTCGGCTGCACGGAACTGATCAGCTGCCTTAGCTTGTCGTCTTTCCCTCTCCTGAATGAACATATTTCTCAAGATGCTAGAGCACTGGTCGTAGTATGCGTCATTGTCTTTCACAAAACTCCAACCATTCACATCGATGACATAACTCTTCCCATCGGCGCGTAAAAGGTCGAACCCACAGACCCTCTGTCCGAAGCTGGTAGAAATACGGGCTGCCATTGCGGACTCATCCTTTGTCAAACTGGTGACGTAGCGAATTTCCTTGCCATGAGTGTTGCGCCTCACGAGACCATCAACGACGGGAGATTTCCTAGTCTCGGCGTGACAGAAACCTGTCCCAACAGTGTATGCCTTGACATCCTCTGCATTGTCGACCCTCATGAACTTTTCATATACGTAACTAGAGCCTTCTTCGAGGATGGCGCGTGGTATAGTAAGACAATCTATGTGCTCGGAACTTTTGTTGCCAATCTTGCGGAAGAGCTTGCGGGCACCACCACCTTGGCTTTTCGGATAATAGATGCATATGTTGTGATCTTCTCCGCTGACTGGTTTTTCAACGAAAGGCTTCCGTAAAAGTACTCCGTCTACGCTTAGTGTATCGCCGTCATCCAAGAGCTCCACCTTTCGGGGAGGAGGCGTTAATAACTTATCGCCATCTTCCGGCCCCTGCACAATAACCCCAGAGGTCTCCTTGAGGTGCCGAGCCAGGTCTTGGCTCATGACTCTTGGTCCTCCATCTCGATTGACTTCGACACGACTCGGACTCGGAACATTGATCTTGTCGAGAATACGTAGACATATACGGCGATCCCACAGGATCTGCTGCATCGGGACATCGTTGACGCAGAAAGGCTTCCTGGCCTTGACATAGGCAATCGCTTTGGCAAGCGGGAAGCCTTCGGAATAGAAGGATATCAGGTAGTCGCAGACTGGCCAGTTCTCAATGTCTTCATCCAGGATGACCTTGTCTCCAAAAACGACAACTGAAAACTCCCCCTTTGCAATTAGCTTGTTAAGGATATTCCTGCTCGGCTTACTCCGTGCCTTGATATCCAATGCACACACCCCGATTATGCCATATGGTGCCGGCTTTGGCTCCTCCTTCTCTTTCGCCTGGTGTATTCCTCGCTCGCTACTCGGGCTGTGGCTGCTTGCGCCAGTGCTTACACTGAAGCGGCGCTTGACACGGCTTCTAGACCGTGGGATGCTCGCTCTTGAAGTGCCTTCTTGTCTGGAGCGCTTAGGGGCGTCGCCTGGTGAAGCACCACCCTTGGTGGCGGCCTGTTGGGGGTTCACTGCGCCTTGTGCGGTAGGCAGCGTGACAGACGGACTTGTCACCGAGACAATCGGGGTTGCGGCATCCGGTGAGACACCGAGACTTCTGGTCCCCGAAATATTCCCAGGGTTCAACCTCGGGATGGCATCTCCTGAAGAGGAATTGGAACTGGGCGCTATACCACCTGCTCTCGCGGATTGTAACGAGTATAGCGACGAGCTCGACATTCGCTTCGATTCCGACGTAGTTGATCCAGCTTTTGACATTGCCGGTTCGGGTAGCGGTTCATGCTTGGTTAAGTCGGACGTGCTCCCACTGAGCATTCTGGGTGTCTCTGACTCTTCCACGGCCCCATCGTTGGTGGACGTGTTCGTACCTTCCGTCCAAGCCTCGGACATGTCCGAAATTGAGCCTCTGTGGCTAATTGTCGAAGATGCTCGCGAGGATTCGGTACCGTATGTTGGGCCACGGGGTAATGAGAAGCTGACAGGCTCAACGTATGCTTCCTGCTCAACAGGTTCGGAGATGCTGCTTTTTAAATTGACAGCGGAAGGGTTCTCACTCGAGGCAGTCGATAGCCGCCGGTGAGATGACATCTCTGCTGCTTCTTCGGGTCCCAGTTGGTGCGATGGCTCCCGTGCTGAGCCAAACTTTGCTTCCGCCGCCACTGTGCTAGAGTGCGGATTAGTTTGCCCCTCTTCTTCCATCTTTCGGTGTCGATTGGGTCTTTCGGCACCTAATAAATCATGAATGGTCGGGTCTCTGTTCGTAAATCCTGGAATAAATGCTGGAGTCAATTGGGATTTTAGATAATTTGTATAGGGCAAGCAGCCGAAGATGCAGAAATCCTCTCAATTGCGGCCAACAGGAGAGTTAAATAGATGAAAAAAAGAGCATGTGCCCAGAGACGATCTAAGTCTCTTATCAATATGACGTCCTTTCGCCTCCCGCCAGAATCTCAAGACACCGCCAAGAGAATCACGAAATGGGCCAAACGACGAGTAAATGCGGCAGAATATAGTCGTGAATAGTTATAGATGGAACGAGTAAGGATGAGGCTATCCCCAAATACCCAAAAGGTATCAAATCTTGCGAGAACCTCGGTGAAAAGGCAAGAGGGCAGAGTGACAGGTACCACGTTGACCGATAACGCAAGGCCTTGGCATTCCTCAGCACCAACGAGCCAACAACGAGCCAATAGAATGTCGCGTAGCCAGGGCCTGGACAATTGACAGAGAGTACTTGGGTACGTACTGAAAGTATATGGGGAAAAGTTTCGCCTAGCTTTTACGATTGGGAAAAAGAAATATACCTGCAGGTCGCTGCTTAACTCGACGACGACTGTAAAAAAAAGGGCAAGACGAGGTAGAGGAGGCAGTTTTGGATATATATTGAGCATATATCTCTGAATCTGACAGCCATGCCTTCAACTGTCGCCTCAAATAGCGCCGAGGGGCCAATTGTGAAGAGGCAGAAGCTCCAGGACAATGTCGCGCCTGGGGGAGAGCAGGCTCGACAGTCGCGCATCTTCACACCGTTTAGGGTACGTTGATCTGCGATTGTGAGGGAAAATTTGAGGTTCTAATGTTTTTCATAGACTGTCGGCCTAGTATCATCTACCGCGGTGCCCTTTACTTCCATCCCACTCGGAAAGACGTCCTTCCAAATCACCACATCCGTCGGACGCTGTCTTCAAACCTACGACTTGAAGCGTGGACTGAACCTCGTCTTCCTCACGAGACCACAAACTCCCGAGAACATCACTGCGACGCTGGCATGGAAGGACAAGGTCTTCGCGGCATGGGGCGGCGCAAACGGCTCGCAGCCGGGACTGTGGAGTTTCAAGAGAGGCAAGAAGGTTGACGAGTACGAGATCCCACAATACTTGACCCAGCCCATCAAGCAGGTCCTCATCCTTGGGACCTGGATTGTCGCCTGCTGCGCGACGAGGATTGAGGTCTGGAAGTCGGCAACCCTCGAACATTACACCTCGATTCACACAACCCCGGGAGCTGGAAAGGGCGGGAACGAGCTCACCAGCATCTCCAACATGCCCACATACTTGAATAAAATATTTGCGGCGCGGAAAGACGGCAGCATCGATATCTTCAACGTCAGCAGCGGAAAGCTCATCTACACAATCCTCCCTCCACTGCCGAACTGCGGCTCGATTACCGCGATGCAACCTACCCCAGCACTGTCCCTTATGGCAGTTGCCTACTCGAATGGTCCCCTCGTCATCCACAATATCCGAACGGACAAGACTATAATTTTACTGGAGTCGAAGAGCTTGGTTGCTTCTATCTCGTTCCGAACGGACGGACTTGGCGCTGGCGAAGAGGGACGAGAGGCTGGAGTCATGGCGACTGCCGGCCCAGACACTGGAGACGTCACATTCTGGGACCTGAACAACGGTGGCAAGGTGGTGGGAGTTCTCCGTGGAGCCCACAACCCTCCCGTCGCAGATGCCGAGACTTTGGTTGGAGGAGGGATCAACAAGGTTGAATTCCTTGCTGGCCAAAGCGTCGTCATCACCAGCGGTCTCGACAACTCCCTGAAATCTTGGATCTTTGACGAAACACCATACTCCGCCATCCCTCGTATCCTACACTCTCGCAGCGGACACGCCGCGCCGGTCACCCGCCTCCAATTTCTTCCATCTGAAGCCGACGGGGCGGACGCCAAAGGAAAGTGGCTGCTCAGTGCTGGCAAGGACCGCAGTTTATGGGGCTGGAGTTTGCGCCGCGATGGGCAGAGCACGGAACTTAGTCAGGGCAATATCAGAAAGAAGGCTAAGAAGCTTGGAATCCTTGCCAGCAGCACCCTGGCGAATGAGCCGAGCACTACGCTTGAAGACCTGAAAGCACCAGAAATCACATGCATTGCGTCGTCGCTCAATCGTGACGGCGGAATGGGCGCACATACTGGTTCTGGTGGTATATGGCAGAAGAGCCAGCAGCGCGCAAAATTCCCTGGTGATGCGACACAGAGTGGAACTACGGGATGGGAGAGTGTTGTGACGGGTCACCACGACGACAAGTATGCGCGCACCTGGTTCTGGGGCAGGAAGAAGGCTGGAAGATGGGCATTTGAGACTGGTGATGGCGCGAATGTTAGCAGTGTAGCTATCAGCCCTTGCGGTACCTTTGCCATGATCGGATCCGAAGCGGGAGGAATTGACAAGTTCAACCTCCAATCAGGACAGCATCGCCAGCGCTTCCCAGCGAAGTTGACCCAGGCGCAAGCCAAGAAGTGGAAACTACAGCAGATGGCCGAGAAAGATGGAACAGTAGCTATCCCAACCGGAAAGCGATTCCCCTTGGGTCTGGGACGACACACCGCCACCGTAACAGGAATAATCGTCGACTCCCTAAACAAGAACGTCATCTCCAGCAGTCTCGACGGCAAGCTCAAATTCTGGGACTTCAACACCGGCCACCAAGTCAACGAAATTGACTGGGCGCCCATGACCCGCATCACCGCGCTACACTACCACGCCGCCTCCGACCTCGTCGCCGCCACCTGCGACGACGGCTGCATCCGCATCGTGGACACCGAAACCAAAAAGACCATCCGTGAGCTCTGGGGCTCCCAAGCCGCCATCACGGACGTCACCTTCTCCCCCGACGGCCGCTGGATCCTCGCCGCCTCGCGCGACGCCGTCCTGCGCGTCTGGGACCTCCCAACAGGTCACCTCATCGACGCCATCCGTCTCCGTAGCGCCTGCACCGCGCTCGCCTTTTCGGGCACGGGCGAGTTCCTCGCTACGGCGTGTGAGGGCGAGCTGGGCGTGAATATCTGGAATAACAAGACCCTCTTCACTCACGCACCTACTCGCCACATCTCCGAGAACGAAATCGTCGACGTCGCTGCCCCCACCGCCTCGGGCGAAGGAGGCGCAGGTCTGATTGACGCCGCGTTCGCCGAGGAGTCCGAGGATGACGACGCGGCGCCCGCGGCTGCGATGCCCGACCAACTCTCAGCGGACATGTTGACGCTGAGCATGGTGCCTAAATCACGCTGGCAGACACTCCTCCACCTCGACCTAATCCGCGCTCGCAACAAGCCAACCGAAGCGCCCAAAGCGCCCGAAAAAGCACCCTTCTTCCTCCCCAGTCTCGAAGGCGGACGTCCTTCATCCTCGCTCGTTGCTGGGGCGGTCGATACGCCTACGGAGCCGGAGAGCAGGATTACGCGCCTAGAGCAGATGAGCGGAGCTGAGCAGGATGTCTTTGCGGCGACTTTGCGTCGTGGCGCTGATAGTGGGGATTTCACGCCGTTTGTAGAGCACCTCTCTACTCTGTCGCCGTCTGCGGCGGACTTGGCGATCCGAGCGCTTGCGCCGGCGCCGGGGGCGAGGCCGGAGGAGTTGGTTGCGTTTGTGAGGGCGTTGACGGCGAGGTTGGGGCAGAGGAGGGATTATGAGCTTGTGCAGGCGTGGATGGGGGTTTTCTTGAAGTTGCATGCTGAGGCGTTGGGGGATGAGGAGGTGCGGGGTGTGTTGGCGGAGTGGAGGAAGGAGCAACAGAGGGAGGGGAGGAGGGTGGCGGAGTTGGTGGGGTATTGTGGGGGGGTGGTGGGGTTTTTGAGGAGTGCGAGGTAGAGGGGTGTAGATGGGAGAGGGAGGGATCTTATTTTGGATTGAATACTTTGATTGATGTTTGTGGATTGTGATGTGCTTATGTGTAATGTGATAATTTTTTAATTGGGGAGGATCTTACACCTTTGTATCACTCCGCGACACTGAGCTAGAAGATTGACATCATGAAGCCAAAGCTAAAGCCAGGAAGTCCATTCCAAGCCCCTCAAATCCGCTATTTAGCACCACCAAATGACCAGCGCTGCGCATGAATCCGAATAAAACCATAGCCTTTCCCATCCAGCCATACCCCGTTTTGCCCATAGTTCCACACCAAACCAACGCCAGGCAATGAAGCCCCCCAATCCCAACCCCCCAAATCCTACATAACCTCCCTAAACAAACTCCTCTTCCCCGTGGGACTATCCGGATCCGCACCCAACCCCTCATGCTCATCATGCCCAGCACCCTTATCCGGCCTCGGACTAACCCCCCTCAAACTCGTCCCCACCGCCGCACTATCATCAAACGGATTCCTACTCTCACTCCCCCCACTCTTCTTCACCACCCCCGTCTGCTCACCCCCCATCTCCTCCTCATACCTCCTATCCAACTCCCTCTGACTATCCCCCCCATACGGCCCTTCCTCCCCCCTCCTCCCCCTCGTCCTTCCCCTCTCCTCCCCCCCAGCTCCACTATACCCCGTCTCAGCATGCAACCCTACTTCTTGCTCCTCCCTATAATAATCCGCCTCATTCCCCACCCTCGCATCCCACGCCTCATCCGGATCCAGGGCGCCGAACCCGCTTCTCGCTCCTCCCCCCCCAGCGCCGCCATAAGCACCAAGAGGCTCCTCGTATGCGCCTCCAGCGGTGCGTGAGCGGCGCGAGCGAAAGTTCCGGAATTTGTCCGAGATCCAGCCGATCAGGCCGCCGGAGCGCGGTTGGGGGGTGTAGGAGGAGCGGGAGGCGAAGGGGTTGTAGGAGGTGAGTGTGGGTGTGGGGAGGCCCAGGCGGCGTGCGCGGAGGTAGATGAAGACGATCCAGACGATAGCGGAGATGAGGATTATGGCGAGGAGGACGAGGAGAAAGGCGCCGAAGGCGGGGAAGGACATTGTGAGGTTTTGTCGGTGGTGAGGTGGTGGTGGTGGGTGATCTCGGTGAATGCGATGGTGATCGCGGATGGTTCTGGACCCTTGGGGTGGTTTTGGAGTTCAGAGTGGGATTGCTGGTGAACGATGGTGTTTTAGGCCATGTCTGTGGTCTGCATTGGTGACAGAGAGATGTGACTTCTTTGTCTTGACGCGCGATTAGAGATTCTTTCTTTGTGAGGTGAGGTTGTCGTGAGATTTGGGTCCAGACTGAGATTGCAGCACAGGGTAATGTCGTCAATATCTGCTTACGGAGTAAGTTGCAGTAACGCGAGTAACGCGGGGATTCCTTATCTGGGTCAGGCCCAGTGTTTTAGATTTAACATGCGAGGCACGTGACTTGTTGTGGATGACTGTTAGCGGCACGTGCATGATTGTAGATCACGTGCATGTCTCGAAAATGCTTCACCGTCAGGTGACCAACTGGGTACACGTGACTTTGTTTTTGTTAGAGTAGAACTACGTTCCTAGAAGTATATATATGGCTTCGCACCCGTAGTTTACTCAATTAAGTCGTCAAGCTCTAATTTTGTGCTCAACAGACTTCCTACTTTGGCTATTCTGGGAATCTGAGCCTCTTGGTCCTTGGCTCATCGGGAAACAATGACTGTAGAAGTCAAATCTTTTCTCCCATATCACGAGCCGAGTATTGTGACTATTCTCATCCAGTCGTCATTTATTCTCATCCTCAATGTCGTTAATACTCTCTTCGACAAGTTGATCTTTTGCGGACTTCTTGGCCAGGTATTTATTGGCGTAGCATGGGGGACTCCTGGTGGGAAATGGCTCGACCAGGGAGTTGAGGATGTGATCGTCCAGCTGGGATATCTCGGGTTGATCCTCTTAGTCTACCAAGGTGAAAATCCCCAGCCGTATGTGAAAGCCAGCCCTGGTTAACATTCGCAGGCAGTCTGGACACGAATTTCCGTTCACTAAAGGCAAATCTCTCTCTATCTGTCGCAGTAGCAATAACTGGAGTCAGCTTTCCCATGGCTCTTTCCTTTGTGCTGCAATCAGTCGTGGACGCAACGCCCATTCAAGCTTTCGCAGCTGGAGCAGCGCTCTGCTCAACCAGCCTGGGAACAACGTTCTCTATTCTCAATGCCAGTGGACTATCAACCACTCGGTTTGGTACAGTCCTGAGCAGTGCGGCAATGATGGATGATGTTGTTGGCCTAGTCATGGTTCAGGTGATCTCCAATATTGGAGAGACCTCGGAGTCATTCAGCGCCGTTACTGTTGTTCGGCCGCTTGCCGTGTCTTTTGGTTTGGCGATTGCTGTTCTGCTGTCTTGTCGATTGGTTGCTCAACCTTTGACGACATGGCTTAATGGGGTGAGGAAATCAAGCCCGAATGGTACTTTAAACACGCTATGCCAGGCGACGCATACTGCATTTATCATTCATACACTGGTGTTGGCAGTGCTTGTTACTGCTGCTACTTATGCTGGCACTTCCAATCTCTTTGCTTCTTACCTGGCTGGGGCGTCATAGCTGGTGGGATAGTGAAGTTCCGCATCTAAATTCAGCCAAAGTGGGCTGTTCACCCGATTCACCAACTTCGCCAGTTGAGCACGGAACGTCCGCTGGTGGCACAGGGTCACCAAATCCGTCTTCGAAAGACGAGATAGGTCCTAGTACGGAAGGTGAGGCAACTGAAAGCGACACCATCCTCAAAGAACAGGGTGATCTTATCGCTGGTAGTGGCATTGCTGTATACCACAGATACTATGCGACAGCGGTTCAACGCATTCTACAACCGTTCTTTTTCGTAGGTCACTTTCCCATACTTCCTCTATTCTTCAAAGCTAAACAGAACCACCGGCCTCGATCGGTTTCGCTATTCCAATCACAGACATGTTCGGCGGTTCAGTCGTCTGGCGAGGTATTGTCTATACGATCCTCATGCTCTTCGCAAAACTCGTCACGGGCTTATGGCTCGTTCGCCTGGATATTTCATTGACAAAGGTTACCCCCAAGAGCATGCGCTTCTCCGTATTTGGGGGTGGGAAGGCCAAGAAAGAGGTGAGTAGTACTGCAAGTGCTGCTGATACTCACGAATTGCAACCTCAAAGCCATGCTGCAGTACGGCCTCCCACAAAAGAAGCCCCCACGGCGAAAAGCCAGAGTCCTGGACCAAGCATGGTAGCTTCCACCGCGGCGACTCCTAAGCCCAAGAACCCGCTCTCCCTCTACCCAGCAGCGATGCTCGGCACAGCCATGACAGCTCGTGGGGAAATCGGCTTGCTCATTGCTTCTATAGCTGAGATGACCGGTCTCTTTGCCTCTTCTTCCAGACCAAGCAATGGTAGCTCGGAGATATATCTAGTGGTCACTTGGGCTATTGTGTTATGTACTATTATCGGGCCGTTGGGGGTTGGGACGCTGGTTAAGAGAGTTAGAAGGCTCCAGGGCGAGAGGGCGAAAACACCCGGGGCAAGCGATCCTCTGGGGATTTGGGGTGTCAGCTAGAAGATTGTATTCGTGTTATTATGGATGGCGAAATCAGCGATCATTGTCGTTTTTTGGCATATATGACATCTGGCAAGGCCGTTTGGCGAGCTGAGAAAATCCGACCGGGAACAAATCCTACCGAGAACGCATGTGCCCTCGCACCAAGAGAAATGATATTGAGCACGATGATATATTCATTGGCCTTCTCAAACCCCCCATGCAGTAGCGGAATCCCAGGTTTGAGGAGAAACTCGTCATCTACGCCCATTTATGACCCCTTCACCACCCCCAACTCTTCTTTCCAAATGTGTCTTGTGTTTCATCGACGAGACAAACAAAATATTCTGCGCGATTTAGTTCGTGGCGTCAGAGTTTTTCGTCGAGGTTGGGGCAGAGTGAGACATCGCTGAAGCATGTTTCATGTATGCTGTCCATCTGACTCCCTCAACCCTCACCGTGACACCTACATCACACACCTCTCTCCATACCCCGTTCACCCCCTCACCCCTCGTTTCGCACACAACATACATTCATATTCCCCCCCGACAAATACAACATGTGGAAACAACCACCTGGCGTGCTAATAAGGTTTCGCCCGAACCTTGACCTGGCGCTGGGATAGAGTAGTCCATCCAGTCACCCCACCACCCCCTCTCCCCCTCTCCCCCTCTCCCCCTCTCCCCCCTTGCCTTAGCAGCCCTAAATCGAATCGCGCGCCGCAGTATCCCGCGTTGAATCCGCAGCGCGCGCGCACGCCACACGCACCACACACCCCTGCGGCCGGGCCGACCTATCGCGCACGCAGCTCTCGCAAGCCATGTCACCCGATCGGGCGGCGTGCGGTGCCATCAGCTCGATCTGGGGAGGTATGCTCGTGCGCACTTTGATCGACGACGCGGCGCGGGCAGGCTTGGGCAGGCTTGGGCGGGGAGGTACTGAGGGGGGCATGAGCTGAGCGTTTCATGGTGGTGGCGCTGGGGGAGGGAGTGGTGGCAGTGGGAGGAGAGAGGGGAGGGAGGGAGAGGAGGGAGAGGAGGGAGAGGAGGGAGTGGAGGCAATCATGGAGGCAATCATGGGACACGGCGTGTTGGTGTGGAGGAAGCTGATGGGGTGTCGAGGTGGTGTGAATGGGATTTTGTGGCATATAAGAGAGGTGTTTGTGCTCTCGATGCGGCTTGCTGTTCCATGACTATTACAAACACAAAACTTTGATGGGAATTTCACAGGCTTATCTCTATCGGTCTTTCTTCTCTTATCTACCTTTTCTTCTTTGATTCTGATTCACTAGTGGTGACGATGACGATTGGTGGTTCTTTTAAGGCGGCTTGGGCTGCGGTTAGGGGGTGGAGGTCGGTTAGGGGGTGGAGGTCGAAGAAGACGGATGCGAAGACGGATGCGACGACGGTGGTGAAGGCTGGTGCTACGGCGCTGGCTCCGACTCCTGCGTATAAGAGTGCGGGATACTATGTCAACTGGTGAGTCTATGTCTACGCCATAACACCCCTATACTTCAACTAACATATCACAGGGCAATCTACGGACGCAACTTCCAACCAGACCAGATCCAGGCAGCCCAACTAACCCACGTCCTCTACGCCTTCGCCAACCTCAGGCCCGATGGCACTGTGTTTGTCCCCCCTTCTCACCTACACCCCCTCCTCCCCCTCCCTCCACCTCTTACAACAGAACCCAACTAACCTCCCCCCCAGCTTCCTCTCCGACACCTACTCGGACCTCGAAAAGCACTACCCCGCCGACTCCTGGAACACCCCCGGCACCAACCTCTTCGGCTGCGCTAAGCAACTCTACCTTCTCAAAAAGAAGAACCGCACCATGAAAGTCCTCCTCAGTATCGGCGGGTGGACCTACTCCTCCAACTTCGCCGCCGCCTCGGCCACCCCGACCACCCGCGCCCTCTTCGCCGCCACCTCTGTCGAGCTAGTCAAAGACCTCGGTCTCGACGGCCTCGACATCGACTGGGAGTACCCCGCCAACCCCACCGAGGCCCAGAACTACGTCCTGCTCCTCAAGGCCATCAGAGACGCCCTCGACGCGTATGCGAATGATAACGCAAAGGGGTATAAATTCCAACTTACCATCGCCGCCCCCGCGGGTCCGGATAAATACAAGATTCTCAAGATGAAGGATATGGACGCCTACCTCGACGCTTGGCACATCATGGCCTATGACTTTGCGGGGTCGTGGAGCACGGTCGCGGGACATGACGCGAATCTCTACCCCAGCGAGGCGCTCCCGGAGAGCACGCCGTACTCGATTGATAAGGCGGTCACGGACTACATCGCTGCTGGCGTGGCGGCGGCTAAACTCATCATCGGCGTCCCCCTCTACGGCCGCTCCTTCGCAGCTACCGAGGGGATGGGCAAGAAATTCAGCGGCGTCGGCGGGGGGAGCTGGGAGAACGGCGTGTGGGATTACAAAGCCCTTCCCAAAGCCGGGGCGACTGTCAACGTCGACGCTGAGGCTAAGGCGCGGTACTCGTACGACCCTACGACCAAGGAGTTGATTAGTTTCGATACGCTTGAGGACGCGAAGACGAAGGCGGAGTATGCGAAGAGTAAGGGGCTGGGGGGGCGATGTACTGGGAGACGAGTGCGGATAGGGTGGGGGATCAGAGTCTGATTGGGGCGTTTGTGCGGGGGTTTGGGGTGCTGGAGAAGAGTCAGAATTTGTTGAGTTATCCGAAGAGTAAGTATGCGAATCTTGTGGCGGGGATGCCGGACCCGGCGCCGGCGAGGTAAGGGGGAAGTGGAAGTAAGGGGGGAGTGGAATGGGGGAAGTGGAAGTAAGGGAGGGGGTGGTGGTGGGGGTTTTCTTCACACGTTGGATTTTTTTTATGTATGTATATGATGTTTTTGGGGGACTGAGATGAGGGGGCTAAACAGCGTGTGTGGCGATACAAAGGAACCCTCTTGTATAGTTAAGTTATAAGGCAAGTTACTTGTAGTCGCCGTACACAGAATCGAGAATTCGCGGCTACTGGAGTCCTATTGTTAAACTCCCCCATTGTTATCGCCAATTAAAATAAGATTTTAGCACTGTGAATTTATGAGCAGTTTCCCACTTTCTCAGGCACACGTTTTGATCTGGATATTCAGATCGGAGAGTATATCCAATACTAAGCGTCGCCGCGCACTCTGACAGAGGGGGTGAATTACCGACTTACTGGATTCAAGAATACTGCCGTTGAAGCAGGTTATCGACTCGGCGAGCAGTCATTCCCTGGGTTTACCACATTGCCAAAACCCAGATCCAAGCTACCGCCTGAGGAAAAGAAGCAGATTGCCAGCTCAGTTATACTACGAATACGAATCAGTTGTCGACTCGGCAGACGATCATTCATTCCACATCGACAAAATACAAAGACGGCGATCTAAGCATACTGCCATAATTCAAAGGATACGAGGCAAACTGTTGACTCGGTGCGCCTCCATATACCCCGACCGGTCCGGCCAAAATGGACGAAGTCGAGAGCAGCTTTGCGCATGCTGCAAAGAAACATTTCAGCCATCCAAGAGTTATACATCTACAAGATGTGTTGAATTAGGGCTCATCCGCGATTACGCCCGAGCACCGTGGCACGATCTCTGATATCATACGCTTCTTCGCTAGCATTCCCCGCCCGGCGCAGGTATCCTATTCGGCTGTAGGGGTTGGAGAGCGCCAGATAAGCCTTACCATTGCAGATATGGAGACCTTGAACAGCCAAGAGCAGCTGTCCGAGCGAGCCATCGAGGCTGCTCTCCTGGCGACGGACTTCCCGAATGGGGTTATGGTGGCGAGGGCTTCTGGATACGGGAGTTTTTACGACCAGAGGGAGTACGAGGATGGCATGGCGATGGAGATCGACCAAGACGCTAATATAATTCTTTGCCATGTTCATACAGGAGTAGCATCACAGCACTGGGTTGGGGTGGTCGTGTACTTTGGTCACGATGATGATGGGGACGATACTATTAGTCTGCAGTTATTCGATTTCTCTCGGCGGCAAGGCGACGTATGATGAGGAGGTCATCTTTTTGATCGTGATGACCTGGCTCAGGAACAAGATCCCCAACCACAACAAGTACCAACAGCCAAAGAAGCTGCCGCACAAGACAGTCGCCATGCAGTCGGATCTCGGGTTCACATGATTACGAACCTGCTGTCAGTTGGATTTTGGGAAAGAAATGGAGACTGCTGATAGCAGGACCATAATAGACTACACCCGCAAGCTCATTGCCCTCAAGATTGCGCGCAGCGCCGCGGACAACCTTGGTGGCGACGCTGGGAAGCAGATCCACGATGCCCTCCATGCATCCAACGTCGGCTACTAATCGGCGACTGGAACCGGGGAATGACGGCGCGGCGAGCCATTAACCTTACAGAATATGTCAGTTTCCTGCCGTCTCTCGAAATGCACTGCATTCTCCGCCGAAATCTCCCAGAATGCAGGCGCGGCGAGTCATCAATCTCCTCTATAAATGCAAGATGTGTAATACGTCGATGGCTGGATTCCACTTCTCGTCTCCTGAACCATCAATCCCCTCTAAAAACTCGCAATATATCGACAGCTAGCTCCCTTCCTCTCTCCCTGAAATGTATAGGAATGACGGCGCGGCGAGCCATCAATCCCATGAAGCGGAATACGCCAGCTTCATCCCCGTTGCCTCTCGAAACGCACTACGATGGCTACATCTACATAATTACGGCTCAGCTAGTCACTAATGCATGAAATGAAATGTGGTCTACTATTTTCTATACCGCTCGTAGCAGTAATGCAATCGTATTTCTTAATCCTTCTCCTCGTGACTACAAAAATGTGTTTCTCATGTGCTCTAGCAAGTCCAACCCCCTCTTTACCTCGACCTTTTCATCTAACGCCATCTTTGCCATGCTATCTATCATACCCTACTTCTTCTCTTCCTCATCTTAGATTGTTCTATAATTATTTTAGTATTCTCATTATCATTTTCTTCGTCGTCGTCGTCGTCATTGTTGAACACATAATTGGAGTTTGACGACTTGATTGAAAAACTACGGGGGGCGAAGCCCCTATATATACACAGTTGGTATACAGGCTACGCATGTGCAGCGTACTACCAGGAATGCAGTTCCAACAGTCATCGTCGTTAGTGTTATCACGTGACACGCTTGCATTCTTAGACTATTATTTAACGTAAATTAGACTCATCCTTAATAGCGTCCCTGACTAGCCCTGCCGCTACGATAATAGACATGGAGCTATATACTAGTCTAAATGATAATTAGTTTGTAGTTATAATCGTGCTGTAGTCCAGTTGGGCCATTCTCAACCTGTCCCATTCTCAACCTGGGCGCCTTGAACCCGTTTATGATAGTATTCGGCCGTTACAAAGCAATCTCAGTTCTGACTTACAATGTCATCCCCTCCAGCAGCAGAGTCGGTGGATATTCCACTACGAGTAAAAAAGATGACAGCGCTTTCAGGAGAAGTGCCCGCACCGCCGAAGCCGCTACAGGATGCTAGCGGCTACACCAAAGACCGTCTCGAGCTAGGATTAGAATACGCAAATGCGGTAATACGCATAAACGGGAGAAATCTCTCTCCAATTGGCAGGCGAACTCTCTCCATATATAAGGAGGCATGTACACAGCTGCTTCTGCTAAACGAGGGCGACTATATGGATATAAAAGGGGTAGAGAAAGTCCGGTCTGAGTTGCTTGGGACGATCCGAATGTTTGAAGAGAGCAGAGCCTACAAGGCCTGCTTAACAGTCACAGAGTCAAAGCACTCAGAGGAGCTCGCCAAAGAGATCTTGCGACTCCAGCGCACTACCTTCTATGCCAGATATGGAGATGTCTTTGGAGACGCTCGCAAATTATTGCGGCACGAGGCCGAGGCAGGAAAAGTGACTGTCTGGTCCGGTCTAAATCAGCGCTATTGGACAACCATTAGCAAAACATTAATTGCTGAGAAGCCGTGGTATGAGCGGCTACTTCGAAGAGAGCAAGTGTACGACGAGTGCCCTACTCACCTTACTATGGTCGAGACCTGTAATCGACTAAGATTCCAGACTGACGATATGATCGCAGCGATCTATCACTACGCGCAAAGGAACGAACTACTTCATGCTAACCTGTTGCCTATAATAAGGGATGGGAATTACTCAGATCTAGCAACTATGCTACAGAAGGATTATGTTCACGTCCCGTGCATAGTACAAGCTGGGGTTATTCTAGAGAAGGTTTTGTTAAATGTCATCGAGACAATGATAAACATAGGTTTATCAGAGACCACCCACGTTATCCAGAGAACCCGCAGACATGGGTAGCTACCCACGCTTTACAGATGCGCACTGACGAGTTGTGTGGGCCGAACCCGCGAGACGAAGGCAAAGTTAATAAGGAAATCCATGAGGAAATCCACAAGGCCTTAGCGCAGCGTCTGCGTTCAGAAAGAAAAAGCCGCGAGATGTCTAGCGTCTTTGATCTTTGAGTCAGCTTTGGTATTATCAGACCCTAAAAAGAGGGTAAAGCGGGTGGCGTCAGCGGAGTTGGATGGGGAGATGGAGAGGGCGAAGAGACAGAAAAGGGAGTGGGATAGGCTGCAGAATATAACCAGCAACGTCCACTCACTAAAGGTGGCGTATGAGAATTCGTGGGGGAAGATGTTACCTCCTGTCAACCCTACTGCAGACCCATGGATGGGTGGGATGGAGTCTGAGCCTGCACTAGAGTCCGCCTCCGAGTCTGAATTCGAGCCTGAGCACAAGCCTACCCCCTCATCCTCACCTACGCCTGAGATGATGGATGTTATTGAGCCTGACACTATAATGGGTTTAGGCGATGGTATCGGGGACGGCGATATCCAGTTGGGCGGCAGCGATTCTGAATATGAGCCCGAGGAGTACAATATGTATTAAACCGCTAGATGATGAGTAGCAGCAGTATTCATAGTACATTTGTGTCGTTGGCGGAATGCAAGGATTTTTTGGGATATGTCTTTCTTAGGGTTTGCTTCGATTATTTGAACCCCAAACCAAGCAGTGTTCTTTCATGGGAACGTGATGTGTCATGAGGGGATGGCCTCTTTAAGTTTGCTATCAGAACTCGTCTACAAACACAAGAATTGATCAGCGAATTGATCAGGGGTGATGCCTTAGGTGGGATTCGACTAGACACAGTTAATCAGCTGCGGAAAGAAAATCTTCTGCTAGGATTGGCCGCGCAGCGAGCCATCAATTTATACGGAGATTGAAAACTATGCATTCCATGAAGCTCGAGCTACTCGTACTTTGGGTCAATAATTGTTAAACGTGCAATGATCGTCTTCCCCCTTGTAGAAGTATAGTCCAATAAAAACCCGAGTAATGTTATGCTGCTTTACCACTCGTACGTACGTGACGCGTTATATAGATTGTTATTCCTCGCAACTTTTTAAAACAGCGACGAGGTGGAACTACGTACATGGGTCCCCTGTTAACAATTATTGACCCAAAGTACGAGTACAATTACATGACGTCTATCCAAGGTAATTACTAACTTATATTCTAACTACAATAGGAATCTGGCTGGCTGTTAGCCTTGAACAGATAACTAGACAGTTTTAGCAGCCTGACCTTCGGCCTGACCATTACCCGTAGTAGTAATTGCCAAGCCCCCCCCCCTGCCACCCCCCCGGTAGCCCCGATTTTCTTGCCTTCGGTGATTACCCGTTCTGGTAATCAGGAAGGCACGACTGAACAGACTTCTGTTCAGTCGTGCCCTCCTGATTACTACCGTATGTAGTTAGTTTAGATATTAGTAATACACTTGTTTGAACGTTCCTCATGATGATGCGCATCGAAAAAGTGATAATTTCGCCCTATATACTGTATTTTAGAATGCCGCCAGCCACGACTGCCGTTCCTACTGCTCTCCAGTCTGTCTGGAGAGTATCTATAACATCGAATAAGGGGTTTGAGTCCCCTAGTCGACTCGCAAGCAGCTCGAATAGTCGTAGCCAAAGCGTCTTCGACGACGACTACGACGATGAGGAAAGCGAGCTTGACGGCTCTCCTCTACCATTTACACCGATAACTACGAATTCTACGATTATTACGACTCAACAGACACCGATAAGGAAGCGGAAAAGGGGGCAAGAGGTGGATATACAAGATGATAACGGGGGACGCCGGCCGGCGCTGTCAAACCAGGAACATATCATACTCTTAAAGATCTGTATGCGGTTATCACATACATACCGGACATCTGAAGCAGCAACGTTCTTTCGGAACGTTACTGCTGATTGGCAGTTGGAATCCGGGAAGGAGCATGATACTCTTCGTCGGTGTTACGACGGAACAAGAAGGCTGGCCAACTACAGGACAGGAAGGAGGGAGGTCGCATGAGACCGGCCCTGGTACCTGGAGGGGCAGCGGGGAATAGTAGTTCCGAAAGTATCACGTGACGGACTCGCAGGATGATGAGAAGAGTCCTAAGAGTCCAGGACTCCGAGGACTCGAGTGAGTTCCCAAGAGTCCACTAGGCACGACGCCACTATATAAGTAGATAGTATTTCCTTAGATAGGAGCTTCGTGCTCAACTCAATACAGTATTTGTTATATACTAGTAACGTGTTACTTGAAGCCTTTGTGTCTGATCCCCTGCCTCCTCTGATAAGTAAACCTTTACGCAAGAGAACCTCTGTGTCTTCTATCGTTTAGAAGTCAGCGTTACACTTTGAGCACCACTTCTACGAGGTACCGGCTTACACACAAAGCAACATGTCTGTCGTCAGTTCGAAGGGGAAAAACCCCACCACGCCAACTTCATCTCAGAGGTCTAAGCCTGAGAATGAGGAGATGCCCGATGCACCCACCGTCAACGAACTCAAGGAAACTCTACGCGTCAAGTTGCCCGACACTTACTCCGGCAACCGAAAGGAACTTGAGGTGTTTTTGCTACAGGTCGAACTGTACCAGCACTTCAATGACGAGAAGTTTCCCACCCAGGAGAGCTATGCCCTGTGGACTGCGTCCTACCTTAGGGGGGAAGCCCTGCGATGGATCGAACCATTCCTCAAGGACTATTTCAAATATGAAAGTACCAATGGAAGCATGACAACTACGCAGACTATGTTTGGCAGCTGGAATGGATTCTGTAAGGAAATCCGACGCATGTTCGGAGACATCGATGAGATTAAGACCGCAGAAGACCATCTGTTTGCACTTAAGCAGACTGGCAGCGCCCTCACATACTCCACAGAATTCCAGAGATACGGCAATCAGACAGGATGGGACGCCAGCGCACTCATCAGCCACTACCGACATGGGCTGAAGAGCCATATACGTATGGAACTTGCCCGTTTGGAACAACAACCAACGGACATGGTAGCGCTAATCGAACATACGGTCCGAATCGACAATCGACTATACGAATTCCAGAAGGAACGTCGGACCTATGACAAGCCCAAGAAAAGTTACCCCTACCGGGGAAACGAGGGCAGACGACGGGATCAACACCCGCGAGACAACCGTTGGTCGGACCCAATGGAACTCGATGCCACGTTCAAACCTGGACGACCCCGTGACCCTAAGAAAGACAGACAATTCAAGGAACGACTCTGTTTTAACTGCGACAAGCCAGGCCACATGGCCCGAGACTGCAGACAGCCAAAGAAAGGGAACGGCGGACGCAAAGTCGGCAAACAACTCAATGCCACCTGGACAGGACAGTTGAACGCAACGTTTGTGAGCAAACAGGACTGGGGAATAAACGGCGAAAGCACCCCAGAAGACGAGAGCTCAGATGAAGGGTCGGAGGCGGAATCGTTCACCGTCTCGGAACAGGAGACCTTCGATGAACTCGCACCTACGGAACCAATGAGTCCACGGTGCAAGAACGTAGTAAGACGCATGGCAAAACACGCCCACGCGAAGATTAGGGCCGAACGAGACAAGCCCAATGGCCAGAGGAAAATCCCCATGCTTAAAGACCTCTACGGGAACCTGTTACAGGAACTTCCGTTAAAATGCAAGGTGGACGACTGCAAGGATGACCTCTGGAGATACTACGACCAACTAACGAATACCCGCAGGCTGCTTGGCACGTCCCAAGACGTAGCTAAGTTGGAAGCCCAAGAAGCGGAAGAACTGGAGAAGGATGTCGAGCATATGGCTAAACTGAAGTATATGAAAAGCGTCGAAATTTACTACCAGGACCGCAGGAGAGCCCTGAAGAAGTACGACGAGAAAGCCAGAGATATGCTCCGACGGGAAAATGCGAGACCCACTCCACACATCGAAAGGAGAGCCATGGAGCAACTAGACACGTTCTCCACGCCTCCGAGGGAAGATAGTGCATGGGTGAGAGGACAGCGGGAACTATCAATGACAGACGCAACAGAGACTGATCATCCCTGGCACGCGTATGTCTACTGGGAGTATTGCAGCGAAGATGATTGCAAGCTCCACTGGAAAAAGAAACACCAGAATCAGTTGTTTCCCCGATCCTCGCCCAGGATACACTTCAGAGACGCAGAGCAAGTTCACGCCCTCAGGCGAAGCCAGTCTGAAGGGGACTTGCCTATCAAAAGCGAACAGGTATACAAGAAATACCCACATCTGCTAGACGAAGCAGAAGAGCGAGGGAAACGATCTCCCCAAGGACCACCATTGGAAACGGATGAATACTATCCTTCCTCGGACGAGTCAAAAAACTAGGAGTCCTCGACGGTAGGCCACCGGCGAGCGACACGAAGAGGCCTAGTACAGACCAGCTATGCGCCACGACGGGCAGCATGCAACTATATGTGGTCGCTAAGATACAACAGCGACACCTCCGAGCAATGATTGACTCAGGAGCGACGGGCAACTTTATGACAAAGAAAGTAGCAGACACGCAAGGTTTCAAGACGCAATTGAAAACCGAACCATACCCGTTAATGGTCGTAGATGGAGAGCCCATCTCGACTAATGAAGGAATGGTGACCCACGAAACGGTCCCATTGGAAATGGTCATGCTACACGGGCACAAGGAAACGATTCAGTTTGACATCGTGCACATGGACAACCATGCGTGCATCCTTGGTGTGCCATGGCTCAAGAAACACAACCCCCAGATTGACTGGTGGAACGAGAAAGTTGTGATGAGCCAGTGCGCGTGTGAACAACGGACGGACATGCGACAACGGGAGAAACCCTCCCAGGGCCGGAAGGAGTTATGTGCAACCTCCGAGCTCGATGACCTAGCCCAGGCATCCTCACCGACGAGTATACCAGTGGAGTACAAGGAATACGAGCGATTATTCCAGGAAGGCCCTAAGAACGAGGCGCTTCCTAAGCACCAACCATGGGATCACGAGATACCTTTGGAGAAAGACAAGAGTCCACCGTTCGGACCAATATATCAGCTATCGGAAAAGGAGCTGAAGGTACTTAAGGAGTACATTGATGATAACCTAGCAAAAGGATTCATCAAACCATCCACATCACCCGCAGGAAGTCCGGTGCTTTTCGTACCAAAGAAAGACGGCTCCCTACGGTTATGTGTGGACTATCGAGCGTTGAACAACATCACAATCAAGGACAGGTATGCCCTGCCGTTAATCAACGAACTACACGATAGATTTCAAGGAGCAAAGATCTTCAGTAAGCTAGATCTGCGAGGAGCATACAACCTGATCCGAATCAAGGCTGGGGAAGAGTGGAAAACAGCATTCCGCACCCGCTATGGCCTATTCGAGTATCAAGTCATGCCCTTTGGGCTAACAAACGCACCCGCATCTATGCAACGACTGATGAATGATGCTTTGCACGAATACTTAGACATCTTTACCATTGTCTACTTAGACGATGTCCTGGTGTATTCAGCAACCAAGGAGGAGCATGTCAAGCATGTCAAACTCGTCCTGAAGAAACTAAAGGAGTACAGCTTACTCCTCAAACCAGAGAAGTGCGAGTTCCATAAAAACCAAGTCGAATTCTTGGGTTACATTATTGGAACGCATGGCATCAAGATGGACCAAGCAAAAGTAACGGCAGTGTTGGAATGGCCAACACCGACCACGGTCAAGGAAGTGCAAGCCTTCCTAGGCTTCGCCAACTTCTACCGAAGATTCATCTCGGGATATTCCAAGGTAGCTCAACCACTCACGGAGCTTACCAGAAAGGATCTCGAATTCAAATGGACGGACAAGGCAGAGGCTGCTTTCCAGGAACTTAAGACGAAGTTCACGGAAGCACCTATCCTTGCTACATTTGACCCTGCAAAGAAGATCATCCTCGAAACGGACTCTTCTGACTTCGCAATTGGAGCATGTCTGAATCAACCAGACGAGAACGGTAAGTTCAAACCAATCGCGTACTACTCTAGGAAACTGTCACCCGCGGAACTCAATTACGACATCCACGACAAGGAGCTACTGGCTATTGTCGTTGCCTTTGAGCAGTGGCGAGTATATCTTGAGGGATCCACCTACCCTGTGCAGGTATGGACGGATCACAAGAACCTCATATATTTCACCACGACCAAGGTTTTAAACCGCAGACAAGTCCGCTGGGCAGAAACCCTCGCAGCCTACAACTTCACGATAACCTATCGCAAGGGCTCCGAGAATGCGAGAGCAGATGCTCTCAGCAGACGGACCGACTACGCCGGCCCAAAGGAAGAAAGACCTAGAGCAATTCTGAAGAAAACAGATGCAGGAATACAGTACAACGAGTTACTAGCGACGATCTCAGTCATCGAAGATACAGAACTCGAGGAAAGACTCAAGAAAGCTTACGCAACAGACGAATGCGCCAAGCGAGTCTTGTCCAAAGTCGAAGGCGACTTCGCCATCGACGAACAAGGATTGATTCGATACAAAGGGTTAGTGTATGTCCCAAGTCAAATGAGACGCCCGCTGGTGCAAGAACAACACTCGTTACCAGCACACGGTCATCAGGGAGTAACGCGAACCTTCGAACGAATCACCCGACACTACTACTTCCCAGGTATGAGGAAGCAGGTAGAGACAGTGGTAAGAGAGTGCGACATTTGCAGCAAGTCAAAATCCAATAGGCATCTGCCATACGGACAACTCAAATCGACACCAGTACCAAAAGGAGCGTGGAAATCAATAGCTTTGGACTTCATCGTCAAGCTTCCACCCTCCAAGGACCCGTTAACAGGAATAGAATACGACTCTATCCTCGTCATCACGGAAAGACTCACGAAATATGGGAAGTTTATACCATATCTAGAAGCTAGCGACGCCGAGGCGCTCGCATATACCTTCATTCGAGTCATATTAGCCGATCATGGGATGCCAGAAGAAATCATCTCAGATAGAGACAAGCTCTTTACTTCGAAATTCTGGAAATCATTGATGGCGCTACTGGGAACAAATCATAAGCTATCAACAGCTTTTCATCCCCAGACAGACGGCCAAACAGAAAGATTAAATCAGACCCTTGAACAGTACCTGCGAAGCTATGTCAATCATCAACAGGATAACTGGGTTCAGATCTTACCCATCGCACAGTTTGCATATAACAGCGCGATGACAGAAGCAACGAAAGTCTCACCGTTCTTTGCCAATTATGGCTACCAGCCAGAAGCATATAGGCAACCAAGACCGGATGAATCACGAGCTGAACAAGCCCTGATCGTGGTGGAACAACTGAAATCGTTCCACGAACAACTTGCGACGGACATCCAATTCTTAAATGAACGATCCGCCGCATACGCAAACAAGAAGCGCAGTATGGAACCTGCCTTCAAGGAGGGGGATAAAGTATACCTACTCCGGAAACATATCAAAACGAAACGACCAAGCACAAAGTTGGACTTCAAGAAATTGGGACCATTCAAAATATTGAACAAAGTCAGCTCAGTTAATTACAGACTGCAGCTACCCAGGAAGTCTAGACTACACCCGGTATTTCATGTCTCACTACTGGAACCAGCAAGAGGAAATACCCCAATTGCGACTGACACTGAACTCCAACCCGAGAATGAGATAATCGAATATGAGGTCGAAGCGATCCTAGACAGAAGGTTAGTAGGACGTCGAGAAGAGTTTTTGATAAAATGGGAAAATTACGAACCTACGGATAATTCGTGGGAACCAACAAGGAACATCAGCAAGGAACTGCTGGAGGAATATCGACGCCGCCATCCGCCAGCCATTGATCCCAAGATGCAGGGGAGTAGGCCAGTGGATCGGAGGAAGCGGGGGTCCCGGTTACAGACGAGGAGGCAGCGCTAACTGCCTGTTCCTCGGCCTCAACAGCGTCACGCTTCTCAGCAGCCACACGTTCGGCCTCCTCTGCCGCATCAAGCTCGTCGAGGGTTTTCAAACCTCGCCGGAGCATATCTTTACCACGGGTTCGGATGAGGCGTTTCTGCTTCCGCAGACGAAGTAACTTCGAAAGGGTTTCTTCCTCTTCGCGATCCAGGCGATCCCCCTCCCGTTCGAGCTTCACCCAGTCGGGATGCTCAGGACCCATACAGTCACATTTTTCTTTCAAGTTGCGACGAACGCACTCGGCGCACCACCGTGAATCATTTGGAGACGACACGCAAGTAACGTTTCGCCTCACGCAGTTCGAGCAAGAATCCATTTCGGGTAGTTCGTATCCGTGGTTCTTTATTCGACGGACAAGATCGTTGCGTTCCTGGAGTTTGCGGGCAGTGTCAGTAGGCATGTTGCATGTTGAAGGACTCGCTGAGGAGCAGCAGAGTCCCGGGGACATGGACGTACTTATAGGATTCGAGACGAATGCCCAGGGGAAGGGAGCGAGTGTTACGACGGAACAAGAAGGCTGGCCAACTACAGGACAGGAAGGAGGGAGGTCGCATGAGACCGGCCCTGGTACCTGGAGGGGCAGCGGGGAATAGTAGTTCCGAAAGTATCACGTGACGGACTCGCAGGATGATGAGAAGAGTCCTAAGAGTCCAGGACTCCGAGGACTCGAGTGAGTTCCCAAGAGTCCACTAGGCACGACGCCACTATATAAGTAGATAGTATTTCCTTAGATAGGAGCTTCGTGCTCAACTCAATACAGTATTTGTTATATACTAGTAACGTGTTACTTGAAGCCTTTGTGTCTGATCCCCTGCCTCCTCTGATAAGTAAACCTTTACGCAAGAGAACCTCTGTGTCTTCTATCGTTTAGAAGTCAGCGTTACAGTCGGGTACTACGGAGGAGTATTACTGCCCGCCGGAAATACCTTGCTGAGCTTGGAACCGGCGAGCAAGATGGGAGGACGGAGCGACAGTTATACGAGGACAGCTGGATTGCTGTCCTTGATGCTGAAGCTACAGTTATACAGCAGCGGAGGGAACATCGAGGAGCTATTGGAGCAAAGACTGAAGCAAGCGTTCGGGCCCGCGCTTCGCTCCTTACTGCGATGAAAGAGAAGCGGGTTATCAACCCCCCTTTACCATCACCCCGGAACCGTATACCAACTCTCCAAGCGCAGGAGTTAGCTGGTAGTGAAGCAAACGATGCTATCACTATTGGTGACGACGATGACGACCAACTCCAGCCCTACGCCTCCTCCTACGCCTCCTCTTTTTCTCCGCCACCATCCTCCTCCTCATCCTCGTCTCGTCAGCCTCGAAAGCGCCAAGCTACTACACTTGACGAGGATGAGGTATTCCATGACCGTGAAGAGCGCCGTGACGAGCGCTTCTTCTCAGTTATGGAAAACTTCTCGAAGGCAGTTGTAGAACCGCCTTCACAAGTGATAACTATCCCTCACGATATCGAGGGGCAGTTAGAAGCGTGCCTCCAGCAACAGGAGAAGCGTATTCAAGCTGGAATTGCTGCCCAGCTTGAAGACTTACGAAAAGAACAGATGGTGATGTTCTCTTCGTTTATGCAGCAGATACGACAGAGAGAAGGGAGAGAGGAAGCAGGGTAGAACAAGTATGTAGCTATATAGTTTAAATACATAAATACGCTTCGATTGATGGCGGGTCTACTTTGAAGCGCCGTGATATCAAATTGCCATGAATACAGGTATGGAAATTCGTGAGTAGAATAGCTACAGCGAAGTACGCTGCAACTGGTTGACTTCCAGATCGAAGGCCTTTACTAAAGGCCATATATGAGAATAGCTGTTGAGTCCGGCCAAAGTAGTTCTCAACAGCTATTCTCGCAGATGATAACGAGCGGTTAAACGCTTGCTCATCAAGAGGCAGATGTCGTCTGCCTCTTGGATGCGAAAAGGGGCTCATAATACCCGTTGTGCATCGATAAGCTGGATCACCGTAAAGGAAGAGCCATTCGGGCTCTTCCATATGATCCATCAATTGCTTGAGTCTGTCTTCGCAACCAGACTCAAGCCACATCATCCAGTCGTTTGCGGTACCAAGAAAGGGTCCGCATAACGACGAAGCAAGCCCATCAGGCGTCACGATGGCCTACCATTGCTGGCCGTGTTGGCGTTTATGGCCATTATAAACGGCCCGCTGGGCTTCATCACTTCCAGCAGGCCGACAGAATCCTCGAAAGGTTCCGTCAACGAAACCCCAGATCCTAGGGCAGCCACCAACAGCTTCTACGGCTGTTGAGAACGCTTGCATCTTCTCATATGATAGATGCGGGGCCCAACTAAGAGTCGGCCCAAACTGGGCAACAAGATATTGGCAAGTATCGTTGAATACGATACTTAACCATGTGATAGATCGACCGAAGATTCTCACATGGCTACACCATCGGCTTGGATAAGCCAAGCGGGCAAGAACTACACAAAGCGCAGTCTCCAGACTAGCAACAATTCGGTGACGGTATGATAATTCCTCAAAGCGGAGGAGCGGAATGAGGCAGCGGATCTCTTCAATCGAGAAGCTATATAGGAATTAGACTAGAATATGAAAAGGGGCTTTTTATCATACCGTAAATACAGCTTCACTTTGACTGGCGACCCCTCACCCCAAGTATCAAGACTCCAATCGCAGCGCTGGTATTCTAATGGCGGCCTATATGGTGGCCGTCGAACGATCCTAGCTAACTGCTGGCGGCGGTAGCGACGACGGTGCTGCTGGCGTGAGCGATAGTAGAATACTATTGCAACAGCTGCAGCAGCTATTATAACCCGCTGCTTATGAGTTACCATTTTATTACTATATAGCTATCTACAGCTTCAAACGCTACTTCAGGAGGCAGTGTTTGAATATGATATTACTACATTGGGCGTTACTACAGGGGTGGTAAGGGGCTACTACTACTATAAGCTACGGCGAATATTAGCATCACTTGGCAGCTTGGCAATTACTACATTAGGTAATGGTCAATTACATCGTTGGTCAAGCTGCTAAAACTGTCTACTGTCTGATGCCGACAGTCTTACTTCCTATTTAGGAAATAGTGGGTTCACAGCGAGCAGGGCTTGTACAGGGTTTGTACAGGGTTTATACAGGGTTCCTGGTCAAATTGTCTACACTAACGACATACAGGACTGTCGAATGAGGTGTCTAACACCTGCTGAATCGCTCTAGTGGGAGAGTGAGTGTATGAGCGATTATTTGCATTTTCTGGATATATATAATATTAAAGTGAAGAGCGGAAATGCCAAGAGTGGTAATGATGTACGACAGCGGAGACAACAGAGAGCCATGGCTCTCCGCTGTCTCCGCTGTGTCTCCGCTGTCTCCGCTGCCGTACATCATTACCAGTCTTGGCATTTATGCTCTCCGCCGGCAGAGATTTAATTGGCCGATAGTTTGTAGAGAACCCACATTTTCGCTGGGAGACCCCGTGATCCCCGACGCTAACATGTGATGAAGGGCAAAGTAAGTTGGGGTCTATGCCATCACCACCATCACCACCAAGCCCCAAATCTGATCATCTGATAAGAAGATTGATTCAACAACCATCCAACTACCACCACCATCATCATCATTCCCACTTCCCACATTTCCACACATAGACAAATACACACATTACACATATATATATATTCGGAATATACAGATCCCATATCTGTATAGCTGCGATCCTGCAGCTACTGGGTCGAGACATCTGCATACATACATACAGAGAGAGAGAGAGAGCTTACAGACTTTCTACAGTCATATCGCATGCATCTCTCCCAAGTGACACCAGAGCACAGAAACACCGACCCATCGCTTCACTACCGTCCTCAGCATAACACAACCGCAACCTGCATTACTGCCGGCCCCCCAAAAAAGCGAATAAAACCCCCCCAGTCCAGTCTCACACTCAGCTCAGCTACCTCTCCAGCGCCTCGGGGCTAATCCCCACTCTCCTAACCGCCAGCAGGCCCCATCAGGCTGGTCATGTTGCACCGCCAGCCTAGCTGCATATGACATCTCGCACCACCTACCCCATCCCTAACCGGACCACGAAGAATGGTGCTACTGCTCGGCTTAACGTCCATGATCCCCACGACGGAGTATCCTACTCTCTCGACACCATATCCCCCAGTACCGACAACGACACTGACGACGACGACGCAAACGATCGCACACGACTCGCTATCCCGCCAGACGATGCGGCACGGCGCACAACAGATCTAGAGACCACATCGAGCGAGAGCACGCGGATGTCGAAGGCGCCGCTGCTGCTCCGGACCAGTCCGGGGATGGGGACGGGGTCGTATGGCGCTGCGCCCGTGGGACACTCGACGGATGAGGAGGAGGGGGAGGAGGAGATACTGAGGCGCAGGCATAAGAAGGCTGCAAGCCGACATACAGTGAGCTCCTCGAGGCGGCGGAGGAGGAGGGCAAGTGGCAGTGATGCTGGTGGGGGTGGGGGTGCGGAAGGGAGTGGTGCCGCGCCGAGTCCGACGGAGACGAGGAGACAGAGTATTTCACTCGGGGCAAGCACGGCGGCCATGGAGGGCGTGGAGGGGTTTGGAATGGAGAGTCGGTTTGGGGTTGGGAAGCTGCCCGTCTCGCCGGGATCGGGGCATTCGTCAAAAGATGGACTTGACGAGGACACCGACCCAGACGACCTGTTCAATGACGAGGATCCTCCGGATAACTCGAGGTACTCGCAGGTGAGGGCGTCGGTGTCAGCGCTGGACGACCTGTCGCTGTCGATCAACACACCGCGGATGTGGACGCTGTCGATGCTGTTTGCAATAATGGGATCGGCTACAAATCTCTTTTTTTCTCTTAGATACCCCAGCGTTTCCATTACGCCCGTCATTGCGCTCCTGCTCGTCCATCCTCTCGGTCTGATGTGGGACAGGTTGCTCAAGCGACCAGGTGATCCGGAAGTCATATACATAGAAGGCAACTGGTCAATGTCGCCCTCATCCGACGATGCTACCCTCGACACCGACAGCGCGGACGACTCACAGCGCTCGACGTCGTCGACCCTAGAAGGCAAGGAATCTCGGCCGCACCGGTTACGGCTTTGGCTCGCCCAAGGCCGCTGGAATGGAAAGGAGCACAGCTGCGTCTACATCGCCAGCAATGTATCCTTCGGATTCGCCTTCGCCACCGACGTGATCGTCGAACAGACGCATTTCTACAACCAGCCCGTCACCATCACATACCAAGTCCTCCTAATCCTCTCGACCCAAATCCTCGGCTACGCCTTCGCCGGACTCAGCCGACGCTTCCTCGTGCGCCCCGGCGGCATGATCTGGCCCGGCACCCTAATGCCGGCAGCCATGTTCACAACCCTCCACAAAGAAGAAAACAGCATCGCGAACGGCTGGACCATCTCACGGTGGAAATTCTTCTTCGTCGTCTGGCTCTCCGCCTTCGCCTTCTACTTCCTCCCCGGCCTCCTCATGCCCGCCCTCAGCTACTTCAGCGTCATCACCTGGTTCTGGCCCGACAACGTCGTCGTCGCCAACCTCTTCGGCGTCTCCTCGGGTCTCGGCCTGTTTCCCGTAACCTTCGACTGGGCACAGATCGCTTACATCGGGTCTCCGCTCACCACGCCGTTCTGGGCAGCTATGAATGTCGTCGGCGGGCTTGTGGTGGTGATGTGGATCATAGCTCCTATTTGTTACTACAATAACGTCTTTTACTCCGCATACATGCCCATCCTCTCCTCCGCCGTCTTCGATAACACCGGCAAGGTCTACGACGTCGCTCGCATCCTCACACCCGACTTCCTCTTCGACCGCGCAGCCTACGAATCCTACTCCCGCGTCTTCATGCCCATAACCTACATCCTCAGCTATGGCCTTCAGTTCGCCGCCCTTGCGTCCCTACTCACCCACACAGCCTGCTGGCACGGTCGCGATATCGTTCGACAGTCGCGCAACTCCCTCGAGGAGGTGAGGGGGCAGGCGAAGATTGGGTATGAAGCCCTTCCCGGGGCGCCGCTGCCGAGGGGAAGAAGAGGGATGAGGGGGAGGAGAATGAGTCTTGAGCCGGGGGTGGAGGATACGTTGAACCAGGAGGATGTGCATAATCGGCTTATGCGGAGGTATAAGGATGCGCCGATGTGGTGGTATTTGGCGACTTTTGTGAGCATGACTGCCATTGGGATTTTCGTGGTCGAGTAGTACGTCCCTCCTTGTCTCCTTTTTCCCCATTCCGTGTCTTTGCCCCTACTTCCCCATCTCATCTCTGCGTATACAAGGCCCACACTAACAAACCCCCAGCTACCCAGTCCACCTCCCCTGGTACGGCCTCCTCCTCGCCCTCTCCCTCTGCGCCCTCCTCTTCATCCCCACCGGCATCGTCGCCGCAATCACCAACCAACACTCCTCCACCTACCTCATCAACCAACTCGCCTGCGGCGCCCTCTTCCCCGGCCGCCCCGTCGCAAACATGGTCTTCGTCACGTACGGCTACATCTGCTCCGCCCAAGGTATCAAATTCTCCTCCGACCTCAAGCTAGGGCATTACATGAAGATCCCTCCCCGCCTGTTGTTCTCGGTGCAGATGGCTGCGACGCTGGTGTCTAGTTTGACGCAGATTAGTGTGTTGAATTGGATGTTTGCTAATGTGAGCGGGATTTGTACGACGGATGCGGTGAATGGGTTTTCGTGTCCGCTGGCGAGGGTGCATTTTAATGGATCAATACTTTGGGGTGTTGTCGGACCGGGGGAGTTCTTTGGGCCTAACGCCACGTACCGGCCGTTGGTATGGTGTTTCCTCATCGGCGCCCTCGCTCCCCTCCCGTTGTGGTGGTATAGTCGACACAGCAAATCGAGTATCGTGCGGCACATCAACCTCCCCGTCCTCTTCGGATCGCTGTCCTGGATCCCACCTGCTACCGGTCTCAACTTCAGTGTCTGGGCAGTCGCCTGCTATATCTTTAACTTCCGCATCAGGAGGAGCGCGCCGGAGTGGTGGGCGAAGTATACGATGACACTTAGTGCGGCGCTGGATAGCGGGCTGGCGTTTGGGGTCGTGGTGATCTTCTTTGGGGTGCTGTATCCGGGGTGGGTGGAGGGGTGGAGTTGGTGGGGAACGGAGGTTTATAAGAGGGGGTGTGATTGGAGGGCTTGTAGTTGGTTGGGGGTTAAGGAGGGGGAGAGGTTTGGGCCGGATAGGTGGTAGAAGGTGCGCCGGGGGGGGGGGATGGAAGTTGGAAGTTGGATTTGAAAGGGGAGGGGGAAGATGTGGTGTGAGCATGTCACGTTTTATAAGAGCGCCTCGATGTATTTTCGGGCATGGATTGGATGGGGTCGAAACATTGAATGGGGTGTTGGGTTAGATATACATAGTACTATACAAGCGCGCATGATTGATATGAATCGCTAGGTAGAAAGATGGCGTGGGATGGTATGATATTACTTTACTATTACTTCCCTACAAAACAGACAGACCTCATTTTGGGCGTGAGACTGAATTTATATCAACTATAAGAGTTGCTCCGGTGAATTGCTCCAGTAGATACTTTTATCTCAATAATCAAAAAAAATAAAAAATAAAGTATTGAAACGACGTGTGCAGGATTTGAACCTACGCGGCCGAAACCATATGATTTCTAGTCATACCCATTAACCACTCTGGCAACACGCCCGTTTTACTTTGTGTGATTGTGGCGAGTAAATGGGACTAGAAACCACTTCGGATTCAAAACTATGGATGTTCAAATCTTTTGCACATGCCGCTGCTTGATGTTGAATTTTCGGTTTTTTTATGTGGAGTAATAGCACCGGCGGCGGGCAGAAGTGCGTAGCCCTGCAGGACCAATATCGCTAAGTCCCACATTGTGAGAACCAACACCGGAAGCAGATGGGAAAGATAGCTGGCATTGACGATGCGGAGGAAAGTCGCGGTTACCATAATGTTGAATATCGACCAAGTGGCGGTCTGGGCAAGCTGGTGAGGAAAGCCTGGATCCAGTGCCACCAACGGCTTTCTCGATTATGCGAGGATATGCGATGGGAATAGGGGTTTGGGGCACAACGGGATCGAAATTTATAGGGATTTATGTTGGTTTATGGTGTGGGTTTACGAAAGATAGAATTGAATGATATAAAACATTGACGTCTCTACTCATTCAACAGTGAAAGTGTGATCATAGAAGCTCAATGATGAATTCCGACATTCAAAGCAATAGGCAACGTCCAACCCCACCAGCTCTCCTCTCCCATCGTGCCCCTAATCCCGCAGATAAAAAAGCAATCAACCTCGCAATGGCATTGATTGTCTTCCAACGCGCCGGCCAGAACATTTTGATAATGCTGCATTATCAAAAATAAACGACGTCGGTGGCGAAATCTTGACTGCCACGTGACTAGCACACTACCATGGCTTAATTCTCAATTATCCGTCCTCAGCCAATCAAATAATTCGATTTTTTCGGCCGTCGGAGCCGTCACCGCTTATCCCCCAACCAATTACAGCCAATAAGAGCGCCCCGATATCCATAATTATTTTGCTTGTGCATACAAAGACTGAGGGACCAGCAGTTTTTTACGCGAGACCAAGTTCCGATCTCGTCGTCCCACCTCCATCTTCCTCTTCCAATCCTCAATCCAACACAATTCTCCCCACTAAAACAACAACCTTCACCGCTGTCAATTCAAAAAAGCCCAATTACATTTATACAAGGGATATTTGAATGATATCCCCCATTTATTAGCTGCTAAGCTGTTTTTCTTCACGTTGCGTCTATGAGTGCGCGCCCGTCAGTCTTCACTTCGCAGGTATGTGCGACTCTTTTTCTTCACCGAGCGGCGTTGTCGAGGCGGATGGCGGTGTCAGTCACCGCTAGGAGTGTTGGATATTCTTCATCTATACCGTACTATTTAGCTGGCTCTTTCTTCTTTCTGCTCTCGTCGGAAAAGGCTTCGTGGGATCTCTGGCTAATGACTCGGTCATAGGATTACATTTCAGGTGCGCACACGAGCAAACCCCGCCTACCGCAACATCCCGCACAACATGCTAACCCACTGCGTAGATCACATCTGGAAAGCTTCAGTAAATTGACGAATCGTCGATCAACCATATACCACCACTTTACACACAAAACTTCTACTACGACATGCTTGCTCGCTTTTCCAAGCCGGCCCTGAGGGGCGCAGGAATCGCGCTCAATGGCCGCTTGGTCTCGCAGCAGGCTAGGTTCCTGGCCACCGTCGAGCCGACCGTTGGAAGGACTATGCCTGTAACCAGGCCAAGGGCTACACCGATTGCTCATGATCGGGCTACGTTCACTATCAGGGTATGTTGAAAAGTGGCGTTGGGGGGGAAGACGACAAAAGGAAGATTTTCTAACTGAGAAACAGGACGGCCCAGTCTTCCACGGCAAATCATTCGGAGCCAAGTCCAACATCTCCGGCGAGGCCGTCTTCACGACCTCCCTCGTCGGCTACCCGGAGTCCATGACGGACCCCTCCTACCGCGGCCAGATCCTCGTCTTCACCCAGCCACTCATTGGGAACTACGGCGTGCCATCCAACCAGCGTGACGAGTTCGGACTCCTCAAGTACTTCGAGTCCCCCAACATCCAGTGCGTCGGCGTCGTCGTCGCCGACTACGCCCTCCAATACAGCCACTGGACGGCCGTCGAGTCCCTCTCCGCCTGGTGCGCACGCGAAGGCGTCCCCGCCATCTCCGGCGTCGACACCCGCGCCATCGTCACCTACCTCCGCGAGCGCGGCTCCTCCCTCGCCCGCATCACCATCGGCGAGGAATACGACGCCGACCAAGACGAAGCCTTCGTGGACCCCGAGCAAATCAACCTCGTCAAGCGCGTCTCCACCAAAGCCCCCTTCCATGTCCCCTCCCCCAAGGGCGACATGCACGTAGCCGTCATCGACTGCGGCGTCAAGGAGAACATCCTCCGCTCCCTCGTCTCCCGCGGCGCCTCCGTCACGGTCTTCCCTTACGACTTCCCCATCCACAAGGTCGCGCACCACTTCGACGGCGTTTTCATCTCTAACGGCCCCGGCGACCCAACCCACTGCGCTGATACCGTGTACCACCTCAAGCGCCTGATGGCGACTTCCCAGGTCCCCGTCTTCGGCATCTGTCTCGGCCACCAGCTCCTCGCTCTTGCAGCCGGCGGTCGCACCATCAAGCTCAAATATGGCAACCGTGCGCACAACATCCCCGCTCTCGACCGCACGACTGGACAGTGCCACATCACATCCCAGAACCACGGGTACGCCGTCGACACCTCCACCCTCCCAGACTACTTCAAGGAGTACTTCGTCAACCTGAACGATGGCTCCAATGAGGGGATGATCCACACCACCCGTCCTATTTTTAGCACGCAGTTCCATCCCGAGGCCAAGGGAGGACCGATGGATAGCAGTTACCTGTTCGATATGTACCTGGAGAACGTGCGTCGCTACAAGGATGGGAAGAAGGTCGTTGGTGCGGTTGTGGAGGAGAGGATTAGCCCGCTCTTGGTCGATATCCTGGCTAAGGAGCGCGTGGGTGTTGCGCCGGCGCAGAAGGCTGCTGCTGCGGCTTAGGGTGGGGTGTTTTTGGACGCAGAGATGGGGTTGAGATGATTATGGTGGGAGGATAGGAGTACTACGTTGCTTTTACTTTGCTTGGTTGTTTTGGATGCGTTTGGGGGATTGAGATCAATACCGCAATTTACGCTTTTTTTTGTCTTTGACTGTTTGGACTTTGTGAACTGAACTGAATTGCTCATCCCCAATCCGAAGCTCTAGATTCTTCCCGCCCCCGGCCTTTGTTGGCTGTGTGTTGTGTTTCTCACTGGGTTTCTCAGGTCGAACATAGAGGAGTCTGTCTACCTGCCGTATATAGATGGGTGTGCTACTGTGTGTGCAACATCCCATGTATTCCACCCGTCTCTAACCTAACCCCTGTGCAACCCATCTCACCTACCCACCTCAATTCCACTATACAGCACATTATACTCGTTTCATACAGACACAGCACAGCACATCATTCAAAAAGCCAAAGTGAGTAAGTAAAATAACCCATCCATATTCTATCCCAACACTACTATAATAATATACTTCCTCCCAATCTTGTGATTACCCCGACCTCCTTTCGTCGGCCTCTTCTTTCTATCCTTTATTATCCACACACGAAAAACAAACCTGCCCTGCCCGCAGCCAATCCGTAACAGGAGAGGAAAACGAAACAGGTAGTCTCGATCCTAGATCTTATATATACACCCCACACCCCCTACAGCTGACTTAAAAAGTCGACACCGCAATCGCAACAGCCTGACTCGCCGAATGCGAGATCGAAACACTCACCTCCCTAACACCCGCCTTCTTGGCAGCAGTCGCCGCATCACCATGTAACTATTTCCAAGTCAGCACACCATTCACATCACACCTTGTCAAACAGTCTTGAATACTCACATGAACAACCAACACCCCCCCCTCCCCCGCCAAAACCTCAATACTCTTCAACTCCGCCCCCCCCCCCCGGCTCGGCACCCCCAAACTCTTAAAAACCGCCTCCTTCGCGCTCCACCTCCCCGCAAAACTCGCCTGCGGATCCGCAGCAGCGCGACAATACCGCGCCTCCTCATCCGTGAAGTTGCGCTCTACGAAGGTGGAGTTATCGATGTTGATAGCCGACACATCCTCGACGTCGACGCCGACCTTTGTGCCTGGGGCAGCGGTGCTCTTGGCCAGTTTCTCCACGACCAGTTTGGTGGCTTCTTTGCTTGATGTGGTGGCAGGCTTGGGCGCCTTGGCTGCGCGGGCGGCGGCTACGGCTTCAGCGGCGAAGTTGGGGGAGTAGGTAAGTCCGGCGGTCTTCTTATCAACCGACACCCTAGCGTTAGGGTTGAGGAAGACATCCGGCATCTGCTCATCCGTGTACGGCGCATGGGTCTTCGCGACGAAGATAGAGTTGTTGATAAGCCCATTATGGAAGTACCTATACGCCTTCTTCTGCCTGGCCTCTAGCTTGCCACGGTACGTAGCGAACGTCTCCTCATCGAGCGTCGCGAAGAGGTATTTAGGGTGGATACCAATAGCCTGCGCGCCCTTCTGCCCGAAGCCGAATGAGGTCACGGAGAAGGCCTTGATGCCGTCGGTTTGGATGCTCTTGCTGGGGTAGACGATGAAGTCGAACTGCTCCATGACCTGATCGATGTTATCTGCATT